TCTGGGTAACTGTGCACTATTTGTTGATTCGGATGTTTATTATTGTTGTGTCTTTCTGGTTATTTGTGCCACGTCCCGTTCCAACCAGTAAAATGGCATCCATTATATTGGAGGCAATTTCCTTATTGAGAAAAGTACAAGAGAAAGTCTCAGTGCAATCACATTACAACATGAGGACCACTTCAGTTCACCTCGGAAAGTGCAGCTGCAGCCTAACTGGTTGATAGACGATTCTTTCAACAACTTGCCAATTTATATCACCGCGATTTCTTCGTTGTTTCTCAAATCGCGTTCCTCCTCAGCAAAGTGGTTTATTCAGAGATTCCGTAAACATACACAAAAGAATTCTACCAACTCCATTAAAACCCGCAATCTCGTAATATCACGGCCGGGCCCCAATGCGAGCCATTGGACATAATGTCTCTGTAAATAAACACAGTGGTAGCGTCATCCAGCCAGAAAAATCGACACAGAATTTGGATAAAAGTTCTCACTAGGATGGAAGGGACTAAACTATGTCATCAGCTCGGGAAAGTGGGTGCTAGTTGGCCTGGTAGACTTAATTAAAACTTATACTCCGGCCTGCCGGGGGTAATAAATTCCCCGCCACCTGGCCGACACAGTCGTATTTCAGAGATGCAACATGGTATGAGCAGGCGTTATGTTTCACATGAGGATAATGTGATCGTATGGGACTTGACACCAACACAGTTGGACCATAGCTGAAGGGCTTGGTAAAAAAGTGTCAGATATCTTATGTGAGCGCTGTTCCTTGTCTTCTGTTTTGTGGATGTATCATGTGTGTGTGGTGTGAGGTAACATGTGTAGAAGTCTCGCCAACAGTTCTTCAAATGATGGTCCATTCTTCATCTTTCTGGTCTGAAAATGCAAAGAAACCTCATGGATTAAGACGAAGTTTGAAGGCAATGGTTTTATGTCGCTAGGACCGTAAACAATGCATTCATTGTTACTAAAGTGAAATAACCAAGAACACACTTTAAGGTACTAGCAGCGCAAAGGTCTATCAGACGTAACCAACTTTGGGGAATTTATCTTGCCACAAAGGACCTCTCTCAAAACCTGCCTCATTTAGAAGAATATTCAGAAGTTATTAATTTTGTTGTTTCTACCATACAGTTTGCCTTTGAGACTCCATTGTCGGTATTAGTTTGTGTATCATGTCACAAATACCCAAGTCATAATAGGTTTGGACGTGAAACCGCCACGTCTTAATTAATTTGCCCTCTTTGTTTTTATTTCTAAAAGAAGAGCAGCATGATTGGTCATCATCCCGTCTCCTAATCCAACCGCTAATGATCCCTGTCTCTGTGTCTATTAGTCGGCTCCGACAAACTTTCCCCCCTCTGTGCCAGAGTCAATTCCAAGCAGCCTAACATTGCATCTTGATATAAATAAAAAAAGCTTTGTAGCCGAGCGGGTATACATGCACGCAGTCTGATAATATTACACCAGTCCCAGGCAGCTGACATTTCTATTGAGCCGTTCCGTTCACCCCCCCCCCCTCCCTCTCCTATTCAATTTGATTTCATTAGGCATTGCCAAGATGAAAAAATGCCAGTTCTTCTTTGGGACAGCGGGATAACTGTATGCCGTTGATCGACACACGCGATTGGTTTCATTATCCAATTTCAAGACGAGTAGATTCCCGAAGCCGGCAACATTGATTCCTCCTGACCTGGCCTCCTAGAAATAAAATAAGAAGGCTAATAGACAGATTTTGTTCGTACCCTTCTGATGTTTATAAACCAATCAAATGTTTTTCTTTAGTTAGATTCGGTCACAGGCTCCGATTCTGTAACCGGTGAAAGCTTTATTCTTGAGAATTGCTCCTGGCGATATTCCGAAAGCCAAATTAATTTCACGTTGGCTTCTTTCGCAGTCCTTTTTTCCCCATTCTGTTGGAGGCTGCCATACAATAACCTTGTGTGTAAAAACCTGAGGGTGTTTTCATTCAGCTCGGAGGCCTTAAATTATTTATTTATTCAAATAGAATTGAATGGAATAAATTTGTAAAGGAATTTTTTTGTCGTCAATAGAGCTTAGAAATTGAAGTCAACATACTGTGTGAAGTTAATGACTTCCATTGACGATGGAGTCAGTTTTCCTTTCATAATGTCCACAAAAGCTGATTTGCACTAACAAAGAAGTAGCTATTTTTCAGATGATGGTTTCAGACGACTGTTAACTGAGTATCCACAAAATTATCGTAATCAATGCCTTAAATTAATCTTTGGCATGTTTAGGTTAAAGGGAATGTACAACATTTGCTTTTGCTGCAATTTTCAGAAATAAATGGATTAAGAGGATTAGTATGTTACAGCCAATAAATGTTGTTTCACGTTTTGGGCTTGTAGTTGTAGATGCTGAAAAAACTAAGAAAACCAATCATGATCTTGTAGTCTAGTTCCCTGACCCCACTTAAGATGAAACGGAGCAATTTTTAGACTTTGGGGAATTGTTAGGTCAGAGAATCAGTCTAGCAGGCTTGTAACCCTTCACAATTGCAAAGAAAACGCGGAATAACTAATTATGAAAAACTAGGAGCAGTTTTTGAAAAAAGCCAGTTTTCTCCAACGCTGGTCGGCCGACCAGTGTTGGAAAAATACCATTTTTTTTCTTGAAAATGAGAGCGCACCAGGATCCACGATTTTACAGGATGATTGAGACTGTCATTCCCTAGCAATCCAGTCAGGTATTTCGTGAGAATTTGATCATTTCGTTTTGTGATGTTTGCAAATGTTGTATCTTCCCTTTAACATTATACAAGTCACAAAAGTTTTCTAAAAGACACTTGATTTTGATGTTTCAATTCATGAAACATGCTGTCTTGAGGATCTCGACTTTTGATATTCATTTTCAATCAATCCAAGCGCAAGGCCTTACATTCCCTCATTAAATTCAAGCCACGCCTCCTTGTACTGTTTACCCGACGGATAATTATTACCGTCTTTAGTGAGCCGTAACCAGCCCAGCTGTAATCCACGTCTAGTGCAATTTTCCAGGTGGGATGTAATTAAACCACCCTGGCCCGCGGGGTCGGGGTGAGGTCAGTACCGTGTCATTGGTGGGGGGTGGGGGGAGCCCCATCGGGCCGACTTTGAACCTGAAAACAATCAGGATGAAGAGGCGGAAATTCATTGTTGATCTTGGGTGGTGGTTAAATGGAAACACAAGTCAAACCTCAAGTGCAGTAGTTGAGTACTTACTAAGACAAGATTGGCTCAAAATAAACCCCAGAACCAAGGCTTTGAAAATTTGGGAGACCACCATCGAAGTATTGGAAATCTCCATTTTCCCCTTGTTGATTGACTCAGAGGCAGTTCGTATAAACTGCTGGAATTTTATCATACAGTTGTTTGGGATCAGGATTTGCTTCAGTTTTGATGGAAGATGAAGTTGTACTTAATTTATTTCTTAATTTACACTGTTTACTTGTGGTTTTGATACTGTTTTTTGATTTGCTGTTCCCACTTGAATCATACACAACTGCCCGTACCCTGATTGTAAACCACACCTTTTGTTTGAGTAGAAGATAACTTTACTTGAAAAATTTGTACCTGAGAATTCTGTTGGACAAAAGTGTTCGATGAAATCACACACGTTTAGAATTTTTTGTTTTCTCCACACATGTCCCTCTGAGGTACACCAGTTGCTATTTGTTGCTGTACTTTATAATGCTTGAGGATCACAAGTTCAGCGAATGCATGCCAAGTTAACCAGGTGGCGAAAGGTCAAGCGTGTTATGTTCAGGTCATCGTTATGTCGCCTTCTAACCCAGCCAGCAATTTCACTCAAAACCAATCAGCGAGCGTGGCAGGGTGATCGTTACGCCGTCGCGCCATCAAAAGCGCAACACCGCATCTCGTTGCACAACCAGAACAGCGCCGCGGCCAAATGTTTTGTTTTATTTATACGTCAACCCCCCTCGGTAGCCACATCCGTGCGCCCCTCTGTCGCACCGCCAAGATCACTTTCATATCAGTGTCTCTCAAAATTAGATTGGCCCAAATTGAACGTGACAGAGAGAGGGCCCCGTCGTATTAGGGTGTCGTGCTGGTTTGGGTCGGGCTGCCGCAGGCCCCACCGCTGTCATTGCTGGAAACTCTACGCCAGACGCACAGCGTGGGGCTGGCGCCAGCACCAGCGAGGGGGCACGGGGCCTGATTACCCTAAGCAAACAGGTAAATACTGAACGTCAGAGGTCACATCGGGCCAGAGTGCATCCCATACTCACATCAACTCCTCCAAAAGGAAAACTTCAGCAAGCAGATAAGTCCTACTGTCTACCAAACACATGGGCGGTATTAGTTACACAAGTAAACAAAGGCTATCTAGACTGACAGATCCTATCTTATTATTATACCAGCAGAATCCTCATCCTCCTGAGGACATGTTTGTTTACAGTGATAAACTCCTCAATCCAAACTTAAAAGACCAGGGAGTAACCTGGTAGTCCTGTGTACCTACCCCCTAAGGGCTGAAACTCCTACCAGAGCCGTTAGGCTTCTCTCAGTCACAGCTCTCCCAAGAGGGCCCCAGCGCTGCTTGTGTTCTCCTCTCCGTTTACCCCCAGATCCAGCCTAGATTGACAAGGATCTCGGAGTCGGCGTGAGACTCCAGTCATTCTCGCCCCAGGTTCTTTGTTTTTTAATGAGTGACAGTATCTCTTACCCAACCTGATATTGCCAATTACAAGTTGTTAGAAGACTATTTTATCTACAGTTTCTCTTTTCATTGGTGCCCTTTTACTGGCATTAGATGTCTTTTAAAAGTTAGTAGAGTTAGAGAATTTGCTTGTAGGCCATATTATTGTAGATCTGACCTGTCTGACCTGACCATCCTGATAAAAAAGGTAGGTTTAATTTGTACCTTTTTGTGTCCTGTGGGAGTTTGTTCTTTGTTGTGAATGTTACTTGTTGCTTTTTTTTTTGTGTCAAGCTTTATCTTGGGTCCTTTTTACTGTTTTGATGCAGCAACCATACTTTCCATTGTTAATGGAAGAACCATTTTCAAATCAGAATTCTTGTTTACTTTCCAATTTACAGGTCTTGTCGTACACGGAAGGTCTCCACGGACGATGGCACTTCAACGACATCCGAGCTGTCTTCTCCAGACGTTACCTCTTGCAGAATACGGCGGTGGAGATATTCCTAGCAAACAGAAGTGAGTTTGTTGTCTTATATTGCTGTCAAAGATGTTCACTGAGTACAACTTGAAGGGACCTTGCCCGACCTCAAATCTATGTTTCCAGTAAAAAAAGGTTCCTCAAGAAATTTTCTGAAGGGAGGCAGTTTGGTAGTGTAAAATACCTATCAACTTGTGTTACTTTTAAACTCATAAGACCTACAAATTAAAACTCCAGGAAGGAGCAAGGAGATCACTGAAAGACATAACTTCATGTCAGCAGCTGGATTTGAACCCCTGACCCTCTGATCATGAGTCGTGTTCCTTTACCACTAATCTAGCTCCCTCTGACGATTAACATAATTAAGACAAATCTATTTTGACGATTTTGCATTCATTTGTTTGACTCTAGCGTCGGTGATGTTCAATCTACCCAACAAGGCGACGGTCAAGAAAGTCGTCCATGCTCTACCTAGAGTCGGCGTGGGTCTCAAGTATGGCATTCCACCCTCCAGGTAAAGCCTACATCTGGATCCATTTTCAAAATCTGATCTTGATTCAGAGTACCCTTGGATTGCCAATAGAGATATGAAAGTGTATACTCCGAGAAAAAAAAATTGTCAAGCATGGTTATGATTTCTTGTAATAAGTCTCAGCCTGTTTTGCAACCTCAGCCTTTGTAAGCAGAGTTTAAAGGCTCGTTCCTTTAATCGTACCTCTCAGTGAAATTTGTAAAAATGCAACCAGTGATATGCTCTTTGGCGTTTAGGCTACAAATCGCCCTCTATTCTTTATGCAATGTAGCCAATAGATGGAGCAGTTGATTCCATTGAATGCATCTTACGTTTCTTAATGTGTGGTTTCTTCTACCAGACGCGTATCCCTGGCAACCCCTCGGCAGCTCTTCAAGGCCTCCAACATGACCCAGGCCTGGCAGAGAAGAGAGATCACCAACTTTGAGTACCTGATGTACCTCAACACGATAGCTGGTAAGCTGGACGGACCGATCTGTTTAAGCCCCGCCCCTGTGATGTTTTGACCAATTACAGCCGTTACTGTGCAGTTGGTGTGCAGAGTGGGTGGAGCTTACTGCTGGATCTTGAACGGCCCATTGTAACGAAAGCATGAAAGAATAGATAGCATTTGGTTGTAGACTTCCCTTTTTGTCGGTTGTCCATTGTATATTTTAAAAGGACTATTTTTGATTTTTCCCCACTTTTTTTTTTTAATCATCCCCCTCCAAAAATTCTGCTTTTATCCCTACTTGAAGTTACAGTTTTCAAGCTCTTATTTATTTTGCTGTAAATATCAAAAGTTGTTTACGAAACAATGTTTAGCTCAGGCTTTTGTAAGATTTTTAACACGTGGATCTATTTTCCCCATGAATCATTCGGGTTACAGCCACATCGCTCATCTCAACCCTGTAACTATACCTCCTGTGTTTATCCATGCTCCTCGGAGACCCAAATGAATACATCTTTGGTCTTATTTAGTGACAGCTTTATAGTGGGACGTCATTTCAGTCAGTGTTATTTAGTTTAAATCGACTCTCCGATCATAGAAGAAAAGGCACTGCTCTAAGAAATCACTACGCCCAAATTGCGTCACGGCGATTCAGTGTTTATATAACTTCATTTACCGCCGACGCAAGGATAAACATCTTTAAGTGCTTTACGGCCGTTGACAGTTTGTTTCTACACTGAGTGCTGAGCTGGGTATAAATTACTCGACCGCTCACACTCACAATTTTGGCGATGCTTTGCTAGAAATTTTAGCTAGAATATTGTCCTGGTTGGTGTTATGTCTGCCTTCTATACCTTTCCAGAAATGGGAACCAGAAATTCTTGAAATTATTAAGGATTTTTGAAGTCCTTGAAGAAATTTAGTTCCTTACTTAGTCTTTCATTGACTGGTGTTAAGTCACTTAGTCATCTTCTGTGTGCGAAGCATTTTCTTTCCCTGGCTTTTTTCCGAGCGTGTAAGTTCACTGGATCATGCATAATAAGCTTGGACATTGTTTTAATAAGCTGTGTCCCTGCTGCACGCATGTAATTAAGCTATTCATTTGCTCTTCCAAGTTTCTTAAGTTCTATTCGTTGCCTGCAATGCTGTCATTGTTGACGTCAAGGAAAATTGGCCTATGACACAAAAGAATTTTGGTATTGGGTGTATTTCATACAAGTCAGTTTATGTGTCTTCTATTTTCTGCTTAAAAAAAACCTATAAAGCTGATTCTGATAAGACTTGTGTTATGGAATAGGAACTAAACACTCATTTCTTATGGTGACATTATGGGATTTTATTCATGTCATCGCCATTAGTGAACAGGTTAAAAAGCATAAAACCCCATCCTGACCCTAATCACCCTAATCCTGACCTTAATAACCCGAACCTAACGCTAACACATCTCCCTTGTTGTGGTCTTTCAGGTCGTAGCTACAATGATCTGAACCAGTACCCCATCTTCCCCTGGGTCATTACCAACTATGACGCTGAGGAGCTGGACCTGACACTGCCCAGCAACTACAGAGATCTTTCAAAGGTTGGTCGCATGCCTCACCATTTCTGTCCTACCTGGGAAATGTTTGTTGGAAAATAAACCAACTTTATACCACTTCCGTCAGGTCGTTAATTACTTTGAATGGAATATTTGTTTCAAGTACAAACATATATTGATGGTTCACAAAGTGGGAAATGTTTGTTTGTAAACCTTATTGGAAGTGCAGAAGGGCTTTAGCGTACATTTAACTGCTCTAGCGTCCCTGTTTCTGAAGTGAAATTGCAGATCTTTCAAAAGGCAGATTTGCATAATTGAGGAACCCATCCGCTGCTTTAATTGACAAGAAACGTGGCACTTGCATTGAGAATGTGCCATTGGGCTCTTGAAGGATTTTAAAGAATTCCAGAATTGCCTAGATGGTTGTGGTGAATCCAGTTTGTCACTTGTTTGTCTTTCGCAGCCCGTCGGTGCATTGAACCCAAGCCGACGAGCCTTCTTTCAGGACCGATATGAGAACTGGGAGGACGACAAGGTTCCTCCGTTCCATTACGGCACTCACTACTCCACCATGGCCTTCACACTCAACTGGCTCATGAGAATGGTAAGCTTGTCTCCTAGTCATTATTACAAATCAGAGATGAAACTTTTCCGATTTTAATCGGAAAACCGACTTTTTGAATTTTCCAACGAAATTTCCGATTTTTTTACAGTGTGTCCCACAAAATTTGATTTTGTAAGGATTTTTCTCACAAAATGTCATTTTATTTCAATCATAATTTCGAAGTAAAGTCGATGAAAAGTCGATGGAAATGGCACGTTAAAATCATCGCGAACGCAGTTTTAATCTCATTCACCAGTCATTATTGGAGTGTTTCAACGGTAGAAACACAGGGCATAACACTGATCGGAGCCTTCTCCAGCTGGACAAAAGGTTAAACATTGACAGGCGACATGGGAAAATCACTGTGTCGCACGTGCGTGCATGTACTGCATGCAATGAGTGCAGCGTACGTACCGCACCGTACCGTCTGCTAGCACGTGGCCGGTCGGGAACGGCCCCGAACGGGTAGCCTTGTGAACGATCCAGTGGATAAAATCATTATGTTGTGCGATTTTCGGAGGTTTCAAATTTAGTTATACAAAATACAATGCCTTAAAAATCGTGATGATTATCTCGAGGATAGCGAAGAGAGCATTAGCGAAACATTTCACTGGCATTTGTTAGAAGAGAAAGACGATAATACCTGATTTTTCCCCACGTATGAATGCAAGTGGAGTAGTGGAGTTGTGTGGTTGAATGGACATGATTGAAGCACCATGAACGGTGCCTTGTCTTTCGGACTTTTCCCTAGACTTTCTCAAGTAAGAAGTGAACTTCTTTATTGATGACTCCGTTACTCTAACCGTAATTCGGGCATTTTATGCAATGAAAACACTGACCATTTTTTTTCATCGTAAAATTTTGTTTGAATAAAAAAAAAAGCAGGAGTAGGTGTCCGGAAATTGGGCATGTAGTGTATTGTACATGCATGTACATGTGTATAATGCAGCGCGGCCCAGATTTCGGACACGTATTTTTCTTCGGCATATTTTCCGATTTTTTTGCCATATGCCAGTTTCATCTCTGACAGATAGTCTTCCTCCTATTACCTCAGTACCCAGGTTATGGCTAGGATAGCACTCATTATGGCTATGGCACCCACTGTGGCATGGTACCCACTGTGGCTATGGCACCCATTATGGCTATAGTATCCACTAAAGCTATGGCACCCATTATAGCTGTGGTACCTATTATGGCTATGGTACCCATTATGGCTATGGCACCCATTTTGGCTATAGTATCCACTAAAGCTATGGCACCCATTAAAGCTGTGGTGCCATTATGGCTATGGCACCCATTATGACTGTGGCACCCATTGTGACTATGGTGCCTACTGTGGCTAAAGAAACACTGTGGCTGTGGCACCCACTTCAGCTATTGTAGAAGGGCTCTAAAATTGTATTTTAGAGCCTACAATTGTAATATGATCACAGACAATGATTGCAAAAATGGCACTTCGGTTTAAAAATCAACAAATACTTGTAGAGGAACAAAAAAAAAATGATGTGAAATTAGTACATGCATTGACAAAGTCCAAGGAAATGTTCCATCAGTATAAAGGTAATCAAATAATAGATAACTGCATGTAACACCTTCATTTTCAAGATGGAAGGCCAGTCAACTGATTTTTTTATTGTTGATCCTTGGGGTTTTTTTTCAGGAGCCCTACACCACCTATTTCTTGAATCTTCAAGAAGGGAAGTTTGACCACGCCTCGAGGAGCTTTGCCGCTGTCTCCATCTCCTGGAAGAACAGTCAGAGAGACACCTCGGATGTCAAGGTAAGAGGACATCCAACCCATCTGAGATCATCCCAAATCCTCCAGGGGCTTTTGGAGGATATTGCAGGATTGAGGAAGTTCTAGCCAAGCTATATGCACAGTTAATTAGACGTGTTGCCCTATAAATGTTTAAGTACAGTACTTAGAATATGCCTTTTGGGCTTTATATCTGCACATTGATGGATATTGGAAGACTCAGGAAAGCTATTAGCAAAAATGCAAAACAGAGTTACATTACTATTAAGGATGTCTGCCTAAATCCACACCCACTTTGGTCATGGTTAGGTCTCTTTGACGTCACTGTTAAACTTTTATTCCCATTTTCCCTCATTTTGTGTCCATCTTGTAGGAGTTGATTCCAGAGTTCTTCTACCTGCCTGAGATGTTCATGAACAGCAACGACTACACCCTTGGCAACATGCCCGATGATGGGGTGGAAGTAAGCGACGTCGTTCTCCCCAAGTGGGCCAAGACGGCTGAAGACTTTGTCAGGATAAACAGACTTGTAAGCCATGATTATCATCACGATGTAAATTCTATTAACATTATTTTCCTTGACTTATCATAGGCAGTGAATGCTTGGTGTTTCTTCTTTTTTCTCAAGAGTTTCTGAGAAATAGTTCTAGGTGGAATTGAACCACACCCTCCTACTTAAGTCGTTGGGTTTTTTTTTCTTTTTTCTAAATTTCTTCAGGCTTTGGAGTCCGAGTTTGTCTCCTGCCAGATCCACCAGTGGATCGATCTGATCTTTGGCTACAAGCAGCGGGGGCCGGAGGCAGTACGAGCCACCAATGTCTTCTACTACCTGACCTATGAGGGCAGTATCAACTTGGAAACCATTGAGGATCCCGTCATGAGAGAGGTATGCTGTCACTAGAGGGCACACTCAGAGTTACTGGACAGTTGAGGATGTACTTTCATTTAGTGGACAGTAGAGGACATACTCTGAATAAGTTGACACTAAACTTGACACTAGAGGGTGCACTCTGATTTATTTTACTGGACACTAGAGGGTGACCTCCAATTTACCTAACATTCTTTTACTGGACACGAGGGCGCACTCTGATGTACTTGACACTACTGGACACTAGGGGGCACACTCCACTTCAACATTAGATGGAATACTTTCATTCATTTGACAGTAGCACTCTAATCGACTTGACACCAGAGGACGCTCTTTCACTTTACCTGTAGACCATTCAAGAGACAGTCAAGAATTTGTTTACTTTCAATTTCAATTTCAGGCAATCGAGAACCAGATTCGTAGCTTCGGCCAGACACCCGCCCAGCTCTTAACGGAGCCCCACCCCCCACGTAGCTCAGCTATGCATTTAGTAAGTATTAATCCTCTTGTCGGCTCACAAAATAGGTAAACTGTTTTAATATCTTATTTTATCGAATGCTATTGCAGTTTTTTTTTTCACTTTAAGGATGACTAACAAAATTTTTGAGCATGCTGTTCAGAAAATTGAAGTTAAACCGACTGTAAGCAACTTTTGTTCACTTTCTTTCCCGACTTTTTTTTTTCCGCACCCACAGAGTCCCATGATGTACTCGGACCAACTCTCCCAAGACGTCTTGATGATCATCAAGTTCCTGTCCAACTCCCCCGTCATTCATGTCTCCGCCCACACCCATCCCAACGTGCCCGTGCCTGCCGTCATCACGGCAGCAGCCAATCAGACGTTTGCTATGAATAAATGGAACAACCAGGTAGCGACAGCAGGTAGGAATGCAGGTGTGTACGCTGTTCTACTCATTTTCTTTGCCCTAAATTTTTTTGCAACGCTTTTGAAAACGCACTCTGTAGCATGTTTTGTTTACACCTTGCACCTTCGGATTTTTAAATTTGATGTTGTGAAATTGAAACACACTGCCACTTGTTAAAACTTGTTGAGTTGCACTGTTGGAAAAGACTGTTGATAATAATTTTGTTTTAAAATTCTTTTGTCGATTTATTTTGAGGCATACAGTGGTTTCTTACAATTTTGGAGTAAACCTTTTTTGATGAAAATTTCATCCTATTATCTTATATTTGTGAATGGGAACATACTTTTTGAACAGATTCAAATTTTTTAAATTAGATTTTTTTTTTATCAGATATTTTTTACTGGATTTTGAAAAAGAGCAAAGAAACTTGTTGATTTGCTTGTGATAACCAAAATATGTTTGTAAATATTCCATTACCAGGGCAACCAGGTTCCCCTGGCTACTCCTTCGAGGCTGGCAAGAATCTTCTCATTGAGCTGGATCCGCTCATCTGTAAGTCTGAATTTTGACGGTATTTCTAAGGGCCCATCTCAATTCTATCCTGGACAAGTTCTGGACAAGTTGTGGGTAGAATCATTCGCTTGGTCCTGAAGAAGCTCTACATTTGTCCTGGACAAATTCCAGTGAAATATTCATAAACAACTGTTTGACACACCATTACTGATAACTTCATTGCAAAAAGATTGTGGGGAAGTTGTTCAGAATCCTGCAACTTACACCCAATACAATGTCCACAGCTTGTCTGGAACTCATCCCAGATATGAGTTGACAGGCCCTTATATCGACAACAGGCAGAACAGACGACAAATGGTAGAAACCATTTACATTTGTATTAATCTCTGTTTATCTGTCTTGATTTTGTTCTACCTGTTAGTGTCAACAACAGGCATGCACAGGCGACAGATCGTAGACACCATGGATTCCAATGTCAAGAGCAAGTCAGCGTGCTACGTAGTCACGGCCGATAACCGCTACCTGATGGCGTGCGGCTTCTGGGATAAAAGCTTCCGAGTCTTTCTAACTGATACATGTAAGTTATTTTGTGTTCAGGAAATTCAGGTCAAAAAATTAAAACTTTGTGCACAAGTACACCATTGGCTTCAGAAATGCAAACCAGTACTATTAGTATTGGGCTCTGAATAGAAATTATGCCTAGACTGGTTTCGCCCCCCTGTTTTTGGAGTCTAGACATAGTGGAGGGATGGGAACCAGACTTTCCTTAATCTGCTGTTGTTATGCTTCTTAGATGGCACACAACTTCCATAGTCTATCAAGTATGTCTACCCATAACTCAAGCATTCAGTTTTAAACTGACATGAAAAATGACTGAACCTTCAAGTAATTTCTTTACTTTGCAGCTGTAAAACTGTTACTCAAAACTCATAAGAGACAGTACCCATGCCAATCGTTATAAGCATTGAAATGCGATTACCAACCCTAAACTGGGGGAAAAAAAGACTTTCATGAAGACCAGAAGAGACCATTTTCATAAACCATGTGAAAAAGTTTTCTAAGAATTTGACTTCTTTCCTACCACCAGGCAAAGTGACCCAGGTAGTGTACGGTCACTGGGACATGGTGACATGCCTGGTGAGATCTGAGTGTCCCGTGGGTGGGGATTGTTACATCGTGTCTGGGTCTCTAACAATTTGACTTCTTTCCTACCACCAGGCAAAGTGACCCAGGTAGTGTACGGTCACTGGGACATGGTGACATGCCTGGTGAGATCTGAGTGTCCAGTGGGTGGGGATTGTTACATCGTGTCTGGGTCTCTAACAATTTGACTTCTTTCCTACCACCAGGCAAAGTGACCCAGGTAGTGTACGGTCACTGGGACATGGTGACATGCCTAGTGAGATCTGAGTGTCCCGTGGGTGGGGATTGTTACATCGTGTCTGGGTCTCTAACAATTTGACTTCTTTCCTACCACCAGGCAAAGTGACCCAGGTAACGTACGGTCACTGGGACATGGTGACATGCCTAGTGAGATCTGAGTGTCCCGTGGGTGGGGATTGCTACATCGTGTCTGGGTCTCTAACAATTTGACTTCTTTCCTACCACCAGGCAAAGTGACCCAGGTTGTGTACGGTCACTGGGACATGGTGACATGCCTAGTGAGATCTGAGTGTCCCGTGGGTGGGGATTGTTACATCGTGTCTGGGTCTCTAACAATTTGACTTCTTTCCTACCACCAGGCAAAGTGACCCAGGTAGTGTACGGTCACTGGGACATGGTGACATGCCTGGTGAGATCTGAGTGTCCCGTGGGTGGGGATTGTTACATCGTGTCTGGGTCTCTAACAATTTGACTTCTATCCTACCACCAGGCAAAGTGACCCAGGTTGTGTACGGTCACTGGGACATGGTGACATGCCTAGTGAGATCTGAGTGTCCCGTGGGTGGGGATTGTTACATCGTGTCTGGGTCTAGAGACGCCACGCTACTGGTCTGGCATTGGAGTGCCAAGGTGCAATGGGTGCTAGGAGAGAACCATGTCTTAGGTGAGGAAACGTTGAAATCTCTTAGTATTCATAATTATTTTTCTGGTAATGAAACCAAGGATTCCTCAAAAGCACCCTAGGCACTGTAGCTCGCAAGCCTGAAGAAACCTGTAGAGAGAAGACAGTGGGAAGAAATGACAGTTTTAGAGGTGGGAGGAAAACCCCAGAAGAATATTCTGGGGAAAACCCGTGGAATCAGGCAGGGACTGAAAACCCAATCCAGATGTGGACTAGGGCGGGAATCGAACCTGGGCCATAGTGGTGGAAGGCAAGTTTTCTTTGAATGATTTCTTCTTTCTTTGGTATGCATTCTTTTAACACGAGTATTGACAAAAATGTGTAGTCTGAGTATCACAGCTTTGAACAAAGTCAGGTGAAAATTGACTAGACGTATGATATTTTACACTTATCACAACATGGTCATTGTCGGTGTGCTCATAAAAATCTTAACCATCCTGACTTCTCAAGTAATTCGATGAGGATGATGTTGTTTCTTGCATCAGGTGAGATGGCGACCCCACGAGCCATCTTGACAGGTCATGACACAGAGGTCGTCTGCGCTGCAGTGTGCACTGAGCTGGGGCTGGTGGTCAGTGGCTCATTAGGTAAGCAACATGGAAACTTTGGTTTTCCTTTTGTCAGAAATGTTGCTAAATGGACATTTTTACTTTGACATTTAGTATATGTTAAGTTTTATAAGAGAGAGTTGTTGTTACAAACTTTTCTTTCTTGAAGAGTATGAACTTAAACTTCCGTTTCTTCCTAGGGGGCGCTTGCCTGATCCACACCGTCGCCGGTGACCTACTACGCTCCCTGGATCCCCCACGGCCCAGTATGTCACCCCGTCTGATGTCCATCGCGTCGGAGGAAGGGGTCATCCTGGTCAACTTTGACAAAGGTCACGTGTGCTCCTTCACCATCAACGGCAAATTCCTGAAGAGCACGGAAGTAACTGGTACAGTCAATGTAAGCAGAAGTCACTCGCTTGAACATTCTCAAGTTTTTCCTTCACTTAAATAAGACTGCTAAAAAAATTAAGATTGGTTCGTATTGTCATGTTACGGCAAGTGTTTGCGCTGTGAAGTTGCAAAAGTTGAATGCATTGGAACTTGCAACAATTTCACCGCAAGTGTTTGTGATGTTGTAAAAGTCGCTTCACTTTTGCATTTGCATGTAGAATGAATAAGATTTTAAGTCTTTTATTATGGATTATATTTACATCAGATGTAATGACATAATGGAAGATAGTGTGTGCGCTAGTTTCATATTGCTTCAATCTTTGGTTCTGTTTTCAATTTTTTTTTCTCCGTTTCCAGGCAATTCGTTTCAAGCACGAGGGTGATTATTTCCTGACAGCGGGTGATAATCGTCAGGTCCAAGTCTGGCGGACCTTTGACCACAATCTGATGTACTCATTCCCTCTATGTGATGCCTCTATCCTAGCACTAGACATGGCTCATGAACAAAGGTAAGGATCTCACCCCCTCCCCCACCCCTCACCCCCTCCCCCACCCCTCTTTGCAAAAAAAAGTGTTCCGCTTGAAATCCTAGCTCGCTTGAATTCACATTTCAAAAAAGAACATTTCTAAATTCAGTGTTTTTATCACAATATTTCTTTGAGATGCATCACAAAGTTAGAAAGAATTCCCCTCTGAACGAGGCCTGTTTCAGGGCAACCTGGCAAAAATATTGCAAAAGTGTATTACTCCTTTCATAAACTCCTTTCATGGCTCACAGTTGTTTGAGTGATTTTTCCTCTGTTTTTGGTTTTAGTCTGTGTAGCTGTTGGGCTGATTTTGTGTATTTCTGTCATTGTGTCTGGCATCCATTATTGTTCTGACAATTGCCCCAGACCTCAACCCTTGCTTGTGTAGTCAATCCCATCTTGCCAAACGTTCTGTGTATTCTTTTCTTCTTGGTAGATTGAAAAACCATCAAGATAGGTAAATATCTACAGTCGAGACTTCTGACATCTCGCCACTAGAAACATAGAATCATTCAAATTCAACCGCATGTTCAATTAACACCAACATTTTCACCATCAGATTGTTTGAAATAATGAACTCATAATAAATCGTTCATTGATACTCAGATGCATGTGTTCCTGGCATGGCATGGCATTGTAACCATGAAGTTTGCATTAACAAAGACAAAAAAGGTTCTGTATGAAAGAAACAAGCTCGATCGGATCTCGGAAGCTGAGGGCCAACGAATTCGTGTTCGTGTATGAGTCACGTGATTGTGCCATGGAATTTCTAGAAGAAGTAGTGTTTTGAGTCAAAATAAAATAAGGTTTTTGACCCAAGTGACCCCATGATGAGCTATGACCCCAGTTTGGTCATGTGACATGTTGGGCTGGGCTACTGATGCTTTCGACAAAGTTTGGTTGAAATCGGTCAAAATATGTAGGAGCAATAGACAATGTCAACGTTTGTTACTAACTAACGGACTAACGGAGAGATGATGATTTGTTCAGCTGCTATCCTGCAGCTAAAAATGGCTAAAACCCTGGGTAAAGTGCAGTTTGATTTAATCAACGTTCCTGAAAAGAAAACTTAAACAGGAAAGGTGTTTGAGCCAACTATTTTTACCAAATTCAAGTAAATACAAATTAAAGTAATGAAAGTAAAAGGCAGGGGCTTATAAATGTAGGATATGGTAAACAGTTGCCGTGACATTGGGAAGTAAATGTTTGTAACGAATTGAAGCAAATAAGAATTAAAATACTGAGATGGAAAGGGCAAGAACCTTAAATAACAATTGTATGGTTAGGCAAACAGTCACCATTTAACCTTTGAACCATCACCAAACACATTTCATGCATTACATAGACATGGCCTCTATATAAACCATGGATGTGCATGGATGAGTGATTTTAATCGCATGGTTTACTAAGCAACTTTAACGAGTTCATGTCGGGTGACGTGTATAAATGCAAAGGTTTTGAGGTATTCGGAACGGATGGCGGATAAACACGCAACGAGCGAGGCCGGAAATATCCGTCCGCGACCCGCTCGCAGCGAGCGAGGCCGGAAATATCAGAGTGGGCTACCCGAAGATGACGGCCTGAACCCGTCTGGCATCGAGGCTCATAGAAAACAATCCCGCACCTAGATCCGGTCGATGTCAAAATAATCCCGGCGCGAACTGGTTAAGTAGAGAAAATACATCTAGGGTCTGTAAACATTGCCTTAGAAACAATAACCAGCCCCTACTTGTCAATCAAACAGTACACATTGACCAATCACATCTTGACCTTTGGTCAGTTGACCACAGCAGCTCAGTCAATCTCGGTCGCAATCACTATGAGGAAAAGCGAAGGTGGGCGGGGCTCATTGCCATATCTGGAACGTCCCATTTAAAGTTCCCTAAATGCTAGTTCAGCATTATGCATTTCAATGTATATTTGAAACTCATGACTTACATGCACTGACTCCATTCAAACCTTTCAACCATCACCAAATAAGCTTTGTGAATTTCTGAGACACAACATCCATTTTTGATCATACATTGATGACTTAAAAGTACAATTCTGTCATTATGTCCTCATGCATACACATGTATCCACATTCAATGAGACCTGGACCAGAAAAGCGCCAGCCCTCCAACCCACTTCTCATTCCTCATAAAACATCTCAGACTATTATTAAACTCGCTGGCTCGACACAGCTAACGACATATGTAGCCCTTTAGCCCTTGTACTGCCCCAAACTGCTCTGCCTGTTACTCCTCATATCGCCCCAAACAGCCCCAGCACTCTATGGTTTCATGGATTTATGGAGGAATAAATACAATGTATTACAAGAGCTGAAGAGCTGAAGGGTTAAGAGTCTTCCCTTACTGCTACACCAGACCTGATTCAGTACATCAAACATTAAATCAGAGTACAGTTTGTCTAAAAGTATTTAGCTTCCTCGATGAATGCATGCTTCCTCTACGCATGCATCTTGCTTCTTGCTGCATACTGTTTGCATTTTTTTTTCAATATGTAATTGGAAACTTAAATCCATCTCAGTAGACCCTGTAGTCCCTTGAGGCATGTCCTTCTAAATTTGCTACAGTTTATGAACTCTTCTCAGTGTCAGTGTTTTTTTACTACTTTACTGACATTTTAAGAAGTCATGAAAAATCCAATGGAAAGGACCCGATTTATTAGTCTCCAATTGTATACCAAAATGGAACCAACTTTGGCACCAGAGTTTTGTCATTTTTTTTTTTTTTACGATTTGTAATTTTTTTCGAATTTTATTTCCAGGACAATCATTGCAGGCATGGCAACGGGCAGCATCGTTGCATTCAACGTCAACTTCAGCAAGTGGCATCATGAGTTCAGGGATACCTACTAGACGATGGATGGCCGTGCCATGGGCAACCGTCACAGCGCCCTCTAGAGGACAGTCTCTGAGCTTCCACCACGAGGGGGTCAGCGAGCCACTATGCAAAAAAAAAACCTTTAAAAATACAGTTTTTGGAAATCTTCAGTGGTACACGTGAAAGCATAGGGTCAGTTATTAAAAAGACGGTCATTTTACAATTTCCGGCATTGTAAAAGTGTTTTAAGGGGCAAAAGGTTAGCTTAAAGGGATTACAGTCAGAGAAACGTTACTCGTTCAAAAAGTTGAACAAAGAAATTGACTGGAGCAGGGTTTGAACCTGCGACCTCCGGATTGCCGTTCCGTTGCTCTACCAACTGGGCTATCCAGCCCTATGCTTTGTCAATATCTTTGTTCAAGGGCCGCTTTGTTTCAAATTTGATAACAAGAAAAATGGATGTTGTAATGTTGAGTAACATGTATAAGAAACTGATTCAGTGTGAAGAGATACGTGTATATTGCTGGTGTGAACATGAAATGTGAAAATTATGTAATAAAAGAAAAGATTGTCGTAAGAAAGTATTGACTTACATTTTCAAGCAGGGAACATTTTTTTTAAGTAGGAGGGGTTGTGCAGCAATTTAGCCGAGATTTAATTCTCAATTTGGGTATTTTGGCTGGGTAACTATAAAATAAGCAAGTAAAGTGGTCTAAATCTGCTTAGTCTGGGTTGTAAGCAGTTATCAGCTGTACTTCCTGGAGCTGGTAAGTGGAAATTATTGGGTAAGTAAAAATTGAAACTGCTTAACACGATTCAGCTGAAAACCAGTTGAAGCCCTAGCTGAAAATTCCAGTTTGAACCAGTTCAACTGGAAACTGGTGTCTGCTTTTGAACTAGTTTAACTGCTTAGAAACCAGTTATATCAGTCTAAAACCAGTTCTAAACCAGTCACCAGTTGAAGCCATAGCTGAAAATTCCAGTTTGAACCAGTTCAACTTGAAACTGGTATCTGCTTTTGAACTAGTTTAACTGCTTAAAAACCAGTTAACACCAGTCTAAAACCATTTCAAAACCAGTCGCCAATTTATAGTCCAGCTGGTACCAGTTGAAACCAGTGGAACTGGCTTCAGCTGGAATTTTAACCTGGGGCAGCATATAGCAAGTTCACATGAGGATCATTAATCAACTAGCGGTTGATTTGTGACCCAACTTGCGCGTTCGCTGTAATAGCAACTGGCTCCCCGTTGTGCTTTATGATGCACGTAGCTTTTGGTAACCGGTTCCAGATAGTGGAATTTAGTAGTCCAATCATCCTTCGTTCGAGCCAAATTAGTTGAACTATGGTTAACTATAATTCGCGCCCGAACTTGCTGATACGTATCTGGGCATTTTCAGTTGATAACCAGATTTTACCATTGAAAGTTCTTTAGGATGGTAACAAATGTGTGTACTTACCACATCCAAGAAATACATCTTTGGCTTTGACTGTTGGGTTTGTCATTCCGACATGTGTGACTGTACAAAAATGTGTTAAGCACAAACAAAATATTGTCAAGATTTTCCTTTCTTGTATACATATAATTAATGTATGTACCACTGCGTGTGTTCTAGAGATAGACCTCAAAGATATTATGGAAATCGGTAGAGATTATGCAAAATGAAGGGTGAGATATTATCGTGCAAATATAATAAATTTGGAGGAAATATAGACAAATTTGACAGTGGTTGAAGGTGATTTTGTACATAGCACAATCAAATCCTGATTATGCACATGTTAATTGGCAGTATATGGTGAAGTTTGTTGAGAGAAAATGCTGATTTTTTTTCAGTAAAATGAAAACCAAACTTAACATGTTTACCAGTGATTCTGAACGTAGATGGTTTTTATACAATTTCCAAAAAGAAAAACAATACAATACACATTCCGTTCCGGTTGAGCAAATTTTGTTTAAATGTTGAATTTTTGGTTGTCCAAATAATGTCCAAAACACACCCAAAATACCGAGAGTTAGAACTGTATTTTATGGAAATACTAAATGCACTCTAAATGCACATACGTGTAATTCAGCATCTACACTTGTTTCAGTTATTTTATTGTTCAAGTTGTAAAGTTTAAAAATAAAAGGAATAAAAATGCAAAAATTGTTATAAAAATATTAAAAATAACACAGATATTGTCAATGTAGATCTGGTCACTTCTATACACATGGAAAACCATGATAGCGTAACAGCGTAATTTTCTCGGGTAAAACTGAGCTCGGTAGCTTTTAGAAAGTAGCAAGTAGCTTTTGATAAGTAGTCCACCCGTGAAGGTAAGATTTGTTACTAAAGTGAAGTTTGCTAAATGATCTGACAATAGATCCTTAATTGAAACATTAGAACATTCCAGTTTTTACAGAGAGACACTGATAGAGATCTGCCAAACTTAGAAAATTTGCTGTAATTGCAAAACAAAAAGTGTCACTTTCTTTTTGGCTTTCTTATTTGGCCCAAATTCCACTTTTTTATATTTCAAAGAATATGTCATAATTTACACAGCACTGAACTATTTTGTCTTGCAGCGCCTATGCAGTTCCTGAGAAAAATTTCGAATTTTTTTTCCGACAAGTTTGTACAGAATATCTTTATTTTGAGCACTTGCATGGGATTTATATAGAGACAAATTATGTAACGACGCATATCACGTATTAAACAATCAATATGGTAACATGCTTGGATGTATAGTGTATACAGTGTAAAGTAACAACTTGCCAAAAAAATCCTGGAAAATTGACAATACCAATAGAATTTGTGGTGTTGAGAGAATTCAAGTGAGTTAGAACAGTTAAAGTATTGGAATTCAGTTGCTACTTAGATGTTGAAATAGCTTTTTGTTGCCTTTAGTTCAATAGTTTTGTTTTTTGATTTGGTGAAAATTCTTTTGATTTTGCAGGGTATATTGAGTAAAATTAAGGATGTTTTAAATTAGCAATCTTAAAGTGAATTATTTATATGCACCTCGTTCATTGATTATGTCCAATTAGTCTCTGTTTGTCTGACATCCGTCTCTGAAATTGTCACCTAATTTCGAGTCATTAATTACTTTGCAGAAGACATATTGGTCTAGCACCCAAAGTCATAACACAGGTAGTTATCAGGTGAGTTGCCAACTACCTGGCACCAGCCTGACAATGCAGTTTCACATTGCTCATAATATGTGTTTAAAAACTTCACATCTGCAGTGCTGTTTATTTAGTGACGATCTGATTTATCCTCTCGCAACATTGTTTTCTTTTTAACTTCTGCTTTAATTATCCTCCGCAAATTTATAAATGGGCTTATAATTTGTATATTTTGGTTTAAGTATAATGTTTCTATTGCTCTTATTCATTTATTACCACACTATAGTGGATCAGAATAAGTTATTAATTATATGAGAAGCTCCCTAAATTACAGGAAGACAGTTGTCAGCAATTGATACAACAAACCTGCAATGCTCTTGCACATTTTTTTTTGTGGGGGGGGATACGTTTTTGTGATGAATGGTGATTTTTACTAAATAGCTAAATGAGAATTAAGATTTGTCTCACTCAAACAACACAAGGTAAGAACAATCTAGTTATTGGCTCAAAGAACATAATACTCTTGAGTAATTTCGGGTTTTTATTTCGACCAAAAACATTTTGAAGAAGATTCCAGCATTAATTCACCAAGTTCTGAGAACCATGCCATGCATTCAGAACGTTTTAAAGAGTATGATATTTTATCACTGACTCAAATAGATAAAAGGGCGGATAATTTGAAAATTGATCGCTGTTATTGAAATTGATAAAATGACATATTACCCAATAATTTGTGGGTCAGTTTCATTCTGGAAGAACTGATCAGGTTTGCATTGAAGGATTTTTGTTAGGCTTAAAGCTGCCTTAATTGGTTTCCTTTGAAAGGTATGTGTCATATTTTGGCAATATTTGTATAAATAGTTTCTACAAGCCCACAACACTGCATTTTTTTCCCAACTTAAATGTTAATGACATATTTCACCAATTTATATGAGATATGGAGAGACATAGTGCAGTGTTTCTTGAGTATTAGTAAGTAGTGGTAAATTTTGTTATTTTGGAGACCGAAAATAATACCCAGAAATTTTAGCTAAAATTAAACAATACCTGGATATTAGAAATAGGATATTCAAGGAAAAACCAACAGCATCAGGTTTGTCAAGATTAATTTTCATGACGTTGTATTAATATTTAAATTGTTGATAACATCAAACTGAACCAGTTGAAAATCTTGACAAAGATTGGGAATCCAAAATAGTTTGGGAATAAAATGGTTTATGGAGTCGGCACTTTGTTATATTTTTCACCCGTGTTAAGCTGCTGTAATATTGTATTCATGGCCCTGAACTGGGCAAGAATTGTAAACCAGGTTATGATTAAATATTAAACTGTTTAACTGGGCGGTTATGATAAACCGCTGCGTATCATGAAGATAAAAAAGCTTCCATTGTCTGATTATTTTGAGTGATATATTTACCTTTGTCCCCGCATAATTGAGCAAGCCTGTCATTTCAATAATAAGATATTTCAAATAATATTCTACCTTATTAGAAAATGTGACTTATTTGAGAAAACAAAACAAAACGATTTATGTATTTTTGGAGAGGAGGGGAATGAAATGTCAATTCTTTGAAGATAAACCCGACATGTTTTATAAAGGAATAAAGTCAGTAACCTCATACAATAATATTGTTATGAAATAATGAAATCCATTCCCCACCCCAAGAACCAAAAAAAATGAAATTTATTTTATGAAGAAGCCCCCACCTTTCATTCGTTTTAAGCAGTTATTCAGTAAAATATACTCAAGAGAAAAACAAGCAAAACCTCCAGCATGATAATAATCTGAATACTCCCGGATCCCCCAGTTTAAAAACCCTAATTTTAGATGTAAATAAATCTATTAATGAAATTGGAAGTCATTGAATTCTGTTTTTTAACGTTAGGGAGGGACCACCACCGCAACAAAACAATATTTAAGAAAATCTTTCAGCAAAACTACTTATCTTTCCACCAAAATTAGGTTCAGAAATGCATATTTATGAGTAGGGGGTAAAACTAAAACGCCTATTCCGTAGGTTTTCTGACAAGTTACATACATCTTCAACAGTATCCAGTCAATTAAAAGTAAAGCGCCACCCACAGATCACTTTCGTCCAGTTAAAAAAAACACTGCTACAAAAATCCCGTTTGAACCCCTAAAATGCCGCCTTTTGTACCCCGAACTATTACATACACCCTGCCTAATACACGCCGCCAATGTGAACCGCGTTTATGACTGTATTTTCACCGTAACGTACTCCATAACGACGTGTACAATGCGCATGTCCATAGGAAACGCCAAAACGGCCGATTTTCTACCCTACCACACGCCATATGGTTGTGCACAATGCGCATGTCCATGGGATACGCCGTATTGGCCGATTTTCTAGCTCCACACGCTGCATAAAACGTGCACACTGCGCATGATCGGAGGAACCGCCGTTATGGCCGATTTTCTAGCGCCATGCACTGTAAATAGGCGTGCACACTGCGCATGATCGGTGGAAACGCCGTTATGCCCGATTTTCTAGCTCGCTATTGCCAATACACGTGTGTACAATCGGCCGTGTACAAAAACAGCCATATACGCGGTTCAAATGGGATTTTCGCTACGGTCCAAAAAGCTGGTCTACGGTTTTTACGTTAGGTTTACGCTTAAGAACAGGGAACCAGTTACAGCCTGTGTTTTTGGTGCTTGGAAGGATTTTAGAGCAAAGTCACTCACGAAAAGGGAGGATATAGTGGTTTTTAGTCATTCGAGTAAATTGTCATGAAACGAATAGTACGAGAGCTATTTTATGGTTTCAGGATTTAGCATAGTATTTTATTTGAATAAATTCTGCGAATTCTTATTTCAATGAATTTATATGAAAAAGTGGCTGAGGATTTAGTTTGGCTACAAATGTCGACAACATTTGGTAAACTTCCCTATTTTGTTTTAAATATTCGTCAACACAAACGGTCCTCAGTCTTATTAACCTTCCTAATTAATTGATACCAGCCTTTTTAATAAAATTCATGGGAGCTATGGTATGGTCTGATATGCTCATTCTTTTACCTTGCCATTAAAAAAAAAAATTTAGATTACAGACCTGCAGCAGCGTCAATAAGTTAGAGGGGGGGCGCAGTGGTTTTGTATTGCTATTATAAAGGCGTGTGTAAACCTTTTGTTTCATTTGTTAATAGATTAAAACAAACAAAAACAGCCTGTGAGACAAACGCAATGCATAAGGTCTATTTTTTTCTGCTCCATTATTTGCTAAATGAAATATATTGCTATGTAATGACTTATACTAGGAAAAAAATCATGAATGTATGCATGATTTACTCCCTCCCTGTTTTAATTCTTGTTTTACCTTAACGTTCATGTACATAATACTCGAAGTAGCGCTAGGGAAAATTCGTTCGTCCAATTTAACAGAACGTCAATGTCTAAAAATAGTGTTGTTTATACTCTATACATGTTTATACATATTGTGGAGAATGGCATCATTAAAGAATTGACAAAAGAAAGTTACAGAATTTACAAAGTTATCAAAAAGATAAATATCGTTATGACAAATACACATGTATTATTTTTCTTGTTACATATAGTTTTTTGCGATTGCTATTGATCCTTTTTAATTATTCACGGTATGTTATCTACTTCACTAATCTGTGGATTAAATTTGAAAAAAATATATAAGCTTGAAAAACTAAACTTTAAAAGTGAATCATTTCTATTCAGAAACGCTTTTAACTCGCCCCTAGAGGTACAGAATGACGATAAACGCGCGTACCTCTAGGGGCGACCAAGAAACGCGCGTACCTCTAGAGGCGACCATAAATAAGATAAGATCGCCCCTAGAGGTACAGAATGGAGATAGAAACGCGCGTACCTCTGTGGGCGACCAAGAAACGCGCGAACCTCTAGAGGCGACCGTTATTGATCGCCCCTAGAGGTATCTGTGGTCCTCTAGAGGCGACCATAAATACGATAAGATCGCCCCTAGAGGTACAGAATGGCGATAGAAACGCGCATACCTCTGGGGGGCGACCGTTGTTGATCGCCCGTAGAGGTATCTGTGGTCATTATGTACCTCTAGGGGCGATCAATAACGGTCGCCCGTAGAGGTATAGATGACGATATAAACGCGCGTACCTCTAGGGGTGACCATAATTGCATACAATTATAGATTTTTTTTTTTAAATTGGTGATTTATAAGTTGGCGCATGTCAACTCGCTCGTCTTACCAGAAAAATGTAAGGTTTTTTTCTCCATTATTTTGTAGCACTTGTGTTCTTCCTGGTACCTCATCCACTAACAACTCGTTTAATTAACCTTTAAATAACTTTTTTTCGGTGCTTGATTTTAGTTTTCAAAGTGCCAATAATTTAGACGTTTCCCAAAAGAAATTGCTGGATAGTGTTCCAATGGCATGATCCAGCAGCAAATTTGGTGGAATTTAAGAGCAAATTCCGTTTTCTTAAATACTTTTTTTTTTAAACAGCAAGGGCTCCTAATTATTGAACTTCGGGGACAACAAATTATGTTTAAAATAACAAACAGATGTGTCAATAAATTGCTTTTGGATTTGGAAATTGTCAAATAGAAAAAAAAAAAACTTTAGTCAACTTAAATATAAACATTAACAAAATAGGAATAGCATATCAGGGTGATTCTACAAAAAAAAAAGACAAATAAAACACAAACAACATAATTTCTGTGGTGACTGGTCTGTTTAATTGTAAAACATTGCTGTCAATATTCGCCTCTTTATATTTGTACAATCTCCACCTAACTGATATTCAATTTTGATACAAAATGATCAAGCAATAGGCTTCTCAAAAAAACTGTAGGAGATGTAGATAAGATGTAAAATTAACATTGCAGAAAACAATTATCATTTGGACAACTAAACGAAATGGAATCTTCTGCAAAATGCAGGAACAAATGGAAAAAATGGAAGTAACAAAAACCTCCCTTATACTAACTCCCTTTGTTTTACTACCGGTATTTAAGTAGAAGACCAAGTCCATCAAAATCCATCACTCACTCTGATTCACATAGTGCTTCAGGACCAAATCCATTGAAATCCACCACTGGTGGTGATGGATTTTGATGGACTTGGTACACATTGCTTACAATACGTCCACACTGGACCAAATCCGTCAGATTCCACCAGCACTGCTTCAGCCCTCCCGGCCCAAGTCCATCATACTCCATCAACATTTTGTCAAACTAGCTGCAGTCTGTAAGACCATGTCCATCAAAATTCCCCAATATGGGTTGTTTTTTTTATGGAATTAGTAGGGTTAGGATTAAGAAAACTTTCATTTGTGACACCCCCCCCCCCTAAAAAAATGCTAAACTACCATTATGTTCAGTGTATCATTATCTAATCGCTACTAGAGAACAAGAGATTAAAAAATGGTGATTTATTTTTTCTTCTTTCTTGATTATCATGCGACAATTATTAACATGTTGAAGACAATAACAACCAATTATTTTGTTTAATATTTACAACAAAATACTTCAGTTGGATAACCCGCAACAACAATTATTGAATGAAATGCTGACAACCTAGCATTAAAATGAAAGGCTGAAGCAATTAATTCTCACAGATAAAACAAAAACAAAAACCAAAAAAAGTACTAAACGAAATATTATTTGTATATGAAACAATCATGATTATATTTGAATCAGCGGTAGGATACGATTAAAATTGCTGTTAGTTTATTCAGAGATTATTTAAGAAACAGTTTAAAGAATGTTGATGAGTGATTTTTGAAGAAAAAAAAAATATGATATTACTGGAACACCTCCAATAACATTAGTGGAATAAATTTGAACAATTTTTTTTTATTTGATATTTTTACGCATCATGCACATACTTTCTCTCGACTTTTCATTTTGTAAGCAATTCTGCATGACATACAAAAAAATTACAGCCTTTAACACTTTCCATCAACTGTGTGACAAAATTAAAAAAAAAAAAATTAAATAAGCATTCAATACACTATAATCTTAAGCGCGTAATGTTTAACCCCCTAATTTTTATATATTCACCTTCAACTTTAATCCAATTTTCAATATCATTCCAAGTAAATCAAGCTCTGAAGTCGATTTAACTCCTAGAAGTGTGCCAGTTTGTAGGCAAATACAAAACACAAAACCCAAAACACACCACTTTGCATAATTTAAAAGAATACAGGATTTTCTCATACAATGCACTGCATAAAAACTGAAAATCTTTATACCAGACACAATGCTGGTTTTGGATTTTTTTTAGGGTTTTTGTTTTAAAGATGACCTTTTTGAAGGTTCAAGTTTCTTTAAAGAAGCAGTTGATTTTGAAGCTTTGTCAACATTTTCAGCCAAATGTTGAAACATTTTGAAAAAAAATTAAGAAGAGGGACAATTATAGGAGCACAGCAACATTGAGCATCCCAACCATGCAAAACTTGTTTTTAGATTTAAATGCCTTTATTTCAAGATGTTTTCAGACCCCAAAAAGCTGAACTCGTATTACATTTGTGCATAAACACGCCATGTGTTACAAAACACTGCTTGGGATATGGCGGGTACGAGTAGGCACACTTCAAAGGAGTAGCAGACTGCTATCAGAACATTACACAAAGCAAATTCCGTTTCAAGTCCAACGTAATCACATTCTTACCACAACCACAAAATAGAGTTTGTGTTTGATAACTACTTAGTCTACGTCCCCCTCTGGTGGAGGTTGAGGGGGCTCAGGACCGTCCTTCCCCGCGCTGAAACTAGACTGCATCTTGGCGATGAGGTTGGCTATCTTGGGGTTACTCTGATAATTCTTGATGTTCTCTGGGTGTTGACTGACGTCGCTGAATGCCGCCATGACTTCAGGATCCTACAGAAGGGAAGGGATGCACAACCAAATTGAGGTACTATACCAACACAAACAGTACTTCAAAACTATGTGAAAATCACGAATCATAGTTGTGCATGGCTATCGCTTCAAATTAGAAAATGTGCGTGTACAATGTGTTAACAAAAATTGTGTGATGAGCAAAAGTATTAATACAAAATGCAAGAAAAACTATTTGCTGAGATTGTCGAATTTGACCTCCATAAAACTGCCTTTACTTTAACCCTTAAATCCTCGACGTTTCCAAGAAGTAACTACATGGATCTATTTTGATTTAAGACAAAAAATAAAATAACAGTTGAACAATGAAATTGACTGAAACGCGGTTTGTACCTGTGACCTTCGGATTGCCGTTCCGGTGCTGTTCCGTCCCGGAGGTCGCAGGTTCAAACCCCACTCCAGTTAATTTCTTTGTTCAACTTTAATATTATTATAATGCACCTAGTCAGTCTATCTTTGTGGTTCATTTGAAAAACTGATTTCAAAAATGCAAATTACCAACATCGAATATTATTTCACGGTACAAAATTGAGAAAGCAGACCCCAATGCACTTAAATCCATCAAAATTATACACGTATTCAAGCACACTAAGGGAAACCACCTAGTTGCATCACAATAATTGTTGATGTTGGAAAAAGAAATTGAGTGGAGCGGGGTTTGAACCTGTGACCTCCGGATTACCGGTTCTGGCGCTCAACCAACTTGTGACCAGCGCACCTTGAACTAAATGGTGAACTGCCAACACAGAGCTGGATAGCTCAGTTGGTAGAGCACCGGCGCGGCAATCCGAAGGTCGCAGGTTCAAACCCCACTCCAGTCCATTTGAAATGCCGGATTTCAGTGAAATTTGAAAACCTACCTGGAAAGCAGCCATAATCTCCGGGTCCTGCATGAATCCCTGCAGGTCATTCAGGTTGATACCGCCCGGCATTCCAGCGGCACCGCCACCGCCCATTCCCTCTCCCATTCCTCCTCCCATTCCACCAGCTCCTCCGGGAAAACCGCCCGGCATCCCTCCTGGAAAACCACCCGGCATCGCTCCTGGAAAACCGCCCGGCATCCCTCCGGGAAAACCGCCCGGAAAACCACCTGGCATTCCAGTGGGACCCCTGTTCTTTCGACGCTCTTCCTCTTCCTAGAAAAAAAAACCAGGCGATTTCATCATTTCGAAATGAAATCGCAAATTGGGTTCAAGTTGAAACTTTCTATTATTACAGGGTTAAGAGCAACTGGGATTTAAACTCTAACGGCAAGCTAAGCTATTTCTTCTATTTTTTGATGATTCCAGCATTGCAAAATGAATTGATCACTTTCCTAGTTTGCAGTCATTTTACACAAAAGATTAGGAAGTTCATAAATTTAATTCCAATAAAACTAATTTTGATGGGCCCCACTCTTTTGAAATTTGTTAACTGTAGAATCCTTGAGTTTACAGCAAGGTACGGAGCCGTACCTTTCTAGCTTTTTCCTGAGCTTCCTTGGCCTTCTTGACTCGCTCCCGCCTCTCATTGAGGTCTTTCTCTTCTCGCTTTCGCTCATACTTCCGTTTGTGTTCCGCAATTAGTTTGGCCTGAAAAGAGAAAAGGACAAACAGGTTTTTTAAGTGAAAAAAGTACACAAAATAATGAATAGAATAACAGAAAGAAACCAATGAAATAAACACAAATGATGCCAATGCATCATCACCCTGCCATCCTGCAAATGAAGGGAAAATTATGAGCTGATCCCTGATTCGACTCAAGTGTTCTTTTTCTACCGACTTAGGGGGGCTCTTTTCAACATGGCTACATACAGCGAAGACAGGTGCTTTTGTTTGGCTCAGGTTGAATGGCCAAAGAGAAGGCAAAAACGCCTGAGTTGTGGCTCCCTTTTCCATCCAACATTAGCACTACTCATCTGGGTTGGAACCCTTGCCTTGCTGACTTCATCTGTGCATTGTAAAGGTGAGGACACCCTATTTCTTCTGGGCATACTGTTTTGTTATTCCGTGTGGTTCCGTTAGTAATGCCCCAAGCTATGTTTCAATTATTCAGCACACAGTGCATGTACATGTGTGAACATGTACATGTACATGTATAGGGTACTTTAGTGTGTTAGGTGATTAACAAGCAACAAGCATTGTTGAATAAATTTGTACATCATTGCCTCCCAATTAGTAATTTTGAGAGCAGGATTTTTTCATTATGTGCCCGTGTATATGTTCAATGAAACTTCTGCCCAGCACTTGTTGAAGAAATGTTTGTCAAATTTTTTTTTTTTTTTTTAATTTAGCAATTTCAGAGAAATAAGTTAAGAGAATTTTATTTTAAAAAGGAAACACAAAGAAATTATCCCTGGCAACATCGTCTCAAATCCTTCCATTTTTCTCTTTCAGATGCCGCTCAACAGAAAGCCACGCCCGGCAAACCATCTCAAACTCAGGCACACAAACAACCCTCAACGCCTCCAGACAAACAAGGTGCAGCATCGCCCACCGATGCACCGAGCAGGAACCGAGATCACATCTTTGATCTTCTGAATCTTGACCGGGAGGGGCTGCTTCTGGATGCGGGCTTTGTCAAGGAGAGCATTGAGAAGATGAAGAAGATATACCACCAGTCTATTGAGCCGATGGCCGAGGCTTACAAGTTTGAGACCATGGGACACCCTTCCCTATCAGGTAAGATCAAACTGGAAAAACCTGGACCAGTTCCTGTTTCAATTCATGACCATCCTTGTTTGAAACTATGACTTAGGAGACTCAGCAAAGTTGAGACTTTGTCTGATTTACTTAGAAATTGCCGTAGTGTCTATGGGACGTAGATTCTGCAACTGCCAGTTGGCGCACTTGGTTTTTTTCCCGCTGTTGCCAACGACTGTATGTCATTTACTGTACTAGGATTTGGACACTTGGATTTGTTAAAAAAAAAAATCACATACAATGACCCAAAAATTGAGGTTTTGTGCATGTATTTTTTGGCAAGTTTTTTGGAAGTAAACCTAGTCAAAAGGAATCACAGAGGATTACATCTCTGAAGGTAAGGTTCCATGAAGCAAGTTGCAGGCTCAGGGTGAGTTTTTTTTTTTCAACCTGCAATGCCCGCATCTGGGTTTTAAAAGAGGCTTGTTTTTAGACGCCTTCCGGGAAAACAAATTTTAGTTTTTAATTCTGCATCCACAATTTCTTCATTGTATCAGATGGTGAGCTTGATGCCAAGCCCCTGGTGTTGTTTCTTGGGCCTTGGAGTGCAGGCAAATCATCGATGATAAACTATCTCGTTGGGTTGGAGAAGGAACAGAAACTACCAACAGGTAAAACATCAACAAACTGTCCACTTGATGAATCTGCTAAAATAATTTGAATCCCACATGCAGCAGAACTGCCTTCTCATAATTTTGAATTTGCAGAGTTATCAATCATTGGTAGTCAGCAAAAAATCCTTCAAAAGGGTTCTAAAATACAGGAAAACTGGTGTATGTCTGTTAAGTAACTTAAATCACAGAGTGGGCCTTTATTTGGCAAATGTGTGCGCTCGACAGCTCTACGAAGAGAGAGTAACTTAGCATAATCAACAGTATTAAGTATTAATGAAGGTATGATAATTGTATTGTTTCAGGGGCAGAGCCAGTGACGGCAGATTTCACGGTTATAATGCATGGCAGTCAGTACCGCTCAGTGGAAGGCCTCGTCCTAGCCACAGACGGGAAGAGGTCATTCGGCAGTCTCGAGAGGTTCGGCAACGGATTCCTCGAGAGGTTTTACGGGCTGGAGTACCCGCACAAGATGCTGCAGAAGGTGACATTAGTGGACACGCCCGGAATCATCGAGAATCGTAAGCAGCAGGAACGTGGATACCCATTCAATGAAGTCTGTGAATGGTTCATGGATCGCGCTGATCTTATCTTCGTCGTGTTCGACCCGACAAAACTAGATGTTGGGACGGAGCTGGAATCAACGTTCAAACGCTTGAAGGGACGCGAGTCCCAGATCAGAATCATACTCAATAAAGCGGACTCCATTGCACCGCATGAGCTGATGCGCGTGTATGGCGCCCTCTTCTGGAATCTTGCCCCTCTGATCAATGTGACTGAGCCGCCGCGTGTCTACGTGGGCTCATTTTGGGAGAAACAGTTTCAGTTGGAGACATACAAGGAACTCTTCTTGTCTGAGGAGAAATCTCTCTTGATAGACTTGAACAACGTGATTGAGAACCAGTTGCACAACAAGATCGCAACAATCCGTCGCCGGGCCAAAGAAATCCGTACCCACGCTCTAATAGTCAACGAATACCTGAAGAAATTCCACCGCAATAAGCCCATGGCTCTTATAGGGAATGCCGAGGACACGATGCGTGATATCGTCCAAAACCCCGGCAAGTACAACATCTTTAAGACCGTCTTAGCACAAGCAAATGTAAGTAAATACGATCTCCCCGATCCAGAGGAATTCAAGACATTTTTCGCTATCAGTCCCATCGACTCTTTTCGACCGCTGGAAAACCATTGCAGTTTTTTCTCGGGTTGTTTACTGGATCGGATTGAGCAGGCCATCTCCACAGATCTGCCCAAGCTTCTTGAAGCGATACAGAAGGAATCAGGACTGACTGGTGAGTGTAGCACTGAGGGAGGGTGTATGCAAACCAAGAAAAACATGTACAATAAACCATGATGATACCAAAAGAAGTGCAACTACATATGTGTACACGGGGACAACTGTAATGTGTACACAGTCCCGATACATGATGTCATGCTTTGATTATATGTGTGCTTAACTATGGCCAATGTGCACAAACAAGATTGGGCACTTTCGAGAGCTCAATGGACAGGACACACTGCGTGCACTTACTGGTTCATGCACGAATAGCGCCAAGTACGCATGACTAATTTTATTCCGAATGCGCACAAAGCCATAGCGTCTTTGCGTGAGCATGTGGTGCTGACGACAATGCATTTGTCTCCATTGGTCTCCCCCAACCCTCCCTTTCTTACCGTCGTTGACAGGGTACTTGTGCACGGAGCCCATGAGAGCCAGGTGGGGACGAACGCCACCATGCACCCATAAGAAAGCGCATATGTAAGTAAAGCATGACATCATTACGCCGAAATTCACTCAAGTTAAATATAATTACATGAATTCCTGCGTCCAACCATACATTTTTCGTTATCAGCAGCAACTAAAACAGTTACTGAAACTATCGCTAAAACCAACATAAGTTCTGTGGCAGCCTTGGGCAATACATGTGTGTTTGAATAAATAATGAAATGAAAATAAATGCTGAACAGTCAGGCTACTTTATCAAAGATTTGCTTTTGCTGACAAGAAACTTTTAAGTGGAGGATTGTTAAGAATCAAGTTTTTAGCAGCTTTATCCTGTCACTGCAGTGCAATTATGAGTGTGAAGTTAGATGTTTGGATGTGCAATGAAATTATGAAACTCAAGATAAAAAGATTGTACAAATTGTGTGTGATTCAAATTCCTGTGAAACAGGGTGAATGTAGGATAATGATAAAATAATTGTTTTCAAATTTAATGTGCTAAATATGGAATTGTGTCTAGTAACCGGATTATGCAGTAAGTGTAAAAATTATGTCTGTCGTATAATATTCAGTCACTTTCTTTAATTATGAAATGTACACATACAGGCAAGCCAGAGATTTCCGCACATAAATTAATTATAAAATACACAGTATTGAAAGACAGCATGTCCAGAGCAGATCTGCAAAAATAAGGTCATGGTTTGGGTTGTACATGTAAGGTGTTTTCAAAACACTGAATGTTTGAACAACTCCAGAAAATCAATGTTGATGTAAAAAAGAATTGTTGTAGAGTTGAGAAATAAAGACAAAGCAGAAGTTGTGAGCACAGTGCCTGTTCCTGCAGTGCTACCAAAACATTGCAAATTTGTTGATGAATCGACAGAATTTAACATTTATTTCTGAAAAGTGACTCGTGAGTACTAGCCTTGTTGTTATGCAGCTGTTACAAGTGATAGGCTTAGCACTTTACTGTTGTTAAATTTGATTGTGTGAAACAATATGCATCGGCTTGTTTTAAGACTTTTTAACAGAGTGTAATTATAATGGATGCCAATGTGTCTTGCTGTAATATCAATGGAAGAGTCAATTGCACAATCACTAGTTATATTAAATTTTGTACGCAGCTGTGGGAATTGTACTTTCGGTAAACTCACGTAGACCTAAATAATTTAGTAAAACATTTGTGCTCACATTGTGCTTACTACGTAATTTTATGCAAAAGAATGGAAAAAATAAAGCATTTTGTGTACCAGTTAATGACTCGTCTGTCATATGTTTTAGTGAATTTTTTTTTCTTCCTTTTTTTCTTTTCCTGACTAGGCTGATCAAGACAATGACAATGAATGTGTTCTTTAAAAGAAAAGAAATTGCTACAATTTACAACATATTGAACATTTTGACCTCAACTTCCGTCCAATCAATCATGCAGATGACAATTGTGTAAATTCTAACACGGGCGTCTGTGACTAGACTAGTCAGTGTTTGGTACCAAGACATACACACACAAAAGTGAACGTGATCTTGCAAGACTTACACGTTCTATTGTAAGTCAGTTAATCAGTCAGTCAGTGAGTCAGTCGGTCCGACAGGAACGAAACTTTCACTTACGTTTGGTTCCACCTCCTTCAGCGTAGAATAAGCCACCTCATCAAAGTCCAGCTTGCAAGCGCTCTGTAGGTTCTTAGCCGCAAGCTCCCATTGGCCCAGTAACCGATGCGCGATACCCTTCCACTTGTACCCCTGGGCGGAGTCCGGGTTGAGCTTGATGGCCTTGTCGCTGTCACGGATTGCCGCGTTGGGCTTCTTGAGTTTGATGTAGACACTGATGGAGAAAAAGAAAATATTCCAATGACCTCAAATGACCCTCAGATGACCTTCGACCTCCAATTTCAGAAGATTTTCATGAACCCCCACCCAAGGATCACTTCATCCAAGTTACATTGAAATCCATTTAATTCTGTAGACAAACATTTGAAGCAAATTTGAACAATGACTTGTAATGACCCCTACTTGACCTTTGACCTCAGTAATCCAATGAAGATGTAAGTATTTTCAACACTTAACAGCTCAATAATTTGTCCCCTGGCCCTACCCTGCTCTCTTGGCATACAGCAGCGCTGAGTGGGGGTTCTTCTCGATAGCTTCTGTGAACAGCTTAATGGCTTCGTCGAAGTTGCCGTCGCCGACGGCCGCCATGGCGAGGGATCGCTTGTCTGATGCTTCCTCCATCATCTCGTCTGTCACATCCAGTGAGTCATCCCCCATGTGCTGGGGCTCGTCTGTGTCACCTTCTATCACCCCTTCCATGTCTAGCTCTGGAAGACAGTGGGGGGGGGGGAGGGATGAAGAAGGTAAACTTTCCATGTTTTTATGCTTTCATTGAAAGGTCTATCCTCAGCATTAAAACCCTCCTTTTGTTTGATCAGTCACAGACAGTCAAAATTTATTCAACTTCCCCTGCCATGCCTTTTAGGCAGGCTAGTCACCAACAGTCAGATCACATTTCTATAGGCACACTGGCACAGTGACTAGTCATATTCCATCAACAGACAAAAACAAGTGACTGGTAGTCACAGCTGGCTTATCAATCACCTACAAAGCATAGCTGTGTCAAGTTTAATATCGATCACAACCAGTCAATCCTGCTTTATGTGAGAATGTGTGCACTCAACTGTTGCAAACAGTCACTTGATTTATTTTGACTGCCGGTTTGGCTTTGTTGAATTTGCCAGCCAGAGAGGGACGGATAACTCATTGATAATTATTTCATAAATCTGATCTGTTTTCCTGCACATATTTCTGCGACAAAAAGCAATTAATATGTCACTTCCCAAAAATAATTCTTGAATATTTTCAACCAGACTGACAAGTGAGACAAAGCAAATAGAGTTGTTTATTTGTAGCCCAGAAGATTTTTATTCCATACAGTCCCAAAACTTACCCAAATCACTCTCCTCACTGCTTGGTTCCCGTTCTGGTTCCGGTTCCGGTTCCGGTTCCGCTTCCATGGCTGGTTCCGGTTCTGATTCCATGGCTGGTTCCGGTTCCGGTTCCGGTTCCGGCACAGGTGGTGCATCTGCCGGCTTGATAATAATTAACCAAGTTTTAGTAACTGGAAAAGTTCAAATATCTGTGACAACAATGGCCAAGTTTAAGGCTGTTTTTGCTAACAATATCAAGATTTCCTTTTGTAATATGGAATCAACTAATCTGCTTGCTAATAATTATGAGTTGATCATGGAACTTGGCGTTTGAAGATTGTCATTATATTTATAGTACACTCTACAATGAGTTTATGCCAAGTTACAGAATGAAAGTGTGTCTCAAATCTTCAAACAATTACAAAATGTTCACAATTAAAGCCTACAGAACATTACAGAAATGTACGAGGCTTACGTTAGAATAGGTTATTAACCAAAAAATTATTTCTCAGGAATTAATTTGATCCCTTTTTGGATTATTCTATCATTTTAAGTTTGATTTGAAAACAAAGACAGCATGCACATGATTTATTTACGTGTACTGACCTTGCTTTCATCACTGGCGGTTGAAGTGGGCTTTTCTGTGGGCGGAGGAGGGGTGGGAAGGTTTGCACCAAGGCTGAAATAAACATTTGAAATCAAGTCAAAATTTCTTAATTTTTTGGGATGAAATTTTTTGTTGTTGAAAAAGTCGCTTTCCACTAGCCCACAGGTCAATTAATGGTGGTAATGTACAGTGGTGTTCCCTAACGTGGCGCACTTGGACGTTTCCCCCGATTTTCCTCATGCAGTGTTGCCAAACCTCTTCGAAGAAAAAACTTCAAATTCATTCAGTTAAATACTGACCAGTACCAGTACTATTTATTACCTTAATAATGCTTGCTGTTGAACCTTTGTGAACAACTTTAGTGTCATGAAATTTTGTCCGAAATTAAAAAACAGTGGCGTCCAGAAATTGGGCACAAATTTGGTCAAGTGTTCCCTAACGTGGCGCACTTGAACAAATCTCGGAAAATCCCACATTAACGTCTAAGAATTTCCTTAAAGTTGATAAATTCTGATAAATCATTATTTTCTCCACTTAAGGGCGAATTTTAGGGTTCATCGTGCCATTCGAAAAAACATAGAAAACATGTTGTAGCAGGGAATGTAAACTCAAGATTTATGAACGGGAATGTCATGAACGTTTAGAGCTTGATGAAATTTCACTTTTTGTAAAATTTGATGTTACAATTTTGCTCTAACAAGGCACTAGAGGCGAAAAATCAAAGTGCGCCACGTTGGGGGCCGGCCGTGCCATGTTAGGGTACATCAACAATATTGTAGGCAGGTAGGCCTACTCATTTAATTTAAAACGTTACACGTCAAAGAGGGCGCTGTACAATCTAGCTGGCAAAATATCGTTTACTAAAAAAAAAGCCGGCTAAATGTAGCCGGCTAAATATACACTTCCAAAATATAATTCGATACATAGACATGCAGGCACAGAAGAAAAAAAGAAGAAAAAGTTCACAAAGGAAAATAATATCACGGAATTGGTGCAGTAACAAAACGCATTAACCAACAACCACCTTTGCAGATACTCTCTGTAGAAAGCAAGCTGTGGAGAATGCAGAACGGTTGGGTTTGCCTTGCATAGCTGCACAAAGGCCTTCAACTGGTCCAAACTCGCCTGGTCCATTTCTAGACAAATTCTGGAACAGTTTCGCCTAGCTTTGAAGCGAAAAATGAACACAAAAGATACCAAGTACGTCCACCAACCTACAGTCACCAAACTACAGTAGCCCTGTAGAAGTTACCGTGACATTTTCTCAATAGCTAGGTGGTTCTTTTCGTTTGGGTCGCACATGGGGAATTTTTTTAAAGTCTGGTGCGTTCCAACTGCATGCGCCCATATTCAGTATTCAAGACCCACTGAGACAGGGCACAAGACCGCAGATTTTCTAGAAGTTTTCAGGGGACTTCTGAAAAAAAATATTTTGTAAAAAATTTCTAATGTGACTATTCCCTTTTCATCACTTTTATGTTACATGTAAAACCCACAATGTTTCATTTCCTTTTGTAAATTGAGAACACCTTTCAAGTTTCACATTCAATGCTAATACATTTACTTCAAAGGGCGCCCTCTGTCGTTTTTTATTGAAAAGTGGCAGGCAAATCCAAAATGAAACTCAATACTGCTCTACGTTGTACAGCCTCGCATACTTTATGCTTTTGCATATTTTATTACTTTTCACAATTATTTCACATTTTTGACAAACATTTACATTGTTTCACATTGGGAAAATACATACAGGTTTTGTCAGCAATGCAAGGGAAAAATCATAGCGATAAACAATTCTTCAAAGAATAAATATTCGCCCATAAACAAAACTATTCCAATTTCTTTTCTTCCTCAAACTTTTACCAGCAACACTCATACTATAACACTTGGCCAAATAATAATAATAATTTTGTTATCAAATGAAAACTATTTTTTTTTTGGTTTAATTTTCCTTGCATTTTCACATTCTATGGCTATTTTTTTTCTCCAAATACTTCTAAAAACTTAACTTTCAGCTGCAAAAGAATTCCTCTGCCTTCTTACAAATCTATTCTAAGAATATTCCTTTCAATCATTCTTGTGCCTGAATTTTCTTCTTTTTTGGAGGAGGGGTTACTACTAAGCACCAAAACAGTTCATACAAACATTGCAACTTTTTTTGCTAAGCATACAAAATATTTTAAATGACTTCTAGGTTTTGATAAAAATCAACACCGATAAGTATATAAACACAAATTAAAAAGCCAACGAAAAGTTTATATTATAGGCCTAGTAATGCTTTCTCTGATAGTATATTTATTATCATGAACAAATCTTGTTCACATATATTTATGGCAAAAGGAACAAGAAGTTTTAACAAGAAAACAAAACAAAAACAAAAGGACATTTTTTCTCGTACCTTGTCATCCAAGGCGATAGAGTTAACCAATGCAACATGTTCAACATTGAATAACCCAATATATATTTCTGTATATTGGAACTGTACATTTGTCACAATTGCATCATATTTTTTAACTTTATGCTGCATTGATTTACAAATTGACACAATAAAAATTACAAACATTGCATGCATCTGAGTTACTCTTGGTTTCGGAATATCAACTTAACACCTACAAATACTGATTAAATTACAGTTACTGCGTTTTTTCGTTGTAAAATATGAAAGCTTTGTTCTACTTTGTCCAACACTTTGGCAATTTTCGCCAAGTGTATCCACTACTTTTTGCAATTCACCAACAAGGCTTACGTGGATAAAGTCTATTTTTCACATTGCTCTGAGTAAACCTATTGGTTATACACCGACATTAAAACGTTTTCTTTAATGCATACAGATTCTAGTAACGACAAACAAATTCTGCACAAGTGCTTACTTTAATAATGCACTTTCACTGTGCATTTTAACATGAACATTTCTTGTTTTAGTGGATATCCACAAATCAATTTTAAGTGCCTTGAAATCATTTCATATTTCGTTTGGCACTGATTACTTTCACCCTAAAACTGTGAACATTTTTGCAAGACGGCTCATAACTGAAATAATGTTTCTGACCTTTAAATGTCTTGCAAAGCTTCTCTTCCATTAAATTCTTGCCATATTTCATTTTGAAAGGACACATACATGTATATGATGAAAAAAAGGCCATGAATTCCACAAACATTTTGCAACTTGCACTTTGATACGGGCATTGGGAATAGCATATTTATCTTGCATTATCAAAAGCAATAACATAAACCTATTAATATTTAACAGACATCTTTAGTTAGCACACCAGCTGCTGAAAATAATTAGGGGACTCCAACTTTCTCTTGTAGATAAACTGATTTCAAACTCAATTTCTAATTTTATAAATTACAAGGATTCTGATCAACAGGTAATTTCCTCCGATTCGGGAGCACTGTCCAACGCGTCAAAGTCGTCACTGTCATCATCGCTGGAGTTTCCCCCGGCCGCCTCGCCAGTCAGCGCGATGCGGGCGTAGTCGTCCGTGTCGATGGACTTGCAGAAGTAGATGGCATACTTGAGCTTCTCGCGCAGGATCTCTCGGCAGGAGTAACGGGGCAGCTTCAGGAGGAAGAAACAGGTGTAGGACTCGGGGAGGAAGAAGTCAGGTGGGCTGTACTTGTCCAAGACCTGGAGACGAGAAGAAAATGACTTAGTTTATGGAATAGTGGACAGCACTATGTGAACACTCACAAGAGCTCCAGTGTATAGGACAAACTACATGTGCACAGTGATATGCACGCGTATGGCATGGAGTATGGGCTCCGTGCACAAGTACCCCCTCAATGGTAAGAAAGGGAGAGTTGGGGGAGACCACTAGGAGGGACATTCAAACACATTGCCAATGGTGCCTGATGCTCATGTGAAGACGCTATGTCTTTGTGCACTCTCAGAATAAAATTGTTAGTGCGTATTTCGCACCGTACCAGTACACGCATGCAGTGTGTCTCGTCTACTGTTCTTTCGAAATTGTGTCCATACAGAACATATTTTCATTTTATGTGCACAAATCCATAGCATCTTTGTGAAAGTACCAGGCAGAAAGTGGCAATGGTGCTCAAGAGTTCTTCAGATCATTCTCTTTGTCAACATTGAGGGGGTGCTTGTGCATAGAGTCCATGAGTGCATGCACTATTGGGTCTGTGCAGCAATGGTTGAGGGCGCTATGCTGTCCTTCCCACCAAGCGAGGGCGCTTCTATAAAACTGATAAAAACTAACCAAAGTTAAACCAAACTCAAAAGAGGAGAGGAAAAAATCATCACACAAAAGAAAATAATACATGCCTGCAGAACAAAATCCCGTCCCCTGAAGTCGGCGATAGTGCGGGGCAGGCGCGTCCGACCCCAGACAAAGCGGAGGAACAAGGAGCGTTCCGTGTTCGTGAAGTCCTCCATGACTTCCCAGAACCACTGGACGAGGGGAGCTGCAGCATCGATGCCCTTGTAGGTAGCGACCGACTTGAGGAGATGCAGGGGGATGTCTGGGCTTCCGCAGACCTGACAGAAGAAACACGTGAGAGGAATTCTTCATTACAATTTACAATAATCAAATTTTTACACGGCTCATTCCATCAAAATGAGGAACGAGTCAGAAAATCTCATTGAATTTATTTTAACTATTCCATGCAAAATATGTTAAACATATTGTGTAACAAGCGTTTGGTTGATACCAGACACACTTGGTGTCAAAGGGTCAGGTATTCCCAGTGGTACTTTCTGTACCTTAAATTTTGCTGACCAAGGTTCGAATCCTAGATTAGGTTTTCAGTCCCAACCTGATCCCCCTCCTTTTAACTACATCTTTCTTCATCATCTTGTCTCCATCGGTTCATTCAGTATAACAGACAACAAATAAGGGATCGTCGGTTTTGATCCAACAGACGTTATTATAATCACAGTGTGAAACCGCACCCGCTCTCTGAGACAGAATTTCACAACGTACGGATCTGCCAACAACTTTAGCATTTCAAGGTTCTTACCATGGTGTCGAGTTCCGATCCTGTGAAGAGTGAGAGTAGGGGTACAGGAATGACCCTGGCCATGCCTTCCCTTACCCACTGCACCTGCTCATCAAACTCATGTAACCTGAAGGACAAAACGATGAGAGGATGTTAAAATTCTGTGACGTAAATCAAACCAAGTACTTCATGTTTGATGTGCCAAGAATGACCCAAGTCGTGGAGTTTTACATGAGTCCAACCATAGCAACCTTGTGAATATCCTATCGCAGGCTCTGGAACAGCGCCGAGTTTACAGTCCTTATTACATAGGTTGGTGAAGGGGAAACTCAACATTAACAAAATATGAAACCTAGACAGGAGTGTTTTTTTTCAAAAGGGTGATTTCCAATTAAGCAGCAGTATTTTTTAACTAACCTGTAGTTGAGGGCTGCTCTGACATATTCATTCCTATTCTCCAGTGTAATATGTGCATGCTTGGTGCTCAAGGGGACGTCCATGCCGGTAGCGCTAGGCGTACTGAAGGACATGTCCATGGATAGGAAGGCTTCAGGCTCCATGTCACGGATACAAATTAGACCTAATTCAGTGAGGAAAACACAAATTGTAAATCTTGGCATATCCAAGAAATCAAATTCGTAACAAGGTAAAAAAAAAAAATAAAAGAAGACAAACCCACAGTTTGTGGTGTGTTATGATTGTTATTAATATAAACAAAATAATCTTAACAGTAAATTGGCATTATCCTGTACATATCTTAGGCACATTCAAGGGACAGACTCAGATTTCAATTCCCATAAAAAAAATCAGATGATTTTTTTTAGATAGGAGAGTGAGGTGGTCCCAAGCCTCATAAGACATCATAACTAGAAAATATTACGCCTTTTATAATATATGTCCATATATTTACCCCATCCTGTTCTGGGCCAATATTTGTTATATTACCTGGCATATAGTCCTTGTCCACTTCTGTGAGATCAGTGACAGTCAGGGGCATGCCGGCTAGCTGCTTCCAGACCGGCTCGGCTAGGGAAAGGCTGAGGGGACTTCCGGTACGGATAGCAATGCCGATCAAAATACCTAATGGAAACACAAAAGGAAAATTATGGGAAATCAATGGGCTGTCAAACAAGATTTGCCCGGCTAGGGAAATGGCTGAGGGGACTTCTGGTATGGACTTCCAGTACAAACTTCTGGCACGGAAGGCAACTTCTGGAAGGAGACATCCGGTATGGAATTCCGTTACGACAAGATAGCAATGCCAATCAGAATGAAAGCACATGAGGAAATATGGACTTCCAGTACAAACTTCCGGCACAGAAGGCAACTTCTGGAAGCCGACTTTCATTATGGAATACTTCACGGAAACACACAAGGAAAAATTTGCATCAATCAGGAAAAATCAATCGGGAAAGAAAAAAGCCAAAATCTACAAACAGTTGAACTCAAATTATAAAAAGTATTTCTGAATGCGGTACCTGACCATTTTCTAAAACTCAGAAAAAATTATAAAATAATCTGGGTTAAGAATACTCCACAATCAAGTTGACAACCTTACCTAGGAACCTGAACATGTTCTGGTGAGTGGGTGACTTGGCTGCTGGATTAAGCAGGAAGCAGTCTCGGTTAGCCCCGGCCTCATCACGCCCATTGGGAGTCAACACTAGGAGCGGGGTGGAACCGTTCTGTAACTCATCACACATCTCAGCTATGGACTCGCTGTAACCACCTCCGCAGTCGTCAACACTCTCCCCTGAAAGACAAAATGGGTGAATCCAAGATATGAGGATGTTTTTTAAGTTCGGTTTTAGTTCTAGCTTGTGCTCAATATCCAGCTTTAAAATCAGTTAGATGCCCGATGCCCGATGCCAAAACAAATGGATTAATCCTAAATTGGATTAAGCCAGAATCCTCTAAGTCAGGGGGCCAAAAATATTATGGAGACAAAGCCAGCTCTACAAAATTCAGCCAACATGACAAAACAAGTTGGTAATCTTCTGTTGACAAAATGACAACACAAGCGCTTGAAAGTTAGGGATTTTTTCAAAGAATTCCAAAAATTCAAACTGACCGATGAATTTGACTTTCCAGACACGATGCGGGAGCAGTAAGCTATCCGAGCCAAACTGGCTGAGCTTGGAGCACGCCTGGCCAAAGACAGACTTGGTGCCGTCAGGTCCGGCCAGTCCCGCCTTGCTGCGGGATCGTTTGACCTGGATACGATTCAGCTCAATGACTGGACCGTGCTGACGGTCTCGTACCATGGTGGCTTGGACTACCTTGCGGAAGGCTGCTTCCTGTTCAGAGGAACAAATTAGGAGGAAACTAAGAGAAATATTCCACTTACAATTTTTCACATTTTTTTGGAAAACAATTTGATTGGAAAAATCCCGGCTTTGAGGAAAGCTGGAAAGTTAGAATTTTTGAATCTTCTTAAAAACTTAAATTTTCATTAAGTAATGTAGAAAATTCCATTTTGTAAGTCTTTGAAAAATATTGGCAATGACTCCCCGTGTTCTGGGTAGCCTTGAAATGGTTGCAGAAATTTATAACCTTCTGAACAGGTTTTATGGGCACTAACATTTAGTAAAATATGTTAACATTACAGGTTTCAACAAATTTTTTTCTTTTATTTTAGACTTCAAAAATTCTTCTGGACTCTTATTCACGAACGCTTGAAGATGTTCGCACACGAGTTTTTCACTTCATGAAGCATAGAGTGAAATTTCGTACAATAACAACAAGATCAAAACAAAAAATTACTTTTTCCAATAATACAATCCGACAGCTTTGCATTACGCTTGCCAGTTCAGCACATATACATAACTCATCAATGTTTGGATTTGTTTTTCTAAAAATTTGAGCTTTTGCTAAACTCAGACCATACCTTTCCAGAGGACACCAGCAGCCCTCTCAGCGCATCAATCCCGACCAGGGTTCCAGTCCCTGACTTACTGTCCTCCTCAGCGTGCAGATCAAACATGGGTATGGACGGACAGAACAGCTCCGAGAAGTGATGTAAGAGTACCAGTCGATTGCGGACTACCGGGATGGCGATGTCTCGGAGGAGGTTGTACTCCATGGGGATTGTCTTGGGGAGCTTACCGGCGTTGACGGGCTTGCTGGTGGACCAGGCGATGGTGTGGGCTGAGCCGCAGGCGACGTTGGTGATCTTCTTGTCTGTGAGGGGATATAAGACAAGTCGTAAAGTTTGTAGTAAGACAAAGGGAGGGTTGGCAGGCAACAACACAAGTCAATCACGAGTCCGGCACTAGTCCGTCACAACATCACAAGTCCATTTGCAAGTCAATCCCAAGTCCATCAAAAGACAATCAAAAGTCAAACACCAATCTTTCACAAGTCAATCACAAGGCAATCACAAGACAAACACAAATCTTTCACAAGTCAATCACAAGTCCATCACACGGCAATCACAAGTCCATCATCAGACAATCACAAGACAATCAAAAGTTAATCACAAGACAATAAAAGTTAATCACAAGTCGATGACAAGTCAATCACAAGTCCATCGTGAGACAATCACGAGACAATCACTAGTCCATCCCAAGACAATCAGAACTCAATCACAAGTTGTCACAGGTCAATATGACAGAGCCCTGCATCATCTAACAAAAGAGCGTAGTTGTTTTACCTTGTAATGCTGTAACCATTCTAGGCCTTTGAATGGCGTTAGTTGTTCCATCTCCTAGTTGTCCTTCGTCATTATCACCCCATGTATGTACCTCACCTAAATCACATTGAAAAAAAAAAACATCAAGAAAATTTGCAAATTATTTTTTTAAACAAATATATGTTTACTGTGGAAAACTGAAAAACATGCCGTATCAAGTTGGTTACACACTGGAACAACACATCAAATGTCTCGCGTTAAGTTCCTCCTTCAGTCAAATTTTCTTTGCTCAATTCAAATAAGATGAATAACTGTTGAGTGTTTTCTTTTTATATCTCCAATACTGACCTTGGTCCGTGCAGGCCACACAGTGCAGTGACCCCGTTGCCACACAGATGACCTTCTTGCCACCGAGGGCTGCCACCTTGCGGGGGCGCCGCACGTGATCGTCGGTGCCGTGGCCCAGGCGATGGTAATCACCCTTTCCCCTTTAAGAGTAAAATAGGATCTTTAAATTAGATTCCTTCTGCAGTCACAGAATTACTTTTTAATTGGTACTAAAATGCTCGCACTCATAATCAACGATATTTTCTCAAGTAGTTTCCTAAAGTCAAAGTACCTACCATGTGTAGACAATACCAGACTTGGTCTGCGCGATAGAAAACTGCGACCCACATTCCACTTTGCAGACCCCGGCCCCGCTCAGTATGTCAATCTTCTGGGGCACTTTGCAGCCGTCGCTACCACCCCGGCCCAGCTTGCCGTAGTCTCCGTCTCCCCAGGACCAGACGTTATCGTCGTCGGTGATGCAGAGGGTCTGGGCGTCGCCGCTACCGCAGGCGACATCAACCACACGGAATCCCTTCAGGGCATCAACCTGGGGGAAGATGAGGCACAATTACAGATTCTCTGTGTTTACTGGAATTTTGGGGCCTGGCAGTCTAGTGCATAATATTCAAGATTTGTTTTGCCTGTCAATCACACACTGCCCAATCAGATCACAGAATTCTGGTCAGGTGACCATGATAGCTGGGTAAAACATGGTCATGATCACTGTGAGAAATGTACACACACCAAAGGTAAGCAGGGCTAATGGAAAATCCAGAATGGCCTATTCTGAAGAAAGTAGGTTCAAGTTCAGTGTATTGCGATCCTAGTGTCTTTGGGCAAGACACTTTATCATTATTTGCTTCTCCCACCCCAGGAGTAACATGGATACTTGCTTGTCTACTTGAACTGGGTACTCCCCAGAAAGCTCTGATGATTAAGGAATGTTTCATGGGCCAGATGATCCGTCGTGTTCTTAGGCAAGACACTTTATCATTAATTGCTTCTCCCACCCCAGGAGTAAAATGGATAATGTTCATAATGGGCTAAATTGAAACATGTCTGTACCATTTTAGGTCTTAGCTGGTCTTCACTGTCTCCGTGACCCAGCCGTCCGTAGCGACCTTTACCCCAGGTGAACAGCTCCCCGCTCGATGTCATGCATGCGCTGTGGGCACCGCCACAGGCGATGTTTACAACCTCCTTCCCACGGAGGCTTTCAATGACTCTTGGCCGATCACATTGCCTGAAACAATACCACAGATTAAGTTTTAAAATGTTCGATTAGATTTATTTATAATTCCTCAAGTCCTTCAAATTTTACAAGAAGAAAAAGAGGTTTTATAGAAAAATGCCTATTGTTCAATGAAATCGTGTGTTCGTGTACTGAGCATTTGTGAGTAATGCTTCATGATATACTTTGATGAAATCTTTTTGAGCACTGAGAAATACGTCACTGATATTTCTGTTTCTTGTACCAAGTACTGAACTTAAGTACAATTTTGAGGAATCATTTGTAAAACCTTCAGGTCATTAAATGCAACGATCAGGAAAAACTGCTCACGTTCTGTTGCCATGGCCTAGTTTCCCGTCTTCTCCTTCACCCCATGAATACACTTCTCCTTCAATGGACAGCGCCAGGGTGTGCTTGCCACCTGAGTTGACGGCGACCCGTTTGATGTGGACGTGCTGGATCGATTCAAGCAAAGTTGGGGTTGAGACTGAGTCGGTACCACCGATGCCTAGACGACCGCCCGCACCATAACCAGTGCCATAAACCTGAATGGTTAAAAAGAATGATAAAGGAAGGTAAATGTGGTATCTTTTAAATCCAATATATTTGGCTTGTGTTAATAGATTGGCAGTTCTGCTCAATATGTTCTGCTTGTCTTTGTTAACGAAGCTTGAACCAAAGTTCCAACATTATTCCAAGCTTAACGGCCATTGTGAAATGGCTACCGGGCTGCACAGACAAATGTTCAAAAATGGGAATGTATAAATAGGGTTCGTTTGTATAACATCCAGTTTACCCATGATCGGCCCACCATTGCAATAGGCAAGAATTTGGTTGGCAACCGTGTTGTGCACTGGAAAGTAGACTGTAGGGCTTATTTTCACGTAAAATAACCGCAAAATTCTTTATCAAATGGCATAATGGTCACTACCTGTATTGTGTACGGTTGTCAAAATCGTGCCGACCCAGCACTGGGTGTTGGCTTCGCGCTTTTCTCAGTTTTTGCCATCCACCACAAATTTGAAGGCTAGCCTAGTTCCTTGCCTAATACTGTGTGTGGCGCTATGCGATCTTTGCCTACTACAATGGTGATGCTGACTTTCCCGTAGCCAGATGCAGGCCGGGTCACGTGGGTCTGTGAGAGAGCCATATAGGCATAATATTCTGACTTCCTGTCATTTAGTCCCCAGTTGTATTTTCTTCAACTTTAATAACTAATGAGTCGCGATTACTGGATGGTAGCTTACAAAAGCAAATGAAAACATACGTGCAAATGGATTGTTTTCCATCTGGCTGCCATCACTCCACCCTCACTCTTTCCTACTAGGTCTTGATGAAAGCACTTTTGGAGCTTTTCAAGTTTTAAGTATTAAGAGGGAATTTTAGAACCATACCTTGCCGTCCACAGTCACAGCAAACAGCGTCTGCTCCCCACCCACTATCTGTATTGGTCTCAAAGCGGTCAGCGACTCAATGGACGTAGGCACTTTGACCTTTGCCCCCTCAATGCCCCCTAGCTGACCCCTGTGGTTGTGACCCCAGCCGTAGATGGTGCCGCTACCTCCCCAGGAGAGGGTCCAGTCATCAGGCCGCCTGAACAAAAAGAACAAGGATGAGCAGATTTAGAGGGTAATCCATGTCGTACTGGATATATAAGTGGAAATGTTAGTGGATATTTTGGAGATTAATGGTCATCTAAGTGGATATTGCAGTGGATATCTCAGTGGATCTTTCAGAGAATAGTTGATATTCAAGTGTTTTTTTTAGGGGCAACTTTAGTGGATAATTTAGTGGATATATCTTAGTGGATTTTTTAGAGAATAGTGGGTATCTAGGTGGACACTTTAGTGGACATCTTAGTGAATATCTTAGTGCATATTTTAGAGAATAGATGATATCTAATTTTCCTGGTTATTTTAGAGGATATTTTAGTGGATAATGTAGTGGACACCTTAGTGGATATTTTAGCGGAACTCAAAGAGGATATTGTGTTTGTATCTAAGAGGATAGCTTTGTGGCTAGCTTATTAGCTTAGTGGATATCTCAGATATCTTGGGAATATCTGAGAACATATCTTAGTTGACATTATCACAAACCTGTTCATCCACATCAAGATCTGTTCATCATGCTCCCGTTTGAACTCAGCGTGGTTCTCATGTTCACGATGTGTAGCACCGTCACTCTCTGCGCTGATTTCTCGGATCTTCTTCATCACCTGATGAATTATTTGTCATGAATCAATTATTCATCATGAATAAATTATTCATAATGAATTATTGGTTTCTTGAATCTTCTTCATCGCCTGAGTTACTCACCCAATGCAAAATATGTCTTAAACCCCCCCCCCCCCCAAAAAAGACTTTACTCTTTGTATACTCTGTTTCCTATTTCATATGAAATTAACAATTATAAAAATTGTAATCAATTCTGTGAAAGAAATATTCACTTGCCTCCTCGCAGAACATTTCAGGTAGATGAATACGGCTCTCCAGTGATTTGGAGACCCGTGCAGCAGTACAGTAGCGTCGGAACCAAGCCCAGCGATGCGACTCAACGCAGCAGCCAAGAGCATCCAAGTGAAGATCACAAGCCAGGGCTACCAGGACCTTGAAGAAAGGGCTGTGGAGGAGGTGCTTGCCTCCTCGCACGATGGGGTCCTCATATTCGTACTGGCGCTGGAGGGCTTCTGGGAGACCCTTGACTAGGGCAGCCAGGGCTGTGCCATTGAAGGCCTGGGGTGTGAAGGAAGATTTGATGAAGTAAGACTGACTTGGTTAAAACTGGGTTAAAAATCGAGTCAGGTTGGGTGAGAAGTGGGTCAATAAGAACAAACTTTAAAGGGCTTCTGGGAGACCCTTGACTAGGGCTGCCAGGGCTGTGCCATTGAAGGCCTGGAATGTGAGAGGCGATTTGATGAAGTAAGACTGACTTGGTTATAACTGGGTTAAAAATCGAGTCAGGTTTGGGTGATAAGTGGGTCAAATGAGATTAAATGGAGGGCTTGAGAGAGGTCATTGATTTGGACAACTGAGGCTGTGCCGCTTATGGCCTGAAATGCAAAGGATTGGATACGGCTAGACATCCCTGGTGTGGCTGTGACCGAGTCAAAATTTAGTCCAAGTTGGGGTTAACAATGGGTCAAATATGGAGTTGGAACAGAGGTTGGAATGGGGTCAAGTAAGATAAACAGGATCAGATGAGGGTCAGAGAGGTTAGTTGATTACTGTGCCATTAAGAGTGACTACAATAGCCTCATTGCCTGTGACTTTTAAGGCTTTGGATAACCTACATGTAAGACTATTAGTACATTGCATTGGACTAGGGTCAAGTTTGGGTCAAATTAGGATCGAATTCAGATCAGGATTAGATTAAGATTGGGCTGGTTACTGTGGCAATAAGAAACTTACATTGTAGGCAGTGGCAGACTCATCAGAGACTTCCAAGCCCAGGATGGCTTCCACGTTGAGATTACCATGGAACTCGGTCGCGATCAGCTTCCGCAGTCTCTGCAGGGCCCACATGCGCTGGAAAGCAGCTGGAGAAAATATTAAACCATTTCAAATTGTAACGCACCAATTGTAGCAATATTATCTATGGCTTTAAACAAAACCTCACAGATACCAGAGTTGTAATCCAGTGAATTCACAAATGTGTCATAAGTCAAATCTTAAGTCCATCACAAGTCCATTTCAAGTCAGGACACAATGTAATAGGAAATGGACAATGATTAATACCTTTGCTACAGGTCATTTCAATAGCTTGTGACTGGGCTTGTGATGTGACTTGCGAAGACTTGTGATAACTTAAGACTTCTAGATTACCACTCTGACAGATTCAAGCAAATGTCAGTATGATAACCAATCTCTTACCTAGAGATCCAAGTTGAGCGCATGCCGCCAACGCGGCAGCAAGCCGTGGCATGATCTTACGATCCGTGGAGGATTCCAGCCTGAAATCCAGCAGACAGGTCACCAAGTCAATGGAGGGACGGGACAGCACGGCGCGGTCAGACAGCAGGTCCTTAGGGGCTGCGGCAGGCATGATGGGGAAGACGGTGAAGCGCCAGCCCCAGCCGTTGACTGAACCATCGCTGGTGAACTTCCACTTGAGCTCCTCGCCGGTGATGCGCAGCTCGGCTGACCAGTCAGACCACTCCCTCCCTGCAAAGACAGATACAATTTCAATTGAAGGTCAGCATTTATCTCAAATCTGTCCCATTAGTGACAGACTTGTCACCAAACTTTTGTCTATGTGTTACTGGCAAAGTGGCAAAGAACACTAGTCGAATCACACTCAAACTTCCTCAAGAAACCTCCCAATCTTTTCTCCCGCCCTCAACCTAAACAGCTGGTCAAAACCAGTCCCTACTGTGTTTGGTCCCCCAAATAAACTGTTCTTGGTCCCCCAAATAAACTGTTCTTGGTACCCCAAATAAACTGTTCTTCCTTGTACTTTCAAATCTGATAATAACTTACTCATCTTCTAATGAAAAGTTTCGACCAACAAACAACTCACAAGCACTTATGAGTAATGTTTCTTTTATTACCGCAAATAAATTTCAAAACTAACAGCCTAAGTTACGAGTAAAACTTTTTGTTTTGGTGGAAAGAACCCAACTACTGACCTGATCGGACAGAGACTGTCCTTCCTGCTCCGTCCATGATAGTCAGTGGATCATGACGTCGCTCCGTTGAGCACTGGCGATCAAACTCTACTCTCAGTGCTTCCGCTCCTGATAATTAAATATTATAACGCTAGTTTGCTACTAAATAAAAACTGTTCAAGACCACAAATAAATGGTGCACATCATACATATCTTAAGACATTTTGGTAGATAAACTATTTTTGTTCAAGGAAAAACCTTCTTTATTCAGTAAATCTAAAATTGGCTACCGTTTCAAACTGGCATTTCTGAGTCGCACCCAACCAAAGAGCATAAGGAGCCACTCAGGTCGAAAAAAAAAAAACTTTATGAAGTACTTTTTCATTGACTAGACTCTGGAAATTTTCAAAACAACTGCAGGGTAATTTGGTTGCGTGGCAATGGGTGCAGTATGGTCAAGACACAAGTCTGTTGGAACATCAACCATGCAAATCACTTCCCGTTTTGATTCTACTCACCTGCTATCTTGACGTGCCCGTTGGTGACGGTGTCATCGGCGTAGGGATGAGGGCTCTCTTGTATCACCGGCTGCATGGCCGACCTACCGCACTCCGTATCCAAGGCAACGTCTTCCAACTCTGTCACGCAGAGTTCTAACAGCATGTCCGCAACCTGCACAGATTTGCCAAAAATGACAGTGGAATCAATTAAAACCCAACCACGGACATTTTTACATATAGATCAGAAATGTGCACCGACGGGATATGCTGCATTGCATCCTGGGACATATTGCGCTAGGAACAGGCTATTGTGTAACACAATCTGTTCCACAATGCTGTGCATTGCTAAGATAAAGTTTTTTGTTCTAATCTGGAAAAAACACGCATTGTTATCATGCAGCTGCTTAGGATAGAAATTTGAACTGAAACTTTGTGCTTAGCAAAAACTGGCTACCAACGAAAAATTACACAATGTACATTGCTTTTGACTGGTTCTACGTTGATTTTGAGTAACACATAAATTTGTTAAGCAGTACGTCCAGTTCAATGAAATCAGGTCCTGCAGACCCCATGTGCTAATTTAGAAGAAGTTGTTTTGGGACCTCTTTCCCTTACCTCTGGGTAGTATTTGGCCATCGCCGTCAGCGTGTCCGAGATGGCCTGCTTCCCATGATGCCCTGCTCTGTTAGCCACAGCCAGTTTGAGGAGATCGACCAGCACGCGGGCGTCGTCGTGCTGCAGGGTGCTGGTAAAGTCATCCAGGGAGGGGATGGGACTGACGGGACCCTTGTCATCTGGGCTTGTCACCTTGGTAATGAGGAAAAAGATGACGTCAGAAAGTGTCAAAATAGGAGGTTATAATTTGACATAGAAATGGCACTTTTCATTAATTGGCCACTACGGTAACTGATTGTGGGTTAAAATTCATCACAATAAGTATATTAACTTTAACCCTCCCAGAGCCCTCAATATGCACAAGGATTTTGTAGGATTGAGGAAGGTAGAGCCCAGCCACTACTAAAGAATCTGACTGTGGGTTGTTTTTAAGGATTCAGGAATGTTTCTGAAAGATGTCAAGGAAGTTAGGATTAACATTCTTCCATTATAATCTAAGTTCTTCCGACAGGAACTTAAGTTCTTCCAACAAGAAAAGTATCTTACCTGATCAGCGCTGGTGATCGTTTCTGGGACCACAGTAGCCCCAGTGGATGGGAAGGTATGTGCTGATGTGCTTGGTGCGTCACCATCTCCATCAATAGCAGGCTGCACAGAATCAAATGAAGAAACAATCTGCATTCAATGACAATTGCAAAGGAATTTTTGCAAAGGACTTTAAGATTTAATTTAAGCAACTGGGTAGTTAATATTACAATTTACAAACTGTAGTTTTAGTTAAGTCAAAAAATTACAAGAGGGCTCAAGTTTACTGTCAGATACAGAATGATCATTTCATAAGCGAAAAAAAAAACAATCCAAAAGTGCAAAATTCAATAACAAATTAAAATTATTTTGTGCTAAAACTTTCAGGAAGTAAAGCTACTGTTTCAATGTGGCCTAAACAACCTTAAATTTGTATCAGTCCTTTCAGCAGTTTAGAAAGTTATTATGCAAGGATTTCTCTATTAATATTATTGAAGTAAAAAAAAAAGCTATATAATGCTTGGAGTAGCCATAGTCCGAAGAGTTAATTAAAGTTCTTAATGGTCTATATTGAATTTGGGTCTGAAAATAGATTGATTCGACTTGCCTCAGTGCCGTCAGCACTGAGTGAGATTTCGCTCAGGTCTATGGGGTTAGTAGCGGTAGACATGGGGCTCTCGTTAGGAGTGACTGCAGCCGAGGTTTGGTTGGATTCAGCCAGGGCCATACGAGTGCTGGACATCAAGGAACCCACCACTGCATCCCTGTCAAAACGTAAACACAAAAACTCATTTCTTTCTATCTTTGTTTATTTAGTATCTAATTACATTAATTCGTTATTATTTGGTGTTCAGCCAGGATAGCCCGTAAAAGTCCTTCAATTTTTTTTTAAGTGGGGTCCATGAGTAGAAGATGACAAAGGAATCATAGATTTAGAAGCGAGAGAAAATGCGGAATGACATTCAACAGGAATCAGGCAGGGCTTTCAGACGAGGATGTTTTACTCTCCACTTTTGATGAACAAGGTTCGAATACTCCTTGTACACCACGTGCCTCAGGTTGTCAATACAGTCTCCGCCAAAACAAAGTCCCAGAAAGAATCATTTTTTCAAATCCTTTTCACATGAACTTTTATACAATTCAGGGTTGAAATTTTTGTCACTTTGATACAGTTTACAGTGTGAATAGCAGTTTCTTTCAAACCCTTTTGGTAAAGGGTTCCTAGTCAACTACAATTTCAACTTCGCCTTTTCTAAGACACATCTTGCACATATGACTATCTCTTTCAAATCTTAAAACAACTTCAATTTCAGCCTCCAAAAAATTTCCAGGTAATGATTTGACAAGGATTTGAAACCGACACTTATTTTTATCACGAAAAAAGTCCCACCTTGCGTAGATGATCTGCAGTGCAGTCAGTATCTGTCCCAGTGCCATCTGACGCATCGCGTTGGTATCCAGTGACAACATGACCTTGGCTAAAGATGGCCGCTGCTTGCTTCCCTGACAGCCGCTGGCCTTGTCATTAGGCTCCTGGCCAGGCTCACCCATTACACCTAGGACAATTTTTAAAAAGCCCCAAGTTAGATCTATCTCTAGAAGCTATGGCTCATCAGACAGCCGCTGCCCTTGTCATTAGGCTCCTGGCCTGGCTCACCCATTACACCTAGCACAATTCAAAAGCCACAAGTCAGATCTATCTTGAACGGCTATGACTCATCAGACAGCCACTGCCCTTGTCATTAGGCTCCTGGCCAGGCTCACCCATTACACCTAGCACAGTTCAAAAGCCACAAGTCCGATCTATCTTGAGCGGCTATGGATCATCAGAGCTTGGCTACGGCTTGCAGTTATACACATATCTATGTGAAGTGGCTTAAGCCTCTTCCATTGGCACATGTACAATTACAAGCCCTAGCCGTAATTCAGTGTAACATTTATCCTATGGAATTTGGCTGATCAGGTCCAAATATGATATGCTGAAAACATCGTTAAGTAAATTTTGTTGGTTAGCAAAACGCAAGTGGGAACCAGTCATTTTCAACATACATGACATGATATTTTGGCTGGTAACCTATAGCTGCTAAGCAAAACCTTCTGTTCTCAGCATATTTGAGTGCATATAAGTTTGTTGCTAAACACATATGTTTTTGGCTGGGCAATATTTCCTGCCATGTAGCCTGACAAATGAGCACATGGACCGATTCTAATGAAAAATACTATAATTTCAGCTACAGTTAACCAACATTCTTTGCTTACAATCAACAGTGATATGAAAGTTGTCACAGATAACAGCATTTAAGAAGATCTACAGATAGTTGCTTACCGAGTTCAGTGGCACCAAGTGGATCCCTAGGTGTAGTGAACAGCACTGGTTCATGCATACAGGGGACCGCTGCATCAGTGGTTGACCAGGCGATGCTATGAGAGGACCCACAGGCCACGTTGGTGATACGCACTCCCTCCAGGCCGGCTACTAGAGTCGGTTTCTTGTCCACGGTCACGGTCCCTAAAATGACAAAAATACAAAACAATTCTTGAAAAACAAGTGTCGAGATCACTTCTGTATAAGACCTTGAAGCCTGATTTTCATGCATTCTAGACAAACTGCAGTTCTACATAAGCAAGTGAAAAGGGAAAATTGAAAATGACAATAAGTTGTAACAAATGTAAAAAGCTTTCAGAAGAATTAAACAAGGGCTTTGTTTTTTTTTAACAAATTTTAAAAAACCTTGGCAGTTGTCAAATTTTTGTGGCCAGTTGAAAACTTATAAGTAGTGGGGAAGGGGTATTCCTAGCGCCCTCCCCCACTTTTTGGACCATCCCTGCCTGTCAGTCAAACAGTGCGCACTGGCCAATTAGATCATGACTTCTGGTCAGGTGACCACAATAGCTTTGCCAAACCAAGTCACAAACACTGTGAGAAATGCACTCCAACCAAAGGTGGGCTGGGCTTTTCAGCAAATCCAGATCAGCCATTACATATTGCTGCATAAACTGAGTTCCATGTTAGTAACAACACGTTTCATCAACATATAACGAAAAAACAAAAATAAAAACTGTACTACTTGTATTACATTGTATTACATTGTATTACATTGTGCTTATTCTCTAAAGAATCCATAGAGCAATATAGTGCTCGGGCAGTTTCAGGCAGAACAGGGAATAATAAGCAGGGCGGCTTGGGGCGGTACAGGTACTAACGGGATAACACTTACCATTTCCCTGTTGTCCGTGGTCGTTGTCGCCCCAGGCAAACACCTGTCCTGTGTCGGTAACCGCCAGGCAGTGAAGGGCACCAGCCGCGACGTGGATGATCTTCTTGCCCTTCAGACCTTCTACATTCTGGGGCTTACGGACGTGGGAGTCGGCACCGTGGCCCAGACGGAAATAATCACCTTTCCCCCTGGGTTGAAATGATGGACTATTGGTTATTCATTATGAAGTTGACTTAGTGGTGTTTTTTTTAATGAGTAACCGTAAGTTTTTAATTGTATTTGATGTTAAATAAACTAAATAAACTGCAAACATTCTATAGTCATCTTTTTATGCTAGAAACAAACAATTTTAAAGATAAACTTGAGAATAATATACTCGATTAAATATCATTTCTAAGCCTAATCAGGTACTCATATGGTTCACTGAGAAATTGTCGTGAAAGCTTTTCTTTTGAGGACTTCATGGTTCTGATCCATTTAAATAAAGGCTCTCATATTCCGAGTCAAAATTCAGGATTTTTCTCTTTCAGACAACACCCCAAAAAAGGACAATCCTTACCAGGTCCAGACTGTGCCGGTTTTGGACAGCGCCAGTGAGAACTGTGCCCCGCACTCAATCTGCAATATCCCATGACTGTTCAATCTCTCCACGTTGTGAGGCACGCTACACCCCTCGCTACCCCCACGGCCCAGCTTGCCAAAGTCCCCGTCCCCCCAGGAGTAGACCAGACCCTCGTCTGTCAGGGCCAGGGTCTGGGCATCACGACTGCCGCAGGCAACTTGCATGACACGCTGACCTGCTAGAGCTTTCACCTATGAAACGAGAAGAAAAAGACAATGTGATGTTACAAATGATGCAGTATATTCAGATGTTCGTGGACTAAATTGAGCGAAGTCTAAATCGGATATATCGTATAATGAGATGCCCGACTTGATCATCGGTCATTTCATTGCCCAAAACCATCCAGCCTATTAAGCTACTCTACAGGAACATGTGGTCACATTCTTATTCAGGTAAGAGTGTAATGATATGGCGTATTTATGAAAAGAACATAATACTAAAATTGGCACTCAAGGCGTTAAGCATTTTATCAAAGAAATAGTCAACTCCAATACAACAACCATCTTGATCCTGACAGGCACCGTTCACCAGTATCATTCACTCATGGCTGGAAAGAATTGTGATAAAGTGTCTTGCCCAAGGACACACACATTACAATCATAGGGTTAGGATTGAACCCACAATCTATAATCACTGTCCACAAGACCTTCAGTCAAAAACAACAGACCACAAAGCCACAGTCGCCCACTATAAAAAAAAAACCTGACAAGCCAAAACAGCCATTAAACCCACCAGTTTAGGTCTGAGCTGTGTAGTGTTGTCCCCGTGTCCCAGTCGTCCGTACTCCCCCAGACCCCAGGTAAACAGCTCCCCGCTAGATGTGACTGCTGCACTGTGGGAGCTGCCACAGGCGATGTCCCTCACACGCTTGGTCTTGAGTGCTTCGATGGCCCTGGGTTTGTCACAATTCCTGTAGATAGTAAAAAGTCGTTATCAATACTTATTCTCCAAAAAGTGAATCTCCATTCTCCTGAAAAAGGTCAGAGCACGTAAAACATCACTGAATACCTCTAGTTCTTGTCAGAAACATTCCGCTCTTATGTACCCACAAACTGAAGTCAAACATGTTTTAGTCTACAAAATCTAGTAACCACACAAGCTATTAAAAAACATACTCTGAAAGTTTGACTTTAAAAAAGTGCAAAAAAAACGTTTCAAATATGAAGACAAAATAAATACCCCTTGTGTTCGAGCATAGTGCATTCTTTGAATTTTTACTGCTTACTTTTTTTTAGGTGTTCAAAGTTCATATGACTTTTAGAATGGAGCTATTTTACTAATATCATAAGGAAGAACAATTAAAAGATTGAGCCAAACTATTGTAACCACACAAAACTTCAAACTGATAATATTTCAAGAAAATTAATCAAAAGATGGAATAAGACTTCTTTACATTATTAATTGACAGGTAAAGGTTTTTCTTATATAAGTATCGTTCTTTTTTTTTCTTGCGTCAAAGTAGAAACATTTGAATAAAATAAATATCATTCTTACATTCTGCTGAAGTGGCCCAGCTTTCCGTCCTCTCCCTCACCCCATGAGAAGACTTTGCCATCCATGGTCAGAGCCATGGCGTGACGCCCACCTGAAAAAAACAAAAGCTTAATCTTAAGTCCAATAAAGAAAACGGATTGGAATAGATAACTGCATCAGTTCTCCGCTCAACATAACCGCTCAACTTTCAAGGTATTCGCACACTTTGAATATTCCAAATAATTTGGCTCGATGTGACTCTTGAATGTTGTCAGTGTCCTTACCTGAATGGACGGCGACTTTCTTGACGGTATACTGCTGTAAGGCCATGAGTTGCTTGGGAGACGAGACATTAGCGGAGGAACCCAGACCTAGTCGTCCGTTGGTGCCTTCACCGCAAGCAAACACTCTACCTTCTGCAGTCACTGTTGGCAGAACAAATTCAGTTTTGATCATATTTTTGTTTTGTTCCACCTTGAACTGGTATTTAGTTGAACAAGGATATTAACAGAAGTTAGATTTGAACCTCTGACCTCAGGAAAAATATATCAGTGCTCTACCAACTGAGCTATATAGTACTTTGTAGGTATTAAAGTCATATTTACATTTTTATCAAATATTCACAACAAACAAATTCAGCTCAAACAAAAATTTAATAAGTGACACTTACAGAAATGAAAATCACAAGAAACTCTTGATATTTGGACTGACATCTTACCAACAAAAAGACTTTTGGATCCCCCGGCCACTTGCACTACCTTCAGATTGGATAGGAACTCGTTCAGGACGGGTGTCTTGATCTGCAAGAAAAATGCAAGTCTTCAAGTGGAGAGGACAGTTTCAACATGTCAAAGCATGCTTAAGACATAACACATTACTGCAATGAGGATTGTGCATTCTTTTTGTAACCTTTGAAGATGAAATTGCCCTGTAACTGTGTTAATGTGTTAGTCTTGCAAATAAGGCACGATGTACATACTTCTTTGTAAAAATAAAATTAATACAACTTGAGAATACAAACTTGTTACATTGAGCAACCTCAGGAATTTACCTTTGATCCCTTTGGCCCTCCCAGTTGATCCTTATCATTCAGTCCCCAGACGAAGACCTTCGTCTGTATGTCTCTCCCGCCAATACCCTCAGCCGACCGGCGACGGGCCAGAACCCTGGCGTTACTCCGCTCATCTTCGTCTTCATTCTCGGAGGCTAAGAAGGAGAACGTGGCAGCAACATCGTCCTCGTCTGGGCAGAGACGTCCCACGATGGACAGGCCATGGACCTTGCAGTCGATGCCGCTGGACTTGCACTGCTTGATGCTGATGTCAATCACGCGATGGTACTGGGGTGATAATCAATCAGGTAATCAATAAACGTTAAATCAATTAATAAATAATGAATCTGGCAGCCAATACTGTTGGACTTGCACTTCATTATGCTGATGATACTCGAGTTATTATCAATCAGTAATTACATTGCTTTCCTCCTCAGAGCTCAGAAATGCGAGTAATGCAATTTTACAAAATTTGGGAGGCTTATAGTGATATTCATGCTTAGTACATGATCAAAGTTCAAGCTCAATTAAACAAAGCATTTTGCCGTCATGATAAATGAAATTCAAGGCTTCCATCCATGAATGAATACATTTTCCAATACAAACTACGATTTGAAACTTTGCATGGCGGTAGTGTATGCTAGTGAGGTTTGCGGTAACACTATGTGGAAGAATCTCTTTTAAGAAGAAGTGTTGTTCTGAAGACGATCCCTATCCTGAGGAGCCAGGGCATAGTGATCGGAACGTTGAGTTTCACAACCAGCTGGGGTTTTTTCAGAACCAACTTCTTCTCAAAAAAGATTATTCCACGTTGCATTACGCAAACGTCACTAGTATTTCCAAAACAAGTCAAAGAAAGAAAAGGAATAAATTGGTAACCCTAGTAAAAAGAAACTGACATTTTACAAAAAAGCTGCATCAAAGTTTAATGAAAGTGGTGCCAAAATGTCCACAAGACATCAGACTACACTCTACAAACTCATAAAGAATTTGCATGAAATAATTCATGTACGATATCAGAGAAAGACAGTTTCGTGAAGCAAAATCCCCTTGCTCTTTCAGATTTATGAAAAAAATCTCTCAGTCTACCTCTTTGATGTCTTGCAGCAGCGTGATGAGTGACTCGGTGGGACCGATGCGGAGGGTCTTGAGCTCCTTGAGATTAGGGATGCTGTCTCCCCCTGAGATGATGACCATGGAGGGTTGGTAGCTGCTGTCATTGGGGTCAACTGTCATGCGTAGACGGTGGACGAGGATGTTGGGTTGCATTGTCAGACGGATGTAGTGCTGTGGTGACAGGACGGACAATAATATTCATCCATACAAAACTTCTCGCAGTTGCAAAATTGTTCAGATGGTGATACAGTAAGCCAGTGAACAAACAGTCTATCCAAAAAAGTCCTGACCGTAAAAGATGGTTCTTCATGCTTTTTCCAAGCTTCATCACAAGAAATAGATTTCTTTTCTAAATTGCTATTTTCTGACAAAAGCCCATGTTTAGTTATTGAATTATTCCTTTACAATTTTATATTATTGTCTGCCAGACATACACTAGTAATACCAACAGCACTCATGTGTGCGTCGTGTCAAAGCTTACGCAGTATTCACAGATCCGCCGAATTACAAACCAACTACTGACAGAAATTTTCAAAAATGTGTCACTTCACGCATCTTTGGAAATTGCCTTCTGTTATTGTTTTCTTCAAAATCACAGCATGCCAGAAAGAATAATTTCACAGGGAGTTTATTGCCATTACTATCTTTAAACCAAGTAAGTATTTCAACAATAATTTCAGTTACTTTTTGGATAGCTCCTAATGATCTACTCTACCTTCAAAGATGTGGTTACCTTTCCCTGTGAGCCAGAGGATTGCCAGAAGGTGTTGGGGTTGCCGTCCACCAGCCTGGCGATATGGCCTTCCTTGGAGGAGACCTCGCTGTTCTTCACGCAGCGAGACCAGTCTTCGATCAGGGACCCCGCCACGGGGCCCACCCTACGCCTTCCACGGCCTGGCCGGCCGACATTGATGGGTGAACTCCCTAGTAACAAGAAATTAGTACTTAATGAATGAGTGACAGAAAAAAATTTGACAAGACTGGGATTTGAACCCGGGACCTTCAGACTGCCGCTCCGGTGTTCTACCCACTGAGCTATGTCCTAAGCTAGGGACCACAACTCAAAAACAAAATGTAACCATCAACTGTGAACAAAGCGTAAACTATGGGACTGACAAAAGGGCACACAATTGTAAATGGCCTTTCCATTACATTCAAGATCTCAAGGGGCCGAAAAAAACTGAGTGGACACAACCCGTAAAAAATAAAATTAGAGAAAAATAAAATTAGAGAAAAATATAATTAGAGAAATAAGATCCAATTCAAGGAAGCAAGTGGACAAAACACTTTCAGTTTAGTCGAGAAAAAGTTCGGATGATATCTATTTTTCAACTGACCTGGTTCAGAAATGCGCACAAATGGGTGGCGGTGGTTGCGTCGAGTCCGGAAGCAGTTCTCACAGAAGTCAAAGTCGTCACAGGTCTTACACTTGAAGCGGGGACCGGTGATGTAAGTTGCCCGGCAACCGTCGCATCTACACATGCCACAAAAACAAGAATTTCATATATTGAGGTTATGCAAGGTTTTTTAAATACTGGTAAATAAGGCATCATGTTTTCACACGCAAAATACAAGTGTTTTTTTAGTTTTTGTTTTTAGGCAATGTAACATGCATATCAGATTGGCCTTTGAGTCATGCCAAACCAAATTATTTCATTATTTACATGAAAACTTTGATGTAAGAAGGAGCGACAAAATCGAAAGATCAACTGTTGTTGTCATATAAAATGACCCAAAATTACTGATATTGGCCAATTTATAGCTAAAGTTCGCCTGTGTGTAACTGACATGCCTTTTGTTCAACATGAGTCACTCATTGTACGATTTGGTTTGACGTGACTCTGAAACAGGTGTAATACTCACGTGACACCAGTGTGTGTGCTGGGCACCAGTTCCATCTCGGATACCAGTCCAGTCCAGTGGGGCTGCTGGGGGAAGTTGACTGTCACGTCTTTGCCATTGGCACTGAAGCCTAACATTTGAAATGGAAAAAATTTAACATTCATGGTTAAAAATTTTCAAACTTGGATAAATTTTAAAAAAATTCTCCACTGAAGCAACAAAATAATGCACTAACATGCACTTATGGTAAAATTCTACCCAAGCCAACAATCTTCGACAAAATCCTCCTGGAAATTCGACGTGTGTTTCTAGACCAGAAAATGAACTATTAGCTATTGAAGAGCACAATGTCAAAAATTAAAATTAAAAAAATACACTGAAAATTTGTTTTGATTACATTTATTTTTCTCCTAATTTCGGGAAAGATTAAAGTTGATCTCCCGTACAATAAATGTCTACGGTCAATACTGTTGAACTTTTAATATTGAACCCTATTCCTATTTCACTGACCCGTCTTACTCACCAGTAACTGTTCCCACACTCTGGTGGGACACTGACCCCCATTTGTACTTGGGTGAAGTGACGTTGCGTGTCACCCTCACCCTGTCGCCAACCTTGATGTTTGACCCTGGGGCACACTGGGGCGTGAACCCCAGCAGCTCCACGTGGATGTACCGCACCCAGTAGGTCCCCGTCTTGATCTGCCACTCGCCTTGGACGTTGAGGTCGTGGAGGCCATCACGATCCAACTGGTTATAGCATCAAAGACAAAAAAACGAATGGTCGTAAAGGAATAAGTAATTTTAGCTCGGGTTTCAGTTTGCTGTTGTTTATTACATCTGCTGCTACAATATCTGATTTGGACATGAAATATAAGTCTGATGGACAAATCAATGTCTCTAAGTTAGAAAATTATGTAATTTTCAACACCAATTTACAATAACCCAACTTCGTTTAACCACTGCAGGAATTTCTTTCGCTCTAGTGAGTCATATTGTGGCTCCAAAAAATCAAGGTTTCTGATACTTGCAGGTTAGTCAGGGTTGGCAATAAAAGACAGTTCATTTCACATTTCCAAAAGTTATCTTCAAAATCTTTGGCAATTCTAGTAAAAATCAAAGATAATGATTTTCACCAAAAACTTTGAACAGGAAATAACAAGAAATATTTCTTTTGGAAGCGAGAAACTTAAACACAATCCTTATTTAAAAGCACAGTTGTATGCTTCCAGGATTCGTCCTCACTAAGTCTTCATAAATAGACATCAGAATTCTGTGACCAAAAATTAACGGATATTATAGTGATAGATCTGTGCTTGTTACCTTGACAACCTTGCCAACGTCGCCCTCCTGCACCTCCTCATAGGTTCGGCAGCAGCGTACCGTCATGCCTATCTGGATGTTATCGCGGACGTAGATGGCGTACTCGTCATTACTCAGGAAATCACTGCGTTTCTTGAAGAGCGTTCCCTCAGCAGCTAGCATCTGCAAAACAAACAAAAAAAGTGACTAAATTAACAATTTTGTACAAAAAAATCAAGTTTTCATTAAATTACAAATTGGGGTGGACGAAATTAAAACTTTTTCTTGTTGCTAGATGATTATTATCAACTTGAACCTAAAAAAATACACTCAATCATAACAATTTGCAAGGAAATAGAACCTTTTTAGTAAAGTTAAAAATGACTTCCGAACTGTTAACCTTGAAATAATACATTTTTGTATGCTCACAGGTAGTCATATATACCAAAAGGTCTATTTTCAATTTCAGTGTATCACTGACATATAAGAACCTGATAGCCAAGGTTCAAACATGTGAATCACCACTTGCAAGTCCAGTGGTTGAATGTTTAAGATTCAAGAGGTCCTGGGTTCGAGTCCCTCTTTACGTACCTCTTCATAGTCTCCTTCCAAGTCTTCAAATTCGTCATCGTCGTCATCATCGTCGGGCAAGAATTCTGAGGACAGCTCACTGTCCGATTCTGAGACGTCGGGCAAGTCAACGATATCTGGGTGGTCCACTAGCCAATTTGCAACTGCTTCAGCGCTGGGCTTAGAGTCTGAACCGCCACCTTGACAAAAATGATGAATATTCATTAAGTCTTAAGCATATTTAATAGTAAGCTTTGCAGGTCACAAAAATGATCAATATTCAACAGCATACATATTCAACAGCTACTCTGAAGGTTGTTTTTGTCACTTTGCGGAAAAAAAACTTACTGAGAGCTTTGATAGCAAACTCCACGTTCCTTCGTACAAAACCCATCTCCATCAGCTGGCTGACCAGAGGTGACGGGGGCAACTCGGCTGGCTTAGCCCGGCGCTGGCGGACAGGACGCGCTGCGGCCGTGTCTGATGGACTGACGATCTCACGGACCGGTTGGGGGATGCGCACCTCCTCGTTGAGGTAGCCTGGGGGTGGGGTCTTGGTCTCAGCGACTAGGTATTGGCATAGGGCTAAAGCAGCAGCCTACACAAGGAGTTGGAAGTGAGATTTGTTTAGAATCTCTATACGATATCTTTAAGCATATACAACTTCAATTAAATTGGCAGTCTATATTTCTCTTACTGGACTTAGTACCCCCAATGTTATACAGTGAAATCTCGATAAGTCAAACCTCAAGGGATCAGGTTCAAAAATTTGACTTAAGCAGAGTTTTGAGTTCAGCAGGGTTGTATATCATTGTTATACTACTGAAGGCAATGGATTCTTTGTTTGACTTAATTGTTTTGAGTTATCAGAGTTTGACTTATCGAGATGTCACTGAATACCATTAGAAAGCTCGTGTTCTGCAGAATCCAGAAATACATAAATCCCAAATGTTAAAAAGTCTGACTTAATGCTCATTTTGTCATGACAGGTCACGTATGTCACATAGTTTGCGTGACTTATAGTACAAAAGTGTCATGTTATGTTTAATGTTTTTCACAAGGAAAACTTGATACGGTTGAAAATGATGCACACAGGCCCTAACATTAGCATTCTTTTGGTTTAAATTGAGCAAGGAACCAAAATAAACTTCCTATTTAATTTCAACACCAGATTTGTATTGCTTTCAAAAGCAATTTAAAGCTTTTTAAAACCATTGATTAATTAATTATTTGTCGAAGGCATCCATCAGCAAATGATTCCAAGACAGCAAGAAAGAAAACTATTCTTAAATGAGGATTCACAAATTTTCTTAAGACAAAAAACCACTGAGTCTCTTTTTGACATGATATGCAATTACCTCCAGTTCACCCCTCTCGAATAATGCCTTGATTGGGGAGGGCTGGGTGGCTGCATTCATTAACTGTTGCAGCAGGGTCATCTTGGGTGGGGTCATGCTGTCTGGGCTGCTACCATTCTCCCCTGAGGAGGGGTGGGGCTCTGCGGCCGCCAGGAGGGACAGGACCTTGCGGAGGTTGTCCTGCTTGCTGAACATGACTCGGGCGGCACGCAGGAGGGCCAGGCGGATCTGCTGCTTGCGAAGACGGTTCAGGTTGACTGCATCTGGAAAAACGTTTTACTCATTAACAATAATAATACATTGTATTACATTGTACACTGTATTTATTTGTCAATATTTCTGGGGAAAAAATGTGGCGGGAAATTCTTGGCGTTTGTTATGATACCTGGATCTGCCAAGCCACTGCCGTTCCTGCCAGACAGAGCTCTGAGGGCCTTGAAGCCAGACCCAGCTAGGCTGATGAGATGCACCCAGGCATCCAAGACAGCAGGTGTCAGGCGAAGCTTGTCAACGTCAAAACTCAGAATAGGGACCTGAAGAGATGTGAAAAGAAATGGTTCAAGGTACATACTTTCCAACTATTTTTTAAACTAATCGTAAAAGTGTCAACCTTTGTTCTCCGGATTACCATAAAAAGTTTAAAATGAGGTTAATAAAAAAATGACTTACTGAAGTAATGGAGGAGAGTCGACACATCCTTAGCACTCTCTGTTCTTCAAACTGAACTGTCAAGCGGCCACTGGCTGCGATATTGGCTACCGTCCCTTGACCAAACTCTTCATGTCTGACCAGGCCACCGAGCCGCGGCCGGCCATCCAGGCCACCTATCATGGCCAGCGCTGACATGACGGCGCCATCCTTGGCCAGGGTGTCTTCTTGGCTTACGTTCTGAGGCTGAGGAGTAAGAAACAAACGGTAATACTTAAATAGACAGTAATACTTAAGCCACATGTCTTGAAAATTGCACTGAAATTATTTTTCCCCTTATACCATGTTGTAAGAAAATGGACCTTTATATTACCGAGCATGCTTCTAAGGTTTTCTTTCAGCTCTTAAGCTATGTCTCAATCATAAATATAAATATTCACGAGGTGTATTAACATAAATTTGCATACTGACCTCTGCATGACCCTGCTCCAGCAGGATGTCCGTGACCGTACTAAGCTGCTGTGTGATGTAATCATTGATGGTCTGGTTCCAGGCTGGTAGGGTGTGTAGTCGGCGTAGTAGGATGATGATCTCCTCAGCCACGGTGCTACCCATGGAGGCTGTCAGGGAGACCTTGCAACGAGACTGCTTCTTACCCTTACTGCTACCGTCTGTTGTAAGAAGAACAGTTTCTTAATTATTATTTTTCCAACATGTAAAAATTCTTAATTGAAGTACTGGTAAGGAAACCAAAAATACCTGAAAAAAAAATCTGCAGCACTGTAGAACAAAAGGAGCTGTAAGATACTTGCAGAAAGATGACAATGAAGAACTTTCTAATTTGAGAGGTGGGTGAAATTTGTAAGAAGTTTTTCTTCCCGTAAACAAACAAAGAAGAGGGAAAATGTTTCTTCACTATCATAATTCTCCTCAAAGGCAATATACAGTTTTATAAAAACTGATATGGACTGCCATAGATTACATTAAAATAAAATAGAAATACAACATTTGTAGAACAACCGTCATCTTCAAAGATAAAATTTAAAAGATCAGATTTCTGTAATGTGAAAGTATGAATTCAATCAGCTTTTGTTAGGTATGAAAATAGATTATGTAGAATATTAAGTTTTGACACAACAATCTTTAACCTGGAGTGATTTAGTAGGATCCTTCCTCACTCCAACAAATTCCAACAAAACAAAACATGCAGTAAGATTTGGAAGGGTTGAGGTGGTTAAGGTTAAGAGAGAAACAAGAAAGGTGGAACAATAATCTATCTTTGAAATATACAGAGCACTTCTATTTATTTTTACTGGTGAACCACAATAAAGTCATTGGAATTAAATCTATTTACTTTAAAGTGGGTGTACTAACCTGAGTATGGGTAGGGTAAGTCGGCTGAGCAGGCCAGCAGCACTGAGCCTAGTAAAGTGAAGAGTTTCTTGACGAGGATGTCGGTGCGAGGCGATGGCTCCGTTCGCTCCCAAGCTGGTAAGATTGCTCTCAGAAGACGCAGGACTGAAATCTATAGACAAGATAAGCACAAGAAAATATAGGAACAAGAAATGGAAAGAGACTTTGATGAGCATGTATGCCAAAATGACTTACAAAAAAAAATTGGCACTATTTAATGGAAATTTGTTCCACATCATTAAATAAATGGACAAGATTTGATCTCATGGAAATACATTTCTTCTAAGCCTTAAGAAGATGGTTTGAAAACTGGTGGGTAATCTGCCGACGTTTCAGTTAGTATGCACTGATCATCTTCAGGATTGTCACTAAACCCAGGGGTGTTCAGACGGTGAAATTGCAGTCACAAATTGGACAACTTCCGTACTGTAAGAGCATAATACAGGCATGCGAGGGCTAAAATTTAATTGAGCCGTATTAACTTTTGTCTGAGTAGTTTATGCATGTAATTGCACCCTCTGGGGTGGATCCTCATTGCTCACTGTTAGCCTACCTGCATGGTAATGGTGTCCGGTGTGATGTCTGGTTTCCTGACCATACTCAGCAGCAGGTCCATCCAGTCTGGTGTGCTGAGGGCTCGGCACAGGCTAGGGGCACTGGCTACGCTGGAGATGAAGCCCAGAGTGGCCCACTCATGGTACTGCTGACTGGCTACCAGTCTGGATGGGGACAGCTCACCTGAAATGATTGAGGTAAACAAAATAGGTCAGAACGAATTTCAGAGCTCAGCAGAAACTTAAGCTGACATTTAGCAAAGTAAATTTACTTCCTTTGTAAGAATAATCTGAGAACTATCTTGCAAAGAAGTAATTGCTAGGTGATATTAAACTAAGACCTAGTTTAGCAGGTTGTACTCTCTAAGCAAGAATAGCCTCAGAACTAACTTAGCAAACTTCGATTTCTAAGCAAGAACAATCTGAGAACAAACTCAACAGATTTACATCTTTAGCAAGAATACTCTGAAAACTTGCTTGGCAAATTTTACAGAAAACATGCTTTGGAAGTTTGCTTTCTAAGAGAGTACAAGCGGAGAATAAGTCACAATCAACTTTCTTCCCCCGATATTTTGGTTGGCATACTGTTTCTCCTCAGCAAAAAAAATGGTCTATACGAGATAAAATCAAGTTTCTTTCTTTATTTCAGATTTCATTTCTACGAATTAATTTTTTTAAAGCTAATTTGAACCTCCCTTCCAACCCACCTTCAAGTGATGGCTTTGCCTGGCCGGCATCCACCAGCGTCCGAAGTAGTCCGCACAACGTCTTGGTGGCGTCTCGCTGCATGTTCTCAGCATGGATGCCGCAGCTGAGGGTCAGAAGCTGAAGGAGGCAGATGCTAGACCGGCGGATCAGGGCTGTTGGGTGGCTGCTCTCTGGACGTTTCTTAGCAGCTGTCAATAAAAAAATTCAAATAAAATTAAATTAAAAATAACTTAAAATTAAATTTCAAAATTTACGTAAAACTTTTAATTTTGACACGACAGAGCTCAACAATCTAGGTCAAACTTGGAAGTCAATGTGGGCAATTCCACCCTGCCGTAGGTGATAACCCCTATTTTTAAAATGGATTAGTCCTCTTTACCTGGATCTATAATGCATTCCTTCTCATCCTCGGCCTGTTCCACTACCGGCAGGGGGCCGGCCAGCTTCAGGTCATACCTCCCCTCCTTGCCCATGCGGTATGAGTTGGTGCTGCCTGTGTCCCACTGCACGCGGATCCAACCATCCTCCCCTAGTTCTCCGATGACCCGCCCCTCACTGGGTGGGGGTCCGTCCTGAAAATGATCCACGAAATCGTAAATTGGACAGGCACTTTAAATGACCATTAAAATGGAACGGCTGCAAAAAGGAAAACCAATAACAATACCATGACCCGAAATATGACAAGAGACCATAGATCTACAACACTAACCATGTGGATGTAGGTCCAAAGACCATAAATCCAACACCGTACTTCATAAATCTTAGACAAAAGATCATAGATCTAACACCACAAAACAACATATCAAAGACTATAGATCATAGATCTTAACCATAAACCCTAGATCCATGACCACAGACCATAGATCTAAAACGCCAAGAATTAAGACCGCAGATCTATGACCACAGATTGCAGAACAAAAACACAAACCATAGCCCATGGACCACAGATCTAAGACCACAGGCTAGACCAGAGACCAAATAGCAATGAACTATAGTTATTGGACAACCACCACCAGCCAAGAAATAGAACCACAGATCTATAATCACAGACTGCAGAACGACGACACACATTATACACTTTGGACAATGGACCACAGATCCAAGACCACAGACTAGACCAGAGACCACATGACAATAAGCTATAGTTATTGGACAACCACCACCAGCCAAGAAATAGAACCACAGATCTATAATCACAGACTGCAGAACGACGACACACATTATACACTTTGGACAATGGACCACAGATCCAAGACCACAGACTAGACCAGAGACCACATGGCAAAGAACTATAGCTATCAGACCACATAGTTATCATAGCTCCTAGAAAATAACTATTTTTCCCGTACCTGATCTCCCCATTTCCAGTCCTGTCCTCTCACCACCCTGGTGCCAATCTTCATCATACCAGCCAGCTCAGGCCCGCTGGTTGGCATGGGGGCCGGCTGGGGCATGTTGCGGGTCTCTTCAAACACTGTCGCTGGCAAGGGGCTGTCATCGTCATTAGAACAGTCATGATCGGGACCTGGAAGATTTTGCCAATGAAAAATTAATAAACACCTTACGAGCAACTAATGAGCACTGGTAAAATTGCAAAAGGTCATATAAACTGTCTCATGTGTGCTTGCTGCAGAGTCTAACATTTTTTGTCTGTGTGGTGTCATCCAAATACAAGGCCATGACATTGAAGGCTCAGCTACAAACTAGAAAGAACAAAGTCAGTCTCCTGACAATGACTAGAGCAGGCTAGTCGAAACGTTGAGACCAAAGACAAGTTCTTTTTGAACTTAAAGCAGGACTTTTCTTATCAGAACAAAAACTGCTTAGCAAAAGTCGATAATAAGCAGGACAAATTCTTTTCAGAACTAAATATCTTCTAAGCAGTAGTTATTACCACATGGTGTTACCGCAAACCGAAACGATACCGATACTCCACCATGCAAAGCCTCAAATCTTATGACAGAAACGAACTAAAGACGTCATAGTAACAGAAGAGTACAAGGATTTTGAATATCTTACCAGTAAGTCTAAGGATAGTCTGCATCAGTCCCAGCACGCCAGAGTTAAGCAGCAGACTCACGCCACAGGCCAGGTGTTCCTTGGTCAGCATCCCCAGGGTAGCTAGTATGAACCGAGCCTGTGGTAGCACCCCCAGCGTCAGTCCACCGTCTTCCTCTTCTTCCTCCTCATTGGCTACCTGGGCCGAGCAGCTCAGCGTCTCATTGGCCGATAGCACCTGATGCCGGAGCTCATCCACGGCCCAGCGGCTCAGCTTGGCAAAGGTGGTCTGGAGGATGACGCGGTCGTAGGGCGGGATCAGGTCGACGTTTTTCAGGCAGTGGGAGTTTGCGTCTTGGAAGAGGCGTGGGTGGGCGGTGTCGGTGTGTCGGTCCGCCAGGCCTTGCCAGCCACAGAGCATGGCGTATCGAACCGAGGGGATGAGCTGGTCTTTCCTTAGCTGGGCAAGCATGGCGTCGGCGCCTTGTAGGCGACTCTCAGCTCTCTCAAGCTGTGGAAAAAGAACCAAATTCAAACTATGAACTTAGAAAATCTGAACATTTCTGTAAAGTGGAGACACTTTTTACATTTCCATTTGAACACAAATTAGCAAACAACCGACACTGAATGGCTGTAGCTCATGAATATGTAAGAGTTTTAGTTATATTATTGCTTTGGATTGAGGCTAAAGAGTGCCCTCAATCGTTTGTGCACAGAATGTATACTTAACAATGGCATGTATTTAACACCATAAATTTGACACCTCTAACAAACTGTTCTGAATAGCTTAAACATCGCAGAAACATTCAAATGAAAAATGAAACCATATTCAATTTCAATTAATTCTTCTAAATATCAATTCTTCAAACTTTATATTGCTGGACCTACCTGGGAGTAGAGAGCCATCCGGAGTTTCTCCAGGTCCAGGTTGCTGTCGTTGATGGTAAACTCCACAATCTGGCTCATGAGGGCGGTCTGCGTGGAGGCACCTGTCATGCGCTGACGCAACCACTTGAACTTACGGGCGCTGGTGATGGCACTGACCACAGCTCTCCAGGAGTCCTGCTCAAGAAATCAAAGGTCATCCAATTTAAGTATTGATTATAATTTCCAACTTAACACTGTCAAATTTTTAATGATATTATTCAAAATCTTTTGGGTGTGATCTCCGACCACTAAGCATGCATGGGTTTCATAGCGTCTCACTAGTATCCACAGAAAAAAATACAACAAATTGGGAGACTGCCAAAATAGGTTTGATAACTCGGTAGGTGGATGTTCTGTAGATGTATTTCAGTTTCTTCCCGTTTAATCAAGAATTATAAGTTTTCCAGAGAAGAGCATAAAGGCTGACTTACGGACAATTTTAGGACCATGAAAATGATTTCCTTCTTTCCAGCCATATTTTAAGACTACTGAATTATTTTTTTTATATGAAAGATTTTCCACTGTCTAAAATTTTGTGTTCCACTTTGTGGTGCTATATGAGTCTTCCAACTTGTAATAGAAAACAACATTACACCCAGAGGACTTGAGTTTAATGGACAAACATGAGAGTCAATACCTTATCTTTAGCCGGCTTCTTCTCTGTCTTTGGCTGCTGCTGTTTGGCAAAAATTCGAACCACTCCCGCTCCGCCTACCGCTCCGGGCTCTTCACCTTCTGCCTCGCCGCCGTCCGTCTTGGCTTTCACGTCCTTGGTTCCCTTCTCTTCCTGGGCCGAGGCTGGGGATCAAAGTCAGGAAAGATAAAGTAATATCAGTGGAAAACAGGATAAATGCCTGTACTGATTCTACAAGAATCAACAACACTCAATGAAGCTGAAACAAAATACCTTACAATAAATTACTGGAACACCGCTCAGAAAAAAATATATCTAACTACGAAGGGCTTCAATGAGACGGTATGACTTAGGCCGTGTCCGAAATGGGCTTCCAGAGCTACAGCTTTGTCTATTGTCAGTGCGTCCCCGCGTATTTTCAATGGGCGTGGACCTAGACCTAGCTCTAGACAGTTGATTCGGATGCAGCCTAAGATAAGATGAACAATGGGTGAACTGTTGAGCACAAATGTAGACCCCGTGCAGGAAAAGTAGATGACATTGTGTGGCCTACTCATGAGAGCCTGTACGTCAAGCACTAAGTGCATATTTGCATTGCTTCGTGTACATATGTGATTAAACATCTCTTATTATCATTTGAATATGCACAGATCAGTAGCATCCTTGAAGAGGAACAAAATTGAATGTAGGCACACAGCAGCAATGGTGCTCAAGTGACCACATCTCTCTCTTTCTTTTCGATATTAAGAGGTACTTGTGTAGAGTCCTTAAAGAAATTACTGGATTCCCCCAAAAGATTTGGTAACGAAGTGTTTAATATTTATTGGATTTAGAGTAGTTTGATTTAAATTAATTGGTCTCTCTCAAATGACGTCATTTCCTACAGACCAGCCACGTACATTGGCATTTTGAGCGTCAACTGGCATAACCCCATCGGCTGCATCGTATTTCAAACACATTTCGAGCAGCAAGCGTGTGTGTTTGGAAATTTTAGACACTGTGCAATGCGTGCTTGATTGCTTAAAATGCGCAGTTGCAGTTCACCTACAAAGATGACGGTCTTTGAGAGAGAGGAATCAAAGAAACAAAACTGGGTACCTGAGACAGCAGCAGCAGCAGCTGCGGCCGTAGCTCGTCGCTGCCTGATCATCTTGAGCACCACCTGCTTCCAGCGTGGCGGAGTGCTCAGGATCTTGAGTCTGGACAGAGCGGACACCTCATTGCCGATGGCCGGGCGAAGCTCGTTGAAGATGAAGCGGCAGCGCTGGATGACTGGGTTGCAGACGTCTTCGTAGGAGTGGACTAAATCCTGACGGGTCTGTGATAGAAGAAAGATGTTAAACTGACAGATAACTCTTTGCCAACATAAAAAACTGCACCTTTGTTTGATAGCACGGAAAGTGAAAATGTTACAAATCATGCCAACATATTATCTCTCCGTCTCTTAAAGGAGCCACTTTATGGCCTTAGTTGATGAATTGTAAAACGGACAATGTGATACTACTTTGTACCAAGAAAAAAAGAAAAACTTAATGGAAAGTATATAACTTTGACAAGGGCAGACAACAAAAAGTCTTTCTTACAAAATAAAGGAATTTTATAATTGATTGGGGTCAAGGAACCGAAAGTTTGAGGGAATTTCCTTAGTATTTACTGATTCTTGTCTGCATATTTTCTGCATGAACAAGTGAAGTACCAACACCAATGCTCAATAAAACACACTGTCTTTCGAAGTATTATTAAGGTACCTTCATGAGTGAGCGTTTTGCCTGGCAGACCACTTTGCAGACTTCAGCGATGGATTTAGGCATAGCAGAATGCCTCAGATGTCCGAGACCGTCCCCCTGTGCTCCGTGCTCCACCAGGGCCAGCGCGGCATGCCCCAAGTCGTGGTGCTTCAGGATGCACGCCATCAGTGACCGACCGGCAACCTCGATAGGATGTGTTGGCGGGAACTCAATAGGCGGGACTAGATGATGCAGACGGCAGTAGCGATCACACTGGGCTAGGAACCCTTTAACGCCAGGATCCTGCAGTCTGCTGTCGGCTAGAGCTTGTAAGAACGGCCGGGCTGAATCAGCTAGCGACGCCGAGCGTGCAAAGTACTTCTGGTTATCCTCGTACTTTCCCGGAGCCTGAACCGGCGTGGTTGCGGGCGTGGAAGCGTTAGACCCCCGGTCCAAGCGTTCCAGGACGCTGGGACGCTGTCCTAGCTGCAACCCACCGCTGAATAGTGGAGAGTCCAGCCAATGGCTGTTGTCGATTTCAGCTGGGTGGAGGGAGTTCCCACAAGCTTGATGGCAGGAGGTGAGGCCAATGAGGAGGCCGAGGGCTCGCTCGGCATCGATGAGAGGGGAGGAGGTGCAACTGGATTCAAGTGCTGGGATGACTATATCCTCCTCAGGCTGGGAAAGAAAATGCAATAAGTGTCTTTACAAATGTGATGGGTTATCTCACATTTGGGTGGCTACATTTTAAGTCATTGGTACATAACAAATGACAGTTGCTGGTTCACACAGGTCTATGAATATCATTACAAGAAACTCAACAAATCCCAAGAACCCACATTTGCTCAACGCTGTAGAAAGCAACACAATAGGAACTCTCAAGACTTGTGAAATCGGCTGTACTAAAACTGCACTTCACTTGTTAATTGTACACTTTAACAAAACTTGTGTGTTAAGTTTCACAAGTATTTCTTAGGCTAATTGAGTGGTTTATCATGATATTCACAGGAGTATCTTAAAAAGTTCCTTATAAACTTACCCCGACATACATCCCGACAAAGAAGCTCTCCATCATCAGAACTGCCTTGGCTGAGTGACCGACGCTCTGAAATTCCTCCGTCGCATCTTTGGCTACAAAGACAAATATTTATCGATACAAATCACTGGACATATTTTGAAAAAAAAGTTGTAGTGTGGCATTGAAATCAGGATTTTGTAACTGATGCTAATGACTGAGATTTTATAGGACTCTCAAAGAAATCATACATGGCTTAGGCCAAAAAAAAAATTTCTGCTTCCGATTACATGGCATTCGAAAATAGGGTATGTAGGTAGGGAAATTTGGGGGGGGGGATTTATTTTGTGTACAATCATATGGAGGTGTCTACGTGTAGTCAAGGGATGATTTTTGGGATTTTCCCTCATTTTTCCCCCCAAACATAATTAGGGTAGGGGCTGTCAAAATAGGGAAGGCAGGTTAACCGGAAGCAGAATTTTTTTTTTTTGGCCTTATAGTTAACAATCAATGTTGCAAATTGATCCACTTTGACCTTACTTATAAATTCATTTGATTGAAGTAATGTGATTGTTGCAAAGTGTCTTGCTCAAGGACACAAGAAACAATTCAAAACATTGCCATTACAAATGTACTGTGCTCTCCTAACAGACTTTATGTAAGAGCTGTTAAGGTGTTGTACAGAATGAAATACTTCAAAAGCCACATGATACTGCATGAGTTGATTTGTGTGCTTCTACAAAATCAGAGGTTAAGCAAGTAATAATAATTATAATGGAGTCTTATATAGCGCACGTATCTACCAACAATTAGGTACTCAAGGCGCTGCAGATTATGTCTATTATTAAAGAAAGGTAAATAAAGTTTATGAGAAATATGAGACCCATTATGTAGCACCTTATAATGGTTTACAAGGTGCTGCGGCGCATATTGCAGCCAAATGACTGTACGGTGTAGAGTGACCCACCAATCAGTAACTATCATATTTTTACCACTAGAGAGCTCGAAGCCCATACCTGCATATTGCTGCAGTTTGTCCTTGCCACACGGTGCGGTGCAATGGAAGTCCTTCAAGTCATACACCTTGCCGTTGATGACCACCCACAGTCCTCCATCCTTGTTGTGGTTCTCCAGGTCAGCCTTGCGGATCAGTGGGACGTCCTCGGGTGTCATGGGGCAGTTGGAGGTCGCACCGCCTGACGCCGACATACCGCAAATCCCACCTGCATTCAAGTGAAAACATTCATTCCATTTCAATCAACAGAGATCTTAGCAGGAATTAATCTCAAAAGCCTTCAGGAAACTTTGCCTTTGAGTGAGATTCTGATATAATCAAAATTTCAGATCTTCTTACATTTGTAATTTGAATATCAGCATTTTAGCTCTTTCCAGATCATCAAAATTAGTCTTCAGCACTTCACAATCCTTCAAATTTTGCAAAACCCCTTTTCCCCATAAAGCTACCACCCGCACTTCAAATTCCTTTGAGGTAACCTTCTGTGGAGTATGGATAACGGTTCAATTCCCTGCACAATTCTTTTGTGATGTTAAGCTCAGGGCAAGCAGGCAGATTCAGTCACGCTTCACTGCTCTCCACAGTGCTGTTTTTGTGTGCAGTGACTCTCTGTGTGACACAGTTACTTTAACACTTCATATCCCTTCACCTGAAACTGACCTGCAGGGCTTTTAATTATGCGTTTTATATATTGCTCTAAGTATTGACTTCCCACTAGGAGGGTTGACATTTCTTTCAACAATACAACATTTTGCAAGTAAGCCAAGATACGCCCAATCACAAGATGATCTGATTTGGACAAGAGAACTCAAAAACATTTAACATAAAATTGGATGCTTAGCACAAGATGATTCTATTTAAACATGAGACCTCATCCATGCTTAGCAGCAATTTCTCCGCTTAATAGGTTACTGACCTCTGAGATGACCAGACCAGGCCAGGTCTTCCGCATCCTCTTTGTCCATGCCCGGAGACAGCCGGTTAAACACGTCCAGCAGGTCAACTAAACTGGTGAGGTCATTAATCGGGATTGAGCGCCGCTTGACCTGGAGCAGGACCAGGCTAGCGATCAGCTCTGGAAGCAAGACACCTGCAGATAGGATCAATAGATCAATTAATTGATTGATATGAATAAAATTGATTTGTCAATTTTAAAAAGTATGACAAGCGATGGGTCTAGTGGTAGGACACCCTTCGATCCGATGGGAATTGATCAATAAATTGAAGAACTGTTTGAATAATCCAAAGAATTCAATAAATCTAAATACTACCACTGGTCCATGGATCTTACTGATTATAAAATGTACATAACTTAAAACTTTTTATATTTTCAAAGAATATTTAATTTTCAAAATAGTATCTCAAATTTTACCACAATAGCCAGCACTACAAATTTTAATTTTCAATCAAACTTTGCACATTTACAATACATGTAGCTAATTATACTTCTTTTACAAAAGATACAAAATGAGCGAGTTTGCTTTCTATTTCCAAGTGTGAAACTGAAAAAAATATCTCCATGGTTTCTGCTTGCTTAGGTTCACAATTACTTTGCATTTTGGATTTTTTTTTCCTGAAATTACATCATGCACAATACCTGAGAGATCAGACTCGATGATGCTAGCCACAGCCGGGAACTGTTTAGGAGTGCGAGCGGCTAGGTCTGAGGCTGCAGGCAGCACATCATGGATGTGAGCCGATAGAAGACTGATGTACTTCCTCAGGAGAGACACTGCACCCAGCGTCTCAGAAGCTGAAAGAGGACAGGATTTTTTTAAGTTAATATTTTGCTTCATTTGTTTGGGTTTCTGCAATTAATTTTGTATGAAAATAGTAAAGCCGCTACACTAGAACTTTCATAAACCCGACACTGCAAAGTCTCTCTCTAGAAAATCTAGAGGCATTTTTCCACCCACTTCACAAATCTGATTTTTTTTGGTCAATACCGTCTTCTCACTTGGTCTTCACTAAAACCAACCTAAAATAGGTTCCCAGTTCTTTTCCATACAATGACCCCACACTATCTTGTGGATTCCATGTTTTGAATTTACAGCTGCATTCTAAAAGGTTAACATCTAGTGTCCAAGTTGAGTCTATCAAAAGTCCCTATAAATCTCCACAAGTCAAGCACAAGTCATCCACTTTTAAGTCAAGTCACAAGCTTGTCAACTTTGGACAAAATCATTCCCTCGTTAACATACACCCGATTTGGGACTTGCACACGACCCGACCAACGTATGCGACAACTAGAAGATGGTGTTTGTAGACACCCCCTGTTTCTTGTGACTGGACTTGTGAATTGACTTGTGATTAAATTGTGACCAGACGTGTTACTGGACTTCATCACTGGTTAATTTGAGTCTCAACTCACAAGTTGCCTGACCGCAGGCCGACTTCCGCCGCTGGCTGTCAAAGGGAAACAGGAAACAGACCAGGAGCCTCTGAAACTTGAGCAGCAGCTCCATGGAGGTGGACTTCTCATTCTTGACCATGATGGGAGGCGGATCGCTCTTGCTGAAATCTACCGACAACTCCTGGAGCTTGGACAAGGTGATGGACGATGCATTCCTACAAAAATCAAACAAGCAATGAATCAATCAAATCAAATCGAATCAAATATAACTCTGACGTCTAAGTTATTTTGGTTTGGGTTTAAGTCAAGAACTTACAATTTACAAATACAGGACAATAAAGCTTAGTTTCTGGAGTGATCCAGTGGTCTAAGGTGCATAATACAGTGTGGTGTTTTTTTCAACTCACTCAGATTAGGTATAAATAAGTCATTAAGTATAAACCAGAACTAACTTGAGGAGTTGTTGCACTAGTTGCAGAAGTGGGATGCTCATGCTGATGTCCTTGCTGGTTCTCTGTTGCTCTTCCCTGATGGTTCTCTTTTCAGCTTCCCCCTCAGTGACCCCTCCCCTGCCTCCCTTGCCCCCCTCGGTGCCCGGGGGAGGTTCAGCGATGTCTTTCTCCTTCTGGCTTTCCAGTTCTCGGACCTCGGAGTGGACGGAGGCATCGAGGGCCGATTCCAGGCCACCGTCGGCCATCAGGCTGCCTACCAGGAGGTCCATCATAAATCGACGGCCGGGAGTCATCGTGACACTCTCACCTCCTGCAAGAACAACAACATTTATAAAAGATGATCTCTCCATAAAACTTCTGATTCCGATTCAACTGAAATCTGATTTGGAATACGGATCAAATGTACCTGTTTGAATTCAAACCATGTGATATCTAATCCAGCTAATTATCACAGTGACTACTTGTGTCTTTAAGCTAGCCAATTTACCACAATTGCCTTAATACTCAAGACATCAAAAACAAAACTGGTACCTATCACAAAAATTACAGGAAAAAGCCACAGTTTATAAATGGCATGCACAAGCTGAAAGGTTAGCAAAAAGGGAGGTCACACAAATGCCGGCGCTCCTGAACAAAGAAACTGACAATACATTGATAAAAAGTTTGATTCTCTTTTTTGTTTCAAAGACAAAAACTTACCGCCACTTGGTAGTAGAGCAGACAGTGCCCTGGCTCTCTCCTCAGCTGTGGGTAACAGCATGGACCACCCCGTCTGCAAAGTGGACTGGGCCGCAATCTGCACTGTTGGAATGACACCCGCATTGCTGGCCAAGTCCACTACGCGCTGTTTGAGGTTGGACAGGAGTGTCCCTCCCAGGCCTAGCCCGAGCTTCTCGGCATCCTCGCCATGGGCTATGGCTGCATGGAGCTGGATGATATTGAAGAAAAAAAGTGTACGTATCATAAATTTCACAACTGTTCTCCCATTGTGTTGTGTAGTGCAAATTACAAACAGCTGATGCTAAAGGACGTCTGACATTTTGACTCATAATGTCTGCAAATGGTTCTTTGGGAAGATGTTAATAATCCACACTTTGTGCACAAACCTGTAGTCTGAGTAGGTTCAACCCAGCCACGGCCATGCACTCCTTCTCCTGGGGTGGAGGCCAGTCACTAGGGCCATCCAGACCCTCACAGACACGCTCAAGCAGACCGTCTAACCGCTCAAAGGTGGACTTGGTCACGTGGACGCTGAAGGGAATACTCAGGCCGACTGACCAGTTGCCGCTGGACGTCCAGGCATAGCTCTGCAGAAGAAACAAAGGCCAAAAGGTTTAGAAAATGACACAAATTAAATTCAATGCATTTTGAATGAATTTCGCAGATGCTGGCAGTCTGACTCCTCATATAATGAGGGCAGATCACCAGTCCATTATATTTGACATGTTTGTGAGCTTACTTGCTTGGGGCTGACCACTTAGCAGAAATATATTATATAAGATTTGAGGCTTTGCATGGTGGGGTATCGGTATCGTTTCGGTTTGCGGTAACACCATGTGGTAATAACTACTGCTTAGAAGATATTAGTTCTGAGAAGAACTTGTCCTGCTTATTATCAACTTTTGTTCTTAACAGAACAAAAAACTACTTAGCAAAGTTGATAATAAGCAGGACAAGTTCTTCTCAGAACTAATATCTTCTAAGCAGTAGTTATTACCACATGGTGTTACCGCAAACCGAAACGATACAGAAATATATTGCTTAACAAATTTAGCAACAATCAGCCAAGAACGACTTACACACAACAATCATCACCTCACCTTTGGGTTAGTAGCAAATTTTTGCAAATTCTTTTTTTTTCTGTCTTAGTGCTAAAGAATACTTTGTCTAAGCTTAGCTAACTTTAAAATTTTGTCCCCTAAACTTACTCTTGAAAAGCACAAGCAACTCGATTCTGTTAAGTGAATATTGTTTATGATAAGTAGATTTCTGTGGTAAGCCAAATAAGCTATAAAACTCAACTCAAACAGCTGCATACAATATCACTGATGGCCTTCTGCCAGCACAGACACAACAGCTAGCACCCCCTTCTGTTTCTACCAAGCTTACATTTTCCATGCTAAGCAGCTTTCTATACTTAGACAATTTGGCAGCCAAGTACAGAAACTGGCTAAGATTACTTACATTTGTAAAGCTGCATGCGATGCCGCTGATAGCCTTCCCTTCCAGCGCAGTCACTGTCACCAGCTCCACCTTGCTCCCTTTAACTGCCGTCGTGGCTTGACTGATCTGACCCTGCAGTAGCTCCCCGGTGTCAGTCAGCACCTGGAACTGCCGCTGTCCTGCCGCAACGTCCACTACCTTCTTGCTCTGCAGTCCCTCCACCAGCTTGGGGAGACGGTAGTGGTCGTCTGTGGGTTGGCCCAGTCGATTGTCATCACCTCGACCCCTGAGAAAGAGCAAAGAGCAAAAAGGAAAAAGAAAGGGCTTAAAGGGAACATAGAACATTTGCCTTTGCTGTAATTTTCAGAAATGGATGGATTTGGGGGTTAGTATTTTATAGCAAATATTGTTACACTGACTTGTTTGAAGTTTTGTGTTCGTAGATGCTGGGAAAACCAAGAACAACAATCATTTTCCTGTAGTCTGGTTCCCTGACCCCCACTTAAGATGAAACGGAGCCATTTATAGATGTTGAGGAACTGTAAGGTCAGGGAACCAGTCTTGCTGGCTTGTAATCGATAGGTGTGTAATCGATTGCAAACAAAATGCAAACTAACTAAATATGGGAAATTGGGGGCAGTATTTGAAAAAAGCCAGTTTTTTAATGTGCTGTCACGTGACTCGTGATGACGTCATGATGACGTCAATGTTCGGCACACATCTGTGGGTGGTGGTCTAAGTGTATGCCAGGTATAAAGGCAATCGGGTTGATCTTAGTGCCCAAAGTGCCGGGAACAAAAAACGTGTACAAATGATATGGGCAAAAAGATTGAAAAAGGAAAAAGAAAAAAAAACACAAGAAAACAAAGGCTGTTTCGACATGTTTGCCGAAAAACAGCCTCAACGTCACAAATTGTGTCACACATAGAGGCAGCCGCTCTGTCAATAAATATGACGCCAACAATGACCTTGGTGACACATGATTGCCACAATTTCATAACCAGCCCACCACTGGTCCCATAAAAAATTTAATTTCGTGCCAAGAACTGATTACTTGGACAAAGCCTGTCAGGTTTAATAACTTTCCTTCAAACTGGCAATATACTGCCGTATACCAGAACGATCCAAATTGACGTGGCCTACATGTAGCTCCATCGACTCTGCGTGCCAAGAACAGACTGATTACTTAGACAAAGCCTGTCAGGTTTAATAACTTTCCTTCAAACTGGCAATATACTGCCGTATACCAGAATGATCCAAATTGACGTGGCCTACATGTAGCTCCATCGACTCTGCGTGCAAAGAACAGACTGATTACTTAGACAAAGCCTGTCAGGTTTAATAACTTTCCTTCAAACTGGCAATATACTGCCGTATACCAGAACGATCCAAATTGACGTGGCCTACATGTAGCTCCATCGACTCTGCGTGCCAAGAACAGACTGATTACTGAGACAAAGCCTGTCAGGTTTAATAACTTTCCTTCAAACTGGCAATATACTGCCGTATACCAGAACGATCCAAATTGACGTGGCCTACATGTAGCTCCATCGACTCTGCGTGCCAAGAACAGACTGATTACTTAGACAAAGCCTGTCAGGTTTAATAACTTTCCTTCAAACTGGCAATATACTGCCGTATATCAGAACGATCCAAATTGACGTGGCCTACATGTAGCTCCATCTACTCTGCGTGCCAAGAACAGACTGATTACTTGGACAAAGCCTGTCAGGTTTAATAACTTTCCTTCAAACTGGCAATATACTGCCGTATACCAGAACGATCCAAATTGACGTGGCCTACATGTAGCTCCATCGACTCTGCGTGCCAAGAACAGACTGATTACTTGGACAAAGCCTGTCAGGTTTAATAACTTTCCTTCAAACTGGCAATATACTGCCGTATACCAGAACGATCCAAATTGACGTGGCTTAGCTCCATCGACTCTGCGTGCCAAGAACAGACTGATTACTTGGACAAAGCCGGTCAGGTTTAATAACTTTCCTTCAAGCTGGCAATATACTGCCGTATACCAGAACGATCCAAATTGACGTGACTTACATGTAGCTCCATCTACTCTGCATGCCAAGAACAGACTGATTACTTAGACAAAGCCTGTCAGGTTTAATAACTTTCCTTCAAACTGGCAATATACTGCCGTATACCAGAACGATCTTATTTGACGTGGCTTACATGTACCGTAGCTCCATCGCCTCTGCGTGCCAAGAACAGACTGATTACTTGGACAAAGCCTGTCAGGTTTAATAACTTTCCTTCAAACTGGCAATATACTGCCGTATACCAGAACGATCCAAATTGACGTGGCTTAGCTCCATCGACTCTGCGTGCCAAGAACAGACTGATTACTTAGACAAAGCCTGTCAGGTTTAATAACTTTCCTTCAAACTGGCAATATACTGCCGTATACCAGAACGATCCAAATTGACGTGGCCTACATGTAGCTCCATCGACTCTGCGTGCCAAGAACAGACTGATTACTGAGACAAAGCCTGTCAGGTTTAATAACTTTCCTTCAAACTGGCAATATACTGCCGTATACCAGAACGATCCAAATTGACGTGGCCTACATGTAGCTCCATCGACTCTGCGTGCCAAGAACAGACTGATTACTTGGACAAAGCCTGTCAGGTTTAAAAACTTTCCTTCAAACTGGCAATATACTGCCGTATACCAAAACGATCCAAATTGACGTGGCCTACATGTAGCTCCATCGACTCTGCGTGCCAAGAACAGACTTACTTGGACAAAGCCTGTCAGGTTTAATAACTTTCCTTCAAACTGGCAATATACTGCCGTATACCAGAACGATCCAAATTGACGTGGCCTACATGTAGCTCCATCGACTCTGCGTGCCAAGAACAGACTGATTACTTGGACAAAGCCTGTCAGGTTTAATAACTTTCCTTCAAACTGGCAATATACTGCCGTATACCAGAACGATCCAAATTGACGTGGCTTAGCTCCATCGACTCTGCGTGCCAAGAACAGACTGATTACTTAGACAAAGCCTGTCAGGTTTAATAACTTTCCTTCAAACTGGCAATATACTGCCGTATACCAGAACGATCCAAATTGACGTGGCCTACATGTAGCTCCATCGACTCTGCGTGCCAAGAACAGACTGATTACTTGGACAAAGCCTGTCAGGTTTAATAACTTTCCTTCAAACTGGCAATATACTGCCGTATACCAGAACGATCCAAATTGACGTGGCTTAGCTCCATCTACTCTGCGTGCCAAGAACAGACTGATTACTTAGACAAAGCCTGTCAGGTTTAATAACTTTCCTTCAAACTGGCAATATACTGCCGTATACCAGAACGATCCAAATTGACGTGGCTTACATGTAGCTCCATCTACTCTGCGTGCCAATAACAGACTGATTACTTGGACAAAGCCTGTCAGTGTCAGGTTTAATAACTTTCCTTCAAACTGGCAATATACTGCCGTATACCAGAACGATCCAAATTGACGTTGCTTAGCTCCATCTACTCTGTTTGCCAAGAACAGACTGATTAATATAGCGGGCCTCCAATTTTATGCTTTCTTGACATGTGCTGAAAGGACCACGCTGGTGACAACACGTCAAAATTGGCAGCGTTACAATTTGGCATTATCGTTTTGATGAATAGAGTTCCACGCCCACCAAAAAAAAAAAAAAGAAGACAATAATAGTCTCCTCACTCTGATATAGACCTGTGGTTGGATTGCTGGTGATGCCATACAGGGTTTGCGTTTCAAGAGTTAATCTAGATATCACTTTGGGCACAGAAGCATCAACTAAAAACGCACCTCCTACAGTGATTTCAAAACTGAAATTTGTTCTTCAATTTTGAAATTTGGGATTCCAAACCATGGCTGATTTAACAAGATTGCTGCATCTGTATATCTTCATCCAGTTTCAGTGTCGACTCATCAGTAGTGGTTGTGCCAGCTTCGGCTGGAAGATCCCAAAGTCCAAACCGGCGTGCCAACTACCGTGGAAGACCTACGGGAACAACTGCTACCTCTGTGATCTTGAAGACAGAATGTACACCGCGGCCGAAAGTTTCTGCCAACAGTTCTCCCAAGCTGGGAGACCTGCTCACCTGGCATCCATTGCCGACGAGAACGAGAACCGGTTCATATTCGAGTACGGGATGGCGTGTCAGGACAACCAGGCTAGATATTGGCTTGGGTTTAACAGAAAATTCGGTGACCAATTTGCCTGGTCGGATGGCAACACTGCTAACTACACCAACTGGTACCCAGGAGAGCCGGGCCAAGTTCAACACTGCCTTGAAACTACAGGTTCCGGTTTGGGGATGAAGTGGAATAGCGCAGACTGCAAATTGGCCAAGAAGGCAATGTGCAAAATGCCCGCTGCCAAGTAAAGTACCGTCTGATTTTTTGTCTGAAATCTTTCAAATCTAACGTTATCACAGACCGAGGAAATTGTTCATCGATAGTGGAAAGATTTCAATCAACGGGTGCACTTTCACTATTTCAGACTCAAAAAATCACAAAACTGAACAAAGAAAACTATCCAAAGACGCAATGACTTGTAAACGATTTTTAACAAAGATTTCTTCGAAGATTTAAACTTCATGAGGACTTTTCTCTTTCAAATTGTAGTCAATCTGCTTGGAAAGATGAGACAATCGGGTAAGATGGAGACTGGACACCTAGAAAGCAACGCAATTGGCAAAAGCAAGATCCATCACTTGAGGAGACTTTTCAAGCAACAGTCAGAGGAACAGCAAATAAAACTGTTAAGAAAATGACAATTATCAACGAAAAAGAACACAGTGTTTATGATCAGCGTGACATAATAATAAACACACAAACATTTTCCAGTATTGCAGACTTAAAGCCCGAGTCCATCATTTGCAGCTATCAAAAAAAGTAACCGGCGTAATTATTGTTGAAAAACATACTGGTTGAAAGATAGTAAGGGGACTAAACTCCCTGTGAAATTATCCTTTCTGGCAGGCTCTCATTTTGAAGAAATCAACGAAAGAAGGCATTTCCTACGGTGCTTCTTAAGAAGCACCGTAGGAAAATTTAAATTAGTTGTTCGTTTTGTTATTCGGCGCAGCGCGCACAAGCATTGGAACGACGCACAGGCGCGCGCGGTTGCTATAATTCGTTGGATCAGTGCGCAACATCGCGTAAAGCTGCAATTCAAAACAATTCGAAACATGATTTAGCAACTTTTGATTTTAAATTGAGATCCTAGAATGCTGTTTTTCTCGGAATATGAAGCTGAGCTGAAACTTCATCAAGTAAGTTGTTCAGTATCCTTCATTAGATTTTGAACACTTTTGTTGCTTCAAACGAACAAAATGCACTAATTACAAATGATGGACTATAGCTTTAACAAGCTGTCAATAAACTCTAACTGTACCAGACAGGCATATTTCATGCATGGGTATTTGTTAATTTAAACCTCCTATGTGAACATACATTCTGAACAAAGTTGTCCTTTCAGTCAAAATCAATCTAGTGACTATTTTCAACATTGATCAACATTGTAATATTAATGGAAACAGTCATTGTGAAATAGTGGAGATTTTAATTGTGAAATAATGAACAGAGTGAAATAACAGGCACTGGTTATTGTGAAAGTGTTGGCACTATAACTTTGAAACAATTGAAAAATGAAAAATTTTGTGAAATAGTTGGAACAGTAACTGTGAAGTAATGGACACAGAAAAAATGTAAACATACATGTAGGCACTGGTAACTGTGAAATTGTTGGCACTATAATTTTGAAACAAGTTAAAAAATGTAATTGTGAAATAGTTGGAATTGTAATTGTGAAATAATGGACAAAGTACTATTGTAAACATAAGCACTTGTAATTGTGAAATTGTTGGCACTATAATTGTGAAATAATGGACACAGTAAAAGTGAACTCATAGGCACTGATAATTGTGAAATTGTTGGCACCAGAATTTTTAAATACAGAAGAAGAGTTGTGAAATCGTGAAGTAATGGACACAGTAAAAATGTAAACATAGGCACTGGTAATTGTGAAATTGTTGGCACTATAATTTTGAAACAATTTAAAAAATGTAATTGTGAAAAAGTTGGAATTGTAATTGTGAAATAATGGACAAAGTAAAATTATAAACATAAGCACTGGTAATTGTGAAATTGTTGGCACTGTAATTGTGAAATAATGGACACAGTAAAAGTGAACTCATAGGCACTGATAATTGTGAAATTGTCGCACCAGAATTTTTAAATACAGAAGAAGAGTTGTAAAATTGTGGGGATTTTGTGAAAAAAAGGCAATGCAGTTTGTGAAATACTAGTACATGTGTATAATCACAGGAAACTCAATTGTGAAAAATAGTCAGAGTAATAGTGTCTGAAACAATGGGAACTGTAACTATATCAGAAAAAAATGGCACATTAATTTTGAAATTATAATAAATGTTTGAAATTATTGGCAGTGAAATCGTGAAATAATATGAAATAAACAGCACTGTAGTTGTGAAACAATAGGCACAATAATTATGAAACACTAGCAAATGTTTGAGACAATGGCCACTGTAATTGTGACATAATCATGAGCAACACTATCTTGGCAAGTTCTTTGTTTATATATGTGGGAAATCCATTTCACCAACTATTTAATCGCAAATTGTGTAAACCCTTGATTCAAACTTTGACATCTATATTCATGAAAGAGCCAATTTTCTGATCCTTTTTGGTTGTCAACCTCAGTTAGTTTGGGTGAGAAATAAAGGTCAAGGTCGGTGTTGTGAATGGAATTATGAGATTTTGGTGGGTTTTTTTTCTTGTTGTTAAAATCTCGATTTTAATGTCAAACTCTGATTACTCAAAACAACTGTTAAGTCAAACAAAGAATCCATTGCCTTCAGTAGTATAACAATGATGTACAACCCTGCTTAACTCAAAACTCTGCTTAAGTCAAATTTTGAACCTGTTCCCTTAAGGTTTGACTTATTGGAATTTCACTGTATTACTAAAAAACGTCTAAAAAAAAACCCAGAATTTTCGCACTCAGAAAAAAAAGTTCATTTTCAGAATTCCTTTTTTTTTTTTAACTATACTCAGAATTACAGGTTTTTTTCCCAACTTGAGCACAATAAAAATGCCTTATAATCTTGAAGATTTAATTAAATCTGATCCATCACTATTGTGTGTCAAGTTTATTAAATTATTACTTAAGAAATTGGACGACCAGATTTAAGGAAAGGCAGCATTGTTACGGAGCAAAAAATGAAGAAGCACTATGGGTCTATGAACGAGGGCACCCTTTTACCTAGCAACGACGTCCCATGGGCGGGACATTTAGCTTGTTGACGCGCACCGTTCCTTGTAATTTGTGTGTGATGCATGTACACCAGGGAATTTGTACTGTGTACACGCAGTGGTACGGCCGCGCGTCACGGCAAAATTGCAGTCAGGCAAGATGGCGTCGGTCGGTCACCCCCAACTGTACTTTCTTTGCCGCTGAGGGGGTACTTGTGAACGGAGCGAATAGACAGAGCAAAAACTAATATAAATGTGTACATTTTATGTGCAGGCATGGGCTGAATGCCACTCAAAAAGTCTTCAATCTGTGTTGAGGGATCATTCCCATTACTTACCACATCCAGACGGTCCCCATCTCAGTCAGAGCCAGTGAGAAGCGAGCCCCGCAGCAGACCTTGGCCACGTTCTGTTCCTGGAGCTTGTCTACAAGACGAGGGGACTTGGGGGTCTCTCGCTCCTTCTGCCCAAGCTGGCCGTACTCCATGTTGCCCCAAGAATACACCAGTCCTATAACGGGGCGGAAAATTAAACCATTACTTGCTGTTAGTGCCCAAATAAACCTCAACCGATTACCCAGTTTCACCAAATTCCCTTAAACAAATCCTACTATGTTGCTCGCCAGAAATTACAGCTAACAAAATTAACCAGCTCAAGAAAATAATCAGTTCCAAACCAGTCATAAGATATACACATCACATTCTTCATGAATGTCTCAATTCAACGTGTGCTCAGGGAATTTCTTTGCTCGGGTGTTTCATGACATTGCCCCTAAGCAGTTTCCAGATGGATAAAAACAAAATCTCAGAAAATATTTTGAACATTGAGGTTTGCAGTGGCATATGCAGTCTTGATTCATTCTGATTTAGAAGATGAATTGCAAAATAAACATTAGTTTTACAAAAAAAGGTCAGTGTAACTTTTTGATAAATTAGATGACTTTCACGGCAGGAGCACTGACCTGTGTTGGTGAGGGCCAGGGTCTGTCCATCCTGTGACCCACAGGCAACTTGCTTGATGACCTGTCCCTTCAGGTTAGACACTAGGGTCGGGTTCAGACGATCCTCGCTATTACCTGATAAACACGGACAGACACAAGGGCAAATATTAAGGAATATTTAGAGCCTTGCATGCAGAGGTAAACTGTGGTAATCTGCAGTGGCTCAATCAAAAGATTTTCAATCTCAAAAATCGCGGATTGCTTTTTTGATTCCATATGTTATGATAGCAACACTGAAATCAGCCAGCAGTATGTATCATATTAGACCCCTCCTAAACTCCTAAATTCGAGCCCTCCCCAAACCATACCAATCAACCACGCCCCTTTCTCTTGGTAACCTGAGTAACCTGAACTTCATGTGTACAGCTCCCAATAGGCAGTGACTGCAGCACTGAATTTACTCGGCCAGCAATCTTCATATTCATACCCCTCCCATCACATCTTTCCTAAACCACACCCACAAACCGCACCCCAAGACCACACCCAAACCACACCCAAACTACACCCCATGACCACACCCAAACCACACCCTTCCTCATCATAACATACCATGTCCTAGTCGGCCATAACTCCCTGATCCCCATGTGTACAGCTCTCCCTTGGCAGTGATGGCAGCACTGTAGCCGCTTCCAGCAGCAATGAACCACACCCAAACCACACCCAAACCACACCCCAAGACCACACCCAAACCACACCCCTCCTCATCATAACATACCATGTCCCAGTCGGCCATAACTCCCTGACCCCCATGTGTACAGCTCTCCCTTGGCAGTGATGGCAGCACTGTAGCCGCTTCCTACAGCAATGAACCACACCCAAACCACACCCAAACCACACCCTTCCTCATCATAACATACCATGTTCTAGTCGGCCATAGCTCCCTGATCCCCATGTGTACAGCTCTCCCTTGGCAGTGATGGCAGCACTGTAGCCGCTTCCAGCAGCAATGAACCACACCCCAAGACCACACCCAAACCACACCCCAAGACCACACCCAAACCACACCCTTCCTCATCATAACATACCATGTCCTAGTCGGCCATAGCTCCCTGATCCCCATGTGTACAGCTCTCCCTTGGCAGTGATGGCAGCACTGTAGCCGCTTCCAGCAGCAATGAATACCACACGCTGGGATGACTCCTTAGCACCGAAGAGACTTTTTACAGGAGTTGGTTCCGTGCAGGATCTGGTAATAGAAAACAATAAAATTTTGAAACTTATGAAAATATAAAAATTTGTCATTTTTTTACAGGAAGGTGCTCATAACAGTATCATTCTCAAGAGGGCTCACTTTCAAATCATGATGCGTATTTTCTTCCTTGTGAGAGATAACATACACACAAAGATAATGGCTGCCAACTGTCTTCCCAAAGATTCGTTTTTTTGGGGAAGTTCATTTTCTCAAAGTCTGTGCTCTCAAATCATTACCTCAAAATTTCAAATGTTTGAGTATAACGGCCATCAGATACTCAAATAAGCAACATCTGGGGACCGCGTTGAGGAAATCTTCAACTGCCAGCACAATGAATCTGCAACTGTAGTATATATCACCAAAATCTTGGGTGGTCCCCACAACTCACTTAAAAAATTTGAATGTTACAACATCTGAGTTGCCTGCAACTATAAGTATGCATCTGAGAGTTAACAGACTGGTTCCTACCGTTTATCTCCGTGTCCAAGCTCCCCTGAATCTCCACATCCCCACGTGTATACCTCCCCCTCGGCCGTCAGTGCCATGTAATGCTTGCCTGCTGGGTGCGTGGCCAACTGTACTGTGTCCTTGTTGGTTAGGGTGTCAACCAGTTCAAGGTACTGACAAAAAGCAAGCCATGTAGAAAGAGTCAAATTACAGTCGGACATTGGTAACTTCCAAACCATCTACCATAGTTTTCTGGACAAAAATAGGTAGATTTTGGACTGTAAGTATAATGTTATGTTGGTAATCTAAATTTGACACTGTTCACAATGCAAAAAGGCTCAAAATTTATTGTGCAAGTTTTTTGGTCCGAGTACTTCATAGGTCCACTTTCATTCTCTGCACAAGTAAATTACAGGTTAGAAAACAAGGTTCATTTAGTGTTTTGGGTAGTTTTCCTGCCCTGAAATCCAAGAGATTTTTATGTGAAAATGACTAATGACTTCAAAAAAACTCTGCCTGTGTTTGCATTATGAACCTTATTTTGCTGTTCCAAACTAAGGCATCCTGAGATATGGCTGAAGTTGCAACTGTCAAAGACCCAGACAACACCTCTTGTCAAGAGAGTCTGATGAACCTTAAAAAAATAGGGAAAAGTCTTTTTTCGGACTGAAGCTAATAACATCAAAAGCAATTCTGTATCCAAAAAAAGAAATTAAAAAGTCCTGACTTCAAAGTTTACGTCTCACCATTTCCGCCTCACTCTTCTGCATGTACACCTTGCCGGTGCGGGTCAGGATCAGCGTGCATCCTTCTCCGCACACCACCTGCACCACGCCTAGGTTACTGAAGGCAGGGACGGGCACTGGGCCTGTGAGTGTGGAGGAGCTGGGCGGGTTCTTGGTGAAGGGGGCTGACCGGCTGACCCAGACCTCCTGGCCCATGGGAATAACGGGACCCTTGGGGTGAAAAATGAAAACAGAACCCGTTTGAAACCTGTACAACTTTTGATCTTTTTAAACAATTTTGAATAAGTAGGAAAAGTAGGCACATGTGCTAAAAATATTTTGTTAAATATTTTTTTATTTTTCTAAACAGCAACGATGCAAATATAGGTGAACATTTGTTCGAAGAAATCATCTTCTGTATCACAGACAAACTGGATAACACAAACCTGCAAATACACAACAGCCAGCATAATAGTAAAAAGCCTTGGATCTTTTCAGATCCCAACAAGCACAATACAATGATGTGGTTGTGGCTACCTTTTGGCAGACTGTGCTTGGCATGTAAGGAGCAGCGAGGCGGTCTAAATGAGACATGACAATGACTGCAGCCTGTCGTAGGTCTATCGATGCGTCATCATCGTCAGGTAAGGTCAGGTAACGCAGGAAACACTCGGTGGGACTGACCACAGAGGGGCTTACATACTGGAGAGCAAGAATAAGATGGATGAGCAATGGATGGGTTGAGCGATTCATTGAAAAGACGTAGGAAATACAAGTTTGAAAGGTTTTTTTTGTAGTCAAACGTTCATTACCATAGACAAGCAAGTTTCCTAACCCAAGGTAACCCAATTGCATGTTTTGACTTAATGGTCATGAAACAAGCAACAGATCTCCCTGTTGGAAATAAGGTTACTAATTATTTTTGAAATGAGACCAAAATAAAATACCCTTCAGTATAAGACACCTTGTCCTGTTTTATGAACACATGAGTTCAAAAAGCACTTGTTAGTATTTTTTTATCACACAAATTTAATCATTACGTGAAATTTCTCAGCCGCTTGTCAAATTTTTCTTCAAGCATGTTAGAAAAATGTTGACAATTGTACTTGTTACAGTGTTGATTTGCAACTTCAACTGCCTAAAAGCAACACCTGAAGAATGATAGTGAGCAAATGAGGCTTTTGTAAAATGCTTAACTCACATCATCTTGGTTGCTCCCCTCGGCAGTAAACTTCCCTTTAGGGCTGGGTATCTCTTGGAACCGTTTCAGCAACGCCATCAGCGGAGCTGTGGTCCCGCGAGGGCTGGTCCTGTTGTCTGGTTCCTGCCTCCCGCTGTCCCACAGCTGCAGTAACAGCAGCACTACGCTCAGCAGGTGGCTGAGGGTGCCGCGCTGGACGGCTAGCTCTAGGAGCAGAGCGAGGGCGCTGTGTTGATCAGGTATTGGGATGGTGTCGTTGTTGCCCTTGGCGCTAGCACAGGCATTCAGGTCTCTGTTCAAGAGATTTAACAATATCAAATTTAACATTTGTAATAAAAAGCTGTTTCCTCTCTGAGTGATACCCGTCTGCTATTTCTCAGGTTTCCAGCATTGTTGATATTGCTTGCATAGTGATTTTGGGCGTGATCCCTGGCTACAGGTTTATGGCTTCTGACTAGCACCCCTTGAACAAAGACATTGACAAAATGGGGAACCGCCAACATAGGGCTGGATAGCTCAGTTGGTAGAGCACCGGAACGGCAAACCAGAGGCTGCAGGTTCAAACCCTGCTCCAGTCAATTTATTTGTTCAACATAAAAATGTATACACAAATTAGTTAAATGAACAAGTTCTACAGCTTTTCATTGGGAATTAGCAATCACTGAACTTTGCTGGAATCAGGCGGATTCCACAACCACCAACTCCTGTCAGGTCTTGTTGAAAAACGAAGTAACAACAGAATGTTTGTTTTAACTGTTGGATTATGTGACTTGTATGATGGAACATTGCACCTGGAATATGTAAATTTTACATTGGGTTTTCCGGATGGGTTTTCTTGTCATCGTTTTATTTTTTGTATGTCAGGGAAAGCGTGATACCAACTATTAAAATTCTGTTAGATTCTGTTGCATCGAGAGGCTTTATACCCATACTTCCATAACTGTTTGATACCGTTAGAAACAGCAAAGTTTGACACCAAGCTACACAGACCAGTACATGGCAGTTCTGAATGTAAACAGGCCAAAAAGCAATCTTTACCATTTCGACTAGTCAGGTGCAACTTCTACTCACCCAACAACAACAGATGTAAGGAAGTCCGTAGCCTTCTGCACCACCTCAGCCCATACATTTGAGATAGATGCCTCGTCGAAGAGGGTAGCCTCCGGCAGAGAGCGTAGAGCCTCCAAGGCATCGCGGAGGAGCTCTGAGCAGAGGTCCGAGTCCTCCCCGGACCTCCAGGCTCTCCTCAGGAAGGCAAAGGCAAAGGACAGGGCAGTGCGGGCACCAACGCGGGCCAGGGATGTGGTGGCCTTCTCAGTTGGTTTCGGAGGGCTGTATGGGATTTCAGAATTTTGAAGCGATTTGATTAGCATTTCCAAGATCAAAACTCCACTCCACTTCCAAGATCAAAACTCCACTTCAAAAAGGCTGCATGAGATTATATTCAAGAATAATTATCTAGCATTATCAAGATAAAATCTTCACTAAATTTTCAAGCACTACAAGACTGATTTTTGAAATATATTTTCAGATAACTGTTTTGTGAGGGCACTTATGAAATATCGGGACACTTAAAATTCGTCTTTGATAATTTCTGTAGGTAAACACACGCTGTTCCATTTGAGAACAGCCTGGAAACACCAGACATACATGTATTCGCCTCATGAAGAGCCTTTTGCACTTTGAAATTCAACATTTGCACAATACAGCAAACCAGTGTCACCTCTGAAACCTTAAAATACCTCTAGATACTGAGAAAAAGTGTCAGCCCGCAGTTGCATCAACACTCAGTGCTGTTATCTTCCCCTTTACTTGTACATTTTTTTCTGATAAGAAGTGAGCCACATGACAAATGTTTAAATTTGGAACCCGTAAAAAAATGTTTAAAACCAGTGATTTTTTTTACTCGCTTACCTTCTAGTTTTCACCGGAGAACCTTCTTCCTCTTTCTGCTTCCTGGTGATCACCTTCTGTTCAGGGCAGTGCCGGGAGAGAGCAATGAAGTAGCGCTCTAGGACCACCAGACGCTGACGGAGTCGGACCGAGGAGAGGGTGGACAGGGCAGCTTCCTGCAAGAGGCGGTTCTGTTCTCTCAGCAACAGGTGTAAGCATTCCTTCAGCTGGGATCCATCTGGGTTTGAAAAAGTGAGGACAGAAAATAAATTAACAGCTTTACAGAATTTTGCTTTTTTGGTTTTTACTGCATCATCGTGCTCTCTCTTTAAATGCAATTTTGAAATTCTTAAGACAATGTTTTTTTGTAACTTTGGCAGGGAAGTTTGTATTGGATGACTGTTATGTTGTCATTGTAAGAGGACATTTTATTGACAATTTTTTTTCTGAAACAGCATTCTTTTTCTTCACAGAATTTCTACATTTTTTCAAATGCTTATCACATTAATTGTAAGCAATCACTGTATCATAATCTAAAACACTAATGTTTTATATCGGGGGGGGGGGGGGGGGGGGGGAGTCTAATGTGACTTTAATCCGTGTACAAACACAAGCCTCCTCTGTGACCTACCAGGCTATCTACCCCAGGCAGTAGCATCTTGATGACTATGGTGGTATTTCAACCCATGAATGAACACAAAGCTTTGCGTATAACCTAAAAGGCTGTCGTCCCAAACAGAAGTGCATAAAGTGGACCTGATCTCATTCCAACCAACACATGAGCCTCACGTATAAACTACTGGGCTGTATGTCCTAGGTAGGAACATCATATTGACCTTAGCGGGATTCGAACCAACACATGAGCCTTACGTATTACCTACTGGGCTGTCTGCCCTGGATAGAAGCATCATATTGACCTTAGCAGGATTCGAACCTACACATGAGCCTTACGTATTACCTACTGGGCTGTCTGCCCCAGATAGAAGCATCATAGTGACCTTAGCAGGATTCGAACCAGCAATCCTCCAATGTAACCTACCAGGTTGTTTTCCCCAGGTCCAAGACTCAATGATGCTCATCGACGATGTCCTCTCCCTCGCTTCCTCTCGTCTCTCCTCCTCGTCCAGTCTCTGGCAAGGTGGGCAGTTGCAGCCGTTGGTTGGCCCGCAGCGGCCATCGCAGCAGCTGCAGGACAGGACGCTCATGGCGCAGTAATACTTGCCTGTTTCACCTATTTCAGGAATTCACGAATACAATTACAAAGATCACAAACTTGGCCTCATCAATGGCTTCATCATGTGGTTCGTGCTTCTTGAAAATCATCAATGAGCTTACACTGGAGTAACTTGAAACTACATCTCTTTCTCCACTACTAAATTTGCCAGGGTAAGCTAGCCAAGTTATACCCAGTTTAACTGTTATGGTGACCAAAAAAAGCACAGCATGACAAAACAATTTAGTTGCCACAGTGTAGTTAGGCCAAAAAAAACAAGTCTCCAGTTTCTGTTATGCGCGCGCGTTGCCGTAGCCATGCGCATCTGCAAAATTAAAAAGTTTTTTTTTTCTTTTTTCTATGTAAGATGATGTCTCAAAACCACCAAATTCACTAGTTTGACTGGAACCCTACTGCTGCACAATTTTAACATGTTTTTAGATAGGGTTACGATCGAGTATAACCTTTATGTGGCCTCTCTGGGCTCCAATACATTTTGCACTATCTTTAGTCGGGCACCATTTGCAGTCATCAGCCAACATTTGAAGGGGAAAAAAAGTCCAAAAAAAAAAAAAAAGCCACATTGCTACACCACTTTTGGGGCAAACTCCATACCAGAAATCGGAGACTTTTTTTTTTGGCCTTAAAATGACACATTGTTCTATAATACCGTGAACGACTCCCAACAAAATTCAGAATCAGAGTTATGAATTGCATTTTGCTGGGTACCTTTGGCAGCCGCTGCCCCTGCTGCGTTGGTGATCTGCCTGGGCTTACCCACGACCAGCTCCCCATCCTTGACCAGCTCATTCCACAAGCCACTCAGGCCATCCTTAGAAAAGGCCACCTGGTGAAAAAAATATTAATGAATATTAAGACTTTTAAAGCAAATCTAAGACAAACCCAATAATTATGATACTCCACTTGCCACTTTGGACTATCCTTAGGCAGTGGATATTTTGCCTAATGCTAATTTGCCTAATACTCTGCATAATGCTTATTTGCCACGAGTGTGGTCTGAGAAACCATGTCAGAAGTTTCGATGGAATCACTGCATGAAACTTAGGTTCTCGGACTCTTTTTTCCCCTTAAATTGAAAATATCCAAACTACAAATTTGGAGAAGAAAATAGTAGATGAAAAATGGGTTCGAACCAGGGATATTTTGATCCATAGCTAATCTCACTATCCACTCGACTACTGTGACAGCTCGACGACAGCTGTTTTTTGTTTCAATGCTTTAATGTAACGTAACGTAACAAGTTGACTAAGTAATAACAATAGCATAACGTCATTTTCTTTTCTCATGAATAGTCATAACATTCCCCTCGAAACAGCCAATCACAGGAAAAAACCTACTGCCTAAATATTAATAAGTCTTCCAAATTATTTTGTCTGGAGAAACCAATCCATGAACCACATACTTACTTGGGGGTCTGACTTGAGCCATTTGGAGTCCAGTCGAGGCTGTGTCCTGAGTGTAGCGTGGTTCTGGGTCACGCTTGCCATGCTTCCATTATACGATCAAGCAGTTGATGGGGTTGTGGTTGATAGAAACGGTCTTGTCCAATATCCGACTACAATAGTACATATCTGCAAGAAAGCAAAGATGGAACTTGCATACTTGATTATTTAACATAACCAAAAATGACAGAAATATCTAGGCTATGCCGTTATTATCTATATGTGCTTTGTACAAATTCAAACAATGGGAGACATTTGATACATTCGTGGCAGCAAACACACAGGTACTTTTTAATTTCTTATGTAATGGTTAAGCTAAAGCGCGCATGCTTATTAAAACGCAAACAATAGAAAAAGGGCCGGTGTGTTTGCTGTTTGCTGACACCAACATCTCAAAAGTCTCCCATAAGGCGAAGTAAAAAAAAAAACATGTTTAGCGTCCCCGCCCGCTTCCTTTTTAGAGGCCGCCTCCTTTTTTTTTTTTTTTTTTTTTTTTTTTATAAGACAAAAATTGATAATTTTAACGCAGAAGAGATGTTCGGTTCTGCATAGTTACATCATTTTGGTCTCATTTTCTGTTGCATCTTGCCCATAAGAAGCCAATATGTCATTTCCTGAGTCCAAGTGGCGGCCATTTTGAAAAAAGCTGGTAACCATCTTGAAAAATAGCCCGGCCGCGTTGTCTTGAAAAATGTGTCGGGCGGCCATTTTGAAAAGAAAAAAAAAAAAAAAAAGGGCCTCCTCCTTCCTTTTTGTCAAAGAGGCAGGACGCTAAACATGTTTTTTTTTTATTTTGCCTAACTGCCATTGCAACATGTCCACATATCTAAACCATTTCACGAATACTGCGATCTTTGTAGTCACATTGAAAAAACGGGAAAGAATGTTGCAACCTGGCGCTACTTCGACGGTTGTGTACAAAGTCTATGGAGAGTCAAGACAATTTTTAAAAAAAGTATTTCCTAACATTTTTGGAAATGTTATCCACTCCCAGATTCATGTCTTATCATCATTTTTGCAATGACTGACCGTCATTGAGATGATACATGAAGAAAAAAAGCAGCGTCAGGTTGCAACATTCTTTCCAACATATGTTCCATACTGCTACTGGATTTTTTTTCATTGTTTCGACTTTCCAATCCCTGTCCAAATATTTGTGAAACATACGCACATGTTGAAATCATGGCACAGACATGACAGATGTTCCTATTTTATTTCTTATATTTTCTGTGCAATTAAAGCAGTTATCGAAACTACAAAATTTGGAAAAATGGTTGAACTCAATATCCCCCCCCCTTATATCTATATCACGCCCCTCCTTCCACGACAGTTCTTTTCAAGAACGCGACGCCGACCGCGAACACACACGACACATGCGCAAAAATCCCACAACCAAACAAACCATAAGACATTTTAATAAAACTAAATGATGAAGGCCTAACCAACATTTGATACATAAAGTCGATTTTGTCAACTTACGGTTTCAGTTTCCGTGACGAATGTAAAAGCAGAATCTTGCCAACTTCGTTTCCAAGCATCGCACCCGGATTTCGTGTGATTTTTTCAATTCGTCAAATTCGCAATCGGAGCAGGCTATCTTCAAACCTTGTTTCCACTATTACAATCCTTTGCTTGGTACCCCTTTGCATTACAGTTTTCTTTCCAGCGCGGTGAGAACGATGTTGAAATTTTTGTTCGATCCCACTCCGGAATGAGGCCCGAATAAGAATAGTTCACTTGTACGGTGGCCGAATAATTTCCCTCCGACTCGACTAAGAGGAAGCAAAACTGTAATAAGAAAACCTACAGACTGATAGATTCCATTTTAAAAAAAAAGGAAGTAAAAAAAAAACACATTAAGATCCAAATATCTCATGAGTTTTATTATTTTTTCTGTTTAAAAGGACATTTCGGTACATTTTGGTCCTGCCACTAAAGTTAAATACCGCCCTCTGTTGACAGAGTTCCTTTCCTAGATATTTTTGAAACCGCGACTTCTTTTTCGGCTGTTGTTGTATTTCCAACTTTAGAATTATTTTTTGGTCCCAAAAACCAATAGAAATATCCTAAATTTGTGGGATTTTATCTTCCAAAGTATTGATTTTTAAAATGAAGTCACACAAGGTGGGTGCAGGCCCGTCGCTGGGGGGGGGGGGGGGGGGGGGCATGAGCAATTCCCCCCCGGCAAAAACCATAAGCGTAAGAAATTATATATAAGTGTTTTTTTTTATTATGGTGCAGCCTCCTTCCTACTTTGTACAACCCCCCCCCCCCCCCCAGCTGGCGACGGTGCTTGGTGGGGGGGGGGCCTAAAGTATCAAAAAGTCGAACCATTTTAGAGATGCATTCACTGTTCATATGTAGATTTGTTTTATGCATAAGCCGTATGTATATGTTTTTCCTATTTGGATTCCTTCCTCTTCAATTACAATGATCTCACTGAAAGTTATTTTTAAAAAGTAACGGGCTATTAATTAACTTATGTGTATATTGATATATTGATTTCTACACCTGCCTAAAATAAAGCCATGACTGAAGACAGGCTATTAGATGTTCTACACTTTAGAATAATTTTTTTAAAAGACCAATAAATAAATGACTTAGAACATTTCAACAGATTTCCCTTTGAAATTGCCTCTGTTTTAATTTGCAATATGTTTCCCTCTTTTCGAAAATGTGGGTTTTTTGGCCCTGGGCTTTTTTTAAACGGTCTCTCAATGAATGTCCCTGCCCCAACAAATGGACCCTAATTACGCCACAAAAATTATAGACCGTCACACCATATATCCGTCTTTTTTCCCCGCAAAACTGAATTTAATTTGGTCTGATTTTTGACACTGAAAAAAAAAATAATAATATGCAGTTTCCATTCCATTGTCATGTCCCATCAGCCGTCCGATTCTGTGCAATTTGTCTGGATAACGCTGCTACTGGACAAGTGGGCGTCTGACACATTCTTATTTACATGAGAAGTTGTTTTCATCCAATCTAATTTATCAAATAAACATTTTTGACCAATTGCAATTGCCAGTTCGCATTACGTCACCAGCCTCCTGTCGTCTGACTCTGATTCCAAAATAGTAGGGCCTCAAGTTTGATTAAATAAATGTTATTCACCAGTCACCACGAATTTCACTATTTTTTTTTCATTTACTTATCGATCGCATATATGACTTTACTTTTTTTTTTTAATCCAAAACGTGCGCTTTAAACGGAAAATAATCATGGAACTGTTATATGCACAGAATTACTGGTACATCTACCCAAGAAGCTACCATCGTGCGAATGCAAAATAAACCTCCATCTTTTCACTCCTATCTCACTTTCCAGATGAATTTCAACGGGAGATGACCTCCAAAAGTTTGCTTCCAATATTATATTACACAGGCGAGTTTGCTTAAATAAAATAAAAAATCTTCAGACGTCATTTAATTCGCCATGGCATCCACTGCCATCCAACAAGACCATCTTGCAAGCCGCCTCATCAACACATTTCTCTAAGCGGAGACAGGAGGTCGGGCCTGGTGATGTCACTACGGGTCGTAAAAAACTTCATCTTTCCTCCAGTCCGATCTTAGTCTGAGTATCATCCGTTATCCACGGAGCCCCGACCATGGCTCTGCCACGGCCTATTACATAGACTAGTCCGATCTATGGGACCGCCAAGTTTTCCTTTCTTCAGGAGTCACACCTTGCGTGAAACTGGTTTGAACTTTAAACAAAGTAGGCCTATTATTTGTTGTGGTTTATTTCATGCTTAACTTGAACTTAAACTCACTGTAGACTGCGTAGTTTTTGTTTCAGAAATTCTGCCATTTTGAGGACCACTGAGCATTAACTGAATGAGGAAGAGCCTGTTCTATCTGGGTGAAGAAGACTAAATTTCGTGTCTGCAACTAGTGATTTGTGAGGTGAAATGACTACAAAGATTAACAAACAGTTTTTGATTCAGTCATCAAGCTGCTATTATCTCTCACTCGTTCTGTATTAGTTTGCATTTGGTGCTTTATGAGGCACACGGTTTAGCACTTTATTTCTCCTGCAACACTGCGTCCAAACATTAGACTCTGTGACTGACCTTAAGAATTATTTATCTAATGCCGTCTTTTCGTCTGCCTTTTTTTTCTCTTTTTGATTCGCCAAGCTGTAAACCAACAACATCAGCAGATACAGAGATGACTTTCTATCTACAGCTTGTCAACCCCCCCCCCCCCCCCCCCCCACCGCACTGGAATAAGAACACGCCGGAATTGGAATAAATGTTAACTGTTCAGAGTTTGGATTTTGCTAAATTTACCTAATTTTTATGCTTCTAAAATACGTAATTGCAGATTGAACTGGACAAAATTTCAAAATGTCTTTTAATTGCGAATGGGTGTGTTGCAAAATCATTCAACTTTTCACTGCACCAATAACATCTCAGTAAAAATAAAGTATCCATAGATTTTATTCAAATTAATTCAAATAATTCACAAATTATTTAACTTAATAATTATTGAAACGATTGAACAGTTAACAGAGTTATTTAAAATGTTATTTTAGTTCTTTTGATTATGAACAAAAACACACTTTTAATGAAAACTGCAGGAGCAGCACTCCTCCATATAAAATCAAAATATTGTGATTTATAATATCTCAATTATTTATAACAAGTATTTCACCCGTTAAAAGTTATTTTCGTGCATAAACAATTCAGGGATTCATGACACAATATTATTGGCCAATGTATTAATAACTGTTCGTTCGTGATCGTAACCTCCCCTCCCCCTTTTTTTCTGGCTCCACTCAACCCTCTACTCCGTTGAAGTTAAACAGCGCCCTCTAGAGTTTGCACACTTTGCCAAAGTGCAAGTGACCCCATATCTGCCTTTGTCAGCTGACGACACGATCACAAACAGGGTTTTTAAATAGCTTGAAAATCGTGCTTTTACTCATCAGAAGTGCCCAGCTTCTACTCTAACGATTGAAGAAGCTTTGTAAGTATATATCGTACTAATTATTTGGGTCTGGGTGTAAAATATACAGTGTTTCTTGTTGTGTCTTGTCATGGTTTGTTTGCCAGTCCATCATGTCATGCGACTGAGCTAGTGACAGATCTGTGCGTGTTCATTGCATTTCTCGTGGACTCTACGCAGAGTAGAGTAAAGCGGTATCACTATCGGTTCTTGGTTTTTCACCATGTAATGATGTATTAATAGCGGAAAGAATGTGGTGTTGAGAGTGACAGACGTCAGTTTCTGTGGTTGTCTGCAAAGTCTGTGGGGAGTTGTCATAAAATAAATGGGAGACTTTTGAGACGTTGGTGGCAGCAAACACGTAGACGTGTCATGTCGGTCCTTTTCCCATGGTATTGACAGTTGTTTCATGTTTGCGTCATATTGAGCATGCACACTTTGGCTTAAACAAGGCGTATAAATTGAAAAGGACTGGTGTGCTTGCTGCCACCACCGTCTCAAAAGTCTCAAAAGTTTATACGAGTAGGCCTACACCATAAAGCCTAGTGGATAGCAAGCCCCCCACGCAAGCGACGCCTCTCAAGTTCTTTTGAAACGTTAAAGTTTATTGTTTATGTCCCAGAAATGTCTTGTTTTATTGTTTTAAATTGAATCCAACATTTAACAGCAGAGTATTTAATTTTCTTTTTCTGATTTGTGGCTCTGGAAGATTTTTTTTTAGGGAAATAATGTCTGAAATAGTAATAGGTCTGATTCCCATCTTTTTATAAACACGAAGTAACAACGACAATGTAGGCGTGTAACCAGACGAAGATTCGTCACGATAAAAATGTCTAAGTCCCCAAAAACAGTCACTGCGCATGTTCAGTGCCATGACAGAACAACACTAAAACAATCGGGGACCAGTTAACGGTAAAATACTTCCTAATAAATTAGGGCCTATTTTTGAACCCTACATTTTTGTAATTTCAGGTTTCTCAGGTCTGAACTCTTATTTTGGAAGAGGGTCTCTTGTTAGTCTAGTGACTGCATCTGTTTCCATTTGCCTTCATTATGTCACTAGAGGGCCTCTTTCAAATTGATGTAAACACGACAAACTACATGTACAATATGGTGGTAATATTCCCCCCCCCCAAAAAAAATAAAATATAGTTCAAGAACTAGAAAGGCACCCACGTGCCTAGCGCTGTCATTTTTGGGTCACCTGATTTTTTAATCCTGCGATGATAGACAAATTCCGTGTATCCAGAATTTTACTTTGTCGCTCAAAAATCTCTCCATAAAGTAGTCCCGGCTGATCCATGTATCCCTGTTAAATTTTGTAACAATGGTGTTTAGAATCTCAAACCGAAGACATTTTGAAACAAATCAGAGTTTTTACTCACTGACAAATAGACAATATGTGCATAAACAAATTATAGCCCAGTTGATGTCAGTAAGAAGAGCAAAACACAATTTATCAACCAGCATTCCACTCAATTTTTTTTTCTGGCTATGAAAATTTAGAGCCCCCCCCCAAAAAATTAATAATTATCGACCCACCCGTCCTTTTTTTTTCATAAGTACAATGGAGACAAAATATCTTAGCCAAGTGGTCTTAACTCTTTAGTAACTGTAGCGTCTGAAACCACCCTGCCTATTACTCCCTGTAGTGCCTGAAACCGCCCGAAGAGCGGCCCGAGCACTCTCTGGTGTTTTAGATTTTTTTAGTGAATAAACACAATGTAATACAATGTAGTAGGTCTACAGTTCCTAAAGTGTTAAGGAGCTAGAAGTTCAATGAGATTTTGACCTCTGCTGACCTTTACAGCCCGTGTTGATTAGCGAGGTAACCAGGGTGGATTTTAGGCTACCCCGGTGCAACTGTTCAATATCAACCCTTGGAAATCTCTTCACCCTAGCTCTAACACAGGAAATCATCCCTGGGACACTGATGGGTTAAGTTTTTAAGTACCCCACCTCCTCCCCTCCCAACTCCACTGCTGTTACTCTGAAATAGTGTTAAAAATAATTAAAAGGAATACCATAGTTGTCATGTAGGTATTTAGATAAGAAAAGGGATTTAGAATGATCCCACGGATCTGGGAGGGGAACCTTAGAGTTTCCGAGGTTTTAGAGACAACCTTGTGATGTCTCCTAGAATCAAAATAATCATCCCTTAAAATATTTTGTTCTGTCGCTTTTGAAATGCAGCTAAATAAAAGAATACGTAAAAAGAAAAGAATGAATCAATTTTGTTTGTAAAGATAAATATTTCCAAATATTTCCTTAAATTCAAAACATGCAGACAGGGAGGTAGTTATTTCTCGATCTTGATCCAACGTGAATTGAAAAATATAAAAAAAATTGCACATAGTACGACCAAGCACAGACGTACCTTGAGGCAGGATTGAGCTAAGTGTTGTTTTCCATGTTTAACTGTGGTTTTGTTTTTGCCTATTTTCCCAAGGGATCTCTGTCAAGTTGACTTGGCTAGGACTATTGCAAACTTCCGACGCTATTCCCAATAGTATGTTCACTGTACCTGTTGTTTGCCAGTCTAGCACCCCGTGCACTCACCATAACCTTCCCTGTATGTCTGGCATGACCTGACTGGATTCCCTTTGACAAGGGGATCACTGTCCCCCTCCCCCTAAACACATGTGTCCTCCCCCCCCCCCAAATTAGTTCCATCCTGACCTTGTTTGGCTGGATTTGACGTGACGCACAGGAAGTGGAGGCTTTAGTGCGGCCAGGTCTTTTGAGCCTGTTGGCCCCTCCCTCTCCCCTCCTTTGACTGTCATTGCTGTGAACTTGACCATTTTATGGCGACAGTTGGAGATCAACTTGGCTAATTCGAGCTACGGATGAGCTTTTTTTTTTCATTTTAACTAGACCTGCTGATGTAACATTTGCTGGATGACAAACAGTTTTGTTGAGTTTTTGGATGGTTGCAGAAAGGTGTAGGCTCTGATTTGAAAACTTGGAGATCACTTTGGCTAATTTCAGTGATTGATTTTTCGACAGCAGATGACCCGATGACAAAACGTTTGTCAGGTTAATAAACAAAAAAGCCTTTGGGTGGACATGCACAAAAAGGTGTAAGTTGTGATCTGAAAAGTGAGCATTCCTATTTTACATATAACTTATTGCCTTAACCCTAAAAGGGCCGGGGGGAAGGGGGGTTTTGGAATCTGCCCCCCCCCCCCTCCCCGGCTGAGAGATGGTCAAGATAACCCGGCCCTGTTAGGGTTAATCTACACCAAACTAATGTAGTGGCTCAAGATAAACAGTAAATAAAGGTTAAATTTGTTACTTTTGGGTACGAATTTCCTTTAAAAAAAAGGCAACAATCACATGTACGTAGAGAGTTAAAATTACGCCATCCAAATACTTGTGTCATCAACTAAAGCAAACATTTTTCTCACTTCATGACGTAAGTAACAAACAGGGTGGACAAAAGAAACTCAGGTACCCCCTCAAATGCAGGATTCAGAAATGTCTTACATATCTTTTTCATTACACACTTTTATCGGTTAAAAAAACAAAGCCTAATGAAAGGCAAGGTGACATCCGTTCAGCCCGGCCCCTCAGGTATTGCCTTAAAGGTCTCCCCTAGTCTACCTTCCTGTTCGTAATGAGGAATGCCAGCTCGCTAGGCCCACATATTCCCCTTGGAGGGGCAACAGCTTGACCTCTAGTACCCAGTCGCTACCTCTAGATGATGAGAGGTGACATGAACTAAAAAATAAAACCCTTTTGTAAAGAGGTCTGCAGTAGTATCGACCTTTGGATATCAAGCACTTTTATTGAACAGTTGATTGAAATTTAATCATACAAGTTGAGTGGTTTTATAGCCCTAATGAGCATCTTTAAAATATGTCAAATTGAGGCAATCTGGCAAAATGAGACAGAACTGGGCAGAGGTTGAAATGAGGGTTTGCAAGTATTTAAAACAGTCCTGAATCCTCCAATTTTAATACGATTTTGCACACCCGCTAGGGAGTTAGTGTTAAGAAACAGAATAAAATTCTCCTTATAATACTGTTTGTTGCACTTCAATCGGACATTCCATTGACAAGTTATGGTTGTTTAAATTGCACATTAATCGACATGTCCAAAAAAAGTAAAAGACTGAGAAAAAGGCCTTTAAATATCAAGTTTTGTATTCGTGAAAATGAAAGATGCCAAATGTTCTTCCTTAAAAACAGTTTTTCTTCATGATTTATAATCTTTTTGTTTTAAAGCATATGTAGTAGACATGTCAAAGATATCAATAAATCTGAAAATCAAAAAAAAGAAATCACCCCCATTTGGTTTTTGCATTTTTCTCCACTAAACATGTGCCCAGTTCCATCTCACTTTGCCAAAACATCTCACAAATATCAGCTAATCGGCCGTCTCAAAAATATATTGATACATACACGATATTCACAAACAGTATTTACCTCGATGTCAATGTCCGAGTATTCGAACGCTCAACCAAATCCAAGTTCCACTAATCGGATACTGAATTATTTGAGATATGCACTACATTGATTGATCGTTGCGAAAATTGAGTGTGGGATTCACGTCCGTCCTGAGCAAAGCACAACCAGGAGTAAGTCTGGGCTTACAGGGTGGGTCCAGGTCGGGCTGGGGAGTTGTAAGGAAGTTACGGATTGTCTGTGGTTTGGTATCGCCAGCCGGCAGGCATAGAGCCAGAGCAGGGTGGGGCTCGGAGGGACGGTTGTGGATGGGTTTAACCTAGACTGGAACCTAGTTGATTCTTATCTTGTCATGAAATGCCTGTTGTGTTGTCCTGCTCAAGTTTGTGTGAACTAGTGCCGTTCCTGTTATTTTTTTCTTCTTCCGATTACCAGGTATTTGTCAGCTTTCTGTAATAGAATCTGCAAGAGATTCTCTTTCAGTTTGATCACAATGAAACTGACTAGGTGTTGGCATTTTTCTTAGAAACCAGAACTCATTTGGGTGTACTGTTGTCCTGGTCAAGTTTGTGTATAACTAGTATTAAATACAACGCCCGCATGAATCCTTGTCGTCTGATTGGTGGGTCGTTGATCACATGTCATTGATCACGTGTCATTGAATTATTCGTCCCAACCCACAGCCTGGTCGCACCGCAAAAATAGAAGTTCTATTCCACGGTAAATAGAAGTTCCATTGCACGGTCACATTAGTAACTAATCGGATGACAAGGATTTATTCAGGCGTTGTACATCATGTATAAAACAATTAATGAATGTTTCACATTCGTGCAATGGAAAGAATAATTTCATTCGGGGTCAGATGGAACTTTTCATCTGTCACCTCGTGAAATTATTCTTACCTTTGCGCTTATAAACATGCATTATTTGTACCCTCTTCCATATTAATCAAGTGTTTTTTCAGTTGATCAAGTACTTCTCAAGCTTCTGTAATATAAACTGTAAGAATCCTACTCCACTTTTATCAGAACGAAACTGACAAGGAGGTGCCATTTGTCTTGGAATCAGAGCTAATTCACTGAACTACATGTACACATCCCTGACAGAATATGAATGAGCCGGTGCAACGGAAGCACATTGTTATTTCATTAATAGGCATGTAACCGTGCCATTCTCATGTGCATGCTGTGTGCATCCGGTCTCGAAATTAACAACTGCCCCCCCCCTCCTCTCCCCCCCCCCCCCCGAAAATGTCAGCAGTATCACTGCGCTTGACATCATGGAACTGGAAATGTTAGGTGTGTGGTTCCCATTTCCTGCCGGGGCTTACCGGCAAAAAGGTCAGGGTTTTATACGTAATGCATCAAAGAAGGCATTGTTGGAATCTGAGGCAAAAGTTGGTTAAAAGTATTCCAATTTGGGAATGATTGTGTTCCTTTAAAGGTAATTTGCAAACATCAAAAAACAAAAGTACCAAATTATTATGAAATACCTTACTTGACTGTACTTTAAGTGAATAATAGTCTCAAGCATCCTGTAAAATGATGGCACCTGGTGTGCTGGTTTTCAAAAAAAGTGGAATTTTGTATCAATTTACAACGATGGTCGACTGACCATCGTCAGAATATGTCTAAATACTGCCCCCAATTTACCAAATTTAGTTAGTCCACATTTTGTTTGCAATCGATTACACTTCCTTGAACGGGCGTAATTAAGCCAGGTAGTCCTTAATGACTTTACAATTCCCGACGTCTATAAATTGCTCAGTTTCTTCTGAAGTAGGGTAAGGGAACCAGACTACAAGAACAGCATTTTTATTGGGTTTCCCATCACTTTGAACACAAAACTTTGAACAGGTCAGTGTAAACAATATTTGCCATAAAATACCCGGTACTAACCCCAAAATCCATCCATTTCTGAAAATTACAGCAAAAGCATATAATGTTGTAATATATTACCTATAGCCCGCCCCTAACGGTCCTGGACAGAATCCTCCAATTTCAATATGATTTTGCACACCCCCTAGGGAGTTAGGGTTAACGTTGTATTTGCCACCTGTCAAGAATGCTTACGAAGAAATGTTCGTTTAACATTTAAAATAAAGGTTACGCTTTAAACATGTGGCACATGTGCATGAAGGCAGACAATATGGCTACGTGCATTCTGCCTGGCAGTATGTGCATGTAGCCTACAAACAGGAAGTCCAGGATGTTATGCTACATGTACGTCATTTCGGCCGTTCAGTGTACATCGATTCGTTCACAAGTCAAAAGTCGATCCCAGAAGAATTGATTGTGCCAATATTTATATTACTCAGTGTTCATGACTGAATCAATTTCCATCCAGACCCGATAGCAATCAGTTGTCTCTGAACTCTACAAATTTGTGTTGGAGTGATTTGGGGGTTCTGTGTGATTGTTCCTATTTGAGACATGCACTGCTCCTTGAGGGCGCCATTACTTTTCTTGTGAAGAAGATTAGCTTGTTCAGTAGGCTGGCCAGTGAGTAATTTAAAATTTATGAATTTAGTTTCAACAGAGCCATGTTTACAAGCACCACGGGACATTTGCAAATTGTTACTGTTACCAGTATGAACGCTGTACCTAATGTCATGAAACTGTATTGATGTTAAGAGTTATCAGAAAAGGTGTGTCAAGTTGAAAGGTGTGTTAACAGTTATCAGAAAAGGTGTGCTAAGTAAAAATACACATTGCCGTGCTTACTGCTTACAGTACCCACTGCAGTAATACAATCAAACCAGCCAGCCAACCCCGGCAAGCTCAGTGGTCGAATGGTAAGACGTCTGCACTAGTAAGTAGGAGGTCATGGATTCGAGTCCCTGTCGAATAAGCTTGTATTTTTTTCTTCCATGTCCTTGGATAACACTGAATATACAGCGGTTATTAAATACGTCGGTGAAGGGCAAAACCCAATATTGAATTGATTGCTTACGGACTCAACGAAATGAACCAAAGTACTATCAGCTGAGAATTGCATGCTTAGCACGGAATTGAATTTCCACACTTGTGGTCATCCCACAGCTTTAACTTTGCTTAAATACAAGGGGGGTTTGTGTATATTTCCCCACCCCGACCCAGAGTGAACAAATTGGGTCAGTCCAACCCTCCCCCCCCCTTGCTCTCTGCCAAATGAAGTTTTAGGGGAAGTGTCTGGTGTGTCTGTATGAGACAGGCTGTCAACTGTGGATCACCCCGGCTCTTCCTGAACTCACTTAATAATAGACACAACTTGAAAGGATCTCTGTATGACATCATTCACAAAATACACAGAGGTGGGGCATTGGGTAGGGGGAGGGGGCAGATTTTGGCTTGGGAAAAGCGGCAGTTCATTTTTTCGGATTGGCAATGGTATTGATGGGTTGTGACTAGGGTTTACTTAACTTTCATGGAGTTTTTATCCACTGTTTGATGAATTTCCTAAACTATAAATCAGGGATGAACCGTAGTCGAGTCCATCACAAGTCCCTGCAAGTCCATCACAAGTCCTCCAGTCCCAATTCAACTCACAAGCTATTCAAAACGAGCTTTGGCAAAGGCATTCCTTTGTTATTGTTCATCCACTGTTTGTGACTGGACTTGTGACTGGACTTGAGATTTACTTGAGACTGGACTTCTTATGGACTAGACTCGTCTACATCCCTAGACTTTATAACCAGATGAGCTACAAGCAGTGGATGATAGTGGCAACAGAATGATATACGGTATTGGCTTGAATGTGAGAGATCCACAGCTCTAATACAAGAGTGAGATTTGTCAGGATTTTTTTTTCTGATTTAAGGATTTTTTGGTCAGGACTTTTTTCCCACTTTCAAGATTTGTTTGGTCAGAATTATATTCCTGATTTCAGGATATTTCTCTGGTTTTACCTAATTTCAGGATTTCAGGATTTTGAAAAAAAAATTTCAATTTTGAAATTTGGAATTCCTGAGGTTTGACATTCACATTAAAGGCTTCAGGCAAATGCAACTATACCACAGACCTTACCGTCGCGACCCTCAATCCCTCCGCTGATGATTTCACAGATTTCTCACCTATGTACAGTTAAATCACATCCAATAAATTTTGTAATAAAAAGTCGAAAACCATAGTCGAAACTACAAATTTCACCAGGCCATGATTTTTTTCTCCTGCGCTTGTGAAACTTCCAAAATGCAAAGAATATCTTTGAGGAAGAATGCCCACATTTTTTGAATAGCTTCCAATGGGACTTATTTCAAAATATACCAAGAATTCCAAAGACTTCATTTCCTCCTTAGCTGAACCCCACGTTTGCCTGCTGCTATCTTTGCATAAATTGTGAAACCTATGAAAGTTCTGTGCAGTACTGCCAAAGATATGTACTACGTGCCAGTCTCAGCATTTCTGTTCACAATTGTACTTTGTAATGTGTGTCACATGTATTGAAATGATTCATGTGCTGTACATGTACATGTACTTTTCTCACAAATGTCACACAATTGCAAAAATATGCAAGGAAGAAAGATTGAAACCCCCCCCCCAAAAAAAAAAGTTTACCATTTTATTCACAAAATTAAATCCTTTTCTGGTAACCCTGAACTATGGGCACACAATGCCGACAGGGAAGTATGTGTTGAATTTTGGATTAAGTATCCAAAGAACTATGCAAAACTTCAAGTGTTGTTATTATTTGTTCAGAGTACAGGAAATACGTTTTTATATTTGTATAACCCCATTGTGAACTGCAATGTACACTGTCCTAAGTGTCTTGTGCTATAAACTGTTCAGATCAGAAAACATAAAAGAAAAAAGTAAGGGGGCGGATAGGAAGAACAGAATCCCATAAGTGGTTCTAAAACTGTTGGAAGTTTGCCTTTTTTTGGTTCAAAGTACACAGCAATGTCATGTGATCTAATTCTGTTTGTATTGACACCCATACTTGTATGGAGACTAAATTTCTTGTTGCCTTTTTGTAAACAGGAACTATGACATTGTATGAGTGCCTGGCTGGCCAGCAAGATTTTGTCTCCATTCCAGTTCATCAGATGTAGTGATGAGAAATGACTGTATGCTCGTGAAAACACGTGAAGAACAGGTAAAAGAAAAGGTAAGGAAAGTGTCTTCTACATTGTACTACATGTACTTACTGTCTTTGCCTCTCACACACACCCAAATTGTAAAAAAAATGTATATGATGGATCAAACCTAATGTTAGAAGCCACATTTCTGGAGCTGAAACCGGCAAGAGTCTTTCTCAGATTTATGAGTTGAATGTATTAGTTACCCTGGCCGCACGAGTTAAGTTTCATGATATTCAGACAACACCCAAGGCATCCAGTTACAATCGTTCCCTTTCAGATACATGTACATCGGGCTGGCCCAAAATATACTGAATATTGGAATATTTGATCAACCAAATATTCAAATAGCTTTTTGCCGGTTCGAAATTTATTCAAAAATTGAATATAAAGTGTCCACGTACATGTACACCCACGACTGTAATGTTATTTTAATTGTAAAGTTGCGAATATTTAATGCCAGGTGCCACTTTTTTTGTGGACAGTAACTTTTTTCAGCAACGGTTGACTGTTCCTATCCTTTTAGCAAGTTAAAGCCCTTGACAGCTATAACATTTTTAGGCCTACTGAAAAACACTGTAGTGGCCTATGATATCAATGCAGCACACAAATTTTAACTGGCGCGCTTTGCATACAACTTTTGACCGGTACGACACGATGGTGTGACACAATGTTGCAGCTGGCAAATGTAAACCTTGATCAGCGAATTTCGAATATTTGGTCAAATGCAATTTTGAATAATTGAATACTAATTTATTCAGAAAGAGACAGCCCTGCAGATAAATATCCGTTACCAAACCACGATTCATCTCAATGTATAAACCTGCCATTCTCATCAGTACCGGTATGGGAATGTTTCCTTTGTAAGAGTATTGCCCACAACGGGAATTTGCTGAAAGCCAGGTGGCTTATTTGTAGATGTAGGACGCAGGATGACAAGGTCAAAAAGAAGATATCTCTTGACATTGTTTTTGAGTTGTGAAAGAGTAATTGCAAAATATCCTTCCTTACTGAGATAAGAAGGTCCAGGCAAAACAATTTGAACATTAAAGGGAAATTGAGAAACTTGGTACTTGGTTGGTTCTTCTCCTAAATACTCCGCAGGGGAGTTTTAACAGGAGGCCAGAAACACCGGGGCAAACCCCTTCTCTTAGTGATGAGTATTACTTGGTTCTTTTATGTGCGTTTGTACAACTTTACATCCCATCTGAAGGACGAAGCAATAATGGTTAAGTGCCTTGCTTGCGGGCACAAGTGTCTGGACCCGGGCTCGAACCCACATTCTGCTGCCTCTGAAACACCAGAGCATGAGTCTGGTGCGGTGCTCTTAACCATGCCACTCTGGGCCAAAAGACTTGAACTGTGCTTCTGTTTGGAACACATGGATGCTCCTGTGTTTTAGGTGTAAAGATTCTTAAAGACATTGTCCCGGCAAAAAAGAGGCAGTCAGAGACATTGTCATGTTAGAAAATGGCATGAAAAGTCAAGAAAATCCCCAGGGTAAATCCCCAGGGTGGCAGAAATAAATCCCTTCTGCTCTGAGCAGGGGTTGGTAAAACCTTATCCAGCTGTTGCAGGTTTAAAGTCGGTGGATTTCGCAACTGGGGATGTGGGGGAAATGGCCCACTTTGCCCGTCTGTTTCCTTAAAGAGAATGCCGTTTGAATCTGTGAGGAAACGACATGGCCCACGAGAAACCCGATCCACATGTCGAATTATTGAAAGTAACAAACCTGGATTGGAAGTTGGTGCAGATCACGATCTTAGGAAGTGGCGAGAAATTGGTACCACTGTGTCGACTTCCCTAGAAAAATCCCTGGCGAAATTTTGACCAAATCCCACATGGTTTTTGAGTGGGAAAAGAAACTCCATCCAAATTGAATAAAGCAGGACTATAGGTGCAGATCTTGGCTCTAAGGAAAAGCAAAGGCATGAACAAAATTGCCACTGAGCCACCCTGCTTAATCCCAGAAGTTCATCCAGAAACTCACTTGGTCTTTGCAATGGGCTTTACACCTAATCTGTATTGATGTAAGGTGGACTGTGGTCCGTACGGATCGTGGGTAAGGAAATAGGTCACAAAAAGTACCCCTTGTGCCGACATGCTTTCCTGGACAATCTCAGGAGAATCGGAAAGGGAAGCCCACATGGCCGTTGTAGGGGCTTCGAAACCCAAAACACCTGTGACCCAAGTGGGCGTAAGGGTGGCTAGTTCACAGCTAAGGAGGGCGAAGGAGGCTGAAGTATGTCAGAGGAATCTCCCCGGAGGATTGCAGGAGAAGAACCATATAACAAGAGGAATGTTGAGACAAGGAAACCCAAAACACCTGCTGAATGTTGCAATCCAGTTCAAGGCCCAGGAAGGTGGAGACAGTGGCACTTCATCAAACCATGGTTGTTTCTCCAGGGACCTGGCTAAGAAACTACCCACGAACATACCGGCTGTAGATGCCAGGATGATACCCACTAGGAAATTGAGGAAAGTACTGCTCCATCAAACTGGCTCCTTTGGAGGGAAAGAATCAGATTTCTTTCTTTCCTTCAAAATGTCGGGGTTGAGAAGCAAAATGTAGTTCACATGTCGACCCTAGCGATGTGTCTCAGCCCAAGTCGTTAAGCTACGGTATCAGTGGATTCTCTTGAGAATTGAATAAGAAACTCACACGTGTTGTTAGGTAGGGATTGATTAACCTTTATTCGCACTTGGACCTGAATGGGATGTCCGAACTACATGTTGAGGTGTGCATTGGAACTGAGTACCCAACCGCTGATGGTAGGAACTGGTTCCAGTAATGGGACTGGGTACCTGTACCAGGGGTGGGGGTGGGGGAGGTGGGGGGGGGGGGGCATCTCTCCCGGCCCTGCCCCCCTCCCTTTCTGCTTGGCACCCCCCAAAACAAAATCCCGAGCAAAATTGAAATTAGCCCTAGATTGAATGATTAGAAAGGAACAAAACAATGTTACATTGTGAAAACCCTTTTACAGTGGGGTGGGATATCGACATGTTTGGAACTATCTGGAAAAATCTCTCCCGAATAATATTTAGTGGCGAATCCCACCCGGTTTTAAACAGACACTGAAAATCAAATCCTTATGCGTTGACCAAATACTACAAGTAAAGGTCTTCAATTCAGGTGGCAGTTTAAGTGTGAAAATGTTTATCTGGCTAGACATAGCCTCCCGCGGGATCTGAAGAAGCGTGGACAGAGATAAGCTGGAAACCTAGTTCTAATCCTTGACTTGTTCTTGATTTTCCGGCTAAGGCATTGCTACGGAAGACCAGGATAGTATGAGTTATGACCGGATCTCCCCAGGTAATGCAGGAATAAAGTCCAGTTGGTCAGGTAAGGACTTCAAATCCAGCCCAGGTGTTGGAACGGTGGCACCGGCCTAAATCAGATTTGCAGTCCAGGTCATAAACCAGGTAGGTCCAAAAAAAAAAAAAAAATCCCAGACCGCACGGCAGACGTAGTCATTGTCCCTGGAGTAAAATACTCACAGGTTTTTACAATCGAGCCTGCCAGAAAACACGAGTTGGAATCTTAGCTAATTGCCAGTCTTAAGAAAAGGTAAAGAACTGGTAATGACCAGCCGAACCAGAGGAAATAAAATCCCGACCACAGACGAGCTTAATGTCCCTTGGGTCAAAAAGCTCACAGCTTTGGACAATCTAAGTCTGCTTCATGTAGATAAACCCAAGTTGAATCAAAGCTGGTGTCGGTCGTTTGAAAGGTAAGGCATCGTTTTGCTGGTCGGACATGACCGACCAAACATTACCAGACGCAGGGCAGAGGAAGGAAAGGTCTTATCATCGGAATCGGGAGACAAGAGAAGAAAAAAAAAAGGAGAGGAAGATGAAGAGGTGGGAACAATTGCAGAGCGGAAAACTTGCTTGGGCCTTAGGGTGTGGCACCTTGTTTGGGGTCGTCTTCAGGTCAGGATGCAGTCTGACAGATCTTTTTGTCGGAGCACCTGGGAAAGATTAATGCTGAGTAATAAGGCTCTAGCTAACACCAAGAACACTGGCCCATTATTTTCAGACTTTCAGTTATGTATTTATTTAATCATTTAATTCAAGAAATAATTTCATCAGCGCCTTCTTTTTTTTTAATTTGTGACCCAGAATTTTGTTAAAATTCCTGCAATTGATGTGAACAAATTGATACTAATTTTTGCATCTCTTTTACTGAATTATTATTCTTGAATAAGTAGACACAGAACTTCATTTACTCCATCAATGAAAACAGTTCTGATTGACTTGATCAGCAACAAGAAAATATCAAATTTTTCAAAGACCTTAAGTTAAAGGGGCCTTCTCATGGCTGTCTGAACCATGCAGAAGGGGGCCCTCTTGTGGTGTGCCATATATTGATTTTTTTTGGTCATGGCCGCCATACCTAGTTCATGGCCCCAATAGAGTTGCACTTTAAATGTGCCAGTCTATAGGTCAAGCGATAAAAATTCCCAAGGCCAGCAATAAAAAATCAGGATACTGCATCTTTCAATGAATGCATAATTCTCCACATGCGCTTCCTCTAATATTGACTGACTACGGTACATGTAGGTACATGTATCTATCACCAAGCACCCAGAAGAGTAAAAAAAAATTGGGTAATTTTCTTGGCCTAATCCGTGGCGAGAAATGCCCGACATTTACTTCAAATGAACGCGTAACATGCGGTCATTACATACAAGTTGACATGTACATGTTTCAAAGTTAGGTGAAGGTCACTCTTATAGGTTGCCTGAGTCGGAGAAAATTGCCCTTAAATTAATTCAGGAACATTTCATTTATCATTCAAGCTCTAAATTAATGTCTCGAAGAAAACGTGTTTCGTGAGTTAGTAAATACACTCATATGATAATGAAATACTTTAGCGTATATCTAATGAAGAAATACCCCATTACACTCAATAAGCTGAGTGAAAGTGCTAACTAGAAGAAATTAGAGTGACCACTGACAAAACAATATTTTTATCTCAAAAAAGTTCAAAATTTGTTCTTTTCCCTTGCAAAAATGTTACTTTGTGAAGCGTTGAAAACTGTTATGCAAAATAAATTCCCAGTGGTTTGTTAAGCAGTATCAGCAATAAAAATAAATGAACAAAATCACAGACACCTGTGGCACTACTTTTGATGTGTTGAACTTCACCCATGTCTGACCTAAGGTGATGTCAGTGTACTAACAATTGAAAACTCACTGGTGATCACTCCACAAAAATTCCAATACCAAGAAGTTTGTTTATCTAGTCAAATGTCTAAACGTTACCCTCCTGTCTGCACAGCAGCACATGTCTACAGTCACTGCCGACTACTAAATGGTTCATTCTATAAATTTGGGATCCACTTTTGTCCTGTCCCTGTTACATCTGACATCTATAATTTTATAATTCTGATGCACTCCTTAATGCAGTTATCCTCTGAGAGTGATTATGAATAGCAAACTACCTGCTCAACAAATATAAAAATCATTTGAAGTCATTCTTAATGATACTTGAATTGCAAATATTTTACAAAGTACCAAGGTAACAGGGACACGAAAAAATGTCCCACTTCGGACCCCAAATTGATAGAATGACCCAAATATAAACTTTAACCAATTATACAGTAACACAGTCGTGATGATGTTGCATCTGAGTACTGTTCAGTGTACTAGGTAACCCCAAACAGGCGTGTGGGATTACTTCCCATTTGGGCATCTCCCAAACCCAGTCACACCTCTAACTGGGTGCTTACGCCCATCATCACTCAGGTCTCGTATTTGATTGGACAGCTGTGAGTTGGGTGTCGTCTTTGTAAGCCTGTTCCCTCAGAGCAGGTTGTCTGTGAGTGTGGTTTCAGATTACCCCCCCCCCCCCACATGTGTTCGTACACGTACCTTTGTGAGATGGGTGTGGTTTTTTGTTCCAGAGCTTGTTTGATCAGAGGGTGTGTGGGAACACGGAGCGTGGCTTTTTTTTTTTAATCTGCAGAAAGTGCATGAACTGTCTGAAGTACATCACACCAGTTCTGCAACAGGATCTTCCACTAAAAAGGTTTTGGAAAAAAGTCAGTGAGAGGGAAAAAAGAAGAATACAGTCATAAGTCTGGAAGTAGGACTGTTAAAGATATGTGAAAGACTTCAGAAGATTTACATCATATCCTGTCGTCATAATCCGTGGCATAATTAAAATTCATTATCTTCATTTTGATTTTAATTAACCTTCCTGCTATCTGAACAGTCATAGACCGTCAAAAGATCAATTCTCTTCTCCTGCCATGCCTTTTACACAGACTAGTCACCAACAGTTTGATCATATTTCAAGCAAGAACTGAAGCTGGATTATCAATCATCTACAGTCAAAGCTAAGCTGTATCAAGTCACATCAACAGTCACAGCCAGTCAATCCAGCTTTACTGGTAGGCTGGGAGCTCTTACCTGTTGAAAACAGCCACTTGATTGATTTTGACTGAAAGGATAACTTGGCACAGAATGTATGTTTGCATAGGATGGTTGAGGTTACACTGGAACAGCAGTTAGGAAGTGTCATATCCCAGTTCTGGAAGCCTTTCTTTGTCACAAGTTACTCCAATCCCAAATGTCTTTTCACACTTAGGAGCCACTGTTTCATCTTAACCCTCTTACTATGTGCTGTTATGCATCTCAACACTTGTCACATTCACAGAAAAAAAAATACCCCGATGATTCCAAATCAGGAAATTGTCAAGTATCAAAACATGACTGCCAATTGTGCTTTACAGAGAAACAAATTCTGAAAGCTGCTGATGTTTGATGTTAACACGATGACCAACCATGAATCACGTACGAAAAACCACAATGCTGCAAGAGGAGCCCAAGTGTGCTCCTTGGGAAGCAGATGTTCCTTGTGGCCCAAGCGGTAGCTCTCCAGCAAACTTCAGGATTTGTCCTGGCCGCCCTTGTCTGTAATTAATAGACTTCCTGGAATGTCCACCCTATTAAAGCAGGATAATCCTTGACCTATACGAGAAGTTGGCTTCCCGGAGAACGGTGGGTGATCGCAGGCCTCATTCTCCCGACAACCGACCAACCAGCTGGCTGCTTAGGGCAGCAGCGGTGGAGTTACTCTTTGCCCCGGCAGTCCTAAACTAAGTCACGTACATGTATGATTGAGAGCGTACCGGAGTGGTATGTGACGTGGGGAGCAGGCCGTAGAATTGAGTGCCGGATGCCGCCGTATGTTTGAGTGTGTTACTGGAACATTTTGTGGTTTGGCGTTTCGGAAAGTGCTTTGCTGGTCGCTGGGATTGGAGAAAAAAAGGTGAGTCCGGCAAAGATGTGGGTCCTTGGCTGTCTCAACCGAGAGAGTTGTTAAAACAAGTCATCAATCACAGCATCTTTCAAATGAAGACTGTGATAAATGATTGCGGATGCATGTACATGTACATGCAATGGTGACAGACCACAGTTACAATTACCGGTGTTTTGTTCTTGTAGCCATACCATAGTAACTCAACATCGTAGTATAGTAAAATACGGCTGCGCCTAAACCAAACTATGTCCCAGCACACACCTTACCGGTACATGTATATTCTATTTTAGTGGCTGAACAATGGAAATTGACTATTGTGGGATTCGAGCCTTGAAAACCTGCAAGACCAGTTGAGACATCTAGTTGTTGTTGTCTTTGATTGTTAGTGTTTCTGTTTAGAAAGCTGCATGTAGTCAGAAGCCTTGAAAACCATGCATGGGATGGCGAGGGATTGTACCCAAGTGAATATGGTAATAGCAATGTCACAAACCTAGGAAATGTGACAGTTTTTGGATCCCAATTCTGTCTTAGTTCAAATTGATTAAAGGTGTGCCTAGTCAGTTTTCCAAAGATATCGAGCAATTTTTGTTTTCTGTAAACAGTATTTCAAGAAAATGGCTACTTCTGCCTGTTGAAATAAAAGCCAATTTTGTTTAATTTTGTTCACTATTTTCAGGTTTTTTGCAAATTAGAGTTCCGAACGTCATATTGTAAGCCAGCTGTGTGGAACCATTCCTTCATTTAAGGGTCTTCCGACGTCCATTTTCCGAGATCGTTCGACATCCGTCATCTGTCCTACATCCTTGGAACGATATCCAAATTGGTGAGTTATACAATTCTCCACCGCATAAAAAAAACAAACCCAAAAAGCAAACCACATCATCAGGATTGTTATTTTTACTCGGATTTGAGCAGGATGTGTAGCTTAGGAAACATTTCTTAATCTGAGTGGAGATCTCGCCAGTCAAACGCCATCAACCGAGCCCGGCGCTTGAGTGGTTGCGACAACTGTACCTGCATAAAGGAAGTCGTGGGTATGATCCCCGCCGGAGTCGCCTGTAGGTGGGCTGTTGGCAGCCTCAAGACCAAAGGAACACATGATATTGGCCATGCTCACAATCAATTTAGGAGCTCTGTTTTGAAACGGGGAAAAAGAGCTTATACACGTAATAAAGACAAAAAAAGTAGCCGCATCTTTCGGTTTAAAAAAAAAAGCCAGACAAGAAGTTTTATTCGCCCTAAGGTCTGGGGAGAAAAATCACGTCACGAACATTAATGTTCTCACTTGTGAAGTCAAAGAAACCAGTTCATCCATCAATATCCAAAATTGGAGGCTGAATTTGGCTTTTTGCCACATAAACCAAGGATATTGTTTATACCACAGGTAAACAGCCGACTGAAAAGTTGTCCTAAGTTGTGATTCAATCTGTGTGCAGTTCCTTTGCTAAATATTGGTGGTTTTGTTTAAAGAAAATTTAAGTGTGTTTGTTTGTATCGCAGTGCATTGGATGAAATTCAGCACAGGTTTTTAAAAAAGTTGAAATCAGTGAAAGATACACGTAGGCCAACTGGTGTCTCAAGATAAAAGGAATAAGATTGTACGTAAGGAAGTGATTGCTTTGAGTCTGACCCACTTTTTTTGGCTCGTTGGCATTTGTGACAAATTAGGTTTGACCTTCTTTTCTTTACCCAGGCCGGTTCGTTCCCGGATGGGTGGTCAGGTTTGTTTTAGCGGCTGCTTCCCCCCTGCCCCCCTTTGACTTTCACCCGTACTGGCCCCGGTTCAACTCCCACCGGGGCTGATCTTACAAGTACGGCCTTTGACTTGCCTCCCAAGAGCTTCAAGAATTAAAAACAAGAAAAGAGGCTTTGAATTGAAAGTGAGTGTGGGGGGAAACAGACTTTTTGCTTGCTGTTCTAGAAATATGCCATAAGGAAGCTGATAATTTCTATTGTACACGGAGCCAAACAACATTCATTGTGTTTTCACTCTTGACTGTACGACACTTTTTATATTTCTCATATTTTTCATAAACTTCATTTACCTGTCTTTAATAATAGACATAATTTGAGCGCCTTGAGTACCTAATTGTTGGTAGATACCGGTATGTGCGCTATATAAGACTCCGGTATTATTATTATTATTATAGCAGTGCTGTGATACATGTATAGATTTACATGTAGATTGCAAGTTCTTAAACTCTGCGGTCTCAATGCTAAGATTGCGTAAATGTCAGGCATCTGAAATTAATTTAAAAAAATTCAAAACATACCTGCAAAAATACATATTGTTCTTCTTTGGTTATTCTTCCCCCTAAAAAAAATTGTGCAATACTTGAATTTGTATGATAGCATTCATAACAGTATTAGAAATTACTGTACATTTACTTACGGTAGCAGTTACTGAAATAATGAAAGCAAACATTGAGCAGAGCTAGGCTAATTGGCAGCACACCTTCCCTAATTTTGCTTGTTTATAGACAAATGCTTCTAATTCTAGATTCCACTGTATTGCGGGGCCATCTGGGAGCTTCTTACATGTACATTGCCTTGTCTTGTTCCCAGACCTATCTTCATGAAACTGAATGGTTCTTAAATCTTGAATGCTGGTAGCACATAGCAACTGGTGAAAATGCTTGTGCTAATGAAAAAAGATGTAATACCGTGCTGCCCTACATGTGCATGTATTTCAAACAAGGTTCAGTTACTGTATGCTCATGTGCAGTTTTTCCAATCCCTTCTTCCAGGTAAGGTGTGAAAACATGACATCACCAAGTACTTGAAGTTTGCCGTAGTTTTCCCGCCAGCTACTTCCGACCCAAGACGACGGCCCTTATTGAGGAGCAGCGACTAGTCGCTGCCCCTTCACAGCATGCCCTGCTGTTCCCGTACGGCGGCAGCAGCAGCATGTTGAAAGGCGGGCGAGGGATGCGCCTGAATTGGCGGGAGTTGATGATCATCGCCGTCCAGCCTGCCAAGCTATTCTCCAAGGAAGGTCCGCTTTACATGAAGGTCACCCCTAGTGGCTGGAGAAAGAAAAGCGAAAGTAAGTCCTCAGTCCAGGATACTTAAGACTAAAGACCATTCATTAATGCATTTATGGGAAGCGAATTCAACCGACAAAACAGTTGCTGTGAAATTTACCGGTGTTGAAATGTATTCAACTTTTGTGAATTTGCAGTCTGCAAACCTTCCACCATGTCACAAATTTTGCAATGGCGTTTGCTTTCACGCTGATTTAGATACAGCTTCAAGCCGTACATTTTAAGCTTCTTCAGGCTTGAAAGCTGCTGTGCCGCAGACACGTTTGGGGACCAGGTTGTTTTTCAAAAAAAAATTATGTAAGAAACACCTCCTTAGTTAGTATTTGATTGTGAATTTGTAAAATTTTGATTGAGAAATAAAGACATGCTTGCTTAATGAAGACTTAAGCACTCGTGCTTAGGTAGTGGTTAGGGTTGTAAGCACTGATCTCTATTATAAAGACTGGATAGCTAATAAAGAGCCGCACAATGTACGAATTTGACGCCATATTGGTGAGACCGGCTGGTGATCTAAAAAGGGCAAGTTGCCGTCTTTATAGACAGCATGCTTTCTTTTGTAACGTCGCGGTTCACCTGACTTATATTTTGACCACCACCACTGACCAACTGACCAAGGTTTACTACAATTTTTCTAACGTTGTGGTTACTTTTATAATGCCGCAAATCACTTTTCCGGCGTTTTTGAAATAACAATCACTACGGAAATGTGTCCCTTTTAGAACATCATTATGTGTACGTGACCAAAATGCGCGTCAACTGTTGATACAACGCGCGCGTATTTACGCGTAGAACGTTCGTATTATGCGCGGCCATCTTCGTGAGACCGGGGGCGAATTGGTCAATATGCAAAGTCTACTGTGTGAATGTTGTATGCATATCCGCTATCCAGTCTTTATATAGAGATCAGTGGTTGTAAGGTGCACTTGGAATGCTGTACTGATGCGAAAAACCTGGTGCCTGATGCGTCATCCAGACAGCATGTCAAGATGTCACATCTGATCAGGTCATAAATCATTTGATTCACGCATATCATCAGAAACATAATGCTAGCACGTAATTCAATTTCAGGTTCTTTACCATTGTTCATACCGGCATGCAACTAATCATAGTCCTTTTCATAGGATTATACAATGGAAGCTGGCAAGTAAGATTAAGGCATTGTATGTCAAGTAGGTGTGAGAATATTCTAAGACCTGCAAGAAATGTGCCACTGATTATAGTAAGCTGGGCCTGATGTCATGGGTCTGTTTACCAATAACAAAAAATCCCCGCTTACTGTAGCAGAAAATTTTAATGCACAAATTTCCTTGATAAGTGAGGAAATTTGGCTGGTGCGATTGCGTTAATTCCGTATCTAAGGATTCTGTGCTTGCAAGGTAGCACAGAATTGACCTATCGCCGTTTGTGAGTTAGCCACGCCCCTTAGACAACCCTATGGAATTATGTACGCTAAGTTTTGTTTGTCTAAGATTTGTATGCCATTTAAATTGGAAAATATTTCACAAGCGACGTGATTCTACTGCGATAGGTTAATTTTCTGCTACCGCGGTTAGCACAGAATGGTGATCGTCAGCGTGGAATTCTGTGGTTAGCAGAGCCAAGAAATTGGGTCAAACTTTGAGTGACAGGATGCTTAACCAGTCAGTTAAGTAATGCGGGCGACAGTTAGCCTCACGTTGTTTTACGGTACTCCTAGCCGCAAGCCGGCGTAAACCACAAGCCACAGTAAACTGTGAGTTGACGTGAGCCTCTAGCCGCAGTGAGCTGCGAGCAGTTGTGATTAGCAAGCCGCAGTGCCATAACATAATATAAGCCATAAGCCGCAAGTCATTTTAAGAGTAACAAGCACCGAGTTTGAGTTTTTCTTTATTGCCCCGTTGTTTTTGCTCTTTGGTACCCTGCGAAATCTAATGGAAACTAACAATAACCAACACACAATAGACCTTAACGTAGCTCTGGAGGCCTGTTTCAGACACCATGTACTTAAACTCAAAGACCTACCGGTACAGGTACAGTATATGAAGACATTTAAAAGATACTATGAGATAGTGAAGTTTTTTTGCTGTGTCATCTGGGTCATAATGTGACCTCCACATCCTTCCCAGCCTCCTCTTAATTGGTCACACTTGCAACATTTCACCGGCACCCTGCACCCCTACCCCCTTCCCTCACTGTGAGCCAACACGAGCCGCAGATGTTCCACCCCCAAGACTCCTACATGTAGCTGTCAAGTTGGCAGCTCTCCGTATTTGTTGACATTGCACGACCCCTTTCGCATATCCCTGCCGGCCCCGGACGAGTTAAGCCCGACTGACACTGAGAGGAACAATGTCCTAATAGGCCCCTTCCCTACCCACAGACCCCCCCCCCTCCCCCAGCGCGGCTTCCCCAGGAAAAGACAATGCAAAGCAGACGGGGATGGGACAGAGAGGGGAGAGGGGAGGGGGAATGACTTGTAGGGCAAAACACTGCCAAAGAAAGAAATACCTTATTCTAAGTGTGAACACTGTATAATACGCTGAATTTGATTGGAAATTTCTGGTAATAAAAGCAAGGATTCCAAAATCAGTCTTTTGGACTGCGAGCTACTTGTACTTTAGCTGAAAAGGAAAGAACCCTCGAAGAAGAAGCTGTGATAAATTGTTCAGTTTCAGAAGAGAAGGGAAATATTCTTACAGATTTCCTGACAACTCCTGGATTAAGGTAGCCAGGCGAGAATATGAAGTTTGCTTGTTGGCAGAGTTTTTAACAAAATGATATAGAATTCACTAAAGTGGGATGTGAACCCTGGATTGCTGCCAAACTTTTTAAGTTCTCGTCCAACTGAGCTAACCAGCCCTGTCTAGGTTCTCTCCCAAACGGTCAGTATCTCTGCATGTTCTAGTGTACCCCTGAAAATATTAAAACCGCGGTATCATAGGGGCCGACAACGAACAAGCAAAGGCAGATTTTGGAGATCCAGGCCATTTATTGCAGACATGTTTTTAAAGAACTGCCTGTTTTAGAAAATACTCTGTTCCCACAGTGAACAGTTTGGTAATTCAAAAAAAAGAAGAAGTCATTTCTTTAAACCTAAGCCAACTGCAGCTCTTTCCTGCGTTAAAAACTGACGCATAATTGTATGTATGTAAACGCGTTTATTACTCTCACTACAGTGGGTTGCCTTTCTGACGCTACCGCAAGAAAATCGAATTTCACTCTTGACCCGAAAGTTGCCTAAATTTGAACTTGGGCTGAAACCACGCTGCGTACTTGCCATGCCCGATTGGCACTAGGAACATTACTCCGCATTATTTCTTTTGGGAAGGCACGTCCTGGTCCGAAATAAGGGGGAATCCCCAAGAGGGGGTAGATTCGTGGCTTTTTATAGGCCGACCGGCTATATATAGCGGATATCTAGTATCCATGCTAACTTTTCCTTCCCTTATGTGAGTGTGAATTTCCTGTGGGCTAGACGTGCATGTCAGAGAAGATTCGGTAAGAATGGAACATAGAAACGACTCTGAAGTAACGGGTACATGCAGTCGACACAAAATGAGTGAATATATTTGCATCTTGGCCAAAAATTTGTGTCAAACAACTAATTGAATTAAAATTGTGCCTACCACTGACAAACAGGGTTGTGTATATATGCCTGAGGGCTGACTAGAATGAGTAGGGATTATAAGCCTGCTGGTCAGGGGTAACAATATCATCAAGTGTTGTGATTCTTTGGGAAAAGTCCTCGTAAATCCCAAAGAATCAGGTAGGGACTGAAACATTGGGGTCACAGGGGCAGAAAGCAAGGAAAGCATGACTGCACCAACCTGATTAAACAAAAAAATGACAATACATGAATTTCAATACCATACTAACAAATAAATCGGTGATTGTTTTAAAATAAGCCAGTTTGGTATTCCAACTGAGCATACGTGTGCACATTAAAATTTGACGATTTTTCTTTCGGGATAAACATTTCATTCATGCGTGCAAAAGCATAGCGGGGTACCAGCAAAATTAAAGAGATTGTCGTGTTCTGAAGTAACAGTTTTCAAAAAACATTTGGGCAGTGAAGTGTTTTTAGGTGTCTGGTTTGTCCAAACTTTCTTGCTAACGAAAGTTTCTATCTCATTTAGATTGCATGAAAAATTACACAGAATGCAGATTTGGTTACTCCTCCATAGCCTTGTGTGCATTTATCTGCCACTTTCCTCCCGAAAAAAAATTGATAGATGCACAAATAACAGAATGCACAAAGTGGAAGAGATCATAGGAATCGATGAATTACATATACTGGGAATCAAAGTAACAGAGTACAGAAATGAAAAGGACACGTGCAATGCTTACACGTAGATCTTTTATTATTCTGGTCCAAATAATATGACTTATTTACACTCTTACTGCCAAAGAAAGCGACATATACCTCATATACAATTCTACATGTATGTACACATATCCCGGTACTCAGATTTTGACAAAAACAAAGTTTAAAATCTGGGGTTTTTTTTTACATCTCCTTCCAGCTTACAGTGAGAGATGGTGCCGTCTGCGGGGCAACCTCCTCTTCTACTTCAAAGGTCGCGACCTCTTGTCTGAGCCCCAGGGGGTCGTGGTCCTGGAACAGTGCTTCATCAAGGAAGAATACGGCGAGATCCAGTCCTTTGCCTTCTGTGTCGGTGAGTTGATTTTTGGTCTATGACTGTGACTTTCTGCCATTGGTATGCCATTGCTTCTGGCCAAAGCCACAACAAAAAGACCGAATTGGCATAGTCAATTTTTTTTGTTTAATGAATGATAAACTAGGTTAGCATCAGCTTTGAAATGAAAACCCAGTACAGTATGTAAGAGCACAAGTAATCTAGTCCAGAGGGTACAAGTTTGAATTCTTATCACATCAACTTAAGTTATGAAAAGAAAAAAAACTCCATTTGGAGGGTTATTTGTACATGTACACAGCTGTTAAATACACTGCTATGAATAAATACATGTCAATTAAAGTGGAAAAACCAGCGTCCTCTAGTTACAGCGTTTGTAGTGTCCTGAGCAGATAACTAGAGCTTTAAAAAATTAATTTGCCAAGAATGTTTTGGCTTTTTATGGGGAACCAATCAAAAGGGGTTTTACATTACGAAAACATGTAGCCAGTAATTCCTATTTTTGATGTATGCACTGAATGGTGTGCAATGGTTTTAGTTGAATCTGCATATTTGCTGTTTATTTGCATCATGAAAATATGAATGTTTTTGTGATGGTTCTGTGGTTTTACTAGTTTATTTGGTTTGCTCTGGTACCGGTACAGCCACTCTCCTTGGGGAGGGGTGTGGTTAGAAGATGGGGGCGGGTGCATGAGTAGTCCTGAATGTACTTCCGTTGGAACATTTAGAAATCGTTCCATGGTCGCTAAGCTGAAATTGTTGTTAAGTTGGAGAAGTTGGTTCTGGATTTGTATGCTTTGATTTGACAGTTTAGAAATGGAAGATCTGCTATTCAACCAGGATTTGAAACAGAGACCACAACATTGTTCAGTTGTTTAAATGTCTTCCTTTAAATTAGTGTTTAATTTCTTTCCTAACATTTTTTTGGGGAAATTTCACACTGTTAAATTCTAAAACCTTGGAAAAAAGAGTGCTCATTAGTTTGGGGTATCTGTGAGAAAAAAACCCAGTAAACTGTAAGCAAATTTAGTAATGTATTAACAATACTTTTTTTCTAAAGTGCATGAACTTTCCACACTTTTGCCTTCCTTGACTTGCTGATGCTTCACATTTGTAGTAGCTTCAAAAGATGTTACTCGATGTTTCCTGGGTTCCAAGAATGCGACTGAACCCCAGGAACTAATGTGATTTCAAATTCTAGAACTAGAATTAGCTCGCTACCAAAAGAGAGTTCTGATTTGATTTGAAGCCAGCAGATGACAGCATCAAATTTCCCGTCGCCGTGCATGACATGCTGTATCTAGGGATTAACTTACCAGTACCTCGCATCATGTAAAGGGTTTCCTTAATCAAGTTTGGCTGACACCCAATGAGAAAAAGCTTCACAGGATAATCCGGAAATAAAACCACAAAAACAATTATTAAAACTGTAGGTGATGAACACTGAATACACCCGAAGGCCAAAATTGGTGAATGCATCAACAAATGTCCAGTGGTTTTGACCTTCAGGGGAAAAAATTAAACAATTTAACTTCCTTTTAATACAAAGGATGTTACGTTTCCTACCACAATTTCAATGACTTCACACACAACACCTGTCATGCGTAAATTGTTTGGTGTACCTGTATCGTATGGCTAGTTAAATTTTTAAATTTCAGTCAGTACATCCTAACACTAAAATCAGTGAGTTATTTATGCGTGATTAACATTCCCTCCTTGTACTACTATCAAGGTTAAGATTGGGGAAACGTAAAAACAAATCCACGAGATAATTGACAGAGGGTGTCAATGGTATAGTCCATCATTTGTAAGTTGTGCATTTTGTTCGTTTGAAGCAACAAAAGTGCTCAAAATCTAAAGAAGGGTGCTGAACAACTAACCTGATGAAGTTTCAGCTCAGCTTCGGCTGTATATTTTGAGAAAAACAACATTCTAGGATAGTCGTGATTTGAAATCAAAAGTTGCTGAATCATGTTTTGAATTGGGCCTGAATTCAGCGTCCGAGACACGTTCTCACTAGCCGATTGCAGCTTTGCGATGTCACGCACTGATCCAATGAATTATAGCAGCCGCGTGCATGTGTGCGTCGTGTCAACGCTTGCATGCGCTTCGCTGAATAAAAAAACAAACTACTAGTGGAAATTTCCAACGGTGCTTCTTAAGATGCACCGTTGGAAAAACCTTCTTTCGTTGATTTCTTTAAAATGAGAGCATGCCAGAAAGAATAATTACACAGGGAGTTTAGTCCCCTTACTATCTTTCAACCAAGTATGTTTTTCAACGGTAATTACGCCAGTTACTTTCTGGATAGCTGCCAATGATGGACTCGGGCATTCAGGGCCACCGGGAGCCCTAGAATAACGTACATGTAGGGTCGGTGGTATAGGGTCGTATTTACCTAAAGGCACCTCTTCAAATATCCATTTTTTGTGTTTTATAGAAACATTCAAAACAAACTCTTAAAAAAATCCTCATATCAGGAAAATTGTGACCAAATTCCGAAAATCCTGAAATCTCGAAAACAAATCTCACCCCTGATCATTAATTGTACCAGGAGTGAAAGGTCAACACATACAGGAAAAGGAAATGCGAAACCGAGAGTTATATAAAACAAGTGGAGGCAACGAACAAAACAGTTAATTGCCGAATGGTCGTGGGAGGAAACATCCTGTGTACAGTGCAATGTTATGAATATATATACAACACGTAGGGATTTTGTAAACCTTGTAGAAACTTGTGGTCACACATGTAGGACATGTGGTCAGAGTTGCTCAGGTGCAACGTATGCGTCGTAGGTTATGTGTATGTTGCACAAAACCAGAAACACGGACATTACTTGGATAGTTGTGAAGGAAACGTTTTTTAGACCGAGGCACAGGTGAGTGGTGTACCGGTACAAGTCTCAAATTGCATGTAGGTGTAGATTTATTTCCATTTTGGTTTTTAGGCCCCCCCAAAAAAATATTCGGTCTCTGGTCAGACCAAAGTTCCAGAATTGACGCAGCAACGCGGCTTTTTTTGTTTTGTTTTTGTTTTGCTTTTTTTCTTCTTCAAGCTTGGATTGTACCGACAAGGTGGGATACTATTTTGCTTTTTTGGTGTCCTCATGTACATTGGTGTCCTCCATAATTTGCTTTGGTGCTTTCGATCATTTGCCTTGGAGCAATTTCCCATTCTTTGGTGCTCTTTGGTAAAAAAAAAATGAGGAGGTGCAGCAATAGAGGGCGCTGTTGGAGCTACCGCGGAACATTTTGGAAAAAAAAAGATTGACGCGCATGATTAAAATCGACGTGCGCACTGACCAGAGACCGACTTATTTTTTTTTTTGCCTTTAGGTAGAGCATGGGTAGAGTAGCTCATTTGCAACTATCCAAAATGTAACTGTCAAAATTATTGTTCAAAAACTTACTTGGTTTAAAGATGGAGATGGCAATAAACTCCCTGTGAAATTATTCCTTCTGGCATGCTGTCATTTTGAAAAAACTATAAAAGAAGGCCATTTCCAAAGATGCGTCAAGTGTCCCATTTTGGGAAATTTCTGTGGACCATTACTTGTTGGTTTGTCATTTGGCTAATTTGAATGGGTGTGCGCAAGCATTGATGCGACCACACGCGCGCATGGTGGCTCTTTATTTTTGGTTGAAAATTGTGTAGCTGCAATTGTCTGAATGAGAAAGTGTCCCGGATGCTGATTTTGGCGCAGTTCAAAACGAGACTCGGCAACTTTTGAATTGAAATGGGATCCTAGAATATTGATTTCTTGGAATACAGCATTCACAGAGCTAAAACTTCATCAGGTTAGTTGTTTTAGTTGTTAAGCACCTGTCTTTAAATTTTGAGCACTTTTGTTACTTCAAACGAAAAAGATGCACAAATGACAAATGATCTACCCTACCTTTATATGAAAATCAGTGTTTCCTGATTAAAAATTAAAAAATTCCTTGTATTTTTATATTACACTGCACAGTGGAATATTTTAGCATTTTTGGGCCAGCAGTTCAAGTGATAAATATTCACAAAAAAATTGTTATTGAAAGTAATTTTTTAACTAATGAAATTACTTTACTGGAGAACTACAATGTATGCGTCTGCTGAAAAGGTGTTTACATGTACATTGTAGAGTGCCTTGCGTGAATGTTGTTAATGTTGTTAATGTTTTTTTTTTTTTAAATAGGAGAACATTTTCAGGGTTGATCTATTCTTGAGAAAGTTGCTTACTTTTGGCTTTGTGTGCTTCTATTGTAGTTGGCATTTGAGGAGCTAAATTTGGATCTCTTTTTCCTGTGGATGTGAAAATAAAACACATTTTTGTGACGTCAACAATTTACGTTCACTTTCAATAATTGTTTCGCAGTGTGACCCTTGACAAAAAACGTGCTTCACTATCGCATCTGCGTTCACTATGACCCATCCGTCACCACTGCTTTGGTTTCTGTCTTATTTTGCATTTCTAAAAATTCCGCTGGTACTTGCGTAATCACAGAGTGGTTGTGGATGATCACTTTTAGTTTTGTTCAATCGCAGTAATCATTCAACATGTTTGAGATTGTTTCTGTATTGTGTGGGAAGTCCCCATACCGGTTTTACTCGGGATGCCCCGCTTAGTTTGACTTTGTTTAAAAAAAAAAAAAACAAGTGATTTTTTTGGTTTTGTTTTTCAACTGCAACATCAGTTATGAAACTGGTTTTTTTTGTCAATAACGTACAACTGTACACGCTTTACTCAAAACACAAAACAGTGTTTCAGTTTCATTTAATATCTCATAAAGAATCATCTTTTTTTGTGTGGGCGAACTTCAGGAACTTTATATCCACTTTGTCCATCTTGACCCTGTGCCCAGTGTGATGCAAGCATATTGCTGGGCAAAAAGCCAATTTCTCACTCATGGTAAAATAACTTTCACCACATTTTAAGTAGTACATGTACATTATTATATCTGAGATTTATCAAATTGGACATGGATGTAATTTGACCACATCACACTGGTTTGTAAATTAATGTCTCAAACTGTGTTATATACTGTCACAGGCTTTCATGTTTTAGAAACTGTATTTACAACCTGGTTTATTCAATCTTATTTATCAGAAAGACTTTATATAAACTTTCTAACAATCTATATACCGTGTTATAACCATGTCCTAAACTTCCTAAATATGCCCCCCCCCCCAAAAAAAGCTTCACTGTACATTGTTTTTTTGTCTTCAAGACAGAAACCTTACATTATCAAAGTCTCGGCTACTTAGCTTTTACTTCTTGCTCCTATCATGCCTACCGGTATGTTTCGATAAGAAAACCCCTCACCGTCTAACTGAGCCTCTTTATGCTGGTTGAGTCTCTGTTCGAGAGACAAGTAAAGATGGCGGTGAGTATTGATGTATTGATGTACTGTATTTAACTTCGGTTTACAAAGTCATTTCCACAAGCCGTTCCAAAGATATCCCACGCCAAGTATCGTGTGCTTTGTTTTCAAATTTAACTTCTACATTTTGTATTTTTGGAACCCAGAAACTAGGTCACCCTCTGCCTTTCCTGGTGTGTCTGTGGCAATTAGGTTCCTGGGTACCGTTATCCTAAACAGTTGTAGGAGTGGGCACCCATGGAGCCCCAAAACCTCAACAGGGGGAACACCAACTGGGGATACTCATGAGTCAAACCATGGTGTTGACAGGTCTTGTACAGTCCTGTAGTTTTTACTTTCTGTGTTCCCTGAACATTTGTGTGCAAGGCTCAACTCCCATCCCATCACACCCAGTCCCCCCAAAAAGGAAAGCAACCGCACAGAATTTACACAAAACATTAGAATACACTGTTTGCCAATTCCTATTATCTTCAAGTAAACTTGAACCTCGATCCTGATTGGTCGATCCATGGCAACAAGCCGTGCTACATGAACATATAACTATGTAGCACAGCCACTATCCATACCACACTCCACGTATTGCGCTATTCTAAGATTAGCACAACATTCCGTACAACACGCACGTGTAATACGATAACCGCTGAAAATTTTATGTACAGCGTGCATGCTCCATCTTTACTGCGCGTCAAGTTTGCTTGAAGATAAATTCGTTGTCCCACTCGCGCGCGTGGAACATGGAAAATCCACACGACATTATTCCGTGTTCGCGCCTGTGGGATTTATAACTAATATTGTTCAATCCAAAAAAATTCAAATTTATGACAGCAAATGGTCCTGTTAATGATTTGAGAGCTACATTTAAACAAACTTGCGGTACCCGGTAGTTGTAGTATTTATATTTCTTGGGTTCCTGTTATGGAAAACTTACACAGCTTTCATAACTACTTGAGTAAACAAAAAGCCAATATTGTATAGTTTGGGGACAATATTTTTGTTCTGTATTGACTGTAGAGCTGTTATGTGTAGCTTTGAGTTTTTAGTATCAATAGAACAAACCCTGCAGGTTCGGAAGTCCAGCTTCCCTCTAGAATATGTATTTATTTGTGAAAATTGTGAACTTTTGGCCTTTTTGTAACTCCAGGAAAGAGACACTTTGTATTATATGGTCGGTCATACGTGGAGCATTTGGCAGTTCAGAGATGTTTTTTTACAGTCCCTTGGAATGAACAAGGAAGAAACAGGTCTCTAGGAAGACATTTTGAACATGTGGACACTCTACATGTTTCTAGTTTGTGTTGGCTGTAATATTTGGGTCAAGCTTTACCAAAGACCGGGAAGTATTTACAGTGTACGCCAGCATTTCTGTCAGAATCATTAGGTAATCTGTGATTTCGTTGTCATGATTTCTTGCCGTTTCAAAACAGCGAATCCTGCTTGGGGAATTGTTCTGGTGATCACAGACGCTGTGCTCCACAATCATTCTAAAGCCATAGCACAAACATTTACGTACTTTGTCGGCATTCGTCATACACAGACGGTTTAGCAGGAACCAGCTTGCATAAAACAAACTGTGTCAAATTTTTTTCTGAAATCTGGAGGAAAAAACCTGCAAATTTCTTGACTATAACAGACTTGTAAACATGTACTGTGAGCAAATGAAGCACTAAACGTACTTCTGGTGATGTTATCTTTCATCAAATGCAGAGTACATCGGTGAGGAGCACAACCAGTATTTCGCAGCACACTCGGCCGAGCTACGCGACGAGTGGGTGGCGCTCTTGCAGTCGGCCAGTTACGAGAACCTACGCAGCCAGCTGCAGAGTCTACGCTTGCAGCTGATGGCTAGGACGGGACAGGACCCTATCGACGAGGAGCGACACGGTGTCTTGGGTCGGACAGACCCCGGCGATTCAGTGACGGAACCCATCCTGGAGATGTCTATATGTAAGTACATCTTATGTACTCGCCAATTAACTGATGTATTAAGTTTTGACAAACCAAATACTTGATTGAGCAACCCAAGTGTCCAAAAAATGTGGCATTAAAGCACCGCTCATGTTGTTGTCCATGTGTTCAGTGGGTGGGCTTACCTAACCCTAATGCACCTTAACCCTAACTCCCTAGGGGGTGTGCAAAGTAATATTGAAATTGGAGGATTCAGGACTGTTAGGGCTATTCCTTCAAAATCCTCCTGGCGGTTTTGGAGGATTGTGGAGGATTGAGGATGAATGGTGTTGAAGCACATGAGCGTTTTGGAGGATTGAGGTTGAATGGTGTTTGAGAAACATGAGGATTTTGGAGGATTGAGGATGAATGGTGTTGAAGCACATGAGAATTTTGGAGGATTGAGGCTGCAATGGTGTTTGAAGATGAGGAGGAGTTTGGAGGATTGAGGATGAATGCATTTTGAGAGGCAGGACTGTCTGACAATTTTGAAAGATTGAAGCACTGGGTATCCTTTTTTGTACATAAGTTCAAAATTTTGAAGGATTTTGGAAGATTGAGGATGGTTCCTTGCAAAAAAAGGCCTGGGGGTTACGGCAATTGAATTGGGCCACGAACAAAGCTAAAGTCACTCAATACACAATTCAACTTCACTTCAACCTTAATTTCTATTTAAACAGAGGGAAAAAAAGAAAACGAAGAAGGATACACGTACGCATCGCAGACAAATCCAAAAAAATTAACACATTTTGAAAAATTCTTGTTTGAACTTCCAGCCTGCACGGACCTGCCCAAGAACAGCTTCGGTGAGGCCCCAAGCACCTTCGTGTCAGTCAGCTGTGTCACGCCGCCAGACACGCGGTGGTCCAAGAGCGGTCAAACAGAGATCATCAGTCGGAGTTGCAGCCCGTTCTTTCTGACCACTGTCTCCTTCGAGTCGACCCGGAATATTTCTGTCATCACAAGACTACGGGCAAATGTCTACGAAGTCCAGGACCGGAACATGCATACGGTAAACTTTTTGCAATTTTTTGAACAGATTTTTCTTTAAAAAATTTTCTTGGATCTAAAAGTTCCAATCTTTTTTATTTTAAACGTTTCGTAAATTTTTTTCATTTGTTCAAGTGGTTTTGTATGCTGCTTTGAGAATTTGCAGCGTTTTATTCAAACTTGTAGAGAAGTTATTTTTACCAACACGAGTTTATTTAGTTCAGTCAATAAATTTCATCATTTTATGTGCTCCTGTAAGAAAAAAGTGATTTGGAAATTTTTTTTGTGATTGTGTTTAAATGCAGGAGGAAATAGTAGACAAGGTAAATTTATCTACACTGAAAGCTCCAGTTTATGGGTATTCTTTTTTAATTTGTCAACATCCCATAATGATTCAAATATGTCACGCCATTCAGAGCATCACGTACCGTACTACAAACATTTATCACCTCATATCATGTCTACAAACAAGATCATCTACACCGTACACAGAAAAGAGAAACATTTCACTTTCAAACTTAGGTTTCGTATGTTCAAGCATATCTACTTGATCATGTTGATAATCTGAAACCTTTGCAATTTTGTTTCGGTATACGCAACTGATATAACCTGTGTAGTGTTTTCCATAAGGCCAAAAAAAAAGTCTCCGGTTTCTGGTATGGAGCTTGCCCAAAAAGTGGTGCGGCGACGCGGCTTTTTTTTTTTTTTTACCTGATTTTTTTGCTTCAAATGTCGGCTGATGACTGCAAATGGTGCCCGACTAAACTTAGTGCAAATATATGGGAGTCCAGAGAGGCCACATAAAGCTAATTCTCGACCATAACCCAATCTAAAAACACGTTAAAATTGTGCAGCAGCAGGATTCCAGTCAAACCAGTGAGTTTGGCGGTTTTGAGACATCATCTTTCATTGAAAAAAAAAACTTTTCATTTTTCCGACGCGCATGGCTTCGGCAACGCGCGCGCATACCAGAAACCGGAGACTTTTTTTGGCCTTAGTGCTTGTGTTTTTATACCTTGATGCCTTGACGTGTGCATTTGATTTCTCATGCAATGCAGTGAAGTCATTTAGTATCGGGTGAACAAAACTTGAAGAACTATTTTTCCTTCATGGATGGCTGCTTCCTTACACCATCGTATCAAAGTTTCATAATCTTTCAGAATATTTGTTTAAATTATTTTTAAGTTGCGGGTTTCGAAGCAACACTGTGTGATCATTTGCCATAAGATGACTGTCATTTGATTGATTTGAAGTATGAAGAAAAATACTTTTGTGTTCTGCTTCCAGTATTTACTCAAAAAGTCATTCAGTTCATGCAGTTTGTACATGAAAATGCTTCTTAAAGCATAATTTGAGAGCAAAATGTATCTTTTAGAAACATGATCCTACAAGCCCAGAGCTCCCAATATGTACGATGTGGCATACTTTTTATGATTTTCCACCAAAAAAAATATGCTTTTACGAATTCATTCTAGAAATTTACAATTGTATTCGATTACGAATATTAAGGGGTCAACTAAGTCTTTAGTCTAATTCTCGCTAATTTTCATGCTACAAATTGCTGTGGTTGTATTCCATTAGAAGAATCATTGTTCAAAGGTGAACAATACTAAAGTGGAACCATGTCTGCACGCATGCCGCACGTATTCTTACAAGACAAGGCGTGCATGCATTTTGTTAACACTATGGGTCGAAGGAGCTGGGAGTGGGTGCTTACTACCTGAACGTGACTCACGCGTGCCTGGTTTCACCTCAGAAAAAGGCTGTTGCCAAATTAGTCTATAGAGTACCGAAGTGTGATGTCATTTAGAACCAGAAAGTGTAGTGCAAAAGAATGGAGTACGCGCGCGTGTTGGTTTACAGTCTGAATCACGCAGTAATGTCTTTTACACACATACTGTAATTGTGCCCGTGATGTATTCACTTCGGTACTCTATACTTACACACAACCATTAAAAAAACTCATTTCACACAAATGGGAAAGCCCACCACATGTACCTGTAGTGTGTTCATTATATGTCAAGACTCGTTTTCATTTTCATGAATAACATGCATTCTCATTACGTGTCCATCGTTCATCAGGTAGCAGCCATTGGCCAGGTCATCTGTTCATTCCGCGACATTGTGACCTCCCCCGATAACAAGCTGGTGCGCGACATTATCGGGGCCGACGGCAAGCAGGTCGGAGGCAAGATCACCATCCTGCTGTGGGAAGTAAGTCCTGGATTGGCTAAAATACATGCCTCATACATATTCATGATCAGACAGGGCATCCTGATTGGCTAAAAGTATTCGGATCTGTTGAGAAAGAGATTTGCCTTTTCCTTGCGCATTGTTTATTTCTTTCCTTTCTGCATTGCATAAACTTACATGTACATGCATAGTTGTAAACATAACTGCTTCTGGTCTGGTGAAAAATAGTTATGAGAAGTTGAAACAAAGTGTTACAAATGTATGGGGTGAAGTACATGTATAACAAATGACACTGTACTAATCAAACCATGATACATATTTTTCGTACTAATTAAACCATGATACAGATTTTTCGTACCATTATTTTGTGAACGTTTTATCTTCCATTAGACTAATCCAGATGTTTCATTTTCATTATTAATCATGGAAAATCTATAAAATCTCTTAACCTTTGTCTCAATATTCAACAGACAACAGATAAAATCATTGTCACTGTGTGACATTGTCACAGCACACCAGTTCATAGTATTGATCACAAATTTGTTCGTTTTATATTAAATACTCGGTGAGAAATTCCTGTTACTTGTTAAAAAAAAAAACTAAATTGGAGGATAAACAATGGAAATTGTGGTTGGATATTCTTTGTGGATCTATAAATTAAAGTTGTTTTGTTTGTGGTTTGTTTCCATATTTCATGTTAGTGGGCAGGAAATCCTTGTTAGTCAAAATACACGCAATGTGCGAGCGGATAGTTTTCATTTCATCGGTGCAAGTGACTTGTCAGGCTTGCGCGGTGTTGCATGTGCTATGGTGGTTAAGATCGACATGAACTCTGCATCTGGCTTGGTGCCAAAAAGTACAGGAAAGCGTTTTATTTGTGTTGGACTTGTTTCTGGTATGGGGATTTAGCGTCTATTATTGCAACTCGCTGACTGCGTGAAGAGAAAATAAGAAGGAAACTATTATTACGGCGACAAAAAATATTTAGTCACGGAGATTTTATAGGGCAGACTTTGTTACTCATTGCACTTTTGAAAAATGAATAAATCGTAGGTTGATCCAGGGGATTTTAGATGTATTTTAAAATAATGCGTGCGTCACCCATGGTTTATTTTTGGTTTTGGTGGATATATCCATACAAAAACCTGATTGACAGTGTCATAATATCTGATCTATGCGTGGGCGGCTGTGATAATACATCCGTTACTGTCAGAAGATAAAAGTTTTTTCGGGGGGTAACAGAGTTTACCACTACTTCCTTTTAATCATATTAAATTATTTTCTTTGGAAAAATTATTTTTGTTATCTGTCCTTCCCAAATTAGAGTACAACTGTGTATCCTCAGTAAAACAGCGTGTTCCTCTTTCAAAATTTCTCTTTGAGATTTGTACAATATGACGATAATAACTTACGATTTTAGCTGAATGTCTGCAATGCTGTTTACAGATGTGTGTGTTATTTTTTTATTTGGCAATAAGTGGATAAGCATTCATGATACTTTCTTGACAGTGGAAAAATGACTGAATTTCTGGCTTTTGAAAACCCATTTTTTTTCCTGTTGGCACTTGTCCAGTTTCAGAGTATATAGGCACCTTGTACCTGCTGCATGTTTGCCCAGCTTTTTCCAAGATCTGTGAATCTGTGAATGCACTTCATTATAAATCTCCTTATATTGCATATTGCTTTTTGAGGAATCCAAGATAGCAGCCGAAATGGGCTTCAATATGGTTCCAAAAAATGCCTCTCCATTTTGTAAAAACAACCATAAAGATGGCAGCTTCTGCATCCAAGAACGCATATTTTAAGGGCTTTACCATAGTTGATAGTTGTTCAGAAAACCTGCGTATAAATTAAGTGAACCAACAGTACTGTCTCAAGTTTCCTTCTTTTTTAACAAGCCTAACCTTTACTTCATAACATTGTTTCCAAATTCAGTCCTTTTCTGCTCATTTCAGCTTGATGATGCGGTCGAAAAGCCCCAAGCTGTCATGAAGAGAGACAACCCCTCCACCAACCACGTAAGTTCCCCCCATCAACCTGCTACTCTCAGCGGTCTTTGTTTCATCACGACAAAGGCTTTAATTAGTGCGGGCATTTCCTGCTGGGAGTCACTGGGCTGTCACTTACAATCAAGCCCCACCCTCTTTTGATGATCGGTCTTAAAACCCTCCTGAGTGTCGGAACAAGTCTGGTTTCCAAACTATCTACCTTAAAAAAAAATCAAAGCGGAGTGGTTTTTTTTGGGTGTGTAACTTAACCTTTGTCAATCCTTCAAATTTAACCTGGAGGTTTTGGGGGATGTTTAACTCGGCCTTAGCTATCAGTGTGGGGAGTGTGGCCTAGTGGTTATGGTTCTTGACTCATGATCAGAGGATCAGGGGTTCGAATCCAGCTGCTGGTTATATGCTTGCCTTTCTCCACCCAGGAGTATAAATGGGTACCGGCATTAGCTGGGGAGTAACCTGCGATGGACTAGTATCCAACCAGGGAAAGTAGATATATTTTCAGTCGTTTCGTGCAACTGCAACCGGAGATAAATGCTGGCCTGATGGGCCACATTGGCTCGTGACAGACTTTGCGTACTTACTTAGCTATTAGTACCGGTAGTTGTAATAAACCTAAAAATTAATTTTAATCATATCGCAGTGAGGAAGGTACAGCCAAGTGCCTTTCCACAATGCCTGATGCCTTCTAAAAGTTTCCGTTCTGGCATATCCAATCCTTTTTTTAAATTGACAGGTCACATTAATAACACCTCTTGAATCAAACCCAAGCGTTGACTTTTATGTCATAGTAGTTGGACTCTTTCTGCTGGTCAATCTAACAGTGCGCAGCGACCAATCAGATCACGACTTTTGGTCAGGTGACCACGGGAGCTCAGCCGAACTCAGTCACAAGCACTGTGAGAAATGCACACGCACCACAGATGGCCAGGGCTTATGGCTAAATCCTGAATAGTCTGACCACTGAAAGACAACACTATGCTGTCCCTTTCAAAGAAAATATTGCATTCCTGTAGTTTCATGAAAAACCTTGCTGCATTGTCACCTTCTTTGGCAAACCTTGCTGCATTGTCACCTTCTTTGGCAACCCCAAAATTCCAGGTTTACCCGCCAAACGCCCAGAAGCTGAGCCACGCTGCATCCGCGCCGACCCGCACCCCTAACGGAGCCATCATGAGAAGCAGACTCCCCTCCCTGGTCCGTAGCACCTACATGAAGAGCCTGCTGTGCAACCCCTGCAACAAGACCTACCGCTTCCCCAACAGCGACGGCACCTCCATGGTTCAGGTGCAGGAGTCCATGATGGAGACCAGGCTCAACTTCAACATTCCCCAGCAGATCATGTGAGTTTCATGTGTCGACCAGAAATGTTGAGCAAATTTGACACAGAACCATTGGTCGACTAGTTGTAGATTTGTGGCCTAACTGATGCATGCAAATTAAAACCATGGTTAATCGTCATAAACCTCTTATTCCTGGCGTCAAGCTATTTATTTAATGGAAACCGGCGTTGTTACCAACTTTGGTAAGCTGGTTCCGAGTTGTTGACTAGACCAGGGCCTGATTTCATGGCTCTGCCCACCGTTTGCGAAAAACCCTGCTAACTGTAGCAGAAAATTCCTTGCTTATGGTAAGCATATTTCATGGGTTAGCGAGAAATTTTGTTAATGACATCTGTACATCCTGAAACTAAGGATTCTATGCTTACAGGGTTAGGCCAAAAAAAGTAAGTCTCCGGTTTCTGGTATGGAGCTTGTCCAAAAAGTGGTGCGGCGACGCGGCTTTTTTTTTTTTTTTTTTACCTGACTTTTTTGCTTCAAATGTCGGTTGATGACTGCAAATGGTGCCCGACTAAACTTAGTGCAAATATATGGGAGTCCATAGAGGCCACATAAAGCTTATTCTCAATCATAACCCCATCTAAAAACACGTTAAAATTGTGCAGTAGCAGGATTCCAGTCAAACCAGTGAGTTTGGCGGTTTTGAGACATCATCTTTCACTGAAAAAAGAACTTTTTCATTTTGCCGACGCGCATGACTACCGCGACGCGCGCGCATACCAGAAACCGGAGACTTTTTTTTGTTGGCCTTGGCATAGAATTTTTCTGCTGGCCCTGTTAGAATTCTGTGGTTAGCAGAGCAGTGAAATTGGGCCCAGTTCATTGACCATCATCTAGCTTACATTTGATGAAGTTGAGTCAAACTATGAACCACAGTTTTCAAATTCTGCCTTAATCAGCTTAGCATGGCACATACAGTGAACACACGTGAACAATTTTCTAACTGAATGCGCACAAGTCTTTCCCACGATGTTATCCATATTGTAAATTCTACCAATAATTTAAGCAGTAGTACATTACCATGTTGCTGTACTGTTCTTAGTGCAAGTTGGCATTGTGACCAGAACACGCCTTCTTGTTTGTAAACAAGCCTGTTTCCACATAAACCTTCACTCGTATACAGGGTGAGTAAAAAAAACATGAAACACAAATGCCGGGACTATTGTTTGATTGAAGTTCTGCATGTAACACTTTCAAAATCCAGGATATGAAAGCCCAATTCATAAGCTTTTTTTTAGTACAAGAATCATTCAAATCACTCATGTACTTTTCAAGTTACAGAATTTTAAACACAACCACCGTTTTCAGGTTCTTTCAGCAAAACAAAAACAATTCACACACATCCCTATGTGATTTCCTTTCATTTTGCTGAAAGAACACTGAACTTTTTTGTGATCCGTGGACAGAACCTTTAAACGGTGGTTGTGTTTAAAAATTCCGTAACTTGAAAAGTACATGAGTGATTTGAATGATTCTTGTACTAAAAGAAAGCTTATGAATTGGGCTTTCATATCCTGGATTTTGAAAATGCTACCTGCAGAACTTCCCTAAAACAATGGTCCCAACATTTGGGTTTCGTTTTTTTGACTCACCCTGTACTGTGTTTGCTACAGAATGCTTTTATTTACCGATACAAACATTTGTTTTCTTCCAGAAAAATTTATTTACTAGAAGAGAAACGGAAACTGGAGGAGCTGAACATGTTTAAGGATGTGAGTAGTATTTATTTACAGAATGGATGAATCTTTGGTTTATTTCTTTGTCAAGTTTGTTCAGATTGGAAAGTTTTTCTCCGAACAAATTTCCTGAAACTTCAAAGTGGACAGTGTTGTCAGCAAATTATTGTGCTTACGAAAAATCACGGAGTACCAGTCATAAGTCATGAACATCATGCAACACTTTGGCTGGTGACCTGTTTTTGCTAAGCATCTGCGCTCAGAATATTTGTGTACCTTTTTTTTTTTTGCCTTCGAGAAACGTAGGATTTAACCGAGTTTGCTATTTCTTATCGTGGTTTAAAATAATAAGTAATGAGGCAAATGTTCTAAAGAATCATCTTCCGGGAACTGGTCACAAAATATTGTTTCTTTTGTTTTTCTTATGATTTCCAGCTTTCTCATGACTGGGAGAGGGTCCGTTCAGCCGTCATGATGGAGCACGTCAGCATGATCGCAAGATATAACGAGTCGCTGGAGTTTCTCAGCAAACAGACGAAAGGTCAGTCAGTCCGCGAGGAGTACTTTTTTTCTAGGAGAGTGGCCCAGCATGTGTGGGTTGGCACTGCAGTTTGAGATACAGGCTTTAATGTTTCCCTTCTGGGCTCCAGAAAAAAATGAAACAAAGCCAGCCAAAAAAAAGGGAGTTTGGGGGCACAGTTTCTGAAATTCTTGTGATTTTTATCAATATAGGGGAAAGATGTGGTCTGGCCATCCAAATAGTTTGCAAGTGTAGCATGTGATGAATGACCTTTATAAAGCAAAAATTAACAAAGCTTCATGTATTTTGCTGTGAGTCCCTAAGAAAGCATTTTTTTACTCCCACCAGTTTTGGCATTTTCTCTCCAAGAGTATTTATGGATGCGTTCAACCTTTTGATAAAGTGCTTTCAAATAAGTTTGTTAAAAACCAGAAAGGGCACGGTGGCCGATAAGTTGGTGAACGGAAGGCGAGGTCGATTATTCACGAACAAGCTCCCAATCTTTGTCAGTAAAACCGTCATTAAAAAAAGCGTTATCATAATTGAAAATGCTTTATCATAAGTGAAAACGCATTCGTTGATTTTGACTGATTTTGATCAAATGACAGTCTGTAAGCTAACTCGGTTACACACTCGGCTAGTATGTGTTTTTTTCTTTTTCTTTGTCTTGCCCATGGGCAGTGAAATTTATTGGTCTCTCGTGTCAACAGTCGTCTGCCATTAAATCTAAAAACAGGAGCAAGGACTGGAACACTTCTCCCCTCCTTCCGCCCGTGTCATATGGACAGCTTCAATCTCCTCCCCCTTGGGGGAAAAGACTTTTAAGACCTGGTGGGGGGGGGGGGAAGCTAGTCAGGAAGTCTTACTCAGGTCATTGTTAGAACAAAAGTAAACTAAAACAAAACAGGAATTTTTTTTTTTGGTGGGCTGACAAAACGTCTGTCTGTCATAGACAAAACCAGGGAACTAGGCTAGCTCATGAAAAAAAAAGATGCTTTTGTTGAACTATGTGCAGAATGGCTGAAATAATTTGCCTGAAATTGAATTTCAGATGAGTTCAGTTCATGGGCCGCAATCCCAGGGAAGGGGTGTGCCCCCTCCCCCCCCCCCCCAATTTGTGTTTGCTCGTAGACACCAGTGCCAACGCCCCTCCATAATTTATCTCCTGGAGTTAGATGCCATTCTTCCTGTTGAATTTTACACCAAAATCCAAACTTCCATGGAAAAAAAATTGCAGTTTTTTATTTTCAGTTTAAAACTAGGTCAGTTCACCAGAAGGGTGCGCGTTAACTTGTCTGCAGCAATTATGCAAATTACTTGCTCTCCTCTCTCAACACTCTCTAATCTTAACCCAGTGATTATTTCACGTTTCTAGTTGACATTTTCAAAAGTAAGTTGCCTTGACATGAGTTCCCATACTTGGATGGATGTTGCTCTTTAAAGATCTGTTCAAAAACGCCGACTCCCTGTCCCCAGACCAGATTTGCAGTGACCGATGCATTCATCCCAAGAGGCTGCGAAAGTGATTTTGTTTCTTTTTTATTCATAAAGACTTTAGTAGTTTTTCTTGTTTGTGCATGATTTGGTGAATGTGATAGAACATTCTGTCTAAACAAATCCAGCTGCATGCTTCAGATAAAGAACTAAAACGTCACTCGCCTTGACAAGTTATTGTCGAAGTCTCAGAAAATGAAAGTCGTGTCTACGTAATCTTTCTTTGGCCAAGAACCAAGACCTATGTGTGTGTACTTCTAACTTTTAGGCAGTTGTCAATTCCTTCTCCACCATGTGGTGGTGATTTAGAGGTGACAGATTATAGGTAATTGACAACATCTGCAAACATTCACAAACCAAACTGCCAAAATATTTATTAAATATCCTACTTGATTGTAAGTAAATTATAGGGTCAAGCATCCTGTGAAATGGTATCACCTAGTATGCTGTCATTTTCAAGAAAAGTGGAATTGCAATCATATCCTCGCGATAGTTAAGACCAAACCATCGCAAGAAAGAAAGCGGCTTTTTTTCTCTCTCCAAATATTGCTCCCCACTGACCGAATTTAAGTTTGCAATTGGTTACATATCCATGAATGAGAAATTGTTTCTAAAGTGACAAACTGGTTATCATGCCACAAGAGGTTGCAAGTCAAAATGTTTAATGAACATTTTGGAAAGGGAGGCTTTTCAACAGAAACCTTGCTTTGCATAGAGAAAACTGAACATGCGTTCTCAAAGTTTTCTAAAAAAGTATGATTTCTTCTGAGCTAAATATTGGACAAGTTAGTTCTGTAATAACCTGCTTCAGGCTTATTTTATTGTTTCTTAAATCGTAAAAAAGAGGATTCTTTTTGCAAAATGGTGTTCATTACCTTTAACTTAATTTTACTGCATTTCTGAAGGTGAATATCTGCTATTATCAGCATGTGCTTTGGCTCAGATAATTTTCTATCACATGTGATATTTTTTTTGAAAACAGGAACCCCAAATTATCACCTTCCCTTTCCTATGGCGGATTTCAATTGGATTTGTTTCCCACCCACTTTCCCTTAGGCAGTTGTTCAACTCGGGTATCTAGAGCCTAGCGCTACGGAAAGGTAAAATAATGAATGAAATCTGGCACATACTGCCCTGCGGCAGACGTCACGCCCGAACTCATGTGGCGGGGAAATGATTTTGCAATTGTTATCAAATCATTTATGAGTAGCGTCACACAGACACCCAAGGGGGCACGTGGTCCCAATTTCACGGAGCTGGCTCGGAAGTGAAAATCGGTTAGCAAATTGGCACACTTAGCAAAAAGTCAGTTGACAACCAGTTTGGAGCAGGAGACGTCACACATAAATCTGGCTGGTAATGCTTTTGCGATAAGCTCAACTTTACTGTGTGCCAGCTTCAAGACCTGCACCCGATTCCATGAAATTGTTCGTAACTTACGACGCGTCGTAGTGCTGCGACGCGTCGTATCGCTGTGAGGCATCCTGCCATTCATTTTGCAAAACATGTCATAAGTGCAATAATGCACAGTGCACAGTAAATAATCTTCTGATATTCAGCAAAAAGTTTCGGATCACTTCTCAAAAAGGTTTTAAATCATAAAACTAAATGGCGGAAGTATGATTCAGTTTTAAAGGAAAACAAGCTCGCGGAGGACCGTAAGCTACTTTGAAATTTTGACACGTTTGTTTGGTCAGAATATCATAGGCGGGGGTTTATAAATCAACACACCTGTGGCATCTACCTTTCGGCTGTGGCCTATATCCTTTGGCCCTGGCTGTTGTACTTCGCAAAAAAAAATCAGTTGGATGGCAGCTTTGATCAGTATGCATCACATAATTCTGGCTGTTAAGGTACTCTTGCTAAGCAGAATTTACTTTGCTGAGCGCGTAAGCTTCAAAAACTGTCTTGAATTGGTTCACTCAACATACAGGTGTCCAAGAACCATTTGGCTCCGCTCTAGATCCTCCAGCGTCTCCTTCTAGAGCATTCCAGCTGTAAGGGATGTTCCGGTTTGTTGGAACCGTGATCCATATCTCCCTTCCTGGCTGCATTAGACCAATAACATCCTCCAAGTCCCCCCGGGCCCACCTTTGCTTCCCATCACTCAGGAGATGTTTCAGAAATGCCCCCCGGGCTTGTTGGAAGAAAAGCGTGAAACAAGGAACACGTTTTGGGGGCCAGTTAGGGAGCAGGCTGTGCCATCTGCCCAGAATTAACACCGGGAGGATATCTGAAACAAAAGGGTTTCCTCGGGCGACGGTAGCGAGTTGCTTCATCTCTCTGGAGAACTCCGATTTATGACTTGTCATGCTTTTCCTTTGAAAGCCCAGGAGCAAAGAATCTTCGCAGACAGGATATTAGCTTTGTAAAGAGAGCCAAATTTTCTATGGTCTGCATGACAAATGTAATTTGGGATGAGCAGAGACAATGTGACTTGATGCGGACTTGAGCCCAAGTCTGCGAGGTGCCTCACTGGTCATTGCCAAAAAGACCTAAATTAAACTTCCAAGTTTCCAAGTGATAGTGGCTGGGCTATACCTTTCCTTAATTCCTGCTCAATCCTCCAAACCTCTTGGAGAAATGTGAAGGAACTCTGAAGGTTAGGGTTAACACTAAATGATCATTGCATACCACGATAATGTCAAACGTTATCAGCAGTATTTACATTTGACCACTGAGAAAGGAAAAGGGAGGGGGTGTTTTGGGTGGAGCCCACACAAGGTTAGAGCTTCAGCAAGGCTTAATACTCAATTTCTTCCTGATCTCAGGTCCCCAGTTCAAGAAGAGCACGGCCAAGTCAGATAAACTGCTAGAGTTTGTTCCGATCAATCTGCATCTGCAGAGACTGAGGGTGGAGGAACAAGGATGTAAAGGTACAAACTGTTAAATATTTACTTTTTTTGTTATGAAAAGCGGTATCCTGTGTGAGTGATCCCCGTTTGCTATTTCCCAGGTTTACAGCATTGCTAACGTTGCTAGCATCGTGACTTTTGTCGTGATCTCTGGGTACATGGCATACAGGTTTATAGCTTCTGACTAGCGCCTCTTGAACTAAGACCTGGACGAAATGGGGAACCGTCAACATAGGGCTGGTGAAGCACCGGAATTTAATCTAGAGGTCGCAGGCTCAATCCCCCTCCGTTCAAATTTTTTTATTTAACTTGTTAAAAAAATGTATTTGTTACAAATAAATCAAGAAGAAAAGACAGGAAATGCAAGGTTACCCACTGTTCCTTGATCAAACTTGCTCGATGTTGTTTTTAGCTTTCTTTGGTTAGCCTTCACAGGTTTCAAGAGAATAAAAAGCTCTCGATTATTGTGTTTCAGAGTCCCTGTATGACATGATTACTGTCGGGGCACCGGCGGCTCACTCTCTGAAATTCAGGCATGGGGGACTGAAGCGAATGCTGCAACACTACACAGAGGAACAGTCTAGAACGTGAGTATAGGTTTGCTGTTTTAATTTGCTTGTTGAGTTAGCTCTTATGCTGTGCATAAAATTTGACGAAAAGGAGGGTATGTTTGAGCCAAATGTTTGGAGAAGGTTGGGGGTTCTGTATGTTGGTGTTTAAGTGGAGTAGAGGTTGATGCAGAAGTTCTTGTTGATATCAAATTAACTGGTGATTAACTTGCCTTGAAATTTGTAAGCTTGTTGAAAAAAAGAAGGAAAACCAGTCAAAAGCAATAGTATATCACCTGTGTTCATTGGTATCTTGCTTTTCCAAAGCAAAACATTTCTGCAGATATTATTGTGTATAGTACCTATAGGTTGAACCCAAGTCCTGTTTGCTAACAGTCCAGCACCCTGTTTCTACTTTCCTCATCCAGAAGTACCAAAAACTTGTCGCTCCAAGCTGCCAAAACGCTGAGTCAGATTTCAGATCTGAAGAACAGCATTGACTGGCTGGCCAGCGACGTCCTGTCAGCGGCGCGGCACGTCGGTTTGGAAAGCATGAGAAAGAAGACCGCAACACTCAACGAAAAGGTTAGTCTATTACGAGTCAATCACAAGTCAAATCACAAGTCAATCACAAGCCATTCACAAGTCTATAATTTGTCAATTCACAAGTCAATCACAAGTCATTTACAAGTCAATCACTAGTCAGATCACAAGTCAAGCACACGTTGAATCACAAGTCTGGTCATAAGTAACAGGGGATGAAATGTGATGGACTTGTGATGGACTTGTGATGAACTTGTGATGGACTTGCTATAGACTTGTGATGGACTTGTGATTGACCTGTGATTGACCTGTATTGGACTTGTGATGGACTTGTTATGGATTTGTGATGGACTTGCGATAGACTGGTGATAGACTTGTGATTGACCTGTGATGGACTTGCTATTGACTTGTGAAGACTTGCGATGGACTTGTGATGGACTTATGATTGACATGTGCTGGACTTGTGATGGACTTGTGATTGACTTGTGATTGACTTGCGATGGACTTGTGATTGACTTGTGATGAACTTGTGATGGACTTGTGATGGACTTGTGATTGACTTGTGCTGGACTTGTGCCTGACTTGTGATTGACACGTAATTTGACTTGTGATTGACTTGTGGGACCTTTTCCCGTGAACTTCATTTCTGGCAGTATTATTCCTAATCCCTTTTGTGTCTGCTGTCAGGATTGAGTGTTCATGTTCTTGACAGCTTGTTTTGAATGTGATATTCTGAATCAGGGTTTTTAAAATGAGGGGGGAAAAGACATCAGTGTGAAAAAAAAGTGAAGAAAAAAACATCAGTTTTAGGATGCGGCATGTCAAAGAAGTGAAAATTTCGGAAGTTGATGGAAACAATTTTCCCCGTGGGATTAAATAGGGACTGAAAAACCAAGACTTCAGATCTGCTTCCGACCAAGTGAAATCCGACCTGGTGTCCCTAGGTGTGTTGTGAGGAAGGTACCTCAGTGCAGAAGCAGGCCAACTGTTTCATACAAACATTTCCTGCAAGTGAAAGAAGGCAGTGGTTACAATTGAAGACTCTATTTGAAAAAAAGTGAAAAATGGTTTATCCAAGTTTAAAGAATAAAAATAATATAAAAGCTGTTTCTAAATTTCATTTTTCACATTGTCGTCTTCTTAAATGGTATATGAAAACACAAACCAAAAATTGCTTTTAGACAGCCAGGAAAGAGTGGGATTCTGAAATGGGGAAAAATGGCATCTATCACGTTTTGGAAATGAACTCTTCAATTGATCTAGCTGTCCAAGACAACATTTTTGACCTTTGACACCTTGTCTTGTTGCACAGTATATTATGAAGTCTCTCTAAGAAAAGACAAATTTGAAAAACCTTGCAGTAGTGGCCCTGAAGGAAAAATGATTAACGAAGTTCTGCTTCAAGTATTTCTGGAAAAATAAAAACTGCTGAATCCAACAATATCTAACAGCTTTTGAAGTATGACATCTGCTGAGTGCAACAGGATCCAACAAATGCAACAAAAAATTCTTCTTTTTTTCACAGCTCAGTTCAACAAAATCTTACAGAAGGTTCTTGCTGTTGGATTTTGTAGGATTAAATAAGGCAGGGTTAATCCACCAAACAGTGCTGTGCATGCAGAACCGTCTAATTTTTGTGATGGTTTTAGGTCTGATAATTTCAGGTGGTTGTTGCAAAAGGGTCAAATTTTTCATTTTTATGAATCCAGGTTACCGAACTCCTGAATGTCATCAATGAGAACTTCATGGAAGAGGCCTTCAACAGCTACCGCAACGCTTCCTTCCGCGGCTCACCGGTAAAAAACCCCAACAGCAGCACAAGCAGCAGCAGCGGCGGCAGCAGCAGCGCCAACAGCCACGACAAGTCCACCACCAAGGGTTCCTCCTCCTCGCCCTGCGACAGCGGCAACAGCAGCAGCCGGACCAGCGGCACCAGCGACAACGAGTTCATAATGTCGCTGAACCGGCTGAGCGTGAGCAGCAGCAGCGTCAGTAGCAATCATCAGGTGCACGGCAGCGGCCATAGCAGCTGCAGCAGCAGCAGTCGCAGTCCTTACGAGGACTGGGAATGGAACGGCCTGTCCTTTGTCAAGTCCCCCGGTGCTAACAGCGGTGGTTGTGAATTTAACAGTCGTTGTGGTGGGGGAAAAATGCTAACCTCTTGGGTACGTGTTGGTATCTGTTGCTTTCTTTTAACCAGTGTCTCAAAACTCAGACTCAAAAAAGAAAGAGTCCTACTAGTTCCAATTAGCCCTCCTGTGCAAACATGCATTCTGTGCCAAGTAGTCTTTTCAGTCAAAATAAATCAAGTGACTGTTTTCAACAGTAAAGAATTTCCAGCCTACATAGAGCAGGATTGACTGGCTGGGACTGTTTAAGTAACTTGAAACAGCTATGCTTTGACTCCGGATGAGTGATAAAACAGCTGTGACCATAACTTGCCTGCTTTGTCTGTTGACCCAGTTTGACTAGACACAGTACTTGCTTGACATATGATCTGACTGCTGGTGACTAGCCAGTATGGCAGGGGAAGTGAAAGTGAATTTTGACTGTCTGTGACTGTTTAAATAGCAGGAGGTTAAAGATCTTAAATTATTCCGGCTTGATATGGCAGGTTGTTACCATGTAGCAACCGAAACTGACCTTTGCTTGGCAACACTGTTAGTTCTTTGTCAAAAAGGGAACAGTTCCCTTAAACCTAACGTTACCTTAACCAACTTTTTCTTACAGTGTATAACCATTACTGAAAGCTTTCGAGTCAAATTTGTATTAATATTCACATTTCTTATTAATACCAATGCCAACATATTAAAATCCTTTGGTGTATTGACTGGGATTTACTCACAGGATGCTTTCTTGCAGTGTTACTTTCTTTCTTCAGATTTTTCTAATAATTTTCTTGTTTCTGTGCTGTTTTTGAAAAGTACCCTTAGTGGCTTTTAATATGGATATGTGCTCTGTTGAGGTTTGCTTTTATATTGTGAATATTGTGGTTCAGTAAATTGCCAAAGCGGGTTTCATTTTTTCATGAAATTAAATTAATTTAGAAATGTTTTAATGAATTGCTTCCAAATTGCAAACTATTAATGTTATTTATTATTAGTAGGAGTTTCTATAATTGATGTAACTTTGGGAAATGCGTAGTGAGTTGAATTCTTTTTATAATGATCACTGTGTTAAACAGAGGAGCCATATAAACCAGAGCCTGTCCGAGCGCATGCACCTCATTGGACACGTAGTGGAGTTTTTGTCGTCCGCGGCCACCCCTAGGGAGCGTCTCGGGGCCGTTGAGTCCAACATCAAGCATCTCAAGGAAACGGTGGGGCAGATACAAGAGCAGGCCAAGTACAGCATAGCCTTCCTTAGGATGCAGGTGAGAGGGGCGGGGTTAAGAAGGTCCTAAAGTGGGTGGGGCATGGGGTGGGTTGGGGGGCCAGAAATCTAATATCAAGCATCTTGAGGAAACAGTAGAGCAGGCACAAATATAGGCCAGGTACAGCATAGCCTTCTTTAAGATGCAGGTGAGAGGGGCGGGGTTTGGAAGATTATAAAGCTGGTGGGGCTTGGGGCGGATGGGGGCAGAAATCAAACATCAAGCATCTCAAGGAAATGGACCACAAGACTAAGGGAATGTCTCCCTAGAGTCCCATTGTAGGTACAGTCGACTGTCGTTAGTACAAACTCTGTTTAATAGTACAAAATTCTGGTTATAACAAACATAAAGCCTTGGTCCCGACTGTGCATTTATGTGCACAATGAATGGGACTAATGTTCCTCTTCATACAAAATTCTGATATAACAAACAATTTGGCTAGGTCCGAACGAGTTTGTATTAACGAGACTCGACTGTAATCATTAGAACCTTGTTATAAATATAGTTTGAACCAAGGTAATGCTGCTTTTCTTTAAGTCAATTGTTCATCTTTGCTCTCTCCTTTAGGAGGAATACCATAACCTGAGTTTCCTACAATCAGTGCAATGTAGGAGGGATATTGTCTTCTCACAAGCCGTAAGTTGGCAGAATTTTTAAATTACTAAGTTTATTAAAACAGATGGATTTATATGAAATTGAAAAAAAAATCTTCCAAGTGGATAATATACAGCTTACCTAGACCTTTGGTTTACTTAGTGAATTTGTGAAGGAAAGAAAATTACGTAAAAATAAAAGAAGGTTAAACTAAAGATGAGGGTTTTGCTTTTTTTTTTTTTTTTTTTTTTACAGTTGACAGCACTCGTGACTGGTGTGATGATCAAATTCAGGGAAAACATTTACAGCAAGGTTTTCATGAACCAGATGAGCTCGCTGGGAATCCTAGCCCACTTTGAGGGTCTGATCAGTACACATGGTAAGGCTTTGATAAGAGGCGTAAGGGCATGCGAGGTTTTGTGAGGTTTTGAGGGCCTTTGAGGTTCAAATGTTGAATGTCTTTGAGGTCAAAGGACTGATACTGTATAATTTTGAGGAAGGGGCGGTGACACTGTGAAGTTTGAAGATGCTTGAGGTTTAAAGTTTGAGGTTCTTATCAATACACATGATACGTTTCAATGGAGAACCTCAAAGAGGTTTAAGAGTTTGTGACGATTGAGGGTCTTATGTGACAGGGCAAGGATGTTCAGTACCCAATCTTTTCAAAATTAAGGAATCTTACTTTAATATTGTTTAAAGTTGTGTATCTCTTGATTGTCAATGATAATAATGGCAAATCAGTGAAAAGTGTCCAAAAAGTCTGATACAAGCAGCCCATTTTTCTTCATGTTTGTTTTATGACACTTGTTGATTTTTTTTCTCAGGTGATGAGATGGGCATGTTGGAGGACTTTGCCGTGGGTATCCACGACCTAGTGTGTGTCACCTTTAAGATTGTCAAGACCAGTACAGAAATTGACGACACTATGCCAGTACTCACTGGTACACGGTAAGTATCAGGTCGAGTCCCCCACTCACTGGTACACGGTAAGTATCAGGTCGAGTCCCCCACTCACACCCACACATCCTCATTCCCTATACTAATCCTTAAAGGGTGGCTTCGGGGGAAATGGCTCAAACCGGAATGTATTTAATGTAATTCATGGCGTAAGGAAGAGAAAGTATGCACTTATACATCATTTGCTTTTGCTGTAATTTTCAGAAATGGATGGAATTGGGGGGTTGGAAATATATAGCAAATATAGTTACACTGACATTTTTGAGGTTTTGGGTTCGAAAATGCTATAAAAACCAAGAAAAACAATCATTTTCCTGTAGTCTGGTTCCCTGACTCCATTTAAGAAGAAACAGATCAGTTTACATACATTGGGAAATTGTAAGGTCAGGGAACCAGTCTAGCTGGCTTGTACCCGTTCATAGGTGTGTAATCGATTGCAAACAAGTGCGATGGTCAACTGGGGCCAGTATTTGAAAAAAAGCCAGTTTTTTCCAACGCTGGTCGGCCGATCAGCGTTGGAAATTGATACAAAAATACCACTTTTCTTGAAAATGACAGTATACCAGGTGCCATGATTTTACAGGATGCTTTACACTGTCATTCACTAACAGTCCAGCAAGGTATTTCAAAATGATTTGGTAGTTTTACTTTTTGATGTTTGCAAATGTTGTATTTTCCCTTTAATTGAGTCATCTGTAGTTTCAACAAATCCATTATTGGCTTTTGCCTTGCTGTACAATAGTTTCTACTTCATGAGACTGATCCATGCAGGAATCTTGACGGTTCGTTCCCTCTCTCTTCAGGTCCAATGTAGTGGTCATGGTTCCCGTACTGCCCTCCATGACACCGGCCATACCTGAGGAGCTTCTGAGTGGTCAGCCCATCAAGGTTTACCCGGTACTCTTCAACATTGGTGTCAACGAGGAACAGACGATGGCTGAAATGTAAGTCCGTGTCTCAAGTCTGGCATCTGCCTGATTTTAAAAAATGAAGTTATTGGTATTTTACAATGGAAAGTTGATATTTCAACAAAAAAGACATGGAAAAGTTATGGAATTTCATATTAAAGTTTCCTTGGAAACCCTGTGTGCAGTACTGTTACCATTCTTGGCCGTTCTTGAGTTTACGACAAAGTTTCAGCTATACTTATTTACTTTGAATTCCAGATTTGGCGATACGTCACTGCAAGACACCATCAACCAAGACAACCTACAGAAGCTGGACAACTACTACAGTCGACTCGTGCACATGATACCTCATAAAGGTTTGTAATCACACGTTATTCTCCGTTAAATGGAACGCTGCTAAAATATCATCCGTTGGATCCACAACAATTTTCAGTCCAGTTAAGTAATCAGTGGCTTGTGTACATGTACATGTGATACTAATGCATTCTGCATGGGTGTCGCGAGGGGGGGGGGCAAGGGGGGGCGCTTTCCCCCCCCCCCCCCCCCCCCCCGGAAAAGCCAAAAAAAAAAAAAAGGAAGAAAAAAAAGAAGAGAAAAAAAGAAAAGAAAAAGAGGTGCGAAGTCATAGTGGCGTAAATTTAATGACTTGGGGGGGCAAAATGTCCATGCCCCCCTCTAAAACTGATAAATCAAGAGATATACAAGAATTTTTTGGGAAAAATATGTTTTGCCCCCCTCTAGAAAAAATCCTGGCATCGCCCATGGCATTCTGTGCTTACATTTGAACATTTTCAAAAGTAAATGGTTTGTACAATAGTCTTTGTCGGCGTAATTTCTGACTTCAGTTTAGTTGTTTTGCAGTTGCAAGTACGTGCGCCATTCTCAATGCAATCACAAATTTTAATCTTCTTTCTGTTCTGTTTTCAATTCCCATCACTACTGATACAAGAAAAATGAATGTTAGCTTTGATTTTTGTCGTAGATTGGAGGGAATCGCATAGCTCTGTCTCCCTGGATGTTCTGATGAGCAGCCTCAGGCATCACATCAGCACCAAGAAGAATAAAAATGTCGAAATCCTGCACATCAGCTCACAGGTATGTCAAAATGGTTGACAGTATACAAATAACGAATGTTTGTGAGTGCGATGGTAAGAATAATTTCATGAGGTGACAGATTGAATGTTCTATTCCACGAGGCGAAGCCGAGTGGAATAGAACATTCAATCTGTCACCGAATGAAATTATTCTTTCCATCGCACGAACGTAAAACATTCGTTATTTGTTTTATACAACACCTGAATAAATTCTCGTCATTTGATTGGTAAATTATAAACTACAATTTGCTTTGATTTTAAAGATGTTGAACTACCCCTTCACGAAAATGTTTGAACCCAACGCTGTAAGGCTGGCTCTTTGGAACAATACGGGCTACGCTGAACGCGCACACTAGCATGCATTTTGCACGCAAATACCGCGTCATGGAACAAGCGCAAACTGAAACGGTATAACGCATGGGTATAACGCATGGTCGCACCATGCATTATACCGAATAATAATATGTCACATGATCTACAATTCACCAATCAGATGACGGGGATTTATTCAGGTGTTGTATAATTATCTCTGTTTGTATTGTTCATCACTTGTATCATGTCATATGACTCTTGTCATATTCATGTCATATTTGTAAATTACCAAAAAGAATAAGAATATTGAAGTCTTGCACATCAGCTCATAGGGCTGTCAAGGCGGATGTCAAAATGGATGTCAAAATCTCTGTATTGTTCATTACTGATGGCATATTTGTCATGTCACGTCATGTCAGTATTTCATACTCATGTCATATGTGAAATGTGGCAAAATGAAAGCCTGTAGCATTTGGAAATTTCACCAAATGTTTTGTAATATAACTGTACTGATTTTAACAGACTGAAATAAGGCCAAAAAAAAAAAATAAGTCGGTCTCTGGTCAGCGCGCGCGTCGATTTTAATCATGCGCGCCGATCTTTTTTTTTCTCCAAAATGTTCCGCGGTAGCTCCAACAGCGCCCTCTATTTCCGCACCTCCTTAATTTTTTTTTACCAAAGAGCACCAAGGAATGGGAAATTGCACCAAGGCAAATGATCGAAAGCACCAAGGCAAATTATGGAGGACACCAACATACATGAGGACACCAAACAAGCGAAATAGTACCCCACCTTGTCTGTACAATCCAAGCATGAAGAAAGAAAAAAAAAAGCCGCGTGGCCGCGTCAATTCCGGAACTTTGGTCTGACCAGAGACCGAATATTTTTTTTTTTTGGCCTAACAGAGCTCAAAAGCTCTCTCTTGCTAATTTTGGGACATTATCAATGTTGACGTTGGCTTTTCAGACTTTGTGATTACTGTTTGCTGTTTTATTTTTTGTAGTTGGCACGTCGGTTGGACGGCATTCGCTTCACGTCCTGCAAAAGCGCCAAGGACCGGACAGCAATGTCCGTCACCCTGGAAGAATGCATGATCCTACAGGATGAGCACCAGCTCCACTCACAGATGTTCACTCACCTCCTAGACACCATGAGAAGGTAAGATTTTTCTCTTCCCGTACTGTCTCTGTCCCAATCATTAGTCAAATTCAACCATTTTGAACTGCATTTGTGAACAGTAAATGGCAGTCCGTGACATTGGCGCAGGGACAGCGGGGATGGAGGGAGGGGGAAATGGAGGCAAATGATTAACGCGCCCTCTGTGCACGGCCTGCTTGTGTGTGGCACGCTGTGTCGGCATGGCTGTCTGGCAAATTTAAATTTCAGCGGGGAAAAAATGGTTAACGACCCCCTTTGTGCCCAACGGTTAGAGCCCCGTGTGTGATACACTGTGCACCGTAGTGGTTCGAAGTATACACAGTTTATTTTCATCTGAATTAATTTTCATTTTTATGTACACTAACCTGTAGCATCTTCACAAGACCACCACAGGCTTACAATAGCAGTGCATTCAAAATCCTGCGCTACTCTCCCTTTGTATTTGTTGATGAGGATATTTTGATTTTCATCCAGCAAGGCATAAACTTTTGTCTGTAACATTCACATTGCACAATTTCTCTTTCTTTTACAGTGAGGGCACCCGTCGAGACAACACGCGCAAAAACGTGGGTGTCCCCAAGTATGCCTTCAACAAGATGCAGTTGAGGGCGTTCCCAAAACTGTACCGCCCTCCAGAGGGGACTTATGGGAAAACTGTGCTCACGTAGCACGAGGCTGAACGACCTTTGAACTCCAGCCTATAACAGATGACCTTTGCCGAGTTAGACTTATGCCTGGCCAAACTATGTGACTCCTGACCCGAGGTCAACCTGTGGAGAAATATTGTACCTTGGTATCCAGGACCAAAACACCGAGACTAGTTGGTTTAAAAGGCAAAGTAGAAACAGGTGTTTCTGATTGGCTGAAATTGCCAGAGGTCAAAGGTTTCACTAAATGCAGTGATCAAGGTCAATTTACAGCCTAGCTGTGTCGTTGGAAGTGCAGAAGTTACGACCCTTCGTGATGGATTGTCCAGTCGCAACAGCATTGGGCTGTGGCTTCTAGCCCGGCCTTATCATGGTGCGTGTGTCCTTGGGAAGGCTACTTTACCGCAATTACTTCCTTTCAGAGGCAATTACAAGAGGAGATAGCAACTGCTACCACTGATCGGAATGTCAGTGGTTTCACTGATACATGGTGTACTTGTCAGAAGAAATTAAATCCTTTGAGCTTATTGTAATGGTCATATATATTTCCAGAAATTACATCGATTTTTATTAAAACTGGACACTGAGAAGGAGTCCTATCAACAGCTCTATATTTGTTTAATTGGTGGCGGATATTTAGCTGGCACCGTTTTATTTTAAGTAAACATTATTTTCACAGAGGCTTTCTGTATGATTGGCTGATAAGTAATTACGTCACATCCGCTGCGCCGGCTTTCTATTAGTAAGTGTTTGTTTGCTGGATGTTGTCTTTGATTTTTCCGGCAAAGTAGAGTTAATTAAAAAGAAAGTCGGCGTAGCCAATATGACATAATTGTATACCAGAAAATTAGAGAAAGCACCTGTGAAAATAACGTTTACGAAAAGAAAACAGACACCGGCCAGATGTTCACTACCTTTCTAATTCTATTTTTTCTTGAATGGTATAAGGTATCCCAAACAGTATTTTATATAAATTTTGTTTTTTGAACTTCTCTGATAATGATGTGACCAATGTTTAGTTTTACTTGTCGCACATTTCTTAGGCTTTGCGTTTTGTATTTAGTTCTTGTGAGAATCAAATAGATAGTTACGTTTGTGAGTAAGTTCAGCTACTATCGACAATAATTATTCATGCACTTATTATTTCTGCACAGTCTTAAGAAAACCCAACCCAAACAGTGACAACTCAATCAAGAATAAACACATAAAAACTTGACCAGACCATATTTAGCACAGTACTTGGTGGCAATTTGTACGCAGTAGAGCAAAACCAGAATTCGGAATAGAAATGAAAGTTTGTTTGTTTTTGTTTTTACGCCCACGAACGATTTTAACGTTGTACTCAATTCCCCCACCTTTGTAAAGGCAACTTTCAGAATGTATATACATAAAACACTTCTGGACAACCAAGTTTTAATGTACATATATTCTTAAATGTACAATTTTGTAAACAGTTGTGTACCATAAAAAAATATATATGGACGTATGTAATAAAACATTATGAAGTGGAGTGTATTAATTTAAAGGAAAGCTCTGCGGAACGAAGGGTACTAGTTTATTTAGAATAAACATGACGAAGCCTTGATCTGTTGAATCGTCAATTTTTTTCTTAATATTTCTTCAAGACTGTGGTTATGTGCACCTTTCTGTAAGATGGAAAATTAAGCAACCAAAACAGAAGTCTATTCTTGGCGAAATTTTGCATCAGTTTTTATTGGTGTTTATTTTTGCAATTGTAAGCTTAACTCATTTGTTTTATAATTTATTTGTGGACGATAACAAATGTGATGGGAACGTGGCATTTGGGAGCATTTATTAACGAGCACTTATAGCTTTGTGAGACAACTTTAACCACCATTGGGAAAGAATTACATTCTGTGAAAAAAAACAACGTGGTTTAAGAACATCTAGTAACTTGGGCAAGTGTTCGTATTTAAAATTCACTCCCTCTAGGGAAAGACTCGGAAGAATTTGTAAAGACGTTCTTCATGTCAGTATATTTTAATTAAGTTTATGAACAGCCAAATTTGGACAAGAGTTATCTTGGATTTTAAACAAGTTTTTTCCTGGATTTTTGACAAGTTTTTTTTAAAGATTATTGCTTATTTTTTTGTACAGTTTTTCTGCTGTAAAGTTTTCCCGCTGCTGTGTGTACAAACAATGTCACTGTGCCTGTTCTATACCGTCCTTCAATTTGAAAAAAAAATCATTTCATTTTTTACTTTATTCTTTATTTTTTTTTATGATACGGGGAAATGATTTTGACAAACACATCCAGCCCTCTTGCATTTTTGCTGTTTTAGTTTAACACAAAATGTATTGAAACGGTCGTTTTTAGTCATCACAAGTATTTTTTTTTTTACAAATTCTCCCTGTTTAAGAGTTATTTTTTTTCTCTCAAATTCTTTGAATCATTTATTATAAAGGCAGACTGTACAGTTATGTGTTTCTCTGCCGACCTTGTAGATCCCTATTATTTGCTTAATTTATTGTTTAATGTATTACGTCAGTATGTTAAAGTAGTTTTTTAGGTTGGTTATGAGTTAGTCATTGTGCAGGCACTTTTGAAAGTCATTTAAACGACACTCTTTGACATTGAAAATGTCAATAGTTTCAGGTGTTGCGCAAGTATTGTTTTTAGCAATTTATTTGGTTTTATTTTAAATTTTGTGTCAACTATTTATTTTAAGACTCTTTTATGTTGTAATATCTGGTCTCATTGACTCTTATACTTGTCAGAAATAAAATGGAGAACTTGTAATGATCACTCGGCAATATTTTTGTAATTTTTTTTCAGACTTGCTACGAGTATCTGAGGTTTGTTGAATGTTTCAATGCATCTTTAACATCAGGAGAACATCATTTGATTGGGGAAACGACTCGTGATGAAGGGAAAAGTAACCGCTTTGTCTGATTCAAATTGTGTTTGATTGATTATTGAAAATAATAAGTACGTCTATTATGTAAATAAACCTTTCAAATATGCCCCGCCCCCTCCCTTTTCAAGAAGTTGCAGACGACAGTGCTAATTTCATGTCAATAGAGGGCGCACTGAAAAGTTAATTTTTTTTAGGACGATAAAGTCTGGCATCCAACCTTACCGCAATTCGCGGGACGTTGCATTGCCGACGCTGACTATAAATTGAGAAAATTGTGTTCATTTTGCGATAGCGTTCGAGTTGCGTAGGAGGCTGCTGTCGCTGCTGAGGGGAGTTGAATTTTTCGTTCTTTGGTAAGTCATATTTTACAAATACACTGATGCTGGTAGGTTTGACCATGGAGGAAGAAAATCCTCCATGGTCTGACAGTAACTGACGCGCTGTCAACCTGTCACTGTTCACCTTATTCATGTTATTTTTCTTTCTTTTAAGTTTGCGTTTGGGAAAGTTGACATATGGGGGGGGGGGTATGCTGGGGGGCCGGGGGGGGGGGGGAGAGGGTTGAAAGCCGAAAGTAAACCTATGCCCTATAAAATGTTGCGACTTTGCCCGAGGGCTGAAACATAAACATATGCTTCATTACTTTGCGAATGTCTGTTTTGAATACCGATTTTCTCGTGCTTTAAATTAGGCCTATAGTTTTTCCTCATTCTTCCACACAACTTGAAATTGATTGAGCGTATAGGGGCTGTCAAAATAGGGAAGGTAGGGTAACCAGAACTATCATTATTTTTTTGGTCTAGTATTGTTCAAGCTTTGAGTTCTTGAAAAGATGTGATTTTTCGTGAAGTTTGTCTCTTTGTGAATCAATCTCGTGAAAATATAAATTTTCATTTCTGGCCAATTAAAGGGAATATACATCATTTGCTTTTGCTGTAATTTTCAGAAATGGATGGAATTGGGGGGTTGGAAATATATAGCAAATATAGTTACACTGACTTTTTTTAGGTTTTGGGTTCGAAAATGCTATAAAAACCAAGAAAAACAATCATTTTCCTGTAGTCTGGTTCCCTGACTCCATATAAGAAGAAACAGAGCAGTTTACATACATTGGGGAATTGTAAGGTCAGGGAACCAGTCTAGCTGGCTTGTACCCGTTTATAGGTGTGTAATCAATTGCAAACAAGTGCGATGGTCAATTGGGGCCAGTATTTGAAAAAAAGCCAGTTTTTTCCAACGCTGGTCGGCCGACCAGCGTTGGAAATTGATACAAAAATACCACTTTTCTTGAAAATGACAGTATACCAGGTGCCATGATTTTACAGGATGCTTTACACTGTCATTCACTAACAGTCCAGCAAGGTATTTCAAAATGATTTGTAGCTTTATTTTTTGATGTTTGCAAATGTTGTATTTTCCCTTTAACATTGATTTTTAGGTTTTCATCACTCAAGATTGAAAAAAATCAGTCGGGAGGGGAATTTATATTTTGTATTTTACATTCCACTTCGTCACATTCAAAGTGAATTAAGGGGACAACCGGACCACGTCACATAAACTTAAAAGAAGATACAACAAACATGAAAATAACTTCATATTAAGTACCAGTCAGCTGTTTAATGACCTTGGGTTTGTGTCTAGAATTTAAAAAGGGTAATGAACCTCACAGTGCAACCGTGCCTGTGGATTTGGTGAGAAACTTGAATGGAAAATATATAAAAAAATGGGGGAGGGGTGAAAATCGAGGAGGGGGTTGATAAAAACCTAAAAATCAATGTTGATTGGCCTTGTGTGTTTTTTGCTTTCGAGTCAACTCGTACCTTGGGCAACTCGTACCTTGGACAACTCGTACCTTGGACATCTCGTACCTTGGACATCTCGTACCTTGGACAACTCGTACCTTGGACGACTCGTACCTTCAATTAAGACGACTCGTACCATCAGAATAAAAAGTAGAGTACGTGCGTGACTAAGTGTGCACAGTGTGTGGTTCGCTTCCTTGACTCTGAAACGATACGATTCTTTTCAAGTCAAAGTTAATTTTTATCCCACAGAACCACATTCAAGATCTAATGGCTTTGCCAGGCAGCGTGATTTTCCGCGTTGGGCCTGCCGCAGGGCAATGAAATTTGACTGCCGGGCCGGGCCGGTCGGTAGTGCGCGGTACCGATGCCGGTGACTCGGAAGCGGCCGGCCGGCGCGGCGCGCGCGGCACTGCCATTCTGTTTTTAATGGAATTACATGTACTTGTACATTCCATGTGCATATTCAACGTTTGATTCGGTAGCTAAGATAATTTGTGAAATAAATTTTAATATCCTTTTTTTTTTTTTTTTTTTAGGTTCTGGATTTGGCAAGGACCAGATGACATCGACAGTTTATTCTTTTAGTGTGTGGTTCCTTGACTCCCACATGATACGATGTTTTGCAAGTTAATTTTAAAAAAAAATGTCACCGTGCACAGACGTCCATATTAACCGGTCAGCGCGGCGCAAGAACCGTGTCACTTTGCACGGATGGCTACCGTAGGTTGACCGCAAACGTACCGCGTGGGCCTGTGCATGCCGCGCACACAGTGCGTGTAACCTAGCTGCCGCGGCCGGCTTCGCGCTAAATAAATTCCTCTTTTGGGGGGAAAGAGAGCCCATACCAAAAAGAGATTCGCCTTTATTTTAATAAGCAGTCCACTTTTAATGAGTTACGGTCCACTTTATTCAGCCTCGGATCATTATCCTGACTGACGGTACGACTTGACTTACGCGTGATGGTACGAGTCGTCTTAACTGAAGGTACGACTTGCCGAAGGTACGAGTTGTCCAAGGTACGACTCGGTATAATGACGTCGAGTTGAAGGTACGAGTTGTCCAAGGTACGAGTTGCCCAAGGTACGAGATGACCTGTTACCTGTTTTTTAATCTTTATTAATGAATTATTTTGTATTCATTTTCAGGTTTATGTTGCTGTTGATCTGCATTAACCATGGACAGCCTCCGTATCTGTCTCCTCGTTTTTTCCTGTTTCGTCCTAGTCGCTACAGGTATTTTAAACAATTTTTCTTCCAACCTCTTCCCAAACTTACCCAGCATTCAATTTAAACAGGGGATAAAAAATAAAAAAGAAAGAAAAAGTTTGCACTACTAAGTATACAATGTTCTGTGCTACCTTGCTTTGTACCATTTACATGATTTACATGTAGCAGTTTCATATCTATCATGTAGTGTGTATTATGGTTGTACATTTTTGGGGTTGATTTTGAATACGTTACTATCATAAGTTTCTTTACTTCTTTTTTATAAATAACTTCACAAACAAGATTTGCAATTGGAGCAAATCAAGGAAATTAAGCTCTTTGTGAAAAAAAATTAAGAAAAAGCATAATAGAGGCATCAACTTTAGGAGAAAAACTGTAAAACAGAACATGTTGAATGTAAACAAAACCATGACGAAACTAAGGTCTTAAAAATTCTTGCACATGTAACATTATGCTGGACCATGTATTCACTATACTAATAATACAGTGCTGGTATGTGTGTGAGCATGGAGGAATGTGTTCTTATGCTTCCATGGTGTGAGTAACTTTAGAAGTGTAGGCCTATATTATTACAGTGGGCATGCCATTGACCTTTTGACCTCATAATTATGTGTAGCTGGCTGGATGCCATCCTGTCACACATCATGTAGTACATATGAAAGTCCTGACCACAGTAGTCTAGCCTGCCTGGCGTTTACAGTACACTGGCCTATTTGACCTTTCAGTAAATTTACTACATGTGTAAAATAATAATATAAACAGTTGGAGTTTTCTTTTTGTGTGTTATGATAAAGCAGGGAACGTACAAATGTCTCTCTGACCATTTGGTAAACTAATGTACACATGTACCTGCATGTGATAAAAAAGATTTTCATGCTTATAATTAAGGTATGCTAGTTTCATTCAGTGCCTTCATGTGCATACAAATAATGACACATAGGTGTGGCCGGAAGTGGAAATTTTATTAAAATAAAAGTTATTTATCAAATGTATTTAGTTATTTCATATCAACTGTTACAGTTTTATTTCATCAAGAGACTTTTTAGTAACGCGAAAACTGGCATCACAAAGAATGTATTCTTGACATGCTAAACACGATTTTAAGTTTCTACCAGAAACAGTTATTTACATACTCTGATTTCTAAAACTAAAACATTTTTTTGGATATTCAAAAATAGACTTAGATTGTCAGGACATGTACAACAATATGTTTTCACAAAGGGGATTCTGTGTGATGGATTTTGTTACTTGTTGGTGTTCCACCAGTTGTTAGCAGTGACTGTGTCAAGCAGGAGTTCTCTGGTTGTAACCGTGTCGGCAAGCAGTGTGTCTGCTCCACCGAGACGGCCTGTGACAACCCTTTCTCCTATCGCGATGTCAGGCGATGCCGGCGTGCCCTCTTTGGTAAGTTGTGAATTCGATTGCATTTTGCAGGAACGGGACATAAAATAGTACCATTCTGTGCTAACTGAAATTGTATTGGCATGAATTCTGCTCAAGCTTAAAAATTTCATGATGATTTCTAATATTTATTTGTCATTCTGTTGACGTCTTACAACTGATTTTGTTGTATTTTGATGGATATAATTATTTTATTGAATCATTAAGCCATTTTCACTTGAATGAGTACCTATGTTCCAATATTGTTAAATTAAATTTAAAGAGAAATATGTTACTTTACTGCATATTTTTTTATTGTCCATTTTTGTTTGGGGGGGGGGGGTGTTGGAGAGGGTTAGGGTTTGGGGATGGGGTTACGGAAGTTAACAACCAACAAAACAGAGAGATGTAGGGTTAAGAATAACAATTTTTTTCAAAGTATAGCCAAAGAGCCATCTGTTGTGCATCAGGTAATGCCATACACACTGTGAACAGTGGGACACATACAGGTATCAGTCCAAATAAAGCTGCTTGGTAGGACAATTAACCAATACCCACACAGGAAGCAGTCTTTTCAGCTTGGGTAGGCCTATTGTCCGCAGCTTGTTACTGGTGAACAACAAAACCAGAGTGTTACACACTATACAAAGTAGCAGTATAATCTGGGCACCGCTTGTAAAATGTTTGAATGGCTCTTTGTTGGACACCCAGTGCACATATGGTACATTTTAATAGGTGTACATGTACAGCTAGCTTGTTCGGCTGTAGGAAAAATTGAGGAACTTTAAAAAAAAAAAAAATCTCCCAAATTAAACCGTTGATCTTAAACAGGAATAATTTGTTTTATTTTGTGCATCTCTCTTCCTGATTATTTTTGATTTTGCACATGTTTTATCATGGTTATGTAGCAATAGCAAAGGACAGGTGGTAAACAAAAAGAAGAAAATGTAACATGTTTAAACATCTCTAATTACATTTATGCCTCATATTTCTTGTGAATTTCTTTTTTACTGTCAATTCTCAAAGCAAATTGAAGGTGCATGAGTCCCCAAAACCTCAAAAGTAGTAGAACAGGTTCACTTACATGCATATGAGTATCCATGTACAATAAATCACTGTGCACTTTTTACTGTTTATGAACTGTACATGTTGCAAAGAAGCTTATTTTATACAAACTAATAAAGGAACAGGTTGAAGCACATGTAACCGGGTTATAGTTCCTGTCTGGTCGGTGCCAGACAACCAGAACAAATATACAAAATGTAATGTCCAAACCAACTCCACCTCTGTGACGACAACATTTAAAAGTACAACTTGGGGTCTGGTCATGTTTCTAGGATTGTACTTTTCAGTTAGTAGGCCCAAGGTTACCGAGTCAAATTGTTGGTGCATTTGCTTGGGTTGCCATGGGTAGATGATCACCAGGCATAAAAAAAACTTTCATTGTTGAAAAGTCAAGTTTGAAATGCAAAATTAGCTTTCTTTTCACAAAAAGCTGTCTTCTGCATTTTTTTTTGATAGCATTAGTCCCAACTACGTGTATGGTTCAACCAAGCTAATACCATCGACCTTTTAAATTTAAATTAAAGTTGCCACACTTACTGCCAACTGACTGTCCATCCTCCCCCCTCCCCCCCCCCCCCTCCCTACCCTAATATCATTTTAATTGTGCCAGATTGCGTCGACCTCGTCCCACACACACACATCGCCCTTTTAAGTGAACTTCACACTCCTGAAAATTTCCTGAATTTGAAGAAAATGAAAATACTTTACGAAGTCTGGGTGCTGAAAAACTTCATCATACCATCCCCAAATGTTTACTTCCCCTTTGTGCCAGGTTTGAGCTACATGTACTTTTGAGAGCTATTTTTCAGGTCCTGTTTCAACCCGAACGTGCAATTTGTGTAAAAGTCGTCGTTGCGGGCAGCAAACAAAACACAGTAAATCGTGACATAATAAACAAGACTCGTTTATGCTACTCTGCATCGGGAGTCCTGTTTATTACGTCACGATTTACTGTGTTTTGTTTGCTGCACGCAACGACGAATTTTACACAAATTGCACGTTCGGGTTGAAACAGGCATGACAGGACTTGAAAAACAGCTCTCAAAAGTACCTTTTGTACTCATTTTTGACAGAAACAATAGTCGTTTTTATTTCATCACACCTTAGGCTACGTATACCCCGAAAAATGACAGAAATGTCTTCGAGCATTCCACAACCTCTTTAATAATACATTTAAAGAAATGTTGTATAATTTGGTAATTTCTCCAGGAGATACCTGTCGTAAGAACAACTGTGAGAACAATGGTCAGTGTGTACAGACCAAGCATGATGTGTACCTCTGCAAGTGTGAAGGCACTGGCTACTATGGGCACCGCTGTGAGACAAGTGAGTATGCATGGGTCTTTAACTCTACTCTTTGATGGAAGATACAGTTTAAGACAGAATTTCATTGAATGCACGGTTACCTGTGCGATAGTCCACTATACATGTGCTTTAAAGCCATTGTGGAACTATCGCATAGGGTAGTGCACTGTATATAGCTTAAAAAGATGGCGGCACACGCAGAGCAATGTTTTTTAGAACTGATGTTTAAATTTGTCAAACTAGTTTGTTAACTTCCGATACCTCGGGAAGCAAATATTGACTATCCACCCTCAAAGCATGTTATATTTGTATATACTGCCACATTTTTAGTGGCATACCACCCATGCTTGCGCACCAGTGTACGTACCCATCACTCAATTGACCTATTGCGGTAGAATCGCAGTGGAATGGCGTCAACACAGCTTGTGAAATATTGTCCAATTACACGATATACAAATGGACATGGAACGCACAAAATCTGAGACAAACAAAACTTAGTGTACAAAAACTCCATGGGGTTGTCTAAGGGGCATGGCTAACTCGCAAACAGCGATAGGTCAATTCCCTGCCACTCATTTGACTTAACAAGATGCTGTAGCTAAGTTGACATGAATATTACGTCTTTTAATGCGACACATACAGACTTTGGCTTTACAAAACAATTGTAGGTGTACAAAGATTTTGTGAAGTGGAATATATTAAGGGGGAAAAATCTGATTGATTAAAATTAATTAAAATTAAGACCAGTTTTATCTCATTTTCATCTGCACAAAGATGAAAGTTTTAAGTTTTGTTCTTGTGATTTCTTACACAGAATGCCCCAAAGATCTGACCATCGTTCCTGATGAGGACCGATTGGATGCCAAAGCCTGCGTCTTCTAAACCAGTGAACTATCCCACGATATCTCACGACAATCTGGATAATAAACAACACTACTGCCTGCTGAACAATATATTATTGGTGCTACCTATTTTATAGTACTTGTATTGCATGCTTTTGCATTTGACACATGTAAAGGGTAGAGGTTTAGGTTCTTTACAAATCATGTTGTGATTTGTAAAGAATACTTGTTTGGTGATTATTCCCGGTTTAAAATTTTCGTCCAATTTTTAATCATCCACCTGACAATTTGGTCTCAGAAAAATAAAGAAAACTGCCATTTTTATACCAGTAAAGTTTGCCTCAATTCACGTATTTATAGTTTTGTAAGTCACTGAGAACTATTTTTTATCTAGGTTGTATCTAATCTTGTAGATAGTCTGATAGTACTTAATTTTAAAAGAAATTCACACCTATTTATTACTCGGTTTGAAATGTTTTGATTCGGTCATTGTGTAAATTTGGGGTCCACTTTTTTGTCCCTGTTACATCTGACATCGGTAATTTTATAAAAAAAAGTCGTCCTCCGAGAGTGGTTATTCATTGCAAACTACTTACCCCCAAAATAAAACATCGTTTGAATTCATTCTTAATGATTCTTGAATGACAAATTACAAAGGACCAAGGTAACAGGGACAGGTAAAATGTCGCACGTTGGACCCTACATTTATAGAATGACCCGTACGAATAACAAATTATAAACGTTTGCTGCTTTTTATGACGATGTGAAATTTGAGTTCAACTGGTGGCATGATTTTGCTGCTGTATTATATTATAAAACCAAGGTAGGTTTTAGAAGTACTTTTCGTCAGTAGAAAGTATATAATTTGTGAACAGTATTTTCGTACTTATACAATAATAACTATTTCTTCTATAGTGGTAGGGAACAAAAATATTTGGGGTTCTATTAAGTTCGCGTTCACAGGAATTTATGTGTAGACATGCAACTTTATGCACAGGTCATGATTAATGTACTCAATTCTCACTATGCAAGATTAACATACTCAATTCTGACTATGCAAAGCGATCTTACAAATAACATGCTGCAAATAAATTTTTAAACAAATATATTTGACCTGTTGAAAAAAAAAGAAGTGTTGAAGACTAAAGAAAAGATTGAATAGGGAAATCCGGAAATTTTCAAATCCGCGACAGGAATTACAAACTCCAGCATTATCTTATAAATATTTCCCAATGTGTCAAGTCAGTATTCATTTTTGGATGAAAGATTACCTCACCCTATTTTTTGATACAATATCTTTTTGTAGTTAATATTTCCATTCATTTATATTAAAACAAAGGTGCTTGTAGCTCTGTGATACCCAAGCCAATTATGTACCAGTTATTGTTTTGTTTGTTTCTCTCTTTGATAACTATTAACGTCAAAAACAAGATTTGACTTTCCATAACGGGGTTTCAAAGTGAAATTTGTTGGACGACAATCCAAAATGATTTCACTTGACAACTGGTCTCTTGTTCTGGGCTAATTTATTCAACTCAAAATTGTACATCATTAAACAAGCAGAAACACTGATTAAAATTAATAACATAATTAGTGCAATTAAATATGCCAGTGAAAATGTTCATCAATTTTGGTGATTTACTTTCAAAAAATCAAAATTTCCAGAACATAATTAAAATCGGTACAAATATCCTTATGACAGTTAAATAGATCATTGGATTTACCGTGGTTAAAGACAATCCTCACTCTGAATGAAACTTACTAAAATGCCCAGATTTCTTAACGTACATATTTTTAAAACAATTTTTCATAAAGAGTTTGTTCCCTTCAAATGAATGTACAGTAAAGGCCGGGTCATACTTGGCGCAAAGGCAAATGCGACTTTGTGACGCCATTGACAAGTATTTGCGCTGCACACATTTCAACTCCGTCTAATTTCGTAGTGAATGCTTTTTGACGTCAGCATCGCATTCACATTCGTAGTATGAATCAACCTATACGCTGGTTAAAATTTGGAAAACTTTGGTGTCGAGCAAACCTAGTAAACTGCATGAACACATGTACATGATTGAAATGGTAGCTGTACAAAATGTGAGGGCTGCATTCATGTTCAGGTCCATGCCCTTTTGAGTTCAGATCGAGTAAGCGACGTTAACAAACGTAGGCTTTAACAAAACTTATATATTTTTTAATCTTTTACACTAATGTTATTTCAGATCCTAACATTCTATCATTAAAGTGACCCTGATTGTTGCCAACAAAGATAGTTTCCAATCTACAGGGTGATGTTAAAAAAACAACCCAAATGTCGGGACTAGTTTTAGCTAAGTTCTGCATGTAGCACTTTATGAAAGCCCAATTCGTAAGCTTTCTTTTAGTACAAGAATCATTCAAACCACTCATGTACTTTTCAAGTTATGGAGTTTTAAACACAATCATCATTTTAAAGTTCTGTCCACGGATCACAAAAAAGGTGTGCCTTCTCTCAGCAAGACCCTATGTGATTTGTTTTTGTTTTGCTGAAAGAACACTTACCTTTTTGTGATCCGTGGACAGAAATTTAAAACGGTGGTTGTGTTTAAAATTCCTTAACTTACAAAGTACATGAGTGATTTGAATGAATTTTGTACTAACAGAAAGCTTATGAATTTGGCGTTCATATCCTAGATTTTGAAAGTGCTACACGCAGGGTTTCATTTTTTTTTACTCGCCCTGTAGACAGTTCATGTTTATATGTGCATTTGCATTGTGCATTTTAAATGGACACATTACATCTAACACTATCCTTGTATGTGTTAACTTGATGCCAAAATTCACAACAATTTATGAGAAGAAAACGCACTGCGCTTGTACATCAATCCAATTATAGAGAATCTCATCAAAAACGAAAATACATTATCAAACAAACAAATAGACTCAGAATTCAAGGCCTTAACTGAAAAAAAGAAGAAGAAAAGTGAACAAAAGTGAAAAGTGTGCACCACAAAAAGGTTACCTATTCAGGTTTGAAGAATACAAATGTTATCTTAGGGGAAAGCACATACATATCCAAAATGGTGACAACATTCTCTCTCACTAAAAAAAAGGCTTCTGTAAACTCTTTGTAATCATAACTTTGCAATTAATGAAAAAAACGTTAGTCACAAAACTGTACAAAAAGCTGTAATGTTTGTCTCTTGTTTCTGACGAGAAATTCAAGATACTGACTTTTCATACATGACAACGGGGATGTTTTTATGGCATGTGTTGAAAATGAGACAGGTGCTTCAATTACGGTGACAAAATCACACTACATTAAACATGCCTTCTGGAAACCAGACGTGTGATAAGTGCCAATATTTTCCAAATACAGAACCCTTTTCCAACTGGAAACGAAGCATTTTACACAAATACCAATAATGCTGTAACTGGCTTTTGTCGACCATCATTTCCAAGACAACAGTGAACGGCACAATGCATTGCCGTAAGAAAAAAGTACGGTGAAATAATTCAACAGAAGGTTTTTGCACAGGTTTTTCAGAGGGGTACGTGGCTAAAGAGATAGGATACCGACTCCCCGTTGTGCGTTCTCCTGATCGCTTCGGCCAACATCATAGAAATGTCAATCACCTACAGAGAAAAAGGTAAGAGATATAATGATACTTGTGAGTTAAAACGATGTTAACAGTTCTTACTGCTCGGTGCAGTTTATATTTTACTGGATTATATAGATGTGAGCACTACACTTACGAGGCCCCCTTCAATGGCCAAGCTTTGCTACAGATATTGTGCAAAGCTACTGCCAAATGACACATTATCTGAACAATAGCTAGCACAATGCTTTCGCCATTGAAGGGGGCCTGAGTGATGAATTGATAGTCCATATGTTACACATTTGTTAAAACTCATTGTAGTAATCATAAATTCATGTCAAACTTCCATTTCTTTCTAAATCATTTGTGGAAATCAGTAATGTAGTCGATCCATCACAAGTCCATCACAAGTCCCCAAGTTCCAATTCGACTCCCAAAGTCTTCAAAACGAGCTTTGACAAAGGCATTCCTTTGTTGTTGTTGTTCATCAACTGTTACTATGGACTCGACTACATCGCTGGTTGAAATGCGTCATTTAACAATTAACAATTTCACACTGGAGTAACAAAATATTTGTTTTGCATGAGGTTGCCAAACAATGACAAACTCAAAGTGTGATCTGTTGGTTTCCTCAGTTACAGAACCAATCGGAAAACAGCACCCACTTACAACAGAGGGTGCAGTTCAACTACAGCCCACGACAGCTCTATCCCAAGACTCTGCTCATAACTCACCGTGATCTTACTGCATTGCTTCATGTTGTTTTCTTGAGGGATGGTGTTTGTCACGACGATCTGCTCAAAGCAGGCGTTGTTGATGCGGGAGAGAGCCGGACCAGAGAAGATGCCATGTGTCAGGATAGCGAAGACCTTGAGGGCCCCAGCATCTCTGAGCCTGCATAGAGGAAAAATAAAGAGACCAAAGAGTTAGATAAAAATTCATAAAAAAACTATGTGATTGTTACTGCAACCGGGAAGTTGACCTGGGTCATTTGCCTAACTCACAGAGAAACATAGAACACATTTGCACGTACACAAAACTGTAGCAATCTTTACATGGGTGTTGGGCACAGGACAGAGCTGGCATATTAGTATATTTTTGCAGTTTAAATTATAGCTATGGAAAGGTAATTAGAGTGAAGCAATGTTTACTTGTTAGCTGCTTCACAGACGGTCCCACACGTATCAGCCATATCGTCTACCAAGATGGCTACGCGGTCCTTGACGTCACCAACCAGCACCATGGAGGCTACCTCATTGGCCTTCTTCCGTTCTTTGTGGATCAGGGCAAATTCCACATTTAGCCGATCTGCAATAGATGTGACCCTGCGAGAAACAAAAAAATGAATGATTCTATTAAAATGGAAAAATGTCAACACTGTTGCTGAACAGTTAACAAGATTGATGACAAATTCCCGAAGGTTCAAAAGTGTGGGATGAATTACAGTTGTTGTCAATAGTGCATGGTTGATTACATAAGGCTGTTAGTATGTGCGTGTTTACATGTATGTAACCAACAATTTGAAGTCAATCCAAGATTGTGTTTCCCTTTTACTTTGTAGCAATAACAATAATTTGAGGCAGGGTGATAAGCCACTTTAGGAGAATTTACCTCTTTGCACCTCCAGCATCTGGTGAAACAATAATGGAATTCTCCCAGGTTGGTATATTCTCCTTAATCCACTTGAGCACGGCCGGCTCTGCATACAGGTTGTCCACAGGTATGTCAAAGAATCCCTGTACATGATCAGAACATGAAACGCATTTGTCAAACAAAGCATATCTTATAAAAACAACATGAAAAGCTGGCTTACTTAAAACAAATACTTGCAAATCTGCAAATTTGCCATTCAAGTAATTGTGAAATTGTGAAATTGGTTCACACACCAGCAAAGATGGAACTGGTTCTGCGTCACACACTATCCCAAAATCATTCTCTGAAACCTGTGAAAAAATTATTCCCTAACCAAAGACTAACCAAAGACAAAAACAACTTCATAGTTTTCTAACCGAACTATCTACCTGTATTTGTGACGCATGGAGGTCCATGGTGATGATGTGGTCTGCTCCGGCTACGGACAGCATGTTGGCAACGAGCTTGGCGGAGATGGGGGCACGGCTCTGCAACAAACAAGAAACATGCATGACATCAAGATCATAACTCATGTGATGATCCAACAGTACTGCAGTGTCATGTGTATAATAACTTGTGAAACCTGGTGACTGCATCATATTACTATGTGTTGGTGAGTAAGGTGAGTTGGCACCAAAAAGGAGACTTGGGAGTTGGAGTCCTTAAGCAAGACACTTTACTACAATCACTTTCCTCCATCCATGGGCGAAGAAGGGTGAAGATTTTAAAGTGTAGGACTAGCTGGAGGCTGGATAGAGTACCGAGAACGCTCCTTCCAGTACTATGGCCGTCCTGTTTGATATGCGGCTGAACTGACCAATCAGGGAGGAGACAGTGTGGTCACCTGATCAGTAAAACACTGACCATTGGTGGCCACTCAGCAGAGATTTGGTGGACCCTGCTTGCCTCCTTACAGCCATACATGTAAGTAACTGACACCAAAGTATTTAAAAAAAACTGTTGCAGTAATTTCAACAAGTGTGTCTTGGAATCAACTCCATGATGACAACTGATCTCTTCAAGGTCTGCTGTAAACACTAGACTGCCCTATTGTGGCAGACTTAGTCCCCATGTGAAGGGTGCGACGTGAACTATTGCTTCTGTTTTGATTCAGCGAGTGAGATGAGTGTTATTGTCCGAACAGTGCTTGTTCTGGGCAAACCTTGTCTTTCTTGTCTTGTCTGGCGTACGGAAAACAAGGAATAACTGCCGTGACGCGGGATGACGACGCAATCTTGCAAGCGTTGATCATAATCAGCAACTCCATCAAGTTATCGTTGATGTCTCCGCATCCGCTCTGTACGATGTAAACATCCTCACCCCGTACGCTCTCACCAATCTCAACACTGAAAGGGGAGAAATTTGTACATTGATTCAATGATTTATAAACACAACAGTTATTTCAACAGCAAGACATTGTTATACGCTTGTACTTACACACATAACACATGAGGACTCTGTTACTCCTTGCTCCTAGCCAACACATGAAAAGGTGACGAAAAATAAACTGTGCTGATTCAGATTAAACTTGTGTCAATGAAACTGGAGAGCTATTTCCTTGTATTCCTGTGCGCTCTGAATTGTCATTTGCTACTTTTAATTATTTCATTCAAGGGCTCAATGTTTCATTTTGGTTTACATACACAAATAATTATGCCGTCAACTTCTGCCAATTATGCAAAGTGTTGTTCTTTCCACCCCTCCTCTGCCCCCTATTGCCACCCCCGGCCCCCCTCCAACCTGCATTCTTCGCTGCCACATTTGGATACGTGATTTTGGACACGTGATTTTGGACATGGAATTATCTGCCCTGTCAGCTGCCTGGGAAAAATCTTTGCCTTTGAATTATTGATAATGGAAAATTCAAAAGACCTTGTGTGCGATAATTGAAGTGTGGTACTTATTTGAGCAAGCTGCTGTTCGGAAAATTTGCTTTCCTTGTCATTTGTCATGGGCCTAAACTAACTCTACCTCCATGGTCTATGATGACATGATCTGACACGACTGACAATGATCAGACTCACAATGACTGAACAGACAAACAAAGTGGCCAAACCCTGGCAAAACTGACCAAGTTTCTTGATTGCTGAATTTCTTGGTGACAACTTTGCCCACTTCCAGTCCCAACCTGTCCACAATCTTTTGGGCAAGTTCGATGTGGGAAGAACCACTGAATACTTTGACATTCGGCATCTTTTTCTGTTCTTTCAGTCCACGCAGTTCGGAGTTTCCTTCCACCATGCATCGATCTTTCACCTGTTCGCATTGACATGTGCGCCACACGAATGACTAAACCCAGACGGCGGCGGGCGCGCTCGCGGGAAAAATCAGATACGTAAACATAAATATTCATTACTCTAAAAAGAAAAAGTATTGAAATCTTTACAAATAGCCTCAATTAAAAAAAAATTTAAATAATAGAATTTAAAATAATTAATTTATTCACCTTATTACTAAAATTATGCGAGATTAAGATACTGTAAACTGAAATAATTGGAATTGCTGAAAGATTTAAAATATTCATTTAGAACGAGCATGACCTAACATTCCAGGAGGTCACTATTTATTTTGACGCCCGCCCTCTGTTGTTCTAATTCTCAAACGTTCGGGGAATTTTGCGCAAGACATGGAGGCAGAGATCCAACGTTGGTGTTGATGTTTTTATCAAATTGACATTTACTTTTGACCTGAAAAAAATAGCTCGGAAAAATCAACTACCTCATGGCTACTATAGCTGCTTCCAGAATAAAGAGGGAACTCAAAGAAGTAAAGGCAGATGCTGAGGTGAGTGTTTTCTTTTTATTGACATATTGCAATGTTTACAATCACATCACATGCACTTCCATGGTTCGATCGAATATTTGTGAAGTTCCTATTTTATTTTTAGGCCCCCATCATTTTGACTTAGTTGCCACGCCCACTTAACTTGGCTTCTCCAAGACGTAATTTTTATCATTTTTAGCAACGTTTTGCAACAGCACGGAGAAATAAACAAGTGAAAAGGGTTACGCTTGCAATTTACATTTACTATTTAGTTAAAAATTTTGATTAATTTTTATGTTTTGCTGTAATTTTCAAAATATTTTCAGAGACATAGTTTTGGATTGGCATCATAACTCCCAGTTAACGACATGGTTAAGCCTTTCCAAACTCCAAACTTTAAATTTTACTTGCAGTTTTCTTTCATCACTGACCCTGCTTCACATAATGCTTTAAGACCAAATCCACTAAAATCCACCACAAGACCACCAGGTGGATTTTGATGGACTTGGTACTAAAAAAATCCCCATATTGGGGTGATGGATTTTGATGGAGTTGGGAAGGTTCAGGGTTAACTTGTAACCAAAGAGCTCAATCAATTAACATGATGTGCCTTATTCCCAACAAATAACATTTCAAACTTATTTTTTCAGCTGATCAAAGATGACGTCTCTGTCGAACTGATGGATAATTCCTATTTAGCACTTACCGGGGAGATCCCCGGCCCTAAAGACACACCGTATGAAGGAGGGACATTCCATCTCAAGATCATCATCCCTGAAACCTATCCTTTCAACCCTCCGCAGGTATTATCCCAGTCACCTTAGGCCAAGTAAAAGAAGAAACTAATTTCTCGTCCCCGCCCACTTTCTATTTTCCTGGCTGCCTCCTTTTTCATTTTAATATTGGTAATATATTTTGTCTGTTATTTGCTTCCAGCAAAATTGTAGGTGTGTATGCAAGTTAAGAATCTGGTAGAGAAAGGGTGACGGCTCCTTTGGACACAAAAGTATCAGCGAAAAAAAGTTGAGAAAATGGAAGAATCCATCTTGGAAAATCTAACATCTTGGGGGGGGGGGGGGGGGTAGGGGCCACCTTCTCCCTTTTTTAGAAAAGCGTAGAGGAGAAACAACTTGTTTTTTACGCGGCCTTATGGATTGATATATACAAGTTATTAAAAGATACATGTAGCAAAAGTAACAACCAATTTGAACAGTTGCACTTGCAAAAAAGAATAAGTACTCTTGTAATTTGAAAATGAGCAACTTATTGACCAGAATGAACATTTTTTCGTCCTAACTCAGGTGAGTTTTACCACCAAGATTTGGCATCCAAACATCAGTTCAGTGACGGGGGCCATCTGCCTAGACATATTGAAAGACCAGTGGGCAGCGGCCATGACGCTACGCACGGTGCTACTATCAGTCCAGGCCTTGCTGTCACTACCAGAGCCAGATGATCCACAGGACGCTGTGGTCGCACAACAGGTTAGCACCCTCCATCCCCCTTCCCAATCCCCCCCAAACAAACACCGAGTCTGCCCCTCCCCCCCCCCCCCCCCCCCCCGACCCAAGACCTTGCCATAGTTGTAGTCCACTCAATGACAAGTCACTCACATGGCACATTACAAAGTGTGCTTGCACAACAGGTTACCAACTTTTCCAATTTGGGCGATTCACAACGCAGTGCGCCACCAAGAGTTTGCCTTGAGCTAATTTGTTATAGATTGGGGCATAGCGTTCTGACGCCTTACAAAAAATACCAGATTGATAAAAAGAAAAAGAAAAGGGCAAACAGATACTCGAATCATACGCTTACGAAACCACTGACCGGAAAAACTAACAATTTCAAATGTCCCGCGCTGCGAATTTGTCGACCATCTCCCACAATGCACTGGGAAAAAGGAACTCTCCGTGGCAAACTCTTGGTGGCGCACTGCATTGTGAATCGCCCAAATTGGACTTCACCTCACCCTAGTCGAAATTTGGGACTCTCAATACTGTGTATGAGAGTCCCAATACTGTGTATGAGAGTCCCAATACTGTGTATGAGAGTCCCAAAACTTAGGTTCCAAAAAACATGCAAAACAAGAAAATTACCTGGCACATGAAATAACCAGTCCAACATTCCTTAGTACAACTGCAACACTAAATTGTGTCCAAAAGAAATATCTGGTACCTAGCTCTATTTCTATTCATTCTCTTTAGTCATGCCACCACTACCAGACTACTGAAATGTCAATCTTTTCAAAAAGTTGGACATGTACCAGTCTAGTCTTAGGCTTCAAATTGAAATCACTTGGCTTCACTCTCGTGTGCAAAATGATGAAGAAAAGTCTCCTTTAAAACTTGAATTGAGACCTCAAACTTGGCTGGTGAAATACTGAGGACATTGTCTTTGCCTCATTTAAATTGTGGAGAATTTTGTCAGCTAAAGAGTGAGTTCAGTTGGCCTGATTTTGTTTTGCATGTTTTTCTGCACTCTAGGTCCCAGTCTTTCCTCACCCCAGTCCCACCCAGGCCCTACCCCATCCCCACCCCTACCCCACCCCATCACAATTAACTCTATCACAATTCAATCACGTGTCACATCACAATTCAGTCACATGTCACATCACAAGTAAACCAACAAGAGTGAGGTCACATGTATTAACAGGATAAAAATGACTGAGGATGCTAATGTCAAAAATCAATTTTCATACCTTGTCAGCGAGGCTAGATATGTTGTGATTACTTTGTGATGACTTGTGATTACATCTGGTTACTACTGATGATACCCAAAAAAAATTGGTAAAAAAAATATAAAATTCCCCACCTACCTAGTACCTACCCTATTTTCAAATGCAATGTAATCGGAAGCAGAAATATTTTTGTTTTGGCCTGAGGATGTCTACTTTTAACAACTTTTTTTAACTAAAAAAATGTCTTGAAGGCCCCAATTTATTTGTCATGCATACAAAAATATTGCAAGTGACCATTTGGGACACTTTATTTACAGGTATGAAAATTTTCCAGAGAATCAGAATCAGCTGATTTCCTTGTTTGTTTAATATCCAATCTGTACTGAAAACTGAAAGTTTCAGATTGCAATTTCTTCTTTATTCTATACAATTACTTATTGCCGGCATTGTTTTCAGTTCAGTTAAACAAGTGCTCCAAAATTGCCTCAACATAGTAAGGCCAAAAAAAAAAAGTCTCCGGTTTCTTGTATGCGCGCGCGTCGCCGTAGCCATGCGCGTCGGCAAAATGAAAAAGTTTTTTTTTCAATACAAGATGATGTCTCAAAACCGCCAAACTCACTGGTTTGACTGGAATCCTGCTGCTGCACAATTTTAACGTGTTTTTAGATGGGGTTATGATCGAGAATAAGCTTTATGTGGCCTCTCTGGACTCCCATATATTTGCACTAAGTTTCGTCGGGCACCATTTGCAGTCATCAGCCGACATTTGAAGCCAAAAAAAAAAAAAAAAACAGGTAAAAAAAAAAGAAGCCGCGTCGCCGCACCACTTTTGGGGCAAGCTCCATACCAGAAACCGGAGACTTATTTTTTTTGGCCTAACCTAATTTTTGAGTATTACTTATTTGTAGCTGTGTATCTCTGATTTTAATTCAAGGCAATTCAAAAGCTGTCCTCGTTTCTCCCACAAATGAGGAGACTTCAGTATTCACAGATCTATGTATGTATAAAGTATAACCAGATGTAGCAAAATTCCCCTAGTGACTTGCTGCCTATTTTCAAATACACAATAATTTGGCCTTCATATCACTAGCCGAAGTCTTATGTTATTGATGACTCATACGTGTAGGACCGCGTCCATTCAATGAGTGTGTATTGTTTTCACTTGTAGATTTACAACCTTGCTCATTTGCATATTTAATTATCTACTGGTATGACACATACGTACGTAGATGTGCATACATAGTTTCTTTTCGATTTAACATAATTTTGTATGAATAAGTCCTACTTCACGGTGACTTTTGTTACCTGTCGATTCTTTTTATTAAACCTGAAATATCAAAATAAATGCCTCCTCATTTTTTCTGTGAATTGCAGAGAAAACTAAACTCTAGCAAACATTGTTTGTACTCGACATTAATTTCTGTTTCAAAGGGTAGCCCTTGAAACACCTTTCTGTTTTGAATGGACAGTTCAGTTCATTTCTTGAACCATTGACCACATACAGGTTTTGCTGGCATACAAAGGAAAGGAAAGGAAACACATGTACATGTATTCCTTGTACATGTTCAGGGTAATAAATGTAAACGTATGCCAGCATTGCCCATACATGTACAATGTACATGTATAATGCCAACGAGTTCAATCACATAAATAAGCCTACCTCACGGGTCAAATGAAGGTCGTACATGTTTATAAATATTCTATGTAGGGGTTTTGTTTAAAGTAAAACGTAATGGTTTGTGTGTGAATCACAAATTGCACTGGTCAGTTGGTTGGTGACATATTTTTTTAGAATTGTTTTTAGTAGTTTATTATTTGGGGAGATGAATTTTTTTTTATTCTAGAGAGCTTTTAATGACAGCCATCTCTGAAGGCATTTTTTTCCTTCTGTTTATTTCAGTTACATTAATTAATTAATTAACAGAAACGTATTTTCATGCAAATCCCAGTGGAATAAGCCTTTTGCCACTATAAAGACTGTGTGTCCAAATCACAATTAAATCAAGCCTACTTTTACTAAAAAAACAAAGTAATATTTGAGGCTTTGCATGGTGGAGATACTAAGTAATGAAAGGTTTGCGGAAACACCATGTGCGAATAATTTCTCAACTAAGAGAATGGTTCTGAAAAGAACCAGAGGTATAAACTCGACGTTCCGGTCAGTATGCTCTGACCGTCTTCAGTGGCCATTCTCCTGAAGACGGTCAGAGCATACTGACCGGAACGTCGAGTTTATACCTCTGGTTCTTTTCAGAACCATTCTCTTAGTTGAGAAATTATTCGCACATGGTGTTTCCGCAAACCTTTCATTACTTAAAAAACAAAACAAAAAAGTATCGTTAGTATCAAAATAGTCACATTAGCAAGATATTGTGAAATTAAAAATTAAATGGCAAACCCACTTGTGAGATACACGTAACAGAACAAGTAATATTTGGTTACTTAAGTAACATTGCTATATTCTGATGAAATAGGGATGTTTAAGTTTACCAGCTTTAAGGTACACATCAGTCAGTACCTAATTTGTCTGGTAGACTAAGCTCCGAGTTCAAAGTACACATGCATAGATCCAAGATTACATGCGTCTGTTTTATTATTTCTTTGATCGTAGTACAAAGAAAACCAAGATGCATATCGGAGAACGGCCAGACATTGGGCCTGTGCCTATGCCGGAGCCAAAAGCAGCAGTAGAGAGCTTGACGAGAAGGTGGAAAGAATAACAGAAATGGGCTTCAACGAGGTGAGCATTGTTCAGGGATTAGAAGAATATTCTCCTTCGCAAATAACGAGCAAGTTCCATCCAGAACTCCCTAAGCATTTTTGCTAGGTTGTAACCTCAATCCTGCAAAATCCTCCAACTGCCTCCATGTAAAAATTGCATACATCCTCAATCCTCGAAAATCATCCATTATTTCTTGAATGTGGTCCTTGGAGGGGTGACCACTGCCTCAACTCTGCAAAATCCTCCGGCATTCACTGTCAATATGTTGAGGCAGAGCCAGTGACATCCTGGAGCAGTACGGAGGATTTCAAGTATAATATAGGCCTAAGTTTATGCACGGCCGAGCATAAACAATACAAGGTCCGGCCTAAGACCTTGACACAGTGCATCCTCCAAAACCAGCCACACACTTTTACCGTAGCCTCCATCCTGCAAAATCCTCCATTTTGCAAAGAAGATTTTGCAGCATTTGGGAAGGTTAGGGTTAATATATATGGTTAACCTTTAATAAAATAATCTTTATCATCAAATGTTGATAATGAGTCGGACTTTTCTATTAACTCATCCAGCCTACTGAGGTGAGTTGCATCCCTAGTTAATCTGGTGACCCCCATTTCTGGGGTGGTGTCGTGCTTGCGCTCGCGGACATGTCATGTGCATTCTTAAAATAAGGCGCTCGTATTATTTGATTGTGCACTCACTGCCTAGGCCTGAGCATGGTGCGACTAGTAATTGCTTCCAATTTTGATCATTCTTTGGATAAGTCTCAAATATCTACTCGTTTACCCATGAGCTCCACACACCCCCAATGGTAACAGAGGAATAGTTGGGAGAGACCATTGGGTGGCACATTTGAACACATCCCTAACGACGCTTGATGCTCCAGTCAAAGTTGTTATGGGGTTGTGCACGTTCTAAATAAAATAAGTCGTACGTACCGGTACTGAAAGTGCACAGACCAGTACCCACACGCAGTGTGTCCCTCCCATTTGGGCTTTTGGAAGTAGTCCCAGAGGGCCAGGCACTGTTCAAGCACGGAGTCCATGAACAGATTTTTCATGAGATGCAATCTTGGAGACACAACCAGATCGGGAAATAAAAAAAATAAAAAATTGATTTTGTTTGTTTATATTATTTTGCAGTCAGACGCAAGAGACGCACTCTCCTCCACGGACTGGGATGTTGGAAGGGCCGTGGAAAAGCTAATGAGTTGATGCAAAGGATTTATCCGTAATGCTATCATCTATATATACATACACCCTTCCTTCCAATACTCCTTCCAAACGATCGGGGGTCAATGTCATGAAGCTGCTAGTCCGAAAAAAAAATTGCCAAGCCCACAAAATATTTACTCAGAAAATTCAGTTTAACAGCTAAAAATAGCTTGGAACAGAAACGGCTTGTGACGGTAATATTTACACTAGTGGCAGCTCATACAAAATGATTCCGAATGAAAGTAAGATCTATAGCGACAAAATTGGCTGAGGAACTTTATTGTTCTGATCAGCAGTTTCATGACTTAGGGCTCTCTTCCTTTCTCACTTTCATCCCAGTGCGGCCATTTTTGGCTTTCCTTTGAGGTTCAGATTGAGGCTAATGTCAGAAATTAGTCTGGTGCCTTGGCTATCATGTCTCATATTGTTTATGAACCTTACTGAGACACTTGAGGAACCAGACCAAGATGGCTGCAAAATTTGTTGCTAATTATTTGGAATTTAGTTTAACAGCATGGGAGGGTCTACCTAGGATATTTGAAGTAGAAAACAAATTGAGAAAACTTCTTTGATTCATTCTGGAAAAAAAAGTGTCAAATAAAAAAATATTTATAGTTTCACCAGTTCTGAAATGACCTAATTAGAAAACCCAATGAATTTTGTGGGCCATTTATTTCTGTGATGTACAATTAAGAGGATGAAAGTTGAAAAGCTGCACTATGAATCGTTGCCAACATCAAATATGAGCGACCAACAAGCCTTATTTGGATGAGTTACCATAACAACAAGCTAGTATCATTTCATTCTGTAGTATCTTTTGGAAAAGCGTCTTTTCAAAACGAAAAAAAAAATCTAAAAAATAGAATTATCAACCATAAAAAAAAGAAAATTCTCAAAGCAAAGAAATATAATAAGAAACACAAGTTAATTTAGTTAAAATGCATATTTTTTTTAATTACATTATTCCATTCTGTTGACCTTTGACATTTTGAATTTTGTGGCTGAGTTTATGCCAGCAACTCTCCCGCACTTCAGTTTATCATTTTACTCTTCCATCTCGAAATCGTCTTACCCGTTTCAAGGAAATCAACCTACATGTAGCAGTTTTTCTATCCCCTATGGATTTCACCCACAGAGGGCAGTAGACTGCTCACAGTGATGCCTGCACGCAGTGATGCTGTTGTTTGCAACCATGGGACACCAGAATCCAAACATTAAAAAATCGCATGATTAATTGCCAACCGTAATAAAAGAAAAAAATTATTGAGTGCATTCTCATCGATCCTCTGGGCATATTGAAAAATCTCTAAGCAATTCAAGGGAAAAATCTTTCATTTATTTGAATATTGATTGTAAATAGCATGGTGTGATTCATCATTATGTAATGAATATGTGGATATGAGAAGGAATGGGTGGTCCTGATTCCCAAATGTGGAGAACTACTTGTTTGAGTTGGTAAGGAGGCATCTTTGTGACTTTCTGGCTACGGCTATGACAGTGGCTAAGGCAGCAGCTTAGGCCAAGTTCGGGCAAGGACCATTAGTCAACTAGTGGTTGATTTGTGACGTACCTTACGCCTGCGCACTGATAGCAAAGTGCGAACGTCTCTAGTCGAACGCTGGTCAAAATGTCATCGCAAAACTTCTGGATCCTGGCTCTCTGCTAGCGTTATGAATGCGCGCGGCTATTGGTTACCAGCGAAGCAACCAACCCCAGTAGGCTGGTTCCAAATAGTCGACTAGCGTAGTCAACCACCGTTGACTAGACAGAGTTCGGGCAAACGTTAGTTAACCATTGGTCAACTATAGTCCTTGCGCGAACTTGGCCTTATAGGCGCTTTGGATAGATGGCTGTGACTCAATGTCTTGGCTATGGCTTACCACATGTGTCTTATGGTGAGTGGCTTCAGCTGCTTCCATAGAGGTGTGTGTAATTGTGAGCCGTAGCCAAGTAATTGGGACACAACATTGGATTTGTGCATATAACTTGGGCCAAGTTCGGGCAAGGACCATTAGTCGACTAGTGGTTGATTTGTGACGTACCTTACGCCTGCGCACTGATAGCAACGTGCGAACGCCTCTAGTCAAACGCTGGTCAAAATGTCATCGCAAAACTTCTGGATCCTGTGGAAGCAGCTGAGTGGCTTCAGCTGCTTCCATAGAGGTGTGTGTAATTGTGAGCCGTAGCCAAGTAATTGGGAAACAACTTTGGATTTGTGCATATAACTTGGCTGTGTGCTTATTAGTGGCTATGGCTTGTAATTACACTGTTACACATGTCTTATGGGAAGTGGCTTTGGCTGCTCTCATAAAGGCATGTGTAATAGCCAGCCGTAGCCTTTTGGGTTCCAATTCAATTGGGTATGTTTGAGGCGTCAGGGCTCCCTCTGTTGTCTAGCTTATTCACTGTAAAACTTGTAATAATATTGTCTTGTAAAATCTGAACTTTGTAAAGACTTGTCTTATGTTAAATGAGATTGGAGGAAAATGCTAATCACAGAGCAGGTTTTGTTTTAATTTTCAGACTCTGACAGTTGAAGCTGGCTGTAATCTAAACAGACGAAAAAAGAAATTTTCTTTCGATTTTCCAAATTTTTATTTATTTGCTGCGTTGAATTTGTCAGGTCCAAGTAGAAAATAATCTTTGGTACTTTATCCGTGTAAACTGGCGCCACAAGTAGAAAGTTATGAGTTTGCCATATTTGGCCCCCAAAAATCATTTGCTTGTTTGATAAACAACAAGGTATATTTTGCTCATTTGCCTTTTGTAACAAAATTGTCCAGAATGTCCAAAAGAGCAAAAATGACGTATTTGCACAATAATATCAGTCTCAGATTTTGCAATTTTAAACTTGATATGTTGTGCCAGGTCGCATCTGTGTTATTGTTTTATCACTGTAGTGAGAGCCATGTGGTTTTCCTATTTTTAAAGTCTTTATATTTTCACATAGCATTTTTTTTTTCAAATATGACATTGAAAAACATTTCACATAAAGATGCATACCCGTGCTCTTCAAAATTGACTTTTTTTCCCCGCTAATGATGTTTTGTTACCCAAAAACTACCTTATTCTGATTTTTGACGTCTACGACCCTCTGAAAAAAGGAATTTCATTTTGTCGCACAAATTAATCCAACCTGTGAGAGCTGTCTGAGCTTTGTCTGAATTTTTGTGAAGAAATAATTCAATACATGTAACTAAACATTGTTGTTCTTTTTTGTTCGAAGTCTCATTCAAAAGTGACTAACTTTTTATATTTTTAGGACAGTAGCAATTTAAGAAAACAAATCTATTTTTTGTGGTGAAACTAGAAAACAGCACGAGAAATACATCTTTAAAATATAAGAGATAAAAATGAAAAAGGAAAATCCACAAACGGGAATTTTTGTCAATGAGTTTTCAAAATATGATTATTATCAGATTTGAAATGAGATGTATAGATTTCCTCTGAGAAGTAATTTGGTAGTCTTAAAAGTCACTGCACTAGCTTTTTGTAAAAAAAAAAAATCATCATTTCTTGTTAACATCGTCAGTCCATGAACACTTGGAGTAAATAATTTTTGTTCATCTTGATTGGTTAACATGGGTCGAACAATTTAACTACCAATCCCTTTTTTTCAAACATTTTCAGGTAATGAATATTTTTTATTGTGAATGTTCTCAACTTTCTTTTGTACTGCTAATTAGAAGTAATTTCCTGTAGAACAAATTATGCAGTCAGTACATAGATCAATGCAAAATAGGTTCAATTTGTCAAAAAAATTTAAAACTATATGATCCCTCTACCATACTCGTATCTCACATCTTTCATGAAATGATACATTGGCCTTGAAAATGTGCTTGGGGAAGAATTTATAGGGGAAAAAAGGATTGTGTTGCTTTTGTCTTGTGTAATGTTTTTTATTTTATAACCTAACATTTGGATGCAAAATGATTCTGTCCAAATAAATAATTAAATATCTTATTGTGTCTATTTTGTCGATTTGTGTAGTTGGTTGAAAAGACAGTTTTGTCATGTGTGTAATAGTATCAGTTCTTTAAAAAAATCACTTCAATTTATGTTTTAAAGGTTGTACTGTACCAAGAACAAAGACCAATTTGGTGATTGAGTTTTGATGGAGTTCAAAGGGATTTAGTTCAATTGCATTACTTTTGTGGGTTCATTCAGAAAAGGCCTATCAGAAGACCATGGGATTAAGTCTTTTGTGTACTAGAAAATTCCATCTGCTGCAGAAATTTCTAGAAATGGACAAAGAAAAAGGAAATAGCGCCCTCTTGTGCCAGGGGTGATCAGATAAGAAATTTCCAGACATGTGCTACCGGTCTCTCGATAACTCTCAGATCGGATAAATCACTGGAAAAAACGCCGTTATTTATTCACTTAAAAGAAGTATTTACCACTTCAACAACTAGTAGTAGTCTCGAAGTATCTTTTACCGTATTTCACGATGGCTGTGGTCGGGTTTGATATTGGCAATAGCTCGTCTTATATCGCCGTGGCGAGGGGTGGTGGTATCGAGACGATAGCCAACGAGTACAGCGACAGACTTACGCCGTAAGTACACGGTGCACCGTCACGACCGTGTGGCGGCCATGTTTCTTTGAAAATGAAATGATTTTTCAGAACGGATGTGATAATTACGATATTTTCTTACGTTTGTGGTTGAAATTTCATAAGATGAATGTGTGATTATCGGGGAGTAATTCTAATTTGGCATTATTCAGTTTGTCCTGAATTTTTTTGGGGATTTTTTAATTCTTATTTTAGCCTTTAGAGTTTAGGCGTGGGGATTTAAAATTTTGGCAAACCAAGTTTAATAAGGATTTATAAAAAAGATAAAGTGTTTTCCCGTGCCATAAAGATGTCAAATAGTTAGTTACTTAGTGAAGCTTATAAAAAAAACTAGTCTACCTCATTAATTTGGCTATTTACCAATGTTCACATGATTGATTCAGTCAGATCTTACACATAAAAATTAATTTATTAAAAGAAGAAAAAAACCTTATTAACTGTTAAAAATGTATAATTAAATATTCCCTTTTAACTGGGTTAAAAACCATTGGTTTTTTTAAAAAAGTATTTATACCAATGCTAGTTACGTCTAGTTCCTTTAAATCTTGAAAAGCAAAATCATGAAAATGGAGAGAAAAAAATGGCCTTCTTTGATTTTACATTTTTGTGTGTGGCTTACTGAAGCCCACATTTCCTGTCGCACATTGTTTCAATGTTTGATGGCATTTTTTTTTTTTTTTAAGCTTTAAGTTTTCATTCACGTAGCTGGCCCATTTTGTGATGAATAACTCCCTTTCAATTGTTTGCTTTTGTTCAAGGTTAAATTCTACAGAGCTGCAGTTCTTGGAATATAAGAAAACAAATAGGGTTCATTGTAGAATATGTTCACTGAAGCATGAATTCATTGTTCACATGATTGTGTAAAATTTGTTTTGCATTTAGGTTTGCTATTAACCCTAACCGCCCTGAATCCTCCAAAATCCTTTTGCAAATTGGAGGAATTTGCAGGATTGAGGTTACATGGCAAAAGTGCGTTGCTGATTTCGGAGGACGCACTGTGTCAAGGTCTTGGGCCGGACCTTGTGTTGTTTATGTTCAGCCTAGCATAAATTTAGTCCTTGTTTATACTTGAAATCCTCCGCACTGCTCCAGGATGTCACTGCCTCTCCCTCAACCTATTGACAGTCATAGCCGGAGGATTTTGCAGGATTCAGGCAGTGGTCACCTCTTTACGAACCATATTCAAGAAATAATGGAGGAATTTGCAGGATTGAGGCTATATGCTATTTTTCCATGAGGCCAATTGGAGGATTTTGCAGGATTGAGGCTACATCCTAGCAAAAAGGCCTAGAGAGTTAGGGTTAAAGTTTGTTTCAGACATTAAGACTGTTCTTGGCGTCATCCTGTAGAGAGATCATGAATTTGGGTAGATACTTAAGTTGAAAGCGAACAAAGGAGTCCCATTACTGTATCTTCTGTGCACAGTGAATGTAACATTATGACCGAGAAGGTTTAGACATGGTCACATGTTCTCCTTTTTTTCCTTCTTTTTTTCTAGGACAATAGTGAGTTTTGGCGAGAAGACAAGGATTCTTGGATCTGCTGCAAAGACACAGGTTTGCCATTGCATGTTGAAAGCAGTTCTTTTTCAAATATTTCCATCTTTCAATAAGTAAAATCTTTCTCTGGGATCTAATATCTAATAGTTGTTAGTTTGTCTTTGTCTGACATTTTTTACCAACTTTGAGGATCAGAATCTATTTCCAGGATCAGAATCTTTTTCCAGCCTTTGTTCTTAAGCAAGAGAATTAAACAAAATATCACCATAGAGTTTTTCCCAACTAGGCATTGAATTAAAATCTATCAACCATAGAACATAGATTTGATTTATAAAAAAAGAAAACAAAAGTCATTTGTAATGTTATCTCACATGCAATTCATTTCTTGCCACAGGTTATCTCTAACTATAAGAACACAGTCATCAATTTCAAGCGATTGATGGGCAGGCAATATGACGATCCTCTGTTGCAAGAAGAATTACCCAGAATACTCAACGAGAAGGTCAAGAGACCGGACGGGGGTATTGGTATCAAGGTAAGACACTGGCACTTGAAGTGAACTCCCAACTTCTCCATCTCCACCACCCTCCACCAACTGCTCCCACCCCTACCCCCCACCCGTACCACCCCTCCCCCCTACCAAAACCCCTATCCCTACCTGAACACCTATCCCTACCCAAATCACTATCCCTTCCCAAACCCCTATAGCCACCACACCCCTACCCCCATACCACATTCCCATTCTCCCATTCCCACTCCACCCCTCTGTACCCCACCCTTACCCCCACCGCCACCCTAACCCTACCAACACCCTATCCCTATTCAAACCCCATTCCCATCCCTACCCTTCCCTTCCCTACCCCACCATCTCCACCCCTCCCCCAGCCTCCAACACCACCCCCACCCAAGCCCCTCAACAAGCCTCACGCCCACACCCCGACCTCCACCCAGGCGATATATAAAGAATAGCGGGCCAGTTTACATGGGTGGTAATTCCAGAATACCAAATATCCTCACACAGGTCTGACAAACCCACATTGAATAACTTGCAAATTTTCTTCAGTACTGAATCCTTCGAGGGCCTCCTCAGCAGAAACAAATCTTCCACCACACCTTGTGGTGCTAGGCGGTATAGCTGCAAACAGCCATCGAGCAAGGTCTATAATAGGTGTCGTTATATTTGTTGTATTAGGTCCAATACATGAATGAGAAGGAGACGTTTACACCAGAGCAGGTGTATGCCATGCTACTCTCGAAACTGAGGATGACTGCCGAGGCTAATCTCCAAACTAAAGTGGTCGACTGCGTCCTGTCGGTGAGTCAAGAATCGTATGGTACATTACCTATGCCATGCAATCCTGTCATGGACAAGTGTAGACTTTAAACTCATTTTTGTAGCTTTTCTGTTTGTTAAATACTTTTTACAATGGTTGATATCTTTATTTGGAAGCAGACATTAGCTGGTAGTGCAGTAGTTTGCGGTAATTGTGGCGGTAATTGTTCACTAAATGAAAGATTCAAACAGATTAAAGCTGAATGTTTTACAAAGTAGTGTTTGTTTTAGCAGCATTTTACTGAATTGTACTGCTTTTCAACAGCGATACAAAAATACACTAGCAAAGAAATGATTTTATTTAATTGACCAATTGAAAGACATTACCATTGGAGTGATAGAATTTGGGCAGTAGGCTGTTCTATAGCTGTCGAGCCAAATGTGTACATCAACAAGTTCTATGACAGAAAAGTTCTTGGTCCTTAGACATTTGTTCAAGTATTACAGTAAATTTGTGTCTTAAATCTTGCACACCTATCTGCTGTTCTATCTCCACGTTCAATGAGATCTGAACTTTCACGTTGTGTGCTAGAGTAAAATTGTGAGATGCTTTTGGCTGTCAGACCCCTATTCATGGTTGATCGTCACTGAATCCTTACAGACATACATGTACCCTTCAAAATCTTGCCGTAAAAAAATGGCATAAAGTTCCACCGATGTCATCTTGGTCTTTATTGTTGGCATGAATGAATGAATGCAAAGAGACCTCAGGGTTTGTGCAATGATGTTATCTTCATGATCATCAAAACAATTCTTCAAAATGGAAAGATTTGGGGGAATTTAAATTAAAAGGCCCAAAGAGTATTTGACATATTCCTTCTAAAAAAAAATATTATGTGTTCTGTTGCAGGTCCCCCAGTATTACACTGACATTGAGAGGAAAAGCATACTAAATGCATCGACTGTAGCCGGCCTGAACTGCCTGAGAATAATCAATGATACTACTTCTGGTAAGAAAATAAAAATAAGTTGCATCCATTTATTGGTGTTTATACCTTTTAAGTGTAGGAGGGCGATCTTTGTGTTGAAACAATTCCTGTACTTGTCTAGTAGATTTTTTTTCTCCAATTTTGCTGGTATCATGAGTCCAAAATAAAAACTAAGTAAAGAAAAGGAAATCATTCAAAATATCTCCTAAATGCAATTTGAAGATTTGCGATTAAAAAAAACTGGCCCTGTACCATTTAACACATGCATAGTCTACATTTTACATGAGTTTGAAGTTGAGTAAGATGAAGCGACCACACACACAAAATTGAAAACGAAATCAACAATTTTGAAAGATGCAGAGTTTTTACTGCCGACATAAAAAATCCTGGATTATGAAAAATACTCATCTTCATTTCTGATACCAAGCCAACAGGTTTGAATATTTAATTTACATCCCATTATGTTCAGAATTGCTGACTGAATTACCAAATTCCCCCCTTCCTTATTTCGTTTTGGTATGCAGCTGCCCTGGCTTATGGTATCTACAAGCAAGACCTGCCAGCACCAGAGGAGAAACCCAGAGTCGTGGTGTTTGTGGACATGGGCCAGTCATCGCTACAAGTCGCCGTGTCAGCATTCAACAAGGGAAAACTAAAGGTATAAAGACAGCTTCATCCCTAAACCTCCCAGATCCTTGGAGGATTTTGTAGGATTGAGGAAGGTATGGCCCAACTACTGTTACATTACACGGGGCTTGATGCACCTTGAAACTTGGTAGATACAAAGAGTGTGCCGTTGGGTACCTAGACAGTGGAAGATTTAGTAGGATTGAGGAAGAAAGGGCCCAGCCACCATTATTTTACATTGGCTTGATGTACCTTAAAAATGGAAGTATCAAGGATGTGTACATTGGTTTCCTGCACAGTGTGGAATTTTAGATAATTCAGAAAGTTTACTCATTAAAATGTTGCAGGAGGGCCATTCTGTCGTTACGGATGTTACATTTAGATCCTAAAACCACTTTGAAACAACAAAATAAAATACTTACATCGAAAGAAAATTTTATACATTTGGAATAACACTAGCTTTGTTTTTAGATTTCGTACATCAGACTTTTTTTTCTCCCTTTTGCACACCCATCTGCTGTTCTATCTCCACGTCCAATGAGATCTGAACTTTCACGTTGTGTGCTAGAGTAAAAGTGTGAGATGCTTTTGGCTGTCAGACCCCTATACATGGCTGATCGTCACTGAATCCTTACGGACACACCTCCGCATGCAAAGTTATGGGATGAGGCTTTGCTCCCTTTACCCTATAGAACCCATCTGTAGATCTAACATGTTTTAAGTAAGCTAGTACAGGTTACAGATATTGATTTCAGATGGGCCAACTTTACCTATTAATTAGACTCTTGATAAACAGTTAAGACATAGTCATTTTTAAAACTGTTACAACTGCCATGTACTTAATTCAAATCTGTAAATAATTTCGGTTTGGCGCGATTCTGTGTGGCCAGTCCGAAACGGATGTTGCTATCATTTCTGTACGTGAACTGTCTGTGCAATTCTCAAATCTCTTGGATATTTCCCAATCAGATTCTCAACGTTGCCAGCGACCCCAATCTCGGCGGCCGAGATTTCGACCGGGTCCTCGCAGACCATTTCGCCGAGGAGTTCAAGACCAAATACCGCATTGACGCCAAGTCCAACGCCCGGGCCTTCCTGCGACTGATGCAGGAGTGCGAGAAACTCAAGAAACTGATGAGCTCCAACGCGACGGAGCTGCCCATGAACATTGAGAGCATTATGGATGACAAGGACGTCACTGGACGCATGAAAAGGTAAGGGGATTTACTTCACATACGCTGCCCAAGTAATGTCATCACCGATAGGTCAACTCGGGAAAACCATGGTCTCCAATTCATCGGTACTGCAGTGGCCCACTTTAAATGCAATGTTTTGCTGTGGTGGTAGTAAACCCAAGTTTTCAAATGGGCTTGAACCTCCTTTTTATGCCCCGCGGCGAAGCCGAAGGGGCATACTGTTTCCGCCTTGTCCTTCGGTGTGTGGGTGGGTGTGTGGGTGGGTGGGTGTGTGTGTGTGTGTGTCCGGACAAATCTTGTCAGCGCGATAACTTGAGAAATACTTAACATATGAACTTCAAATTTGGTTTGTGGATTGTCCTTGGTAATCCTAAGAAGCCTTTTGCATTTGGGGCCGAAAGGTCAAGGGTCAAGGTCACAGTGGCTGAAACAATAGAAATTTTGTCAGCGCGATAACTTGAGAAATACTTAACATATGAACTTCAAATTTGGTTTGTGGATTGTCCTTGGCAATTCTAAGAAGCCTTTTGCATTTGGGGCCAAAAGGTCAAGGGTCAAGGTCACAGTGACTAAAACAAAAGAAATTTTGTCAGCGCGATAACTTGAGAAATACTTTACATATGAACTTCAAATTTGGTTTGTGTATTGTTCTTGGTAATCCTAAGAAGCCTTTTGCATTTGGGGCCAAAAGGTCAAGGGTCAAGGTCACAGTGGCTGAAACAATAGAAATTTTGTCAGCGCGATAACTTGAGATATACTTTACATATGAACTTCAAATTTGGTTTGTGGATTGTCCTTGGCAATCCTAAGAAGCCTTTTGCATTTGGGGCCAAAAGGTCAAGGGTCAAGGTCACAGTGGCAAAAACAAAAGAAATTTTGTCAGCGTGATAACTTGAGATATAGGCCTACTTTACATATGAACTTCAAATTTGGTTTGTGGATTGTCCTTGGCAATCCTAAGGAGCCTATCGCATTGGGGGTCGAAAGGTCAAGTGTCAAGGTCACAGTGGCTAAAACAATAGAAATCTTGTATTTATTCTGAGATCATAGGGATTAGGGATTAAAACCTACAGAAGACACTAATGCTGTCAATGAACGTTCCATTTGACCAAGGTACATGTAAGTTGATGTTAGAGTGGTGTTATGTCATGGAAACAGTCACGGTTGCGGGGCATTTGTGTTTGTAAACACACCTGACTTGTCTGTTATTATAATTATGGGTTCTTATTAGTGTGGTGAAAATTGGCTTCAAAACACTTCCCTTCCATTTTCAGGTACTAAATTGTGGAAATCTACTAACATGAATGTGTTAAAGGTATGTGAAATGCGTTGTTTAGGAATGCACAACAACTTAAATTTTCAATTGAATTTTATGTTGTTTTCTTGTTTTCACAGAGCTGATTTTGAGGCCCTTGCAGCCCATTTACTGAAGAGAGTGGAGGCCACACTCAAGTCAGTCCAGTCTCAGATCAGTAAGTTTCCGAAATTCGTTTTAAAAATCTATTTTTTTTTTAATTAAAACCCAGTTCGTCGGCAAGCTCTGCTTGTAAGTTGTAAAGAAGTGTACGCACTAAAAAATCGAAGTACTCGATTTCGAACCTCACCCTATCCTAACTTTGTTTCATGGTAATGAGACGCACCTCATACAAAGTGAGTGACGGTCAAGACTTTCAATTGCTTTCATTCATTTGAGGGACAAAAATAGGAATCGTAGGCAAATTAGGCTTTTAGATATGAAATTGTAGGCTACAAGTTGCATAGGTTTGATTCGAACCCAGAACTTCTACACACAAGTGCAGGGGTGAACCACTGAGCCGGCCAGTTGTGGGTATCTGATGTGGGCTGTGAGGAGGCAAGCAGGGTTCCCCTCGTCCCTGCTGAGTGGCCACCAATGGTCAGTGTTTTACTGATCAGGTGACCACACTGTCTCCTCCCTGATTGGTCAGTTCAGCCGCATATCAAACAGGACAGCCATAGTACTGGAAGGAGCATTCTTGGTACTCTATCCAGCCTCCAGCTAGTCCGACATTTTGTTGCCATAGTAGAACCTTGGAGGCAGCTTCATCCTTTCTCCTTGGACAGTGTCCTGCAAATCTCAGCCTTCTTGTTCTCGACCTCTCAGAAATTAGCCGTAGTTTCCCATACAAGTCCTTATTGATGGTGTGTGCCTGCCTCTGGCATCCCTCAATGCACCCAGTACGGAGGCTATTGGCATATTCACCTTTCGGGGGGGGGGGGGGGGGGGGGGGGGAATTATGCTCGGCAAGGTTGAGGTCAATTTAACCAATAAAATGAGACTAGTCATAGTCATTCAATTGATGATGAATTTGATGTTGGCAGAGCTGAAGCCAGATGAGCTATACGCTGTAGAGATCATCGGTGGATCCACTCGTATACCGGCCGTCAAGGAACTGATCAAGAAGATCTTCAAGAAAGACGCTAGCACCACGCTGAACCAGGACGAGGCTGTGGCCAGAGGTTGTGCCCTCCAGTGTGCCATCTTGTCGCCGACCTTCAGAGTGCGCGAGTTCAACGTGATGGACGTGACGCCGTACTCCATCAGCCTGCTTTGGAAGGCTGCAGAAGGGGAGGAAGGGTGAGTGACTCCAGACCATTCACGGTAGCCATATTTAAGGTTATTTCACACATAAGTCTTTGAAGCTCAGAACGAGGTGTGAGCTCAAAATAGTCTGGTTCCTGTAGAAGTTGTTATACCATGAATTGATTTTTACAATCCATGGCATGCCTAGAATATCTGTCTGTCATAATTTTGATGTCGTCAACAAGAGTACATTATTTTGAAGGAAGGTAAGCTCTTTCTTCTTGGATAATTCTGTTACAAAAAAACGTGTAATAAAAAGCCGCATCCTCACTGAGTGATCCCCCCTTGCTATTTCCCAGATCGGTATTGTGACTGTGGGTGAGATCCCTGGCTGCATGGCATGTATGGGGTTATGGCTTCTGACTAGCGCCCCTTGAACAAAGATTTTGACTAATTGGGGAACCACCAACATAAGGCTGGATAGCTCAGTTGGTGGAGCACCAGAACAGCAATCCGGAGGTCGCAGGTTCAAGCCCTGCTCCAGTCAATTTCTTTATTCAGCTTTTAAAAAGAAACCTTCAGTTTTAAGTATATGAATCCATGTTGTGATGTGATACCCACATCAACGTAGAAGTAAATGAAACTGTTTCATTCTATTTCACTGGTTTTTTTTCAACAGTGAGATGGAAGTCTTCCCCCCTAATCACCAGGTCCCCTTCTCCAAGATGTTGACTTTCTATCGCAAGGATCCGTTTGAGCTGTGCGCCAAGTACACGTCCAAGGGCAAGGTCCCACACTCGGATCCATTTATAGGTAGGACTTTTTCCACTTTCTTCTCCAAGTGTCCTTTGTCCGCATATTCCTTATTTTCTGCTGTCATAAATCAAAAAGTAAATACAGTGTCATTACTCACCAATCTGTGTTCAAAACTAGTTTGGGCTATGGCTTAGCGTTTTACATTGTCATTGTCAGTATCCGTAGCCATAGTTCAAAAGTCTGGATCTGATTATTGTTTAAGATATTATTTAAGACATCAAGAGCATTTAAGGTTAACCTCCATTCATCATAGTGTCTTTTCTTTAATCTGAAAGTCAAATGTTTGAACAAACTACCAATCATTTTTGGGGGTCAGGGTGTAGAGTTACCAAAATTTGCTGCTCTAGATGATCTTTGTAGGTAATTGTAGATGGTAATTGTAGGTATTTGTCCACAGGTTGGGGTACAAAAGCCATGCTTCACCCTATACCTAACGTTGTTCCAGTATGTATGTTGTTGATTTATGATAAATGTTGGTTTGAATTCAATTGATATCCAATTATAATACATGTAATTATTTAACATTAATTTTGTGTATTAATGAACAACGTTGAATAAATGTCTAGCAAATTGAAATCTTTCATTATAAAAAGCAACGATGGTTCTATCCAAGCAAGATGATGTAACAGTTTATCCATTCTCTGAGCTTTGTTAGGGCACATCCTGGGGTCTTCCGGCTCCATTGGCTGCAGTAAGTCAGTGTTCTACTGACCCTCTGATGGTCAGTGGTAGCTGGACCTTGAGATTGGTGTCCTAACAGGGAAGTTCTAAGCCTTACCTTTGTTCGAGTATCCACTTGGACACAAGAGCCTAGGTAGCTTGGCTTGGACTTCTTGAGCCCACTGAAGATGTGAAACTCTCTGATTGCTACAAATGTCTTTTCCAATTTTTCAATTTACTGAGCTGTTCTCAGACCCATAAAAATTAAAAAATTAAGCAGTTTGACAGAATAGCTTTAAAGCCAGTTCCTACGTCATGTTTATTTAGGTATAAATCGTATACTTTAGAGAAAACAATGAACATCGCAAAGAAACTTCAATTGTTGGTGTCATGAAATGTACTTCTCTTTTGCCTGAATTATGAACCAGCCTTTACCAAAGATTTGCAGAACTTCTCCGTAGAAATTGGAATAAATATTCATATTTTTCACTTGATAGATATTATAACTTGTTAACAAAAATGGTTTTTTTACGCTGAAGATATGTGCTTGTTTTCATGTCTGTACAGGCCGGTTTGAGATCAAGAATGTCAAGCCCACGGCCGAGGGTGAGAGTTCAAAGGTCAAGGTCAAGGTTCGCGTCAATGGCCACGGCATCTTCAAGGTGTCGACGGCCTCCCTGATGGAGAAGATCCCTCCCCAGCCAGAGCAGAACGACAAGGATGCTGCCGAGAAGCCCAACGAGGACGGTAAGGTTGTCAATGATGCGGAGGCAGTTCCCATGGAAACGGAGGAACAGGCCAATGAGAATGCAGAGCCGGCGGCGGAACAAGAAGCAAAGAAAGAAAATGGGGAGGTGAGGTTTCTTGACTTTGTCCAATCTTCTCCCCCTTAAACCCTTACCCTCAAGGATTTTTCTGTCTCAAAACCCTGCTCTATACAAAAACATGCGACATTTTGCCTAAGTGAGAAGTCTGCTCAGTGTAGCAAGATCCATCAGGCCGAAAATTGCAAGTCCAAACTGCCTCAGAATTCCTGGTTGCCAACTGAAACAGTATACAACAGTGGCATTGTTTAATGGGACTTGGTTCCATTGTCTCTGAATTTGCAGTCGATGCACTGGTGTTGATGGCCCAGTGCAGCAAGGTCCTACAGACATTTACACCTGATGCGCTGTGTTGCATGTCGCAAGTAAAAAGTAAGGTAAAGTCTGTCACGAGCCAATATGGCCCATCAGGCCAGTGTTTATCTGCAGTTTCCTTGGCATGAAACAATTGAGAATATTTCTATTCCCCCTGGATGGGATGCCAGTCCACAGGTTATTCCCCAGCTAATGCCGGTGTAGCATGAATTTAGGTTTTATGAAATACGGACTCATTGGTGGTATTGCGCATGCTCGTGCATAGATAATTAGGAGAGGGACCGGTCACGTGAGAGGGTTTAACCAATAAAAGGGAAAAAGAGTCCGATTTTCATACGAGTCCGATTTACATATGACACCGGTACTCATTTGCACTCCTGGCTGGATAGTGGGAAGCGGAGGTAAAGTGGCTTGCCCAAGGACACAACATATGGCCAGCAGCTGGATTTGAACCCCTGACTCTCTGACCACAAGTCACGAAACCTAACCATTAAGGACACATTCCCCTTGCATCTCACAAAATTGGGGTTGAAAAAAAAAAGACTTTTAAGGTTTCTAGCCTTATTTAAGGTAGCCAAATACATCATATTCCAACTTGTTTGTGTCGTTCTAGATGGAAACCAACGAATCTTCTCAGACGACGGAGAAGAAGGCCGACTCCAATGGCTCAGATACGGCCGATGCCGGCGACAAGTCAGAACCTAAGAAAGCCAAGAAGACGGTGCGCTACATTGACCTGCCCGTGGAGGAGATTACACACGGATTCAAGCTTAAAGACATTAATATCTTTGCTGAAAGAGAGGTAGGTTCAGGCCCAGTTGGATATTTTTTTTAGAAAGCACAGTACAGTCGAATCTCGATAAGTCAGACCTCAGGGGAATCGGCTCAAATTTTGAGTTCAGCAGAGTTTTGAGTTATCCAATGGATTTTGCTGTTCAACAACCATTGATGGGAATAATTTTTATGCCCCGCGGCGAAGCCGAAGGGGCATACTGTTTCCGCCTTGTCCTTCCGTGGGTGGGTGGGTGGGTGTGTGGGTGTGTGTGTGGGTGGGTGGGTGTGTGGGTGTGTGTGTCCGGACAAATCTTGTCAGCGCGATAACTTGAGAAATACTTTACATATGAACTTCAAATTTGGTTTGTGGATTGTCCTTGGTAATCCTAAGAAGCCTTTTGCATTTGGGGCCGAAAGGTCTAGGTTCAAGGTCACAGTGGCTGAAACAATAGAAATTTTGTCAGCGCGATAACTTGAGAAATACTTTACATATGAACTTCAAATTTGGTTTGTGGATTGTCCTTGGCAATTCTAAGAAGCCTTTTGCATTTGGGGCCGAAAGGTCAAGGGTCAAGGTCACAGTGGCTGAAACAATAGAAATGTTGTCAGCGCGATAACTTGAGAAATACTTTACATATGAACTTCAAATTTGGTTTGTGGATTGTCCTTGGTAATCCTAAGAAGCCTTTTGCATTTGGGGCCGAAAGGTCAAGGGTCAAGGTCACAGTGGCTGAAACAATAGAAATTTTGTCAGCGCGATAACTTGAGAAATACTCTACATATGAACTTCAAATTTTGTTTGTGAATTGTCCTTGGCAATTCTAAGAAGCCTTTTGCACTCTGGGCCAAAAGGTCAAGGGTCAAGGTCACAGTGGCAAAAACAAAAGAAATTTTGTCAGCGTGATAACTTGAGATATACTTTACATATGAATTTCAAATTTGGTTTGTGGATTGTCCTTGGCAATCCTAAGAAGCCTATCGCATTGGGGGTCGAAAGGTCAAGGGTCAAGGTCACAGTGGCTAAAACAATAGAAATCTTGTATTTATTCTGAGATCATAGGGATTAGGGATTAATTCATATAAAACCTACAGAAGACACTGATGCTGTCAATGAACGTTCCATTTGACCAAGGTACATGTAAGTTGATGTTAGAGTGGTGTTATGTCATGGAAACAGTCACGGTTGCGGGGCATTTGTGTTTGTAAACACACCTGACTTGTTTCCTTTGAGTTAGAAGGGTTTTTGAGTTAAAGGGAATGTACAACATCTGCTTTTGCTTCAATTTTCAGAAATAAATGGATTTGGAGGATTAGTATGTTATAGAAAATATTGTTGAACTGACATGTTTCACGTTTTGGGCTTGTAGATGCTGGAAAAACCAAGAAAACCTATCATGTTCTTGTAGTCTGGTTCCCTGACCCCAATAAGATGAAACGGAGCACTTAATACACCTTAGGGAATTGTAAGGTCAGAGAATCAGTCTAGCAGGCTTGTACCCCTGCAGAGGTGTGTAATCAATTGCAAAGAAAATTCAGAAAACTAAATATGAAAAATTTAGAACAGTTTTTGAAAAAAACAGCCAGTTTTTTCCAACGCTGGTCGGCCGACCAGCGTTGGAAAAATGCAGTTTTTCTTGAAAATGTCAGCACACCAGGAGCCACGATTTTAAAGGATGCTTTAGACTGTCATTCCTCACAATCATGTAAGGTATTTTGTGATAATTTGATCATTTCATTTTTTGATGTTTGCAAATGTTGTATTTTCCTTTTAACAGGTTTGACTTATTGAGATTTCACTGTGATAAATGCATAAATGGATTTTTTTTTGCAAATAGTCAATCATTGAATCTCTAGAGGAATGTATTTCAGAAAAATACAGGAGTTAAATTGCATTTCATGAAAAAAAAAAAAGTTTATCACTGAGAAATGAAGTGAGCAGATCGGTGTTGTGTTGAAGATTTAAGCTTGGGAACTGGGTGCTCATAGTAAAATATACAGACCCTGTCAGATACAGCTTCAGGGTATACTGTGTGCCGGACTAGGGTGATGTTTTGCTTGGAGATTGGGTTTATGTTCTTGAAGTTTGTCAAGTTGCCTTACTCATCATTTCTTTTGGAACAAACACAGGGTCAGATGATAGCACAGGACAAGCTGGAGAGAGAAAGAAGTGACGCAAGAAACAGCGTGGAGGAGTACGTCTACGACATGAAGGACAAACTCTATGCCCATCTGGAGCAGTTCATCGCCACATCGGTAAGATTCTTGTTGGTTTATTGGGGTCACAGTGTAAGCTTGTCCCAATGTGGTCAGTTTTGGGGTGCCAGTCCTAACTTTGACAGGTGTTGGACTCCACATTGAATGTTTGTATGTTGTCGGGCACTTTTGGGTTTACAGGCAGGGCAGTGTGGGTAATGGGTTCGATGAAGATTTCTGTATATTTTTTTTAAATGTCTGACTATATTTTGCTCTCTGGGGTCGTAGTTGAAGTAAGCCTTAAAGGGCCCATGCAATGCAATCCTTAGAAATGCACCATTGTGTCCCATTGAACCCTTATTTTCAATTTTTGTTTTGCCATTTTCAAGGGTATTTTTGTGCCTTTTTGGTTTTAGTGCTAATGCCAATTTCCATATTCATAAGCATAAGTGTGATTTCAGGCTGAAACCTCAATGTTACAGCTATTTCAGCACCAAAAGTTGGTAGAATTTTTGACATTTCACTGTTGTAAACATTTGATGTTGTGTCGGTACATGGTAGTAAGCCAATGAGCAAACTTTTGACAAATATTGTCAGTAAGCAAATGTTTAGAATCACAATTTGAACAGAAAACCCCTGAAATGAACAGTGTCTTCCTGAAATGACATCACAGCAACAGCACCCTCAGTTATCCGGAAAAGCATGGATTTTGTTTAAAAATGTTTAAAGAAGTGCACTTTTCAGTAAAATTAGCACAAAAAAAAGGATGTCAAATATTTTTCATATGGACCTTATAACTTGTTTTCCCATGTGTTTTCGTAGGATCGGGAGGCATTCATTGGTCTCCTGAACAAGACGGAAAACTGGTTATATGAAGAAGGTGAAGACGAAACTAAGAGTATCTATGTTGAAAAACTGGCTAAACTCAAGGTGAGCAGTAAATCAAAGACCATTTATGGGGTTTTTTTCAACATGCAACAGAAAAGAACAAACTTTGAACTTGCTTTGACTGATCGCATAGATTGACATGTAAGAGGTAATATACAACATTTGTAAACATAAAAAAAAGAAGCAAACGTTTTATATTACCTTTAATGTAGAATTTATGAAGGCGACTATATTTATCGGTTTGTCGTTTTGTTTTAAAACAGGGACAACACTCCAAAATAGCTGTGGCAATTTGCAACTAATTTGTTGAGTTTCATTTGTTCCATCCGTTGTATTTTGTCATGGTCTGTGTTGCTTTTGGGATCACGTTAACAGGAATATCTCTCCTTTACGTTTTTGTTTTTGTACAGAAAACAGGTGACCCTATCGTAGAGCGTTACAAGGAATCGCTGGAGCGGCCTGAAGCGTTTGAGGAGCTCGGGGCATGCTTGCAGCGCTACAAGAAGGCATTGACGCAATACAGTGAAGGGGTAAGGTTAAACAGTAGGTCAAACATGGGTTAGTGAGAAATTTTGGCTACTGCGCATGCGTACATCTGTAACTAAGGATTCCGTGCTTACAGGGTTAGCACAGAATTTTTCTGCTGGCACTGTTAGCACAGAATGGTGATCGTAAGCGCGGAATGCTGTGGTTAGCAGAGCCAAGAAATTAGGCCCAGAACACGACCTCTTTTTTCTGTGATATCATTTACGGGTACTTTTGCACACTGTCTGTTGTATTTATAAATTTAACACCTTTTTTAACACTCCTTAAATTCAGGATGAGAAGTACGCCCACATAGAGAAGGCGGAGATGGAGAAGGTTCAGAAGTTGGCGTCTGACAAGGAGGCCTGGAGGGACAGTAAGCTGAACGCCCAGAACCAACTAGCCCCGCACAACAAACCCATCGTATTGGTCAAAGATATACGGGCTGAGACTGCTGTGAGTATCAATTGTTTCATATTATTTTGGCTGCGGGGTCGATTGAGATTGGGGGTTGGATTTCAGGGTAATTTGGTTAGGGGAGGGGTTAGAAGGAGGACGGTGATATATTTTCAAGTTGGGAGGATAGGGTTCACTTAGTGTCTAATTTAACCTTAGGATTACAATCATTGACCAAGGTATCTTATGTCCTTGGGCAAGGTTCACTACGTGCATTGAAGAGGGTTGTTGATTATCGTTACTAATAGAGGGCCACAATGTCTACAAAGCCCATAAACAAGCATCCACACTTGCAACCGGACTGATAGTGTACATCAGATGCATGAAAAGAAGCTTCTAGTGAATAATTGTTTTGAATCAATTGAATAGAATTGTGTGTGCTCCGAGCCCAGCTTTACTAGGTTTGCCGTATCTTGTTTGTTTTTTTCCCGCCCCAGTCTTTGAAGGCCAACTGCGACAAGATCCTGAACACACCCAAGCCCAAACCCAAGGAAGAGCCGCCCAAGGACACGGAGCCTAAGGAAGGCAACGGAGCCTCCCAGCCCAGCGATGCCAAGACTGAAGAGACGATGGAGACAGAGGGCACAGCAGCAGCAGCGGCAGCAGCAGCAGCAGCAGCGGGCGGAGACCAACCCAGTCAAGAAGGGGGCGGCGGCGGCATCGATGTAGACATGGAACTCGATTGATGTATATAAATGAATATATAAGAATAGATCCCTTAATGTAACAGTGATCAAGAACGTAAGTCTGCTACCTCATGAAGTGTGCCAGCGTGTTACGACGCAGCCTGGTGCGATTTGTCTCATTCAAGTTGATTATGTAACACCTCAATGCTTTATGAGATGTTACGCCAACCACCTAAAGAAGGTTAAAACTACTTGAGGCTTTGTATGATGAAGCATTGGTAGCAGTGTGCAAGAACCCAGTGCATAAGTGTCTGAATTTTTGAAATAAAGTGGTTTCATTTGGGAAGAATGCAAAATTAAACAAGGGTTAACTTGAGGTTTTACCCTGAGGTACCCCACAACATCCTGCCAAACCTCGTAAAACCTCGAGGTAAACCTCAAGTAAGCGCCTCTTTTATTTCACATTCTCCCCTTATGGACTGCGTGCACAAACAATCGATGGTGCTTTTTGATTACTTTTGAGAACCCTGTGCAAGAGACATACCATGTGTGCATGCTGGTTCATGCTTGTATGGCGCAAAGTAGGCATGACTGTTATGAATATGCACGTACCTATGGCGCTTGCATGAGCATCAGACGTCATCGGCAATGCGTTTAAAAGTCTCTCCAAGAGGTCTCCCCCAACTCTCTCTTTGTTAACCATTGTGGGGGTAGTTGTGCACAGAGCCCACAGTACATATAAAGCTGGATAGGAAATTCACAGTTCTCAGAGCAAGCTTCGCAAAGTTTGCTAACCTGCTTGTGACTGATTCCCGGCCGATTGTCGCTTAGCGCATAGATTTTCCCGGCATCAACTTCTGCTCATATTTACACACAGAGAACATCTGAATAGCACATCGTAAGAATCACGACTGGCATACTTCATGCTAACAGTAGGCGTCTGGGATATATATAGGGACAGTGCTTTAATTACAATCATATTTGTTGTAATATATACATGTATACTTCCGCCCTCTTTGTTGGGGGACAGTGGGTGGGAAATTAATGTTTGGATAATATAGGGGAGGATGTAGGCTTATTTTATACAATGCTGGCCAATATGGCTTTAATGTAAAAAAAAAAAATAGGTGTATTTCTGTAACTCCCTTTCAACTGTGCATTCACATCTGGTGCTCACTTTACTCTGAAGAAATGAGTATTCAGTTAGTGTTTTCTGGAATCCCCTGTCTTCGAAATTTGTGACTGAATTTTATAAGACCGGATCACATATGTTGATTTTATCCACCATCCGGTCATCCCAATAATTGTTTGGAAACTTTGGAGGATCAGAATAATCGGGTAATGAAATCAGTTTCTGTCGTTCTAAAGCAGTCACTTGATTTAGAAAAAAAGAATAACTTAATTAATAATAATGTGTCACATTTCACAAATTAATAGTATGTGAGTGTGTTGTATACCCACAATTTGTTACCTTTTGTGTTCTGAATTGGCAGTAGATTTATGTATTTGCAGTCTTTTTGTCATTGGAAAAGCTAAAAAGCTGTTGTACATTGCTTTGTACATGTGGGAATTTTCGCCAAGTAACTTAAATTATACATGTATTTTGGAATATGAACAATGTGTAACCCTGTCCACGTTTTTGTCATTTCAAGGAAGAACCAGACTATATTACACCATTATTTCATCTTATTTTATCCAAGACTACAGCATAGAAAGAGAAAAACATAAATCAAGAAAGTGTTTTGTAGGGATACATGCAAAGCCAATTAACTAAAATTAACATGAGATGTGTAATGGAGATCAAGGTAATGTTTTCCAGATAGATAGTAATTGTTTTAGAGGAAATTAAAAAACTTAATATTGAAATGCTAACGGCTGCGTGATGCACGAGAGGAATATTTTTAAACCTGCAGTAAACCATGTGCATCATATTCACTGTGGTTTTCCTGATGTTGAAAATAAAAAAAAATGGAAATCTGCAAAAATGTTCATTGTTTTGAGTTTTTCTTTTGGGGACTGAGACAGTAAACGTAATCATTGTGATTATTTTTTTAGATGTAGTTAATTCATATAAAAAAAATCATGTGTACATTTAAAAAAAAAAATTCCGAACACTATTGATCAGGTTCAAGGTTCCTACACAATTATTTGTGGTTGATGGAATACTTTTCTAAGTTTCTGCTGAGAAATATTTAGTTTAACCATGGAGCAAGGACTGTAAAAAAATCAACTTCAGGCCGAAAATTGATTCTGCATTGTATTCATATACATTTCCCGGTAACATTTATAATTATCGAATTAGTTACATTCTATTTGAAACAGAAGCAACAATAACATTTTATGAGCAACTTCCATTTAATCATTAATCCTGCAAATTGTCCACAAATCCTACATACATGTATGAGAAAATGATGCCTGCTAATGTCCAATAGCGCCACCACCGTCTACCGATCACGTAATGTCGAGTTGTGGTTATATAAAGTGGGCAAGGGTTCTGCCCATCCGGTTTTTTTTTTAAGCAGGCCTGCGACTGTATCTAGTGAGAAAATCAAGGAGGTGGCCGGTGGGTACTTCCTCAAAGCAGCTCAAAGCAAAATGTGATGGTTTACTTTAAAGTAAATGGTACACTAATTAAATAAAGTTAAAACACCGTCAAAAAAAAAAGACGGACCATTTTGTCAGTTTGTGAGATTTGGTAAATTGCTCGGCTCCACCCCTTACTGGGTGGTCGTGTCACTTCTGTACCAGAGCAGTACGCGCCATGTGGAAATCTTCAATTAAAATACCACAGAAATCGGATCCGAAATCTAAATAAATAGTGTCCAGCGCGGCGCTTATAAACAGATAAGTGGCGCATTGTTGCAGGGAGAAATTACACCACGGAAACCATAAACCTTTACATTCCAATTCACCCTGGACAGGCCTGGTATTGTAGTTTATGTAAGCGGCGATCCCATGACTGACCTTGTTGCGTCCTTGATCAGTAAAGTGCCGATTTTTAGTCCAAAAATAGTTTTAGTAGATGCCCTGTTAGTCTAGCCATGGAGCTATGTGTTTTATATCTAGCTCCATGGTCTAGCCATACTATGGTCTAGCCATTGGCAACCAGTAGCCTCCTCTCAACTCAATCCGCATGAGCCCCGCCCCTCAATAGGCTTCATTACAGTATATGAGTATAAAGTGAGTCTACTTTAAAAAGTCCTGGCCCACAGCTCTTTTAGTGTTTGCAAGATAAAAATCTTCAAAAATGAATCGAAAGAAAACGATTCAGTTTATACATGCCTTTCTATTTGTAGCCTTGACTGGTTAATTAGCATCATTTGTCCATACACTTTTTACTTTTAATCGCCTCTAACAAGTAAATCGATTTTCTTTAAAGCAAAGTTTTGAACTTCCAGGGGTAAAGACTTCTTTGAATATCAGGAGGGAGCGAAATTATCCATTGTGATAGTCAGTAGTATCAGGCAAGGCCGTAGGAAGCGGTACGGCAGGTACGGCTATGGCCGTACCAATAATAACAGGCCTATCTTTTTTTTAAATGTATACAAGGCCTTGCATGGCCCCAAGGGTGGATTTTTTTCAGGGGGGTGGGGTTCTAAATGCTCTGTGGTGCGATCTGAGGCAATTTGACCACTTTAACAATTTTTTTAAGGAAAAGATGGTGGTGTATGCAGTACCTGCCTTTATTGCGAAGACACTGAAGGAAAAAAATGGGTTCCATTTGGGGGGGGGGGGGGGCATTGGCCCCCGTTGCCCTCCCCCAAATTTTTCTTGTGATGTTTTTGTGTTTTGTTTTGTTTTGGAAAGGGCGTAATCATACATGTCGCCACTAGGCCTACATGTTAAGTTAAACGGAATGGCCATTGGCCGCCACCGTGAATTTTAGTTGTCCTCAGACTTGTACTTGTGTTTTCTTAAAAAGAAGTGGTTTTCTAAATGAGAAAATAGCAAGGAAGAACCGGTTTTGTGCAAGCAAAATTCAGGGAATAACCCGTTGAATTTAATATCTTGTTGGAAAATTCCAAAGTCATTCAAAGAAAGTAATTACCGCCGTGAATCAGAGTTTATGAAGGGACAGAAAGTGGGATTTGCTATCAACAAGACCGTTCGTCATTCTTTACCTGATGGGATGTGAATCAATTGGAGGATGAGAGACTCTGCGAGCTGATGTATTTTTTTTAGAAAAAAAAATACTTACAAAATACGCTCGGCAGTTCAATCATGTACATACACTGGTATCCATACCGGTGAATTAAGTCTTAAATAAACGGAAATCTTCCCTACAAGCTGGTTGCAAAAAAAAAAGTTTTTCTAAAAAATACATCCGCCCGCAGAGCCTCTCGTCCTCCAATTTGATTCACATCCCATAAAAGGTAAATAATGAGGAACGGCCCTGTTGATGCTGATAGCAAATCCCACTTTCCGTCCCTTCATAAACTCTGATTCACGGCGGCAACTTTCTTTAAATGATTTTGGAATTTTCCAACAAGATATTAGTATCAACGGATTATTCCCTGAATTTTGCTTGCACAATACCGGTTCTTCCTTGCTACTTTCTCAGCTAGAAAACCACTTCTTTTTAAGAAAACACAAGTACAAGTCTGAGGAAAACTAAAATTCATGGTTAAATTCCATTTAACTTAACATGTAGTGCATGGCGACATGTATGATTACGCCCTTTCCCTGTAAACACAATCATGGATCAAGCTAAAGAGCACAAATCTAGAAAGAGAGTCAAGCTACAGTTTTGATGTGATGCTTGTGATGTAATTTATCATCTTTGATGACCCACCCACTAAAACACGAATACATTTCATTCAAAAAGTCAGGGGAAAGTGGCCAGGAAATGCCTCAGATTGCACTACAGAGCATCTATAGATCCAAAATAAGTTTTGCGATGAGCAAAATGTCCAAAACTTTTCACTACGATAGGCTAAATTTTGACGATTTATGTAAAGTTCATCAAGTGACATATACTGGTTAATACTTGCAGTTGTGCAGTGCTCCAAAATGTGTCTTGTACAAATTACGAAGAATAAAATTCCCTGTATACATGCATAGTGTTGGGGGAGTGGCTTTTGGTTACATTTGGGAGGGATTGGGTCAAATCCTGGATCCGCCTCTGCAGGCCTGCCAACTCTAACACATTGAGCGTAAGACCCACACATTTCAGGTTATTCTCATGCTTTAACGCCGACATGGGATTTCTCACGCAAAAAAAAAAATATAAAAAGATAATTGACTCCAAACTTGAAAATGATGTTTAAATGATGATAGCTAAGAAAAAAAGGTTAAAGTGGTCAGAAATTGCCTCAGATCGCACCACAGAGCGTTTGGAATCCAAAATTTTTCGGGGCCCAACCCCACGCCGTTAGGGCTTCGCGCTACGCGCTCGCATCAACTGAGCTCCCTGCCCTGAGATGAGCCTGACCAATAAATGTTAGCTTCCTACGGGCCTGGTATCAGGGGCAAGTCAGGACCTGTCCTCGACCCCACTCCACTGTCTCGTCGGTCCATCACCCCCAGGAATCTTGAGTACATTATCATTAGTTCCGTTATTATGTAAGACATTTATCCCCTACTTAGAAAGGAATGCCATGTTTTTAAGAACTTCCGATCCGTTGGTGGGCCCCAGGAACATGAGCCTGCAATAAAAAAGAAGAAGAAGACAGTCTGGCGATTAATGAGATTGTCGGGCCATGGAGGTAGCGAAGATGCAGTTGCTAGTGTTGGGTCTCTCACCATGGGGTTAATAAGTCCCTCAAATAAATCATGGAGGTGAGGTAGAATTACTGATGATCGTATTAAAAGAAAAATCCGTTATATAGTACAACAAAATATAGTGCAGAGACTCTTTTTTGGAGTACGGGTGGGTCCGGTACGGTGGGTTGGGTAGGGTAGAGTTAACACAGTGGTTCAAAGAATGAAAACCTTCCTATTTGAACTTAACCACAAAATCACTGTGACGCGCACTGAAAACGTATATCCAGAGATTACTCACTATTTCAACCTGTGAATTTATGCCTATTTGAATAATGGGCGTAACGGCATTGCGGTGAGCCCCGTATACATTGTTGGCAATTTTTTGTGGTCAACTTGTGGAAACTGTTAACAAATATCGGTTGCGTCAGACGTCTTTTTACGGAGTTCGAAATTTCCCTCGTAAAATTCTTGGTATTGCCAGTTCTGTGGTAGGTCTATTGGCCAATTTACATCTGTCTACAATACACTTTGATGTTTTCACAATAGAGAGGGAATTTATGAATTATATTTATGTATGATGTCACCCTATTGCCCTTCTCTACTCATTCTACGATTAAACAGTTTCATGAATTGGTTAGCTTACTCATCACACATGTATACTTGAAACTTACAGTTACAATCTGTTAGTTGGCAAAACCATTAAAAAACACATAGAAGAGAAGAGATATCCCTGCGCATGGCTAAACAGACGTGTCACTGTGAATAAAGGTTTAAGCGTTTGTGTTTTGCCCCAGAGACGAAAATAATTACGTGTATGTCTAATTTATTTGACCCCGAAAGATGCTTATATTACCGATATCTTAATCCTAATATAAGCGCTATCATAACCATCCCGCTGATTAGCCAAGCCCTCACAGATTATACGCCAAAGCAAGGGCGCCCCCTTTACCTATTCACCCCGATTATTAAAGTTCGCAGAGCTTTTTTGCCTGAACAGTCAAGTGAACAGAAAAAAAATCTTATTTTGATATTCAGGCTTAATTAAATATATGAGCTTAATTAGATGTACACATTTTGAGGAATACAATAGTAACTTAATAATGGTATCGGGGCACTGTATAATTCTACCTCCATGATGGGTCCAATTAAAACAGCCGTACGGAGCATGAACTTTTAATTCTATTCTTTAAAGTACAAGTATCTTGCATATCTTGGTATGAACAGTAAAACAACCTCAAATCTGTGAGACAGTTTACTGTCTTAAAAATCATTTCGTCATCAACACAAGAAACCAAAACCGAAGTCTTCTCAGTTCCTCTGGCACGTGCCACCATACCTGGCGGTACTTCACCATTGTGGTACAGGTAATGTACAATACAAAACTTGTATACCTGCATTTCCGGTTTGGTGATTAATGCTTCGCCGATTGGTCGCTACCGAGACCACTGCTTATGAATTATTCATCAGGTATCAATCCGCAATCGACATGGAATATACATTCCAAGAAATAAAACTGATCAATTTTGCCCTTTGGGTCACACAAAGTATGAAATATAAATATTTAAAGTAATAAGTGTCCATGTTCAGTTATTAAATTAGAGAAAGAAGAAACGTTGGGCACTATATTATTACGAGCGGAGGGAGGAAGTGGTTCTACGGCTATCAGCTGGATGTATGCAATATATCGCATGCGCGACTGCATGCACGTACCGTATACGTACGTTTGCATGTGTACGGAATTTATCATCGGTCTGTGTTCGCTCAGTTCATGAACCAAGGCGAATCGACTGAGATCCGTTCTAAAATTTTGGATTATTAACTGCGTTCTTGGACAATACATATGAGGAGAAATAACCCCAAATGATGCCGGATATCTTCAGGTAGTGGTGAGTATGGTTGTCATTATTTTATATAATTTTAAACTATTAACTTGAAAGTGGTGTGTTGTGAGTGATGGTTGTACGGCGCGGAGGGAGTTATCGCAACGTTGAGTTTACCGTGGATTGAGAGACGAGTTGTACCGCGTGGTGACCGTTGTGGCCCGTAGGCATTGTGTGTGGCGTACGCTTTGCGAAGTCCTTGGGTGTAAAGTCGTACTTGGTGTTCAAGTTGTAATAGCTGTACACGCTCTTGACATGGAAATGTTGGAAAGAAAAACCAATGTCATGAAGCTACCACTTGGTGGGGTTTGTGTTTTACATGCATGATATTTTTGACTGTTTGAGGACACAAGCATGACAAGAAGCATGAATAATTCCGGGGAAAAAAAGCAAAAAAAAGCGGCCTTATTCATTGAGAAAAATGGTAATCATCATCATGGAGAGGTACATGCAGGGCCGGGGAAACCATGGAGGAATGAAATACATATTTTCCCCTCCTTGCATGAACAGAGTTGACTTTGCACATTCAAATGGTTGTATGTATTTATTTGAAATCAAAATGTCATTTGTGGTAATTCTAATTTGTAGGATAGATACAAAGAACATTTGTTGTGCAGTTGTACGTTTACCGGCCAACGGCCATGAGAATAGTGTAAAATTCAGTTTTGTAAAATTAATTGACCATGTTGACTCGAGATTTACATGGTAGAAAATAGAACCTAAGCCTCTTTTCAATTGTCAGTACACATTGACCAGTACTTATGAAATTGTTTTCCTTCGTGGATAAACTTTTGATTATTTGATATAATAATTGTGATTGCAAAATAAAGCTCCACAATGTCAAGATTTCCTTAAAAGTTTAAAAGTTCACCTTGAATGAAATTATGTTTTGACATTTTCCCCATTTCGTTTAGCTTGCACTGTACTTCTACTTTTAAACATAAATGTTTTGTTGATGAAGTATTTTACTTTACAATTTAGTGTTTGTTTGTGTATGATGTTACTTTAAATGAATATTACATTCTATACTTTGACTGTTCGAAATTACAAACCTTCTTAGAATTCAGCTTAAAGCATTTTTTTCCTTCATGATGTTGTTGTTGTTGTTTTTTTTTTCATTTACTGCTATGGCTTTCTTGACAGTTTCCAGTGTATTACATTTTGTGCATGTTTCGGAAGCCTGTAAATTCAATCAGTTTCCCTTAAAAGTTACCTTCAATTTAATTATGCTTTTTCTCATTTTTTGGTCGTGTTTTTTTTTTTGGTTAGCTAATATTTGTTTATATACAGCTGTACTTGTTTACATCGTTCTTGTCTTTCTGTATCTTCTTTGCTATTTGTGTTTTGGGCACGCATACTCTACAAGCTGTGCTTTTGTGGGTTCCCTGTATCTGTTGACAGTGTTCTTCCCATAATAATTCTTATCTTTAGTTTCTAAAACTTATAAAAGCTATGAATCATAATGATTTCTAAGTACTTTTGTCCTCTGCCTTGAGACGAAATAAAGTAAAGTAAAGCACTGTAAAAGATAAAATATTTGCAAAATTTGCCTTCAAGCCCTCAAACTTTGCATTCGCCCTATAAATGGTTTCCCAGCATTTGACCATGCACCTGTAATAATCCTAAGGGTCCATGGACTGAGCTGATGGGTTGGTCTGCACAATGATTAATACCCAGATCACCAGTAGAGTTGAATTTTTCCGTTGCGCTGGACCGTACAAGACCTCCTTCCCCAGACATTCTTGTGTAACTCAGCGGGAGTTCTGTTGAATTGTACTTGCGGATTTGGACCCGAGGTTTTGTAATCGCTGGAGTGAATAACCCTTGTATGAGGAGTGAGTGGAGTGAAATGAGTCTAACGAAACCAGTGTTGGAAGAAAATTATTTGTGGCATCGAATATCAGTGTACTTACAAATAAACATACATCATGTTTAGTGGGTTGGGCTTTCTTCTTTTGGTCACTGAGAAATTGAGATGACAGATGCCCAGCATTGACTTATTACTTACTGCCTGTGTGTCTGCTACTCTGGCCCATGGCTCTGGTTTCTTTATACTTTGTCACGCACTTGGAACATGACCATTTGCTCAAAATTCTTCTTGACGTGTAAAATATCAATTTGCCCAAAATTAAATAACAAATTGGGTTGTGGTGTGGCAAAAACTGCTGTGTCTCTTATGCCATGCATTTTATTTGTTCGCGTTTAAGTTATAGTGTCACAAGTCTGCACGTTTCAGAACTACACGCTTTCACTTTTCACTGAAAAAAAATATGCTTGATTTTTAAAAATTCCCTCATTGGTTTTGTTATAATTTATTATACATTTACCTGGAAAACAATAAACCCAGTGTTACTGTGGATATCAGTGAGTAAACGATGAATACAGCAGTCCTACTTGGGGAGTTGTTTACTGGATTTCCATCCTGATGAATAAACACCTCTGTGAACACAATGAATGTGGATTCATAATGGCTTTTACTGCTCTTGATATTCTTAAAGGGAATATACAACATTTGCAAACATCGAAAAATAAAACTACCAAGTTTTTGCGAAATACCTTAACAGGATGTTGGTAAATGACAGTCTAAAGCATCCTGTAAAATTATGGCACCTGGTATACTGTCATTTTCAAGAAAAGTGGTATTTTTGTATCAATTTCCAATGCTGATCGGCCGATCAGCGTTGGAAACAACTGGCTTTTTTTCAAATACTGGCCCCAATTGACCATTGCACTTGTTTGCAATCGATTACAAACCTATAAACGGGTACGAGCCAGCTAGACTGGTTCCCTGACCTTACAATTCCCCCAATGTATGTAAACTGCTCTGTTTCTTCTTATATGGAGTCAGGGAACCAGACTACAGGAAAATGATCGTTTTTCTTGGTTTTTATAGCATTTTCGAACCCAAAACCTCCAAAAAGTTAGTGTAACTATATTTGCTTTATATTTCCAACCCCCCAATTCCATCCATTTCTGAAAATTACAGCAAAAGCAAATGATGTATATTCCCTTTAAGATGGTCTATTCAACCGTGGGGAGTTGGACGCTTGGAGGTAGGCAAGCCAAGTTGGTCATTGTCACCCAAAATATTGATCATCCGTCCCGACTGAAGGGGATCAGCTCTGCTCGAGTGGCTGTGCTAATCCCCCTGTTTTGCTCACTGCTAGTTTTGGCGTGGGTCCGATCGATACCGGAATGATTATAAACCCTTTTCATGCCTTGTGGATGGAATGGAAATGGTAAAATTATGAGGCATCTTGGAGGAATTTGTGCGTCCGTTCGTTTGCTGGCGGGTCATCGTGTGGTGTAGGAAGTTGACGCTGGGTTTGTCATCAGGGGGTGGCATTCCCCAACTTCTCCCAATCACGTCTCTCCTGTACCACATCCCAGCCCTCCCTACCCATTTCAGTCCACCTTGCTTCAGGTTATTGAAAAAATTCCTACAGCGAGTGCCGAGTGTAGCGCCGGAGTGTCTGCACATGTGGCTTGCGACCTTTAAAACTACAGGACAGGTACTTGGGCAAGATTGACTCCAGTAATTGTGCCTTTGCAGCACAGAACTTGAAATTGATGGATGAAAACTTGATTGGATCTACCGGAATGCTTCAGAAATATGACGCACATTTAGATACTAAGCCCACCATATAGTGGATGGCCTGTCATTTACACACGTGCACTACACCACACATGTGAATTGGGGCCCGGCAGAATACTTGTAGTAAGCATTCTTGACAAAGTATGTTCCTTCCCATGGCAATTGCAGTGTCTTTGCGCTTACTTTTCTTTGCACGGAAATCGACAGGAAAAGTGAAGTCATTTACCAATTTTGGCAAATTCTGATCCTACAAAATAACCCTGCAGCTTATGAAATAAGACGACTTTAAATTCTGTGTATTGTTTTGTGGTTTTTCCCTTTTCCTTTTTTTTTGAAAGTTGATGTAATCTCCCCAAACATCCCTCATAAATGGTTGAGCTAAGAAACCCAGGAAATAATTGTTATCAATTACTTCCCCTTAGACCCCACATTCTTTCCTGTCCTTTTTTATGGATCCTTCACAACCGCAGGCAGTCAGCCACCTGCTATTGGGGTTTTCCTAGGGTCATTGAGGCCACGGTGCCCAAGGGCAGAAGGACCCGAACCCTAGTCCTCAAATTGCTACTGTTGTGTGTTCGAGGCACTCCTGTGCTCACTTGTGAGGAAGTTATTCTTTGCTTCAATTTTGTTTGAAAGAGCAACATTTGTTGGATTGACTGCCGTAGGTGTTTATTTCTTTAAGTGGAAATTTGGGGTGCAGTTCATTTGTTCATGTCCACAATGAATGACCTCTTTGAAAGGATGTGCGTATGTATGCTGAATGGTGATTGATCGCATATAACCTGCAAATTGAATTAAATGATGATTTTTTTCCCAATAAAATGTACAACAAATCATAAACTTTAGAAGTGACTTCCTGTTCTATTGTGTAACCTCTGACAATCATTTTGTTACCTCTGACAATTATTTTGTTATAGAAAATTGCTATAATTTTTAAATTACGAATAATTCTGATACCATCTTCCATTTTTTCTGTTCTTTTTTTCAGAGTCCATTTGGTGGTGTATTAACCATGGCTGTGAGGGTGAAGCCGAGTTGTTGGGCAGTCACATTACTCATCACAGTGTTCACTGCTGCTCTGTGGACTGCCGCAGCGCAAGAGCCCGCTTACAACTTCCAGTTCACCGAGCCACTGTACAATGCCAGCATCCCGGAGAATGCCGAAGTCAGAACATACATCACAACGCAACCAAAGACAGGAATATATGTTCCACTGGATTCAGATATCATTGGAGTCAAGTACACAATACTGGACGAGGACAGACTCTTCCGAGCCACTGACGAGAGGGTGGGGGACTTTGTGTTCCTCAGGATCCGCACCATTCCCTGTAAAAGCAAAGACGAGACATGCTCCAGTGTCATCAACAGAGAGCAGAAGGCAGAGTACCGACTACGCGTCAAGGCAGTGGGTCGCATCCGTGGCCAGTCACCGGTCACTACCATGACCAACGTGGTGGTCAAAGTCACTGATGCAAATGACCAGCGGCCGTTGTTTTCCCAGCAGAGCTACTCGGTTGCCGTTCCAGAGGACACACCTGTGGAAACCAGCATCATCACGGTGGAAGCAACGGACGCAGACTCGGGCACCAATGGGGAGGTGTATTACAGCTTCAAGAGGCGGACTGACCAGTTTGCCATCCATCCGACCAGCGGGGTGGTCACCCTGACTAGAGCCCTGGATTATCGGGAGACCCGTCAGTATAGCCTGGTCATCATTGCCAAGGACAGAGGGATGATGCCGTACAACATGGCCCCTCCCTTTGAGGCTACCCTGCGAGTCCAAGTGGCAGAAGTCAACAAGCATGCCCCAGTCATGAGTGTTCAAATGCAGACACAGCTGTCGCGCAATAGCGATATCGGCACTATCTTTGCCAGCATCATGGTCACGGATGAAGATGATGGCAGCAACGGTGAAGTGACTGATGTCCGCATCGTTGATGGTGATCCTGAGGAGTACTTCCATATTGAGTATGAGGGTGGAGTATTTCACATTAAGACCCAGTTTGTCTTCAAGGCTGCCTCCCCTGCCGACTTCAACCTCACAGTGGTGGCCTCAGACCGGGGAAGCCCACCCCAGACAACGACAGAGATCATTCCAGTTAAGATTTCAGGATCCTACCAACACGCAATGATTTTCCGAAGTCAAATTATGAACATCTCTGTCTCTGAGCTGGTTCCAATCAACACGCCGCTTATCTCTGTGGCTCCCGAAGACCAGGATCCAAGCCTGGCTATCACCTATTCTCTGGCAGAAAGCAAGTCTCAGGTTTTCTCCATCAATGAGCGCACTGGGTATATCAGTCTGCGGCAAGAGCTGGATCGTGAGACAAAATCAGTCTACAACATCACCGTTAATGGCGTCATTGAAGAGAGCAAAGCTGTCGCCTATGTTGTTGTGTACGTGCTAGATGCAAATGACAATAGCCCCGTCTTTGACCAGCAGTCTTACAGTTTTGAAATCAAAGAAAATTTTCCCGTCCACACCCCAGTTGTACAAGTCACTGCACGAGATGCCGACCTTGGGGAAAATGGTTTCATATCGTACAGCCTGGCTAACACAAACCCTATTCCATTTACCATCGATCACATGACGGGATTTATCAACACAAGCAAGGTGCTGGACTATGAAACAATGAGGCGAGAGTACAATCTTCGGGTTAGGGCATCGGATTGGGGATCTCCATTCCGCCGAGAGTCTGAAGTCCTAGTGGCCATCCGTCTACAGAACATCAACGACAATCGCCCGCAGTTTGAAAAGATAGACTGTGTTGGAACCATCTCTCGCACCCTGACTGCTGGGGAAAATATTGCACTTATCTCAGCAATTGACTTTGATGGAGATGAGCGAGAGTTGCGCATTGTCTCGGGAAACACAAGGGACCTCTTTGCTCTGCACCCAACCTCTGGTAACTTGACACTGAGAAGACAAATTGAGGACACAGATGGGCTGTTTTACAGCTTGCGCATCATGGCTAATGACAGTGAGACCTCTGCAAGCTACATGTACACCAACATCAGCATCAATAACAATCGCAACATCAACCCAGGTGCACACGTCAGAGACTCCAAAGTCAGGTGCAAATCCACCACAGCTCTGAGAGATTTCCGAGACCTTCTCCATCAGAAGACTGAGGATGAAAAATTCTCTGAGAATGTCCCTGGTGTCGATTTTGTTGAACTGTACAACACAAACCACCACACGCCCCAGTTTGATGAAGACTTCCCCTCAATCATCTCCGTGAGGGAAGATGCAGCAGTTGGCAGTGATGTTGTCCATGTGAAGGCATCTGACAGTGATCCTGGCTTCAACGGGAAACTCATCTATGCCATCTCTGACGGAAATGATGACTCTCGCTTCCAAATGGATTTTGAGACAGGCATCCTTCGGGTCCTGAGACCTCTTGACCGAGAACAGGATGCCAGCTACGCTCTGACCATCAAAGTGTCGGACCTGGGACAGTCCAGGAACACAGAAAAACGGCACATCACCATCAACGTCGAAGATGTCAATGACAATGCCCCCGTGTTTGATCAGACACAGTACGACATTGAGCTCTCTGAGGACACAGAAACTGGTGTTGTCTTTCTCGCGGTTCATGCCAGCGACCGGGATATCGGCAGGAACAGGGACATCCGTTACAGCATTGTCAGTGACTCTCCACAGTTTGCCATCAACAGTGGCACTGGCGAGCTACGTGTCACCCAGTCCCTTGACCGCGAAACCACTCCTGTCCACAACATCAAGGTCCAGGCCAATGACATGGCAGCCAATAACCCACTGTCCAGCACAACGATGGTCACTGTGACTGTCCTGGACATCAACGACAACCCACCCCGCTGCATGCGGGACATCTTCAATGTCCGGATGCGAGAGGACCTTCCAATCGGCACAGTCCTCATGACCATCCAGGCACTGGATCCAGACGCCGGCCCTAATGGACAAGTCACCTTTGGCATCGCGGATGATGACACAAGCACATTTGCCATTGATGAGCAGTACGGCACTTTGCGCCTGATCTCAGAACTAGACTTTGAATCCATCCAGATCTACGACATCTTGGTTAATCTCCAAGATCAAGGCTCCCCAGCGAACACATCCCAGTGCCACGTCTTTGTCCAGGTTGTGGACGTCAACGAGAACAGGCACGCACCGGCCTTCAATAGCTTCTATGCTGAAGGGACTGTACTGGAGAATGCCACCATTGGGACGGAGGTGATGACGGTGACCACCACAGATATGGATACCGGCATGGATGGAGTTGTAACCTACTCCATCAAAGACGGAAGTGGACTGGGATGGTTCACCATTGACAATGGAGGTGAGTTATCCATCATAGAAAAACAGGGAAAATGAAAACAAAAATCTGTCAGGCTTTTAGGACACAAGAAACATTGCAGAATTGTTTCTTGAATTGAAGCAGATTTGAAAAGAATTGAAGCAGATTTGAAATCCAACATGACACTTTTATTTCGCTGAACGTTTGTTCTTTAAATGCCTTAAGAAAAATACATCAAATCAACTGAATAGATGCGTTCAATTGAAAGGAATGCCATTTAATTTAGACACCCACATCCGCATTTCATTATATATTGCTCACTATGCAAACATGGCATTCACTTGCTAAAACAAGTCCTGACCTATTCACTATTAAGTATTAATCATTGCGCTTGGTAACGTATTGTGACGCATCGTGCTCTCTGTCTTCCGCTATGTTGGAAACGTGATCTTCATTAATCCCCGCTCACATTGTTATTTTCTTTCATCCTTTTCAAAATTACTACCGGGAGTTATCAGAACATGCAACGATTTGATCATGTAGGTCTTGCAATTCTTTGGCCTTAATGCCACTGATATGTTTGGCTCAAGTCGGGCATTGTACTGGGATGCTGTCATGTAAGGTAACACCACACAAGGAAATCAGGGATTCGTACAAGGCTAGACTATTTTTTACCAGTTTTATCAGAAAATGTCCATGCGGGTAGAATTTCAGAGCGACAATTTTCCCGCTGAGACGCCTCATAAAGCACTATTGTGATGGAGACTTTCACCCAGTTGTAGGCCTGCAAATAATACTGTCGTCCTGAAGGTTTTCTTATTATATTGTAAATCCCTGCATTATATTCTACAGGTATTTATGGTTATTTTGATGGGAACTTGGCGAAGGTCACACAGGTCATCGACCGACCCGATGGGTCCCACCCTGCCCGCATAATGGCCCCATTGCATAATCATTGATTTTTTTATGGTTTGATGATTAAACGGGTTGGGTATTGGTTTTATTGGGTCTGCTAATCGCGCGGAGTGTCTATAAGACACGCAGAGTGCTACCGTAGCAAGAAAGCCACAGGCAGTGCAGCCTGCACAATGAGGTGGTGACTCGGCCAACTGGACCACTCTGAACCATGAGTGTGCGCGGGTGATCAGCCTGTCAAATAGTGCAGGTCATTTGAATATCAATGCTGCCAGTTCAGCTAGGTGTGCTCTTGCATGGAAAAAAAGAGGTCTTTAACAGTAAAGTAACTAGACCGAGCTACCGTATTCAGTAACGCCATAGAGCAAGAACAGGGTACGCTCTAATGGTATTACAGTAGCACACTCTTTGCAGCATCACATTACATAGCAGAGCCACACTTTGCTCCCTGCTGGTCCCGTTTGGGGAAATAATCTCATTCCCGTTTGGGGAATTAATCAGCACACTTTTGGTGTCGCGTTTCTGTCTGGTAAACCACGGGAGGTTAGCCAAGGTGTACAAATTATAATGAATAGGCCTGGACATGTTGTTTGATGGTGACAGATGGTCAGGGGTTTGTTAACTTGAAGTATTATTTTCAAACAAATTAACACTTGTAGCGTTAGGTTGTTTCACAAAATGCTTCTGTCTAATCAGCTTGGAATATGAAAGTGATCTCTCTTGACAAGTTTGTTCGGTTCAGACTATTGATGCAGTGCTTTGGCAGTACTGGTTGGCATTTCAGGGGTTGACAGTGGTCGGGACCCTGGAAAGCTTAATTCCCAGGTGTTTCATTCACAGGAATAGTGATGAAATGGCTAAATCCATTGTCAAAATACCTGAAGGCTGATGCTGCCTCCCTTCACCCACAATATACATGTAATGTAAAAGTAGTGGGGTAATGTACCGGTACCGGTGCATGTACAACAGTACATACACGTACATAGGTTTATTACAGATCAGGTTGAATGTTTTCGTAAGGGCTGCATTGAATCTGTTTATAAATATCCTTCTCACTTCTTCATTTTGTTTCAATAAAACAAACTTGTTTGTTTCATGATCAAATGGAATACAAAACATGCAAATGCCTGCCAAATTAGAAAACGATGCTACAACTAAGCAACACTAGATTCTGGAAACACTGAATTGTGCAATAAGAATCAGTAAATCAGTCAACCATGTTATTTCCATTTCTAAATAAAGTGCATTGATACACAAGTAATTTCCATGAAGTAATAATACATGTGTCCCTGAGTCATTGTTTGAAAATTTTTAATCGAACGTGTACAGTTTAAGGAAAATGTCCGTCATGTAATATATGAAACATGTATCAGTACTTTGTATGTGATTCAGAAGCTATAAAAATATGCACAGCAGGAATATATGCTGCTTTCATGCATCTGTCGTATTAAATGTTTTCATTTTTTTTCCTTTCCTGTTGGATATCAAACTTGTTAGGCTTTTAACATTCGTGTCACATTTAGAAACCCTTTTAGGTGCATGAATCAGGAAATTGTATTCTTGTGAGTCAGCAACTTTAAGAGTTTTAGAATTGCTTTATAGGGGAAATATTTCCGTCACCCAGTTCAAGTGATGTTATTTTTGAATAATTTATTGCATCGTATTTTCCAAAAGTGTTTCTCACAATAGCCCTTCCAATCTGAAAACATCCCTATTTGAGTGGTTTATGATTCAGAAGTATGCTTCGTTCTAAATGTCACCCTTATCACATACTGGCCTCCATGGTCTGGGCATTATCTAGTTGTTTGCATGCCAAATCTGTTTGTTTGCTTGAATGTGCCATCAAGTGACGATAGGGAAGTAAGCTTCCATCAAGCAGCTGCCACAAAATGCTGCGCATATTATTAGTCGCAATAAAACGTTAAAGAGCAGTACGTGCAGTTTTTCCGGGCATATTTTGCTGGCGAAGAGAAATGTCACGAGAGGGCTCAATTCAAAATACGACTCAGCAACTTTGGAATTGAAATCGAGATCCAGAATATTGCATCAATGTTCATTCTGTTTTCTTGAAATATACGGCATTCACAGAGCTAAAACTTCATCATGTTATCGTGTAAGCGTTCGTCTTTAGATTTAGAGCACTTTTGTTGACTTCAAATTACAAATGGTCTACTCTAAATACATTTGACAAGGCCCAATACATAAATAATAATCCTCTGAAGAAAAACTGCACTGTAACTCACGTCAATACAGATGGGTGATCCATCAATTTGTTTGAGATTTGTAGTGACTGCAGTACGCTGGAAATTATAAAAAGCATCGGTTAACTTTTTCAATAACATTGAAAACTTTTCATTTCTTTCCCTTTCTCAGTGAATTACAAATCAAATTGGAGCTTTTAGTACAGAGCTCCTGAACATTCCACATCTAATTATACATTAGTCACGGCTTTAGCCAAGCCTGTTTTTCCGTCATTTCTAATACGAGATTACCATCTCGAAATTTGAGAGAAATATGTGGCACAATACCTTATCTGGCATTTACATCTGTGCCGCATCGATGGCAAACAGATCCCTCTCCTTGGACTTGGCTCCGGGGTAGGAAATTAGACATATTGTGGACGCTAATTTCTCATTGGATTTTATAAAATGGGTACACCTACATAGTACATAATTGAATGGGGTTGGTCAATGGTTATTTTTTTCCTGTATACCCATAGAAACGTTAATCGAATCTAAATTGGAAATTGAGAAATGAATTGAGATCAACATGTGCAGCTGAACTTGGTTTGTCCTAGAATTGTTTACATACAGATGGAGGAAACCGTGGACTCAGTATTAAGAACTGAAGCGTTGGCCCTTTTCAATATTTCCCCCCGGATTTGGCTCCATACATTTTGAACTGAACTTAAATTTTGAAACACCGTAGTTCATGTAGATCATGTCAGAGGATTTCCTATGCATTCTAGCTGCTGTTGAATGGATTTTCATCTCGGGGAAATTGGGAAGTACCCGAAATGCGTGATTGCATTTCGGTGCCAGAGCGGACAGGAGAAAAGAGATCTCATTCACAGATGTCTGAGAAATTTATGTAACATGAAGACGCCTACATGTACAGTGATACAGTCCGTCTTAGCAGAAATTTTGCATCATTCAAGAAAACAAATTTATGGTCTCTTAAATTGTGTCCCTTGGTGATCACAGTCACACCATGGAGGAATAAGAACATTCCTCCATGGTCACACCAAGACACTTACCCGGTGCTATGGCACAGCATGAGATTTTTGTTTAGTAATTTAATCTTTGTTGATAGGTCTTGATGTTACCGGTACCTTGACCAGATACGTGTACACTGATACAGCTGGATTATTATTGTCTAGACACAAAAAAAGGTCAAATTATATTCGTTGCCTTGGGCAATGGTCCAAGTCAGGATAAAAGCCCAAATTGCCACTGTCCCGAAATGGCCTCTTTTTTTTGTTGGTCGATAATTGAACTGGTCAATCAACCCAATCTTCAAGGATTTTTGATTAATTAATGTTGGAATACAGTCAATTGACCCTACTGCAGTGTAATTTAGTTTTGCCATGGTTGGAGAAATTTGGCCAAAGGACCTCAGGTGCAAATCCTGTCGGCTTTTTGATGTAATGTCCAGTGCCGATAATTGCAGGTACATTTTGCAAGTCTATCTAAAATGTCCTCTTCAAACTTTCTGAACTGTTTTCAATTGCAAGGACAAATTTATTACTTTTTAGCCTTGGGTAATTTCAATCCTTTCTTGGGGAAAGGCACAAAATTGCTACTGTAAACCACTTTTCCAATTTCAAATTTCTTTATAAAAAGAAAAAGTTATGGGAAATGGACCCCAAACATGTCAGAAAAACAGACTTTTTTTTGTAGGCTCGACCATTTGAACAGTAAGAAGTGGATTGCGTCAAACGATCTATGATGGCATAAATTGCAGAGTTATCTATTTGTTAAGTGGGCCTACACCTAATCCTGCATGCTCAGCGTGCCATTGTAATCCATACCAACTCCAGAAATGTCGCAATACCGCAAGCGCAGGACACAAATACATAAACCAAGCGCGAGGGCTATAAAACTAACATTCCTCTGGATCGCAGCAAA